CACTAAATGAATGTACTCGACATCTGAAAAGATGGATGTTACAGTCTGGCTGTCAAACTCGCACTAAATGAATGTACTCGACATCTGAAAAGATGGATGTTACAGTCTGGCTGTCAAACTCGCACTTACAGGATGGTCAATTAGGTCGTAATAATAGAAGAGATATCAAGAAACAATCAAATGATTAATAACAATGTACAGGTATAACACACAATCCCCAAAATAATGAGTGATAAGGCAATATGCAAATCGATTGAACCAAGAAAATCTCAATATCACTTTTTGTCCTCGTTATCGGAGTTCTTGGACTTCAATGGAGATAAGTCTCCCTTATCGCTTTCTTCCTTGTCAAATCGATTACTGCCTTGAAGTTTCCGGGTAGTAGGACTGCCTTGAGAATTCAGCTCATCACTATTCTTTCTCATGGGGGTCTGGCCATTGGGTGTACTAAATTGAACAAAATTCCAAAAAGCCGGAGACGATTGGTTGGTGTTGACCCCGTTCACTCCGAGCTTATTGACATTAGATGACTTTGAACCCCTTTCAGGGGTGAATGCTTCAAGTGGTGCAATCTTTTTGGGACTGGCAAATCCAAGTGATAAATCAGTTTGAGCAGTAGAGGTCGATCCTTGGTTGGTGGAGGAATCGGCAGTGGAGCTGGGGTTATGGTTATTAGAGTATGAACTGACTTGGATTGGGTCTTGCAATTGATTGGGATTGGTGTATGAATTCAGACGTGAATGATGAGCTACTGGAGCAGATGTTCCCAAACTGTGCGATGGAGGTGGTGGTGGGAGGTTAAATAAGTGGTTGCCCGAAACTTTGGGCAATTTCGGAGTAGTGCTGTTGACGTCACTAAGTTGTCTTATGGGCGATGATAATTCTCCCTTGGGTATGTTTTGTTGACCTTGTATAGAGACTGGTGGCACCTGGTGGTGCATCATTGGAGCACCATACATTAAATGAGGGGCATTTGGTTGATATCCAAAAGCCCTTTGAGAAGAAGCCACGCCACCGTATCCATTGTTAGGTTGGTTGGACATGTATGATAACGGGTTTGGTTGCATTGGTTGGTTCACCATCAGGTATGGTTGGCCCAATCTTGGTAAAGAATTGGTTCTCAGGTGGGAGAATTGTTGTGGCTGTTGAGACTGTTGTTGCTGTTGTTGATGTTGCTGCAATTGCTTCTGTTGATTGTGGTGGAGCTGCAGTTCTATTGAAGGATCCTTGGAGAATGGCTTTTGTGATTCCGGTAAGCTCTTGTGGGTAGCCAAGTGCAAGTGGAGTTGTCTAGAAACAGAAGAGCCTCTTCTGTTTTTCAGTATCGAGCCATTTTCAATTTTGCTCATAAAATCTTCCTTATAGCTCTCGCTGATTTGCCACTTCATACCCTTACCAGGCTCGTTGGGTCTTCTGGGGACTTTTTCGAAGGCCTTGTTCAACGACAAATTGTGTCTGATCGAGTTTTGCCAGCCAGTTTTGGAATATTTGTAGTATGCATAATGAGAACCAATCCAGTTGTAAATTTCCGATAAGGACATCACCCCATCTTCGTTGGATAAGATTGCTTGGGTGATCATGGTAGCATACGAATATGGGGGTTTGATGTCTTTGGCCTCTTCCTTAGACAAATCCTGGTCCAAATTGTTCTGCAACGAGGTGGCAGACACAGAGGAGGGCGACTGGATGAGTTGTGCCTTGTCGAACATCTGGAAGCTGCGGATCTGGGACCCGGGGTTGGGGTAGGTGCCCATGCTGGGTTTCTTCACTTTGGACATGTTTTCCTTGTATTTGATCAAGCACTTGGTGAGCACTTTTTGCAGTATGTTTGGAGGCGAGTCAGGAAGAATGAACATCATCTGGGTGCCTCCCACATCGAGGATGGCTCCCGAGTGGAGAGGCGTGGAGTGGTTGGGGCCCACAGGCACCTTCTGGCCGTCTATACGGGCTCCGTTTCTGCCGAGAACCTGAAGTTCCCAGCAGCGGAGGTCGAGGTTGTAGGTTATGGTGGCGTGTTGACGGGAAACCACCTTGGCGGGGCCCAAGTCGATATCAACAGAACCACCAGCATTAACGCCTGGAGGCGGCTGGTTGTCGGTGTTTCTGCCAAGCGACACTGCCAATGACTTGACGTAGAACGTCCAGTCCTGGCCTGCGATCTTGGCGTACGCCTGGACCTCAGTGGCCAAGTTCTTATCGTTGGCATATGTCTCTGACACGTTTGTGGGCTCCAGAGGTGCCTGGAGCGTCAGAATCACGGCATTGACCAAGTCGGCTGGATCTTCAAACGAGGGTAACTCGTTTTCGTCAACGTCGCCAAGGGGACGTTTTCGTGGCGTGGAAGTGGTGGACATATTGGCGATTTTTGGGCGCTAGAATGACCACGGCAGGCTAAAGCACGGGGAAAACTGTCAGGAGGAGCGTGTGCTGGGGAGGATTGGGAAGCCAAGACGAGACTTGGGACGGATGGAGCAAGACAGGGGTATCAAGGGACAACGTTGAGAGACGCTGAAATGTTCATGGGTTTGTTTACAAAACAAAATTTTGTTTGGTGGGAGCGGCACGTGATGGGTAGGGGCCCTGGCGGAGACGTGTCGGACGTGACATGTCATGTGACGAGGAGTATAGATGGTCTACTGAATACACTTGGATGGAAGCGTAGTTACTGCTGTATTGGGTATACATAGCTATATCCTTCTAGGCTCTTAATAAGTGTATAATGAAATTATTCTTCATTATTTGATGTAAAATGATTAGCCCTTAACGGGCTAGTATTTGTGGTTGAGGTTTCTTTGCTTGTAGTGTACTGCTTCCTTAGTTCAAGTTTTAGTTCTTATTGAACCTTCTTTTTATACTCCTTGGATTAAGTTGGATGACATTCTCCTTGGATATTAAGCTACTACCGTAATTCTTTGATAAACTGGAATAACCTGAACTAAAACTAAGGCTCCTTGGTTGCAGCAATACATCCTTACTACCATTGTGATTCACACAAATGAACAATTGTACGATCACTAACCCTAGAAAGTATGTGGCAAAATTTTCATTTGGGAGCTGACTCCCCAAAACTTCTCCTATAAAACTCCGAGGACAGTACTCAACGGATAAGTTGGTTACATGCTTTTGTATTTAAATCGTATTATTCGGTATAGCAGAGCCACGACTCTTTAGACTTGTAATACCCCATATCCTCGAGACTGGTGGATAATTCGTCTATTGTGGAGGATTTTGTGCTCGTGGATAAGCCTCCTTGGTCGGGCCACGGAAGGCCTAGTGATCGCGTAGTTTGGGGAATATACAGGGATCTGGGATCATCCCAGTGACGGATTAGTCCGCTGTATCTCTACAGTCACTGTTTGATAAGTCTTCCATCGTCAGCTAGGAAATGTTGTTTGTAATTGTTTACTAATACGAGTAGAGTGTAACATCATTGCCAATATTTGTAATCGTTTACTAATATAGGTAGGAGTGTAACATTATTATCAATAATGTATTCAATAAACGGTTACTTACAGTCCAGTGGGATACGATTGATTTGGTGGTGTTTTGTGACTTGAAATACACTCTGACTGGCTGCCGGTTTCTTTGATTAATTCTTGTGCCAAAATTAGTACTTTGAAGTGATTATTCAACCTTCAATCAGGCCAATAATTGCGTGGAATAACATTTCATCGACTGCACAGTGGTTAGTAATCACTCTGGGTCAAACGTGGTGTCTATTAATTTTTCTATGAATTGTGAACTCTGAAAATATAATTCAATTGATGGAATGCCTGGGTATGGCATTGAGAAATCAGAAACTGATTCGAAGCCCATATATACTGCCTCAGGGATGTATCGATTAATTCTAGCAACCACCCAGCAGACTTGCCAGCTCTACCAATCTCGAAAAGGCCGGTATCGCCATTATGGGGTTCAAATCGAATACTTTTGTAGAATTATTTAGCCTTCTAGGAAATTGGTAGTAAACTTTTTTGTCTCTCATAGGAGCCAAGCTTAAGTTGCTCTACCCCGGCTCTGACATCAGAACTAGACTTCAACAAGGTGTCGACACTTGTTAATTCTGACCCACCCAACTGATGTGGAAAGTCTGGTAACTTCAAAAGTGAAATAGAACATTTTCCTATTCACCTCTCGTAATTGATCGGAATCACAAAGGATGGGCTAGTGTCAAACCCACGAGCATCCAAGGACTCTCTTGTGACCACATCCACTGTCGTATGCTCTTCCTCTAGTCTCTTTTTGTTCAACGCATCCTCACCAATTATATCGAACTCGTCCTCTTTTTCCTCGTACTCGATATTCTCCTCGATCTCAACGAAATCTGGGGCTAATGCAGACCACTTTTGCGGAAACTCAATCAGCCACAAGTAAATAGCCCCGCTATCTATGCCCGTAGCTCCAATGGTACACCTGGCGTGGTTCCACTTGACGTCTACCAATTCCTCGTTGCTTCCCTCCAAAATCTTCACCAAAGACCCCATCGATGTCTCCCACACGTATAAATCGTGTGACGACTGCCCATAAGTGGATGCAACCAAAAACTCAGCATTGTAGTTGAAGGACACCGAGTTCCATTGGAGCTTGTTGACCACGTCCTGGTACTTGTGTTCGATTTCAAACTCCCATTGCGAGCTGTTCAAGTTCATCATATCGGGAAGATTGACCTGTCGTATGATACGGTCCGAAGTGTTGATAGCGAGTTTTCTGCCGTTTGCAGAAACCACCAAGTTCTTAACATTGGCGTTGGCCATCTTTTCAGAGTGCACGAGTTCCACCCTATCCACAGCTATCACGTTGAGCCATCCTTTGCTGGTGCCTGTGAATAAAAAGTTCCCGTCCACACTGAAGGCTGTTACCAACGTGTTGTGGCGTTCTTTCCGTTTCTTTCGTGGTTCATCGTCGTCGTCTTGGGTGGTAGAGCTCACCGAGCCCGTGGGGAGTCTCTTCACCACTCCCCCACTGACCAATACTGGTTCATCTTCAAACAAGGACGCTGAGAATATCTCGTGGTTCTTGGGATGCATGGTGGCCTGCCAGATGGGGCCATCAAACGTGGTTTTGCTGATGACTGGCGATACCTCGTCCTCATTATTGACCAAGCTCAAGTCCCAGAGAATGCAGCTCCAATCTTGCGATGACGAGAGAATATAGCGACCACATCGAGACCAGCTGAGCGACGTTACGGGTCGAGTGTGTCCTCCGTCGTTCAATTGGGCCACGGCACCTCCGCTGATCATGTCGTAAATAACAATGACTCCATCGCTTAAACCAGATGCAAGGTAGTCACCTTTGTAGTTGAATTGGATGACCACCGAGTGACCAACAGTGAGGGAGTTGACGAGGGTCTCGGGGTACTCCTTGGCGACCGCAAACGGGTCCTGTAGGGCGAGATTCATGGTGGTGGTAGTGGTCGTAGGTTGAGTCTGGTTGATGGATTTTGTGCGCGGGGACTAGCGAGATTTAACAGAATTAGTGGTAGAAATAGTGGGACCTCGTGCGAGCTTAGCGAGGCACGAAATAGTAAGATAGTGGTAGTTAAAGTTGTAACAATGCCTATCTTTTATTATCATTAGCAGCTACATTAGCTGTTACATCATCTGTTATTCAATGTCAACTTATTTGTCAATAGTTGCCATTACCAGCCATTATTTGTCACTTCTAGTCAAGAAATGCTAGTGGTGCGCGTAGTGACAAACTAGCAGAATTAGCGGCAAAAGTAGTGGACCTCGTGCGATCTTAGGGCGCGTTCCAGTAAGACAGCGGGCTTGAAGTCACAATTATTAGCCACAATTTGTCTCTGTCTCTGCCAATTTCTGTCATCAACTCATTAACACGTTATCTCATTACCGCATTACCTCAATACCGTCACTCTCCATCCAAACTCTTACCTCCCAGTAGGTCTAGCTAACATCTTTTCGCGCCGTTTTAGCGAGGTTCCACTATTTTTCTATTTTCCACCGCGGCCCTACGCGGTGGCTGCAAGCGGTTGCCGAGCCCAAGACTTACCACGGTAATTTGCTCTTGACCATCTTCATTTATACTCAATTGCCCAGCAGACATCACAACACACTTCACCGCCATGGCAGGGCCAAAATTCCCACGGCTACTCTTGTGGTACCTTCAGATTCTCGTTTTCACTTTCCACACTGCTCAAGCCCTCCATTTGTACGTGGATTCAGGCACTCCCACATGCTTCATCCAGCAGTTGAAGAGCGACCAGCTCTTGATTGGCAAGTACAAGATCGAGATCCGAGACCCCTACACTGCCTTGTTCTATCCTCCCTCCGACCACGTTGGCGCCATGATCGACGTCTATCTGGAGAACCAGAGGCTCGTGCACCAGCGTGGAAGCGCCAGTGGCCAGTTCAAGTTCCTTGCGGTTGATTCAGGCCAGCACAGGGTGTGTTTGGTGCCCAAGACGTTCGAAACGCCCTCAGTTGTGGGACCTGACTTCACCAGGGCTCGGGTCACTGTGTTCATCGACCCCGTGGACCACGAGTTGGAGGTTCCAGATAACTCGCTTGTGGGGGAGGTGCGACGGTTGAAGAACAAGTTGGTGGGGATTCAGCGGGAGCATGAGGCCATTCGGGAAAAGGAGGTGTGTTTTGGAGAGTTGTCAGAACGCACAGGGAACACGTTAGTGTACTGGATGCGGGTCCAAGGTGTCGTCAGCGCAGTGGTCTGGGGGTACCAGATGTTGACGATGTGGAGAATGAAGGTAAAGGTGGAGTAGAAGGGAAGGAATGCAGGAGGCCGTAGGACTATTTTATTCCAGAGAACGGTCAGTCAGAGTATGCAATTAGAAAAGACTTCTGAATCCACCTTCTGGGAAGACGGGCAAGTAAGCGAGCTAAAGTAATTCTAGCTATCTGTCAGGAACAAGGCATGGATCAGTATATGCCCCAAAAGAAACTAATTTTCTCGCTATCCACCTTCGGGTTACTGGCCAGGATATGCTCCTAGCTGTCAGAGACTAACCCATTGTCCACACTAATGAGGACTCAAATTATTGAGTTTTATGCTCCAACACTGTCATTGAGTGACTAACCTGAATCTACCTTCTGGGAATTACCAGTTAGTGAGATCTAGTGAGCTCCACCTAGAAGCAAGAGATTATCCTGAATCCATGTCCAGGGAACACTGGCGTTACCCAGATACAATTCCCAGCAAAAGAGACGTATTTGCCCTCTTTCCACCTTTCAGAAAATATTAACCAGTTATCAGCTAGAAACCTCCACCTAGCTGTCAGAGTCTAACCTGAATCCACACTCAGGGAACATTGGCGAAAATCCAGCAAGGATACCCAACCGCCTATCTATAAGAGTCTTATCTGATCGACCTTCTGGAATACTGGCCAGCATAAGACTAACCTCCCTATCCACCCCGGAGAGCACATCCAACTAGAGATCCTCTGTGTTGGAGGATAATTGGCACTATGGAGTCGGTAGAGTTCTTAGAGTGCCATCTGTTATTGCTAGACTAGGGCTGTCTTAGGGCTATACTGCTCAAGTCTGGAGAATTACTTCAGAGAACCATCATATTGCTGAGAATGCTGGAATAGACTCTGTTGCCGCTGTTGCCACCACCTAACTTCCTACCAGAGCAACCTCTCAACCATCAAACTCTGCCACAGCTGACAAACCAGATCAATGTACCACCAGACTGAACGTCTACCACGCTACGCTCTCACTTGTAAACTTCCACTGATTATTTAGTACATCCACTATTTATTGCAACTAGACTAATACGCCCGCCACCTGCCGTAACACTTCGAGGCTCCCTAAACGCCATTCAACTCTACTGCCATCTCTCCGTACTGACACCACCACCACCACCATCATTACTTCTAATCACTCTTCCACTGTCTCCTCTGCTCATATTCCTCTAGGCTCTTTTGCAACAGATTCGCACCTAATCAAATCACCATAATCCACCACCAAATACCCTATCGTCTCTGGCCAGCCACCACCACCATGGAATCGTTGTTCGATATCCCCAGTCGTGCTGTAATGTCGCCATCCGCCAGCATAGAGTCGGGTCCCGATTGGTCCTCCAGATCCTCCACACCTATCCGCAAACATCGATTCGACGAAAGAAGCCAGACGCTCATCAGTCTGCAATTGAAGGCACATTCCGTGGAATACGAGGACATTATTTCCAATGTGACGTTGCCAGCGGCCACCACTGGCGATCTGGCCAGCGAGATCCTCAAATGGTCCGAAACATCCACCATAAATCGCATCATCAACTCGCTGGAGTTCACCAGCCTCCACGGACTCCCTGTCTACATGGAAACATCGTCGCTCTACCTCGCAGTTGGTACCTCTTCGGGACAGGTGGTAGGGTTCTCGTACGACCAAAAGATCCAGTTTGTACTCGAGGGCAACGATGTGTCTGTGAGCAGCATCAGTTTCACAGCCGACTCCACGTTTTTGGCTGCTGGCTCCGCCAACGGAGAAATCAGGTTGTGGGATCTTGGTTCCGTCATCTCTCCAACGGTGGCAGTTCCACCCTACTACACCATCGTCCCTATCACCCTACAGGAAAGATTCACCCAGAACGCACAGGGCCATCTTAGTGGATCCCCCATCACCAAGCTTACATTCATAGGAAACCTGACTTCCAAGATCGTTTCTGTGGATATTTCGGGCTTGGTGTTCTACCATTCAGGAATCAAGAAATTGATGAAGAAGGTGATAATCACCAGAAAGTTGTTGGGCAAAAACGATGCCAACGTGGATGATCCCAAATTCATAGTGCACGGGTGTGAGATATTGCCAATTGGCTCCTCAAATCAGATCACCGACGACTTGGGAGTCTTAGCTATAACTACAGAAAACCTCTTGTTGATCGTCTCCCTTTTGTCCTTGAACAACTCCAAAAATATCAACTTGATTACCCACTTCAAATTGGGCAAGTCCAAGCATGTAACCGACCTGGACAACCCGTTGATCAATTTGAACTGGTACCCCTGTATGGCTAAAAGTGGGGGAGGTGTGGAAAATGCCAAGCTAGCATATTCCTGGAACAATCTCTTGACTGTTGTGGAACTAAAAAATGATATGTTGCCATCAAACTTGACAGCAATTATAGACGATCTCAAAGATAAAGATAAGGGAATTCCTAAAATTCCAATAGAAACCACTTGCCGATGGGTTACATCTAGCAAAAAAGAAAAAATAGTCATGACGAAATGGATAACATCAACTCTCATTTTTGTGTTCATCAAAAAGGACGAAGATTCAACGATAAAGTTGAAAGTTCTCTACTATTCAAAAGAAAAGTCTGGAACTCGAAGTCTAATAATTATTCCTATCGAAAATTCGCTTCAATTGAATCCTGCGTTTATCACACACAAAACAACAACTAGCTTGAGGTCATACGACAATTCCATTAAATGTATAAAGCAGAGGTTAGTAGTGATGTTAGGTGAAACCCCCAGTCAGATTTATATTGGAAAGCTATTAAATTGGGCGGATATCTTGGTTGGATTTCTTTCTCAAGGAGATTACTCAAAAGCATTGTTGACTGTTCATGAGTTTTATGATTCAAAGAGCGTGGGTAGACTAGTTTTAATTGGATTGCCAGAAGATCCGCAGGTTAGATCAAAACTTGTAACACCTTATCTATTCCAAATTATGAATGAGTCTGTTATTCCAATTTTCACCAAAGAAAATACACCTAGTTCCTACCTTAAATTATATTTGCATTTAATTTCCTTATTGTTCCAAAAGAAAAGTCAAGAGGATATCCTTGGAAATATTCTCAATGAGATTTTCGAGAATTATTCAGATCAGTCCGAATTCTTTTCAATCATTGAACCCTACATTTTAACAAACCAGATCTCAACCTTATCTCCAACTATCTTAAACCATTTGGTTAAGCATTATATCGAGATCGATAAAGGGCTCCTATTGACTGAAATACTATGCATTTTGGATACCAGAATGTTGAATATTGATATGACAATCGGACTTTGTACCAAGTACAATCTTCGTGAATGTTCTATTTACATCTGGAACTATATTTTACACGATTATCAAACTCCATTGGTTGAATTCATAAAAGATTTTCAAGAACCGGCTTTCTTGAACCAAGAGAATGAATACTTAAAGGCCTATTCATACATGTCCTTGATTTTAACAGGGAGACAATATCCTATAGATAGATTCATCGCTGGAGAGGATGAATCAAATGCAAAGAATGGTATATGTCAAATATTATTTAACACCTCATACGTGAATTGGCCAAAGGGAAGTGCTTCATTACTTGAGGTAGGCAATGATCTGACTATATTTCCTTATTTGTATTTATTCCTAAAGACAGACTCTTTTGAGATGTTATCAACCCTAAACGAATTTTTCGAGGATCCTAGTCTTAATGAAGGTATAGATATATTTGGGAGTGGTAGACTCATTACCAGGCAGTACATCATTGAAGCATTACTAGACATATACGATGTTGATGAATTCACAACGTTAGATCATTGTCAATTATCGATTTTTATTGGGAGAAATTACTCAAAATACTCACAATTTATTCGTCTTTCAGAATCAGTGCTCAATCAGGTGGTCAATTCATTGTGCGATAATTCTACCGAAACAAACAAGATTGACTGTGAACTTGCATTACAGAGTTTGCTTCCATATTATGAACCATATAATGATGAGTTTTTGTTGGAAAAACTCCGCTTTGCTCAATACTATAATGTATTGATCGATATATATAGTTCACAAGGTAAATTTGGACAGGTTTTGGAAGTATGGTTGAAAAAAAGTGATGAGGATAGTATTGATTCTTTGGCAAACATTTTGGAAAAATCCTTTCAAATGACTAAGAACCCTCTGGATAGATTGACCTTGGTAAAGGTCATTAAAAAGAATTATGAACAATTGGCTAGATATGGCTTGGAGAATTTGATTAATTTAATGAATCAATACAATCCAAAATTGAATCTTGAGGTGTTACACTTCACGGATAAGCAGCTAGCCTTAAAATATTTGAGGTACTTTTTTCAAAAGCTGGAGGCCCAAGAAATCAAGAGAGAAGTGATAGCAAATTATATCAGTCTATTAAGTGAATTTGAAGCGGACAAAGTATTTGACGAGGTCGAAAAATGGTTAAGCCGAAACGATATCGGTGAGATTGAAGCGGAAATTGTGCCTATTCTCCAGAAACATGAACAAATTGAATCTTTGGCGCTAATAAAAATTGCGAGAGAGCAATATGAGCAAGGTCTTAGATTAATTCTTGATTTCATGATTGTAAATGTGGCAAAGCTCGATGACGATAAAAAATTGATTCAAAAGTATGACAAGTTATTGAAAAGGGCAATGATCATTTGCGAAGATCCAGGAACATTTCAGGATTATGACAAGGAGCTCAATTTAAATGAGAAATTGTGGCTAGATATTATCAGCAGCTTGATATCAATGGCGAGCGCTAGTACAGGGGGAATACACCAATTCTTGAATCAATGTATTCATACTTGTTTCAGAACTATTAGTGATACCAAGCTTAAACCAGGAGATAAACACGAGGACTCATTTCTTCGTATTTTCCATCGTATTCTAAACCTAGAGGAAGAATCAGGAGAGAACTCGGAAGCCACCACCATAGCAACTTTGGCAAATATTCGGGATATACTTCAGGAGGTGTTTGTGTCGTACTCGTATGAAGGAGAAATGTTAGATATTTCTCTTCGAATGCTCAACAAGGACATTTCAAAGAGCATGAGTATTATTCAGGCAGAACACGTCAAAGGTTGGGTCCCTGCCAAAGATTGTTCCGCTTGTGGCAAGCCGTTGTGGGGGCCACTTATATCCGCGGTCCATCACGAAGCCTGGCTGCGTCGTCAAGAGCACGAACTCCACTTAGCAGGCTCAACTCGAGCTAGACCCATGCCCGAGATGGAAGGAAAAATTGTATTGTTCAGGTGTGGCCATGGCTATCATTGGGAATGCATGGGCTGGAAGGATATGGAATGTGTAATCTGCTCTGGCGTACACTGATAATGGAATATACTGTTTCGGGGTCTAGCAGCCTAAACTGATATATGGGAAACTTACTAACTATTCTTTGATTTTATTTGTAACCCAGGGAAGTTGTGTGGAAACTTTGGGCACTGGGATACTATTAAATGACAATTAAATCACAGATATCCACCGCTGGGCGGGAAGTGCTTGGAAGGTAATCCCAATACAAACCAAGGGCCGGAGGATATTAGCAATAGGTCACCGACTGACAAGGCATATGAGGTCGTTTATTTGAACTTTAGATATAAAAAATATTCGATAAATGTGCCAGAACTATTTCATTGGGAGGCACACGGCTAAAATGAAATCAGCAATTAAACTATATAAACATCTTTAGTAAACAGAAGCTTTTACAAATTACTGGTGAGAAGGGTGATAGTGCATACTTTCTAAGTCTATTTATTCTCGACTCATTGGATTTTAATTCCCATTACATGCCTCCGTAGCTTTCCTTGGAGTGTAAGATTTGATCAGTAATATACATTCTCCGAAAATCAATAATGATTACCATATCGGATCTATCTGCACGGATATCTTAGTAACCATGAAATGATTGTTTTGCTGGTCATATCCTAGTTCTGACCAGGATGATCATGAAAATACTCAACCCTCTTTGTCAATCTAAAAATTGATAAGGAACTGATAACGTACAATAATAAGAATGGATAGCCTAGCAAAATGAGCACCTCTCTCAGAAATATCTGAGAATATAGGTGATAAAAACTAAAGTATCAAATGGCCAAAAGACCTCTAGTTAGACACCAGGGCTTGATCTTTTCGGATTCAACATTATTCATTCATTTAGCGACAATAATGCATTGGCCCTATTGAAGCCCTAATACGATCTACATGACCAGAGTAATCCATACCCCTGAACATCTCACACGAATTGGCATATTAATCCAACTAGCAAGCGTTGATCGAACAAATCCTTGAGCTTCCCAAAATTGGCTGTGGGTGTGTTCCGCTATCTATCTGCTCATGATTTGCTGCATATACAAGATATTTCTACTCGGTGACTGCTTTAGGTAGAATGGTGAAAACGAAGAAAGTTACAGGTAACTCATTTCTTCGAATCGAGCCTCAAATATTGAATTTTTAGTGATTTATTAAAAGTTGTTTCTAATACTGCTCTCACCTTTCTGGTGTTTACGGTGCACTACGCCATCTAGCAGTAGATTAGATGCCCATTGAAAAATGTCCTATAAATAAATTCTACCAGATGCTGTTTCTGAAGTAACGGCTGCTTGCATTTTGACACCATGCGAGAAATAAATATACTAAAATAACAACCTGCTGCTGGCACTTTCGCAGCCACGACACGCGACACTCTGCCGACACAGCAACACTGACACCTGCCAGGCCACTCCTGGCTGCACCCTAGCACCTCCTCACAGCCCCGGTGGATGTTCTGGAATGGCAGGGTGCAACCCGCAATTCCACCGCAACCTGCAATGGGCATCGCTGCTCGCCTACAGGTTACCCCTGACCAGGCTTTAAGGGCCACAACCAGAGCTCAGTAGCACCTACAACTTCCAGAGCAAGCCCTTCTTCCATGTCTGCGCTCGGCCCTCCAGTCCAGTTGCCCGATCCGCCTCCATTTGTTCCCCCACTCCCTCCAATCCGCCCTCCCTTCAGCCCCCACTCCCCAACCTGCCATCCCCCCTTGCTCGCCCTTGCCGAATCGGGAAGTTACGTAAACAGCCTATAAATAAATTTACTGCCCATTTTACCACAAACGACGTTTCATATTTATACCCTTTCCTCGTCTACTCCAGGCATCCTCTCGCTGCTCCGTCACTACCAGTCCCGTCACCTCTGCCACCGTGCCACCGATCACGTGACCCGCTCCTGGCGTTTTCTTTTTACCCAGATCCCGATCTAAAACACACCACCATCACTTAGCCGCCACCCCCATGGAAGACGATTTGTTTGATGTCGACCACGCTGCTGGCACTGCCAACGGAGCCAGCGGCTCCACTCCCGCTAACGGCTCCAGCGGCTCCGCCAACGGCTCCAGCGGCTCCACCCTGCGCTCCCAGTCTAGAACTCCTGCTGACCACTCCCGTCGCTACTCGCTGATGGCTCAGATGGGCCAGATGCCTCCCAGCCTGTCGCTCCCCCACTCGTTGAGCCACTCACGGGCCCAGTCCATCAACTTGGCCTCCCGCAACCACTCCCGTCAGCTGTCCCAGCAGTTCCTTCCAGGCATGATGCCCCCTCCGTTCGACGAGTCGATGTACCCCCTCCAGACCAACCCCTTCTACAACACTGCCTACATGCCACACCAGCTGCCTCCCGCTTCCCAGCAGTACCTCCCCAACTTCCAGACGCCTCCACACCAGCCGTACTACCCCCAGATGTTTGCTGGACAGCCCCACTCGTCCTCGGGATACAGCACCATCGTGGACGACGACGCAGACGTATTCTACGACAAGTTGCCCCGCAACCAGTCGCTCACCAGCGTCAACTCGCCCATGAGGTCCAAAACCGTTGCATTCAGAGAGGCTGAGCCTGAGTACCCTCCCAGCGCCTACAGCCCCCGTAAGGCGCTCATGGACGACGCCAACCAGTACGAGTTGGAGCGCATCGAGAGCATGGACATCAACAACCCCACGTCGTCGCGTGGCGTTGCCAGCGGAGTCAACCGCAACTCGTATGCCATGCGTCCATACTCCACCATGATCAAGTTCTCGGGTGACGACTACATGATTAACGAGTTGGAGGACGCTGAGGAGGGCGACGACTTCGACCCCTTCGATGACGACGAGTCGTTGTTCTCTGAAACCGGTGAGGACTTGCTCAAGCGAGGCAACACGGTGAGGAGAGGCAACACCATCACCAGAAAACCCCAGAAAACCGAATTAGGCGCAGACTCCGTAATCGAAATGGAGGAAGAAGACTTCAAGCCTCGGTTAAACTACACCAAAACCATCAAAAAGGCCAAGTTAGTCAACGGTAACTACGTGATCGATTGTCCTGTCCCACGCTCGTTGCTTGAAACCTACGGCAGAAAAATCACCGACGGTGGCAGAGAAATGTCCTTCATGAGATACACAGCCGCCACCTGTGGTCCTTCCAACTTCCAAAAATTCAACTACAACGTAAGACAGGCGTTGTACACACCTCCCAGACAAACCGAGATTTTGGTGTGTGTTACCATGTATAACGAAGACGAGATCTTGTTGGCCAAGACCTTGAAGGGTATCTTCGAAAATATTAAGAACTTGACCAAAAGATCCGACCCGGCCTGGGGTGAAGATTCTTGGAAGAAGATTGTTGTTTTGATCGTCAATGACGGTAGAGTTGCATTGAACAAGAGATCTAAGACCTTGTTGACCGCCATGGGTGTATTCCAAGATGGTTACGCCAAATCCAAGATTAATGATTCATCAGTCAAGTCGCATATTTACGAGTACACATCCACGGTTGGTATCGACGTGGTCAGTGACAAGGTCCATTTATGTCCAAACTCCTCTCCCGTGCAAATGATCTTCTGTTTGAAGGAAAAAAACTCGAGAAAGATTAACTCCCACAGATGGGCTTTCCAAGCATTCTGCCCCATTCTTAACCCCAAGGTTGTCATGTTGTTGGATTGTGGTACCATGCCTTCAAAGGACGCATTTTACTATTTATGGAGATCATTCCGTGACCCCAAGGTTGCCGGTGCATGTGGTGAAATGAGAGCCTCCTTGGGCCAAGGTAAAAGATTATTGGCCAACCCATTGGTTGCTGCTCAAAACTTCGAGTATAAAATTTCGAACATTTTGGATAAGCCTATGGAGTCAGTTTTTGGGTTCATTACTGTGTTACCCGGTGCTTTCTCGGCTTACAGATATGAAGCATTGTTAAACGTTGATGGTGAAGGGCCTTTGGAAAAGTACTTCAAGGGTGAATATCTTCATCAAGGCTCACAAATCGACTCCAATGACGCTGAAGAAGATGACGAAAAATACATCAAGGAAAGAAACTATCAAGAAGCAGGTATCTTCACGTCTAATATGTACTTGGCCGAAGATAGAATTTTGTGTTTCGAGCTTGTGGCCAAAAAGAACCATAACTACGTTTTGAGATACGTGAATGAAGCCAAGGCGGAGACCGATGTTCCCGAAAAACTTGATGAGTTTGTTTTACAAAGAAGAAGATGGTTGAACGGTTCTATGTTCGCTGCCGCTTATGCCGTGTTCCACTGGACCAACATTTGGAAATCCAATCACTCGTTAGCCAGAAAGTTGTGGTTACAGGTGGAATTCTACTATCAGTTGGTTACAATCTTGGTTTCTTGGTTCTCGTTGGCTTCTTTCTTCTTGGTGTTTAGAATTTTGACCGCCAACTTGGGTGCCGAAGATATGAATTTCGAGACCGGAAAGTACTTGGCCATCGTCTTTCTATGGTTCTACGTGGGATGTGTGGTTTCCACATTCGTTTTGGCATTTGGTAATACTCCAAGAGGTACCAAGAAGTTTTATATGGCGATCGCAGTGATCTTCTCGGTATTGATGGTGTATATGATGTTTGCGGCCATTTACTTGGCTATTCATACAGTCAACTTGGTTGTCAAGAATCATAAGGATGATTTCAATGTGACAATGGTTTTCACCAACGGTAAGTTCAGAGATTTGGTGGTTTCGATGGTTTCCACCTATTTGTTGTACTTCGTGGGTGCATTCTTGTACGGAGAACCGCTGTTTATGTTCACATCTTTTGTTCAGTATGTGGCATTATCACCCAGTTACGTGAACATCTTGAACATTTATTCGTTCTGTAACATTCATGATGTTTCTTGGGGTACCAAGGGTGCAGTGGAAGCCAAGGACTTGGGTTCCGCCAAGTCCACTGGTGCCAACAAGGACGAGTTGGTGATGATTGCCCCAGGTTTGGCAGAGGAGTTGAACGACTCGTACTTGAACACCTTGGAAGAGTTGCGGACAGTTGAGCCTCCAGTCATCGAGGCCAATCTCAGAAAGCAAAAGGACGATGCCTACTATGCATTTGTCAGAACCATCACCGTGTTGGTGTGGATGTTGACCAACGCCATTTTGCTTGTCATTGTGTTGGAGGCCGGAGGTCTCGATACCTTGACCAAAAAGCCCAGTGTCAACCCGGACGGTTCCATCCGTGCCAACTCTGAAGTGTTCTTGACAATTATTTTATGGATTGTCGCCGGTTTGGCGTTGTTCAGATTCCTTGGATGTGTGTTGTTCTTGATCTTCAAGGCATTCAGACCCATCAAATGGAGGTTCTTGGCCAGAAAGGAAAGTAAGGCTGCCAATAGTGGTTAAAATAATGCACATGTTAGCAATGCTAACTCTTTGAATTACGTAGAGGGTAACTGTTCATGTTGCTGGTATTGTAGAGAAACTGTATTTGTATTGCTAACAACACTATGCTGTACCCATTTTCCTGATAGAATGGGCACTCATTAATGCATACCAGAGTACTTTGACATAGTCAGAATGTTCATACTCCTGATTGGAAATTACAGCGAACAGGAAAGTCGTGGTATTTCCTTCTATAGCACTACTGCTTTCAGACTGGAAAGTCTTATTATTTCCTTATTAAACTCTACATTTAACCAGAAACAATAAACCCATTTCTCAAGTACGCATGCTAGATGAACAAGCAGATTACTCTTGTTGCCCCAAATTTAAGCAATTCCGCTAGCTAAACTGGGGCCTTCTACAATTGCCTATCGTAGGTAAATCACAAGCATGAACCATCATTCAATACTTGGCAGACACCTGCAATAGTGATACCAGAGTAGAAGGAATAATAATGGAATTTCGTTTTGTATGCATCGTTTTCTGCTCGACTAAATGGGGTAGTTTTGAATATATCCCAATTGAAGACTGTAGATGGCTACTTAACATGGCTATATGTTATCCGTGCCCCCGGCCATTACATGGCTCATATCGACACTAATGAGATCCCTCTTAAGTTACTTTCAGAGTTCGTCTTTCGAATTTTACTGCTTTGGGTATTATGCCCGAGAAACGAAAGCTATTTTCTGGCGGACAAACGTAGCGTTGTGTTTATGCCTATTCCAGCATCTGATCGTGCTTGGGTTGGGCACCAACAAGATGAGAGAGGCCAATAAAGGAAGGAATAACACTGCTGGCCAAGGCATGAATTGCAATTTCCGGGTAGCCAGTCCCCAATTGGAGTGAATGACGGATTGTATTTCCAATCCTTGGTGGGCCGGTGTATCCGGGTTTCGGAACGGCCACCGTTATAACCCCCGAAAATTAACCACGTCTATAGGCAGAACAGAGCTTCTGTTTACATTGGAAACGATCAAAAGAAAACAATAAATATTGGAAAAACCGATTGTCTCCAGTTAAGCCTTGTCGTGGTGGCTGCGAAACTACTAGATCCTGATCTGGACAAAGGGCTGAAGACCCGGGAATTCTGGACGGTGATAATAACATAACATTGGCCAAGGTTTCCACGATGCTGTGCTGTGGCAATTCTTGATATACCCGTTGTCACACTTCGGCTACATCGGAAATGCTACTAGAGAGTGCGAGAAGAAAATGTTCCGCCACTACTGACAAGCAGAACATTTGTAGAATTTTGGCATATAATGCTGGAAATAATAGAAAATCACACCCAACTTGTAATTGACAAGAGAATAATTTTTGTAGCAATTAGACACATGCCAGGAAATACGAAAGCGTCTGCTTGAGCCATGTCAAACTTAAACCTTAACTCACAACAGGACCTGGCCAGGCCACCAGCAACTGAGAAGGATCGAGTCGGGCTCAGCTGGCCAGCCTGACGCTTGCACCATACTGCAATCACCTACACCTTGTCAGACGAACCCCCCCTGCTTTTCATCTACAGAGACTAATTGGTGGTAGCCAGCAGCATCCTAAAAAGACTGCAGCATCTCGTATACAGCAACTGTCTGCAGTACCTACATGCCGCTTAGGCCAGTGAAGCGTGGGACCTGGCTAGCGCCAGGAACGCCGTGTTTACGTAAAAAAGCTCCCTGGGTAGGCCTCCACCCTGCCCACGAAGCACAGGGGCCCTCTCTGGCCCAACAATCGGCTGACGGGGTCTGGTGCCCTTGGTTGCGAGTGCCCGCCATGTAGTGTCTGGCGTCATAATGCTCGCGCTGCAGCCTCTAAACAACTCTAATAAGGTTTCGATTTCAGGAAGTGTAATGGACGATTGAAAATTTTGCGTTGACTCACCAATTAGGACGAAAATTAAATAAATTAGATAGGTGGTCAAAGATTAGATAAAAGGGCTACGATAAGCACCAGCTTGCATGGCGCATCTCTGTGGGCTGGCCTGGATCTGGCACGGACCATGGTTAGTCACCTACTGTGTAGTTCACCATCTGGACCAGTGGTGGGCTCGTGTGAGCCAGAGGTTCTAGCCACACGTGGCGTCGGCCCTCTGCTCGGTAAGACCTTGTACCTTACCATGTAAAGTTTGCCGACCCACTGTGGTTATGAGTGCTCGGAGGAGACGCCCAAATGGGCTCGCTCGGCAATGACATCCCTCCACTGACATTCAGACAAAAAATAGCAAATTGCGAACCCTCGTCCAGGCTCCCGGGCCAGTCGCTGCATCCACGGCGGAATTAACGGCCCTGGTGTCGTGTGCTCCGTGGGTGTTGAGGCAACCCCACCATTGAAGTTGGCCCTGTCCAGCCACTGACGTCCTGAAAAATTTTCTGACACCCTCATTGGTGCGCCATCACTGGCACGACGTAATCGTGCTGGTGCAGCCGCCATGTGGAGCAGTGTGGAGAGAAGATTTCTAGGCGGGCCTGCCCGTGGGCCGATACGAGGGGCAATACAGAGGCAATAATCTCACTACAGTGTAGGAATGGTGCCTGTAGAAATAATTTCAGACCAGAAAAATGTCACCACAGTAAAAATTCAGCGTAGATATGGCTAATACAAGATGACCCTCCAAATTCGCTTTCAATAACACACTAGACTATAGCGAAGCCGTAGCATGGATCATCTATTGAATCCCACCAATTGGGTAACACCGAGCCTCCACCGAGCCTCCACCGAGCCTCCACCGAAAACCGTTGGCACGGTGATGGCCCTGGCTGGCCCTGGCCTGGTTTGTTCCCTCCGTGCAAACCCGTGGAGTGGCCCGGGTGAGCGATTTTTCTCATTGGTAAATCACCGTTGGACACCGGAATGAACGGCGGGAACATTTCACTCAGACACAGGAATGGACCCATTACAGGGCCGGAGTGGGGCAGTCTTCAGCACCGCGGGCCAAGAGGTGTAGCCGCCAGCGCCAGGCCACCAGCGAGAACATCCATACTTCACGGGTGCCCCTCGGGGTGGTGCTGGCAGAGAAGTGAATAGCGAGCCCATTCTGAGTCTGTTCTGACACACTGTATGAGCCCAGCTAGGCCGCACTCAACATGCAAACCCGGCTGGCAGACACTGGAGATGCTAGTACCAGCAATAGTGCAGGTTACGCTATCTATTACATGGACCAGACGGGAACCACAACTCCGAGCGCCCTGAAAGACAAAAGTGCCCACGGCCAGTGCAGTGCAATTGGCAAGCTGGAAGATTCGGGCCGTGGGGCTCACGGGCTCGGTGGTAGAGTCAACTGGCAGGCCTGGCAGGCTCCGAGTGGGCCGGCGTGGCCAGGGAGACCTCGGAGACGGTTTTGTCGGTGGTAGCAACTTAATTGCTAACCTGTACTGGCTCCTGTGCGTCTCCACAGTGCGGTCAAGAGAGGTGTGACAGACCGTCGTAGGACGGTATGGGCGGAAGAGAGGGGGAGGTAAGAGAGGTGAGGCCGGGAGAGGAGATAGTGGAGGGTGGTATACGCTTAGAGTAGGTATACCCAGACACCAGTGTAGCAGAACAAGGAAAGAAGAGTTTGTAGGAAAGTCCACCGTCAAAGTCCACGGGTAGAAAGTAGTATGACAGAAAGTCAGTGTCAGACTGGCATAGCGGCAGCGATGAGCTCGGAATAGGCGGAAGGACCAGCCTACTCGGGGAAGGCCCCCCCGTTTGGGAACGGACCGATGCGTTTCTGGAAGGACCAATCCCGATAGTAAGGATGTTTATTGCCTAAGCGGGCGAAAGTGTGTCCGAAACCAGCGGTCACGTGACGACAAGTGTTTTTGTCTGCCGCCAGCGGAGAGGCGGGCTCGCAACCAGACGTCCCCCGAAAAAAGAAAACATCAACATTTATTAGCCGTTCTAAGAAAATTACCAAACAAACAGACAAAAATTCCAAAATCCCGCACGCCGTCATTGGCCAGCCCCCCGATAATGCCCCCATGCAGACACAAACCCAAAAGCATAACAAAAAAGCAATTCCCGTTTGTCGACAAACATCCGCACCCACGGCCTGCTAATCAGCCGTATTCAGCATTTCCTAAACGCCCACCCCCAGTCCCTCCTCCACCCTCCCACTATATATATTCTGGCTGCCCTCCCGCCCAATTCTTTTTCCCTTTTCTTTCTTCGTTTTTGGTTTGACTTCTATCCACAATGAGTGCTACTGAACCAACTAACGAAAAGGTTGACAAGGTTGTCTCCGACGACGAAGAGGAGGACATCGACCAATTGGTCCTCGACTTGCAATCCAACCAAAACGCTCTCGACTCCGACGAAGAGGAAGAAGATGACGGCGCTTCATTCAAGGCTGTGCCTGAAGAATTGTTGAAGACTGATCCTACCACCGGTTTGAGTGAAGACGAAGTCAACAAGAGAAGAAAGAAGTACGGTTTGAACCAGATGGCCGAAGAACAAGAAAACATGGTGTTGAAGTTCATCATGTTCTTTGTTGGTCCTATCCAGTTCGTCATGGAAGCCGCTGCCATCTTGGCCGCTGGTTTGGAAGATTGGGTTGATTTCGGTGTCATTTGTGCGCTTTTGTTGTTGAACGCCTTCGTTGGTTTCATCCAAGAATACCAAGCTGGTTCCATTGTCGAAGAGTTGAAGAAGACTCTTGCTAACACTGCCCTTGTTGTCAGAAACGGTCAATTGATCGAAATCCCTGCCAACGAGTTGGTTCCTGGTGACATTTTGCAATTGGAAGACGGTACCGTCATCCCTACCGATGGTAGAATCGTTTCTGAAGACTGCTTGTTGCAAGTCGATCAATCCGCCATCACTGGTGAATCCTTGGCTGTCGACAAGAGACACGGTGACGCCACCTACTCCTCTTCCACCGTCAAGACCGGTGAAGCTTTCATGGTTGTTACTGCTACTGGTGACTCTACCTTCGTCGGTAGAGCCGCTGCCTTGGTCAACAAGGCCTCTGCTGGTTCTGGTCACTTCACTGAAGTCTTGAACGGTATTGGTACTACTTTGTTGGTTTTCGTCATCATCACCTTGTTGGTTGTCTGGGTCGCCTGTTTCTACAGATCGGTCAGAATCGTTGCTATTTTGAGACACACCTTGGCCATCACCATCATTGGTGTCCCAGTTGGTTTGCCAGCTGTCGTGACCACCACCATGGCCGTCGGTGCTGCTTACTTGGCTAAGAAGCAAGCTATTGTCCAAAAGTTGTCTGCTATCGAATCCCTTGCTGGTGTCGAAATCTTGTGTTCCGACAAGACCGGTACTTTGACCAAGAACAAGTTGTCCTTGCACGAGCCATACACCGTTGAAGGTGTCGAGGCTGACGACTTGATGTTGACTGCTTGTTTGGCTGCTTCCAGAAAGAAGAAGGGTTTGGATGCTATTGACAAGGCTTTCTTGAAGTCTTTGATCTCCTACCCAAGAGCCAAGGCTGCTTTGACCAAGTACAAGGTAATTGAATTCCAACCATTCGACCCTGTTTCCAAGAAGGTCACTGCTATTGTTGAATCCCCAGAAGGTGAAAGAATTGTCTGTATTAAAGGTGCTCCATTATTCGTCTTGAAGACTGTTGAGGACGACCACCCTATCCCTGAAGACATCCACGAAAACTACCAAAACACTGTCGCTGAATTCGCCAACAGAGGTTTCAGATCTCTTGGTGTTGCCAGAAAGAGAGGTGAAGGCCACTGGGAAATCTTGGGTATTATGCCATGTATGGACCCTCCAAGAGATGACACTGCTGCCACTGTTAACGAAGCTAGAAGATTAGGTTTGAGAGTCAAGATGTTGACCGGTGATGCCGTCGGTATTGCTAAGGAAACCTGTCGTCAATTGGGTTTGGGTACTAACATTTACGATGCTGAAAAGTTGGGTTTGTCCGGCGGTGGTGACATGGCTGGTTCTGAAATTGCTGACTTCGTTGAAAACGCTGATGGTTTCGCTGATGTTTTCCCTCAACACAAGTACAACGCTGTTGAAATCTTGCAATCCAGAGGTTACTTGGTTGCAATGACTGGTGACGGTGTTAACGATGCTCCATCTTTGAAGAAGGCCGATACCGGTATTGCCGTCGAAGGTGCCACCGATGCTGCCCGTTCTGCTGCCGATATTGTTTTCCTTGCCCCAGGTTTGTCTGCTATCATTGATGCCTTGAAGACTTCCAGACAAATTTTCCACAGAATGTACTCTTACGTTGTCTACCGTATTGCTCTTTCCCTTCACTTGGAACTTTTCTTGGGTTTGTGGATTGCTATCTTGAACAGATCTTTGGACATTGACTTGGTTGTTTTCATTGCCATTTTCGCTGATGTTGCTACCTTGGCTATTGCTTACGACAACGCCCCATACGACCCTAAGCCAGTTAAGTGGAACACTCCAAGATTGTGGGGTATGTCCATCATCTTGGGTATCATTTTGGCTGTCGGTACCTGGATCACCTTGACCACTATGTTCATGAGAAAGGGTGGTATCGTCCAAAACTTCGGTTCCATTGACGGTATCTTGTTCTTGCAAATCTCCTTGACTGAAAACTGGTTGATTTTCGTCACCAGAGCCCAAGGTCCATTCTGGAGCTCCATCCCATCCTGGCAATTAGCTGGTGCCGTCTTCATTGTCGACATCATCGCCACCTGTTTCACCTTGTTCGGCTGGTTCTCCCAAAACTGGACCGACATTGTTACTGTTGTCAGAACCTGGGTCTTCTCTTTCGGTGTCTTCTGTGTCATGGGTGGTGCTTACTACTTGATGGCCAACTCCGAAGGTTTCGACAACTTGTGTAACGGTAAGTCCAGAAAGCCACAACACGACTCCAGATCATTGGAAGATTTCCTTGTCTCCATGCAAAGAGTTTCCACCCAACACGAAAAGTCCACCTAAATTAATTAATGATTAATTGATGGCATCGTGTTCTATGGTGCGTGCTCCTATGATTTAATGAATCATTAACAGCAGCCCATTTAATATTTTAATTGTGGTGTTTGCGTTGATTTTTTTATTCCAGTGGTGTTGTTTTCCCCAGACTTCATCACGAAAAGGCTGGCAATCGGATGCACGTGGTAGAAATGGTTGTGTGATTCAGGATGTTACGATTCCCCCATCTTTTGCTGGATCAGCTCGACTATTATTCATGTCTCCATTGTGTGGTTGACTTTGATTCCCCTAAATTTTTATTTTCTCCCGTCATTTTTTTTTAGTGCTTCGTATTATAGTAATAATAGATAATAATATAACTTCTTGTAGATAACGATAGAATCGAAGTTGTGGATAAAAGAGTCTTGTGGTTTAGACTAGGTAGTTGGGCTAGTCAGTCACGCATGACCCAATTGGCAGGACAATCGGGTAGATGGAGCTGGAATGATAACTGTAGTATACCGAAGAGTATTGAATTGATTATGATCAGCTTGTTTGAGTCTATAATCCACTATTCTTCTGGCTTTATTAGAAGCAGTTATAATCGTCTAGACTACATCTTGACGAGTTGGATAATTTCGATACAAACTCACGAGGTTTTCCAGATCGTGAAGACGATCTTGTTGCTATAGTCTCGTACTACTCATTAATTTCAGCTATGGGTGAAATCTCCTTCAACGCCCCATAAGTTTGGAACACCCTTAAATTTCAACAGATCTACGGATAGGATGACCGACTCTGGAACCAAGAAATATACCAAATCAGCTAACACAGAAATTGTTCTGTGAAGCAAAATGGGTCTCCAAACCCGCCAGTGACTGCACGCTAAGTATTACCGTCTGAGTTGCAATGTGTGATAGATTGAACATCTAAATTAATTATTAGGGTTGTTTCAACTAAATTGATCTGCGACCAGGCCGAATTAGCAAGGCTTCTTAGTTTGATGTGCCACTGGGCTTGACAGCAACAAGGCATAGAATTCGATCACGAGTGACTAAGCGGTACCAGGCAGTATATTCCGAGAACTGATCAACTCAGTCTCAGAAGCCTGGTGGATTCGCAGGAACACCATCACCTGAGGGATGAGGATCAATGGCTACTGGTAATTTTAGTAAATTTGGGTTTCAGTGGTCCGAAATGGGACATCTGAAGAGATCAGCTTTTCGTTACAAATCGGGAAAGCATAAAAGGTCAGAGTAGACATGAGAATCACAGTATAATTAGGCACTAGTAGAGTAATAGAGTGGACCGAGCTAGGCTGGTGGGAAAAGTTAGACGGTGCGGAAGAACACTCTCAGTAGTGCGGAAGAACACTCTCAGTAGTGCGGGAGAACAGTCTCGCAGTCGCAGTAGTGGTACTACCGACGTGGTACTACCGACGTCTCGTGGGAGCCAGTAGAACAGTCTCGAAGTAACGGGCTAGTACGCTTAGATTCGAGTACTAACAGTAGCACCACAGCTAACACCTCCAACATATCGGCTGGTGCCTTCAGAACCTCTCCCAAACGCTCACGCTCTCTCTGTGGTCTCTCTCCCTGGCCTCTTTCTCTGTCTCGCTAACTCTCGCTAGCTTCCCGCGCCTTTCTCCCTACCGCGTCCACACCAACCAGTTCTAGCGACAAGTCCACCAACCAGTCCTTCAACAAGTCCACCAACAAGTCCACCAACAAGTCTACCTAATATACCACACAGTCTCCTCCCCAGTAAGTCCTTCCCACCACAATCCCCTTTCCTACCACCACAACCACCACCCCCACCCTCTCCCCATCCCGGTCGTGCTCGTGTTATTTCTCAGGATCAAGTAGCGAAATTTTTTCCTGATCCACCACCACTAACTGTCACCACCACTGGAGACGCCAGCCAATACCACCACTCCCTTACGGACTCACGGACCTCCCGTCTCCTTCCCACACAGGCATTGATCCCGGATCCGCTGCCCCGCTGCTCCCATCGTTGCCGTGTGCCTAGCCGCCTAGCCGCCTAGCCGCCATCCACCACCACCTCCAAATCGCCTCTGATTCGGCTCTCCTGCCTCCATATGGCCAGCAATGACTGCCAACCTTCAGTCCCGCTCGGCGTCCATCTCCACCACCGCGGACGAGTCGTCGCCACTCGTCAAACCCGGCTTTGGTGCTAAACCATCCCTACGCTCCGCCAGCATCGGCTCCAGTTTCTTCCACAAGGACTCCCCTGGCTTGTTTGCCAGTGCTAATGACGCCAACACGTCGTCCAACTCCGTGGACGATGAGCTGGCACGCGAAGATCCGCCAGCAACCGTCAACTCGTCGTCCAACGCCGGCACAGACTCTACCAACGCCACCGATTTGGACATCGTGGGCGCTTTGGGCAACCTCGACTTGGACGGCGACTTCGGCGTGCCCAGCAAGGACAGCGAGCTTGGCGTGCCCCAGTTCCCGTTCTTGTACGGCGACTCGTCGTTCCAGCCCCAGTTCTACCCGTACCCACATCCTCACCAGGGCTCGGTAACTCCCAACCCACTGGTGGGAAGCTTTGCTCCATCAGCGTTTGGGCCTGCCAGCACTCCGTCGTCCACCTGGAACAGCTCTTTTGTGCCTTCGTCGGCTCCTCCCTTTGCATACGGCTCTGGCGAGCCAGAAGCCCCGCTAGTCAGACCGTTCGAGTTGCCAGATGACCACCACCACGCATCAAAGGACCCTGCTGGGTCTGCTGACGCCACGGCCCTCCACTTGCCATTTTCCACTCCTCCCCCTGCATCGCAAGCCCACTCGTTTGGTGGCATTTTGGACCACAAGTTCAGCGCTGACGGCACCTCTCCCGAGAGCGACCTCGACAGCTTTGCCGAGAACAAGATCAGAACCTCGTTTTCAGGACCTTTTTCCGGCTCTGGCTTGAATGGCGACGTCAAGCTCTCCCAGCCCCTTCCCCAATACCACCACCAGGCGTCGCAACAGTCGTCGCACCAGGACGTTCCATTCTCAGGCTTGAAAGACAACTTGTCGATGCCTTTGGGCCCCAACATGTGGAACCAACATCCTCCCATCATGGCGGCCCAGATGCACCCCTCCAACTTGAGAAACAACTTCGTCGATAACAGAGGCATGTCGCCAATCCACGGACACCCCATAATGGGCTCCAGTTTCAACGGACAAGCTGGTGGTCGTTTTAATGGTCCAAATAATGGTAACAACGTCAGAAACGCCAGGTACCTGATGAACGATGGAATGAACGTCCACCGCAAAATGCACAACAACAGAAGAAAGGGAGACGACGCTTCCAAGTACGCCAACTCCAAGTTGGAGGATTTCACAGGCGAGATCTACTCGTTGTGCAAGGATCAGCACGGATGTAGGTTTTTGCAGCGCCAATTGGACTTGGGTCGCGAAGTGGCAGAAGGCTCTGCATCCGCCCCCAACGCATTGACCAACGACATCGCCGCCACCATGATCTTCAACGAAATATACTTGAAGATCATCGAGTTGATGACGGACCCCTTTGGCAACTACCTCATCCAAAAGTTGTTTGAAAATGTCTCGTCCGACCAAAGAATCATTTTGGTCAAGAATGCATCCCCAGAATTCATTAGAATTGCCTTAGACCCCCATGGAACTAGAGCATTGCAAAAGTTGGTCGAGTGCATTACCACCGAAGAGGAATCGAGATTAATTATCGATTCTTTATCTCCCCACATTGTATCATTATCACGGGATTTGAACGGTAATCATGTTGTTCAGAAATGCTTGCAAAAGTTGAAGCCTCAAGAAAACCAATTTATCTTCGATGCCGCCTCCGTCAATTGTATTGAGATTGCGACCCACAGACACGGATGTTGTGTTTTACAGAGATGTTTGGACCACGGCAACTTTGCTCAGCGCAAGCAATTATCCTTGAAGGTGGCTGAAAATGCAACCACCTTGTCCTTGGATCCTTTTGGTAACTACGTGGTGCAATACGTGTTATCCAGAGGAGACGAGGACTCGATCAAAATCATTTTGGACCACATAAAGTCGAACGTGGTCTCATTATCTTTACACAAGTTTGGTTCCAACGTGATTGAGAAATCGTTGAGAATCAACAAGTTGTCTGACAGTTTAATCGAGGTTTTGTTGAAGAATGACGACAAGTTTGGCATCATGTTGAATGATGCCTTTGGTAACTACGTTCTTCAGACAAGTTTGGATGTTGCCAACGCAGGACAATTGGAGAGGTTAAGCCAGGCGTTGCAACCATTATTGCCAAACATCAAGAATACTCCTCATGGAAGAAGAATCATGACCAAGATTCAGAGCATCTGTTAGGTCGGGCGTTGTCATCTATATTGTATTTTAGCTGTATATTAAGTGCATGTTGCGTAATGAAATGTAGCGAAAGCAAGGGTAGTATGAGACGGAATCACCAATTAGTTGGAAGTACTTTGAAATACCAAGATTGTTCTCATAATATAATCCTCTTCAAAAGAATGACTACAGAATTCTCTAGATTACGATGGTTTCTCCATTAATCTTGTTCTTTCTGAGGTCTTCAGCAGAGAGCTTGATTCAATGATTTTGATAAAAGGTGCTGTAAATGAGGTGACAACGATATATGGAAGATTTCAATGAGGAGAGAAATACCCATGAATCGAGGATTCAGATATAGAGTAAAATGACTGAAGTTCTTAGGCGATATTGATAAATTATTCTTCTAGATCTTTCTATTTTACTATGAAATTTTAGCTGGATAAGGACCACTAGAGGAATGCACCAAATGCATTACAATTCGTCCTACAAAATAGATAATTTCCCGATGGCCATTTCCAAATAAAACCCTAAAAATTTTCCCATTGAACAATCACTTTGGTTCCAGAATGACTCTCTTGGGCATTGGATCACAATCAAAAATTAACACTATAATTCAATTAACAGTCAAATCTCATTTATAGCACTTCTTTACTAAGAGTTGGTTCTAAAAAATACCAAAATTCCCAAAAAACAGTCAATTCCAAATCAACATTCCCGACACACAATTATAAGACAATTAACCGAATTAACAGGAATAGGCACTTGATTAAATAGGGACAGTCCCCAAATTAACTAATAATTGCCAATTTACAGTACAATCCCACAGACAGAACAATTTCCTATTAGTAATTCCTAATTAACAGTAAAATTCCCCACTAATAAGTCTCCTTTAATTTAACAACCAATAACTATGTAAATTCCACATTAATAGCCAATAACATCCAACCCTAGTCACGCACTGACTTGCCCACACTTGCCGTCATATCCAACGTCCCATGCTTTTTCGCACCTCGGTATTTCTCTTCCCCACCCAAATCTGGGGAACATCTCATGCGAGATTATCTGGGGATATCTGCTTACCATCTGAAATCTGCCCCAAAAGAGCTTCCAGCACCTATTCAGCACTCCATACTCCACGAGATCTTTCCAATCTAGGCTCCACCCGAAAACCAGCTCCAAAACCTCTCTCGCTGCCCAATTACCGTACCATCTCTACCATGATTCCAGACTCCAGTCCACACTACACCTACGCCACCAAAATCACCACAGCCTACCTCCACAGGGAGGCAGGATCGTACGCTATCGGGCACGAGCCCACGCCAGAGACGCCAGTGCCGCTCAAGATCGCCTACAGGCGCTACGAGGCCACCAACGCCATCCCACCAGCTGCTACCGCCATCAATCTCGTGTTGTTCCACGGCACAGGCATGAACAAGGGCCTCTGGCACTACCACATCGACCAGCTCTACCGCAGGTTCAGCTCCAGCGCCACTATTCGCATCAACACCGTGCTAGCAATGGACGCAATTAACCATGGTGACTCTGCCGTGGCCAACAGGGGTCGTTTGGGGTCCCGCTACGACTGGCGAGACGGTGGCTACGACATTGTCAAGGTGGTGACCAAGGACGAGGCTTCCAGCTTCCTCAGCTCCCATCAGCGTCACATTAACGTGTTGGTAGGCCACTCGTTTGGTGGGTGTACCGTGATGTTTGCCGCCTCTTTTGGCCTGGAAGTGTTCGATTGCTGCATTCCAATCAACCCAGTGTGCTACTTTGCTCCCGAAGAGCGGTTTGTGAGGCAGAAGGCCATGACTGACTGGTGGTACAAAGGATACTTGAACAGCAGAGTGGCTGTGGCCACTGCACAAGATTACTGGCTGGTGGTGCTCAAGAAATACCAGAAAAATGTCTTCTACGCTAGATTCCATCCGCTGGTATTGAGCAATTTCGTGGAGGACGAGATTCCACCAGAGGTAGGATCGTTGGCGGACGGAGACACCTTGGAGCTTAAAACGTCCACTGAGGTGCAGAGGCTCCTCTACAGCTATAGTGACTTCAACGACGCCAATGGCCAGGCAGCGTTGGCCAACATAAAAATTCCTGTGTTCTTGATCTATGGTGAAAATGATTTGGCAGATGCAAAGAACAGAAACCACACCCGCGAGGTGTTGAAACAGAGTTGCAGATACATTGAGATTCCCAAGGGAGGACATGTATTGCACGCAGAGGAGCCCGACTTGACAGTGCACTTGTTGGGGTTGATCATCGAGGAAAGGTGCATCATTAGATCCAGGCTCTAGATGAAGACATGAATTAGAAATTGACCTCAAATTCTAGAATAAGTATCCATACTAAACAACCCTCATTAGTTCGGTGAAAACGGGAACTATAAATCGACCTGCTCTATTGGATGCTGTTCGGAGGATCCTGGAATGCAACAACATCATATCTAATACTGTGTGGTAATATTATGAACTGTCAATTACAATCTTTTCACAAAGAAGTAGTCATTGCAGAAAAAATGCTGATTGTTTGCGTTGAATCCTCTACGAAACATCATGGTATAGAGCAAAGAAGGCAGATTAGTTGGGTGAGCAAATCAGTTATTGCAAAATTGAGGGGGGTATTTGACATACATAACTATTTCAATTGAATTTACCTCCAAATAATTACCCTTAAGAAACAATCCTAATGTATTTCTCTAACTGATAATTATGGACTATAGTTGCCACTTACATTAATAAGAGTGAATTATCTCAATTATCATGTAATAGTAAAGGGAAGCACCTTAATTCCTTCTTAATATGGCAGAATTTGCAACTACCTACTGTAACAAGCAGTTCATCTTCAAGAACGTCAAGTCTACTTCTAGTCTATTCGTATGGCCTTTCAATTTGCTAGCTTCAAGTTTAAATTTACAAGACTTATACTCACATCTGAAGGTTTTACCTGGCACACGTAGGTTTTACCAGAACTGCGTTGTACAAACTTCTAGAAACATCCAAACTGCTCCAGATACTAATTGTAAACTCAGAAGGGCTTTTATCTGATAATTTTGCAGTAGAGGTCATATTTTAAGGGTATTTATCCGAAAATACAGCAGGCTATAAAATATATAGAAGGAATACTGTTTGTACTAGATTTGCTGTTATTATTAACTTCAGATCCTGATTTAATCAATACGCCAGTTAATATCCATACAAAACTGAATAACTATCGTTATTTATCTTCAACCAGAAGGATTTCATTACTTAGTCTGGATTTCATTGCAAGGTTACGCAGCCACTTATAATGGACCCCTCTGTTCAATTAAAGTAAGTTGTGCCAAGTGTAAGTACAGTTACTAGGAGAATTCTTTTAAAAGATAGACCAGCCAAATTGAAGAAGATTTAAAATAAGATCACCAGTGTGTCGGTAATAAGACTCATGATACTCAAGTATGCCCCTGGTAAAAATTGGTAAATTACATACGATAAGGTGTGGTCTCCGTATTCATCTACTAAATAAAAAGTGAACTAAGTAGACAAGTTTCAAGAATACCGCTACAGCTGATCGATCCATTGCTATTGAAAACGATAGCTAAGGCCACCTGAAGCTTTGTGCTAACTAATCATAAACTGGTTTGGCCTAGTTGTTTTTGCACCCACGCAATAATTATGAGCAAGGCTCGAACCAGAGAATTCACACACGGAACTACTGCCCTGTTCAGCCATCGAATTCCGTCTCATGAAAGCCACAAGTCCTGCTTTTGTGGAGATTTGAGACGCACCCTCTATTGGCTAAACATTTCTGGTGCAAAGAGCATTTTTCGCTGGGCTCGCAGAATAAACGAGGCTAGTGGAAAATGTGCCAAATGACGTAACAGAAACATAACTTCATGTGTCAGATTCTGACTGCTTAGCTGGTGGTGAGAGTCTGGAGTCTGGGGAAGTATTGCACGGGCTACGACGGCTGTTTAGACCCTCTGCGTTTGGACTGGCCTGGAACCAGCCCTGGCAATGGCACGTCACTTCTCGGGAATTAGCTGTCACCGGGAGGTGCGCATTGACGCATGGCGTCATCGGGTCACGTGACCTATAATAACGGTAGCATTTCTGGACTCCTAGCGTGGGAGAAGGGTGTATTTTTGGCACGATGGCCTGCTAAACACCACGGTGTGGTCACAGTCCCGTGGTGGCCCAAACACAGACGAGAAGCACCGAAATTAGTCTGTTTTCTCTAACACATGCTGATCTCGCTATGCACGGCGGCACTCCAGCCACTTCTCGCTACGCACGGCGGCAGTCCGCGCCGGCGCCGCCCCTCCTCGCCACGTCAGTGCTGGCCCAATGCTCGCTACGCACCGCAAGTCTCAGCCCACTCCCCGCCAAGTCCACCACCAGTCTCGCTACACGCACCACCAGTCTCGCTACGCACCCGTCCCTAGTCGCAATCCCCCCGCTTGCTTCTCCCTAACCAAATCGCATCTAAGCGTCAATTAACACCATCCACTACACTGTCCATCCATCCGCCTATTCCTCCACACCGCAGCGTGTACCACATCACCACCTCCGTGCCATTCCCGCCGCATCGTCCTGGAGCCACTGCATCGCCCCAGGCCTCCTCTGCTGAGTTCTTCCCCCACAACAGCCTACTAGCGTCAGCACCATGATCCACCACTCCAACAGTGAATCGCCCACAGAAGTCAAGGACACCCGCATCAAGAAGCGCAAGTACTCCCGTGGCGGGTGTGACGAGTGCAAGCGTCGCAAGATGAAGTGTGACGAAGGAAAGCCCCATTGCCACAACTGTACCCGTCTAAACAAGGTGTGTGTGTACAGCAAGAAGCAGAAGTTCCGCTTCGACAAGATGAGCTCGGATGCTGAGGGCAAGATGGGGCCAAACAACGCCGAAGCAGGTGCAAACGGTGCCCAACACGCCAAAGAAGGCATTGCCATGCGCTTCTACAACCCCAGTGGACATTACGGCAACGAGTTTGTCCCCAGCATCGACAACAGCCACAGACAGTCTAAGTCCAGTGCAGCGCAGCAGCCAGACCTCGCCAACCTCATCTCGACATACGCTCCAATGGTGCCACGAGCGTCGTTCAAAAACTCGATTCCCGACATCCTCTCCAACTCCATCGCGTCCACGCTCTCTACGTCCAAGGCAGACATGTTGAATTTGTTCGACACAGCCAGCCTCTTGGTCAACGATATCAACGAATTGGTAGCGCTCGACGTCCACAACGAGTACCTCGTTGGGGGTAGTCCCGAGGGCCAAATCATGGGCCTGGTGCCCTCTCGGCCCGCAGATGGCGAGTACTCCAATGACCAGAGCGTGCGACTGGCCCAGTCTGACACCTTTGAAAAGCACAATTTCCGGCTCGACGACCTTACCAACCAGTTTCTCGGAAACAGAGACAAGTTCTCGCCTGCAGACTTGAACTCGCCGTTCCAGGCAGCCACCCCTGACGTGGTGCTCTCCGACTTTGATCTGGACGTCAAAAACTCCGACCTTATAGCTCAGGTGGTGCAGAAGAACAAGCTCACCGAGCCGCACATCACCTACTTGAATACCCTCACCAAAACCCAGCTCTCGTTCCACATTTTCCCGTTCGCGAGCTCCATCGAGTCCAACCAGGTGATGAGGCTATTGTTGCAGTACCTGATTGACTGTCCCTACTTGCTCACGTCGTTGTTGGTGATATCGTCTACCTTTCAGTACAACCAGAGCGGAAAAACAGTCCACGACATATCCAGAAAAAAATACATATCGGTGTGCTTGCGGTCATTGAGCGAAGTTTTCAAGAGCAGTGGTCAGTCAAATGGAGTCATACCTCCCCATTCCAACTATCACTTGAAAAATGACATCGAGAAGTTGCTACTTACAATTCTTGTGCTCACGTCGAATTTCACAGCCACTTCCCTTCAAGACTCGAAAAGAAGCCAAATGATGAACTCCTGGAAAGTCCACTTACGAGGTGCCAAAGACCTCTTGACAAAGTACAGCTCGATCAAGTTATCACACGATAAGTCGTACGTTTCGGGTGGGTTGACGCTTGCAAAGACCTGGTTTTTTGCCATGGAAGCGATAGCTACTTTGAATACTGCCCTAGGAGGCACCCTCAAGAGAAGCGTCCACAAGGAAGGAGATTGTGCTGAAAAAGCGAGTAAGAAATTAAAAAATGGAGCAGAAACAGAAAGCGAAGCAACGAAGCCACTCACACCAGAGACCCCAGAAACGGATGATCATATCCGTGTCTTCATGGACACTGGTATATTTTACCGGGATGTGAATCCGGAGTATCACGATGCATTAGTCAAGATTGGCTTGTTGATTCCCTCATCCAATCCCCTACTGCTGCCATACAACTTGTTCTTGGGGTACTCCATGAAGATTGTGGAGCTTAGCCATGAAGTTTCCGATTCCCTCAATTTACTCCGGTCCAAGCAGTGTACTCAAATATCATCCACAAAGACAGCAAAATTGATGTCGATGATTTATGAGGCCAGGCGAACCGAAATAATTCCAGGAACAATAAAGCCGTCATATTTGATTCCACCATCTTCACCAGGACACCCTGAATATACTGGCCCCAGAGCCGAATTTCCATTGACGGCATACAGCAAGATTGTCGACCACAATAACCAGACCCATTACTATTCTTGGCTTGACTTAAGTGAACAGATAAGAGTAGATACCATCTATATTCGGTTGCTCACCACCCCTGGCTTATTACATTTGCCCAGACCACATCCATTGCTTACTGAATTGGTTACCAGGGTGCTCTTCTCCTCGTTCTTGATCAAAAGCAAAGACCATCCAGACTACCAAGTGCACAAACACGATATTTTGGTGGAGACAGAGCATTTCTATTTAATGAAAAGCGTATTCGATTGCAGGGCATCGATGATCCAATCCGCTTTCAGGGTATGTTGCAAAATAGTGGATGACGAAAAGAGTTTCGAAATGATCGAGCTTTACTATTTGGGATTGGTGAAGCTAGGTAATGGAAGCTCGCTTGGAGCCCTCGATCTGCTTTACAAAAACAGGGAAAAGGCAAGGAAAAGGGCCGCTGGAGAGGTCGTTGAAGACGAAGAGGACAACGACTTCCAAGAGACCATCCCATTTGCATGAACAGCCATGCATTAATGGTTGTGCTTTCGACTCTCCCTTTGCATCGGGGTTAGGTAGATTGCCAGCATGGTAGTATTAAATTCATTCTTTATCCAAGACTTTTGGATATAACATACCAGTCGTATAGGGAATATAGTGGTACTACATCCCTATTGTGTAATACATAGTAACAGCTATTGCTACAATGTAGTTGAGAAAAATGGACCTGAGTCCGATTTATCAAGATGACCTAGGAGTTTGTACGAGCTCTTTAGAGGCAATTCAATAATCGGTCAATAATGGATTAATGACCAATTAATGAAACAACTCATTAATTGAAATCAGCCTTTCTTATTTAGTGCCTGGGCCAGAAATACACATCGACTACGAGGCCACTAGCCATAAAATAATGAGTGAGAATGTTCACTAACGGACCTAGTGACCAATATTAACAGTATAGTCACCGTCTGCAAATCCACCGAAGCTCAACAGGCTACATGAGCATGGCTTATCTACCGTGAAAGCAATGTTTCGTCTTTTGGGACCAAAGCTTGAAATTCAGTTTCAGAGATTGAGAAATTCACTGAAATCTCAAAGGAAGACCAGCAAAGCAGTCATTCTAGTGAAACGACAAGTAACGCTATTATCAAGATGTCCATTGAAAAATTTCCATGTTGACCACGACCAGTTACACCCCGCATGTATACGACCAATGCAACCTCCACCAGAATGGGCCAACTTGGCACGGATAACTCCGGTCGTATTTCTGCAGTGCCAGATGTAGCGAGGGTTGGGAATTTTCTAGCGGTGGCAGCGGTACGATCGAGGTATTCTGTGGTACTACCATGCGGCACTTCGTAGTATAGAAATGGCGGTACCGCCCGGCATTCTCGCTATACGTCGTACTAGCAATTGGGCTGTTTGGGGTATCTGAATCAGGCCTGGTGGTTTCTACGCACAGGGGTTGGATTTGCGTAGCCAGCCCTGGTGCTAACGTGAATTAGACGAGGAGTTTAGGAAGGCAGGTTCCAGCGGAATTCATGTAGGACGAGAATTTCACAAATTTGGGGTAAATCAGCAGTTGCAAAAACAATTGGTAAAAGAGAAGTATAATACCGGCTGAAGAGGGTAGCCTTGGAGGGAAGCACGCAGCTGGAGGTACAACTAAATTTGTTCTATTGGTCCTAGTTAATTCCAGCATTTTTTCTATTAGTTTATGCAATTCACCCCAACACTGGAATCGATTCCAGCAATTATCGTAGTAATTTTGTATTACCTCTAGGAATGTTTTATTAGTTGTTGAGTCTACTTGTACTGTTGTATGAGTCTACTTGTTCTACTAATTGTCTAGTTTAATTTGTATGAGTCTACTTGTACCATTTGGTCTACGTGACTATTCTCTCGATAATTTTAATTCTAAAAATTCCTCTTCGATCCAGCAATGCTCTATTACTTGTGGATCGACTCCAGAATCGTCCATTAAGTCCAGCACTATCCTAGCAGTAAATTCCATTTCCCAGACTGACTCCTAATCCCTCGTTTACCTCGTTCCCTATACGAGATCACGTGCCCAGATCCATCGCTGGCACTGTTTACATTTCGACGTGTATTTAAGCTCCATATCCCCATCCTTTCCCAGCCACCTGTGCTATGTCCGACTCCGAAACAGTCCCGTTATCGCCAGCAAAGGCCACGGCTTACTCCACGGCCGTGGAGCTGGCCAGCTCTGCCGACAACGCCCCGCAATCGGCTCCAGAATCAACTTCCTCCTCAGCGGTAAAGCCTGGCTACTTGGCTCCAGAAGACATCGAATGGGACTTTGGTGGTCCATTGGGTGCCGTTGGAATGATGGTAGGTTTCCCTCTTTTGATGTACTACATGTGGATCAGTGCCCGTTTCTATGGTGGAGCACCAGCTTGGCCTTCTGAAGGACAAGCCTGGGGCGAGTTTGGCCACGAATTGCTCAGCTACTTTGTCGACTACGCTGTGCCATCGTTTGGAGTGGTGGTGTTCTTTGCCAGCTTCATTTTCGTCCAGGGAATCTTCTACTTGGTTTTGCCCGGTATCTGGACCAAGGGCCAGCCTTTGGAGCACTTGAACGGCAAGCAGTTGCCATACTACTGTAATGCTGTATCATCATTCTACACCACTGCAGGCTTGGCCGTGGTGTTGCACTACACTGACATCCTCCCATTGACGTACTACATCGACAGTGTGGGCCAGATCATGACCGCAGCTATCATCACGGGAATGGCGTTTTCCGTGGGGTTGTACGTGTACACCATCCAGGTTTCTGGCGACTACCACCGCATGACCGGAAACCACATCTACGACATGTTCATGGGTGCTCCTTTGAACCCCAGAATCGGCAAGTACTTGGACCTCAAGATGTTCTTCGAGGTCAGACTTCCCTGGTTCATCTTGTTCTTCTTGTCGTTGTCCACCTGCTTCAAGCAATACCAGACTTATGGCTACGTGTCGCCTGAAATCTTGCTTGTCACCTACGCCCACTGGTTGTACGTCAATGCCTGTGCCAAGGGTGAGGAATTGATTGTGCCTACCTGGGACATGGCCTACGAAAAATTCGGCTTCATGTTGATTTTCTGGAACATCGCTGGTGTTCCTTTCACCTACTGCCACTGTACCTTATTCCTTGCCTACCACGACCCACAAGAGTACAAGTGGTCCACGCCTTACTTGGTGTTCTTGTTCGTGCTCTTGAACGTGGCCTACTACTTCTTTGACACTTCCAACTACCAGAAGAATGATTTCAGAAGAAAGTTGGCTGGCAATAAGGCTCTCCGTAAGTCGTTCCCCCACTTGCCATACTCCGAGATCGAGAACCCCAAGTACATCTCCTGTGCCAACGGTTCCACCTTGTTGACCGACGGATGGGTGGTCTACGCCAGAAAGATCAACTACACCGCCGACTATGTCCAGTCCTTAACCTGGGCATTAGCCTGTGGTTTTGCATCTCCCTTCCCATGGTTCTTCCCCCTTTTCTTCTTCATTGTCTTGGTCCACAGAGCCTTGAGAGACCAAAGAAAGTGCGAGAAGAAGTACGGCAAGGACTGGGAGCTCTACTGTAAGGCATGTCCATACATGTTCATTCCATACGTTATCTAAGCTGGATAGTAGAGCCAAAAGCTACGAAAGTTACAAAAGTTATATTCCTATAAATAGTCAATAAACTGATTTTCAAACAATTTCCTGATAGAAGTATTCCTTGGAAATAGCCATTTAAGTGAATTTGAACCCTGATAAAATTATATTCCTCACAGCTATTAAACTGGTTTCGACACAATTTGTCAATAAAGCCCTGATTTCCAACCCAATTTCCTAATAGCGACTAGCGACGTCTTCCGCCCTCAACATGATCCAATTAGCGATGGATGGTTTATCACGACCAAGTCATAGAAATTGACCCTCTTTGCTGGCGTCCATAGACCCCAATGAAGTCCATTGGACGAGGTGACACTAGCAACAAGAAATTAGACTGCTGGCACAAAGCAGCAACGAAAGAGTATCTGATTTTGATAAAAACTGCCAATGGAATAAATACAACTGAAAAGATAATCAAACTGACAGATAAATCCTCGTTCAATACGGGCTTCTAATAATTTAATAACCAAAACTCTAGTGCTAATGTGCGTGTCATAAGTAACCGATATTTTGACCCTTAACGAATCCCTATCAACGGGTCATGGGTCTCGAATATTACCCTAGTTTATCAAGGATCTTAAGTTGATAATTATTGTCCTACGAATGCTGCTTCTAGTCGAAGCATTTATTGTGGTGTTAAAATTGTTCCAACCTTCACTAGTTCCCTATTCCTCAGTTCCTTTGGAGAATACGCTTTCAACTCTTTCAATATCTTTTACCGTTAATTTATCAGATAACCAGCTTGGCCACCCGATAGTTATTGGGCTTCATCACACTGGACAATGCTAACCCAATCTACTAGAGAGTTGGAATTAAAAAAAACTTCTAACGGCCTCACCTACAGATATAATTCCCTTTCCAGACCTGGTCCAAGTGCCACCGATGACACCTAAAGTATTCAGTGTTTTTTAGAGTGGGTACACTGGGCTGTTCTCGTGTCTACCTTGCCAGGATCGTCAAGGATGGTATTCATTTTCATAGTTACTTGCCATTTTGTCGCAGGGTTCCATTTTTCCGATTGTTAGGGTGGACTTATATTGAAGTTACTAAAGATATCAATTGAAGATATTGAGGTTAAGTTGCTGTTCAGAGGAAATTAATTAAATTGAAGTCTCAGTGGTTTAGTTGAGGATGCTAAAATTGGAGATTCAGTGGTTTAGTTAAGCTACTGTGGATAGTAGCGAGTTAAATTCAAAATCAGTGGGTCAATAGGTACCCTTTTCTAGTAAAATAGACTTAATTATCAGAATTTAGTACGGGAAACGGGATTTGCTATTACTGCAATTTAGTATTTTTAGTATATTCTCCATTCAAAAAACACTCCGACCTGTGATCCTAGAATACTTAAGGAGAAATTTGAAATCATAAAATGAGTCCAATCTGTTATCTCAGCATTCTTGAATCGAATCTAACAAATAAACAGTCGGTATTTGACCTTTAACTCCAGGAATTTTCGATTCCCATTAGATTTTCCATCTATACAGAATAAAACTGATTAGCACCATTTCTACCTAACTGGGTGTATTATCAACACCGTAATCCCAGCCGGATACTCACGCTTCAACAGTTACAACGCTTACGTGTTCCTTATATTATTAAATAGCCAACGGTCTATTCATGCTATCTAATCTTGCTCGGCAATAGAAACTAACCTCTCGTCTATCTCTTCTGGGGTCAAGATTCTGAAGCCAGCCTCGGTAGCGACACCGATTTCAATATCGTTCTTTCTGAAATCAGTTCCCAACACCGAACTCAACGCAGTGATGGCAAACTCCGCAGTGGCCTTCCAGTCGCCCTTGACGTAGTCGGTCTTTTTGAACTTCTTTTCCAAGTATGTGGTGGCCTCTTGCTGCTTGGGTCCGGTGGCCACAGCCTTGACTCCCGTGTAGTAGCCTGCTGGGTCACACTTGTAGATTTGGGGTCCTTTGTTTTCGTCTTCAGTCTCCACTTGGCAGAACGTCAATGCCACTCCGAGTGGTCTCATGTATGCCCTCTGGGTGTACAACTGTGATAAGTTGGCCATTCTCTTGGCCAAACTCTCCACTGGCATTTCGTATCCGTATTTGTATCTGAACTCAGTGGCTTCGGCTCTGGCTCTTAATGCCTGCGATCTGGCGTCGGCAATGGAGCCTGTGACAAGTAACCCGATGGAGGGGGTGATTTTGAAGAGGTATGATACGGTCTTGGGGTCCAACAACTTGTCTGGAATCTTCTTCTGTGAGATCAAAACGGCCGAGTCCTTGCCCGAAACCGCGAGGGAGGTGATATTGGACGAATTGATGGCTTTAAACGCATATTCTACTTGGTATAAGCGCCCTTCTGGCGAGAAAATCGTGATGTGTCTGTCGAAACCAGCAGATCCTAGTGGTTAGTATGGGACGGGAAGCCTCGGCAATCGACGGGAAACGGGGGCAATTGGTACGTACCAGACATGGTGATGGTGTGGCGGGTGGTGGGTGGTGGGATGGAGTGGTGAAGGGTCCAGGATGGTAAATAGACTTCGTGGAGTAGCTGGTGGCGATTTTTGGACAGGTGAGGGCGAGGGACAGTGTCGCGCGCGACAATGTCGTGATACTCCCACTATACTCACATCCTCACTGTGACCAAGACAGGTAAGAGCAGTATAGCGTGCTTTCTAGCGAGGAGGCATTAGCGACGAGTAGCTCCTTGGTTTTATGGTTCGGACAAATTTTCCAAAAATTCCATAGGATCTTGTAAGTTATTATTGAGCCACTGGTTGGTTGGGAAGAACATCCATAACTCAATTCACTGGCAGGTCACATCTTATTGGATGGAACTTGCTAGGATGTCTTGTAAGTATCACATCCAACTCCCTGGCCGTATTGTACTTAAAAGTTAGGTGTGTTAGTTCACATCAACTATCACCCATCCTAGAAGTAGCGTTAGAATAAGTATGTGTTATGGGATTGCTACAAGTAAATGCTTCAACAGCAGGTTTTTGAATATTTGGTGGACTTAAACCATTTAATCAGGATGGTCTAATGTTAGCAGTGGTATCTTCTAACACAAAGAAATTGCATACTTGAGTAAATAGCTTGGTTAGTTAGTTCTTTTCTGGGATACTGCTAATTTATTATGAAGCCCCAAGCCCAGATAGAGACATAGTATCACTACAAACCTCTTGAATATATAGCTTAGTATGACTACACTCCTTCTTCTTTTAGAGTGATCTACTCTCATGGTCAATTCACATTACCTCTCGCATCCATTCCACACATGGATAGCTCACTGGTGTACTTCATACTATGGTCACCTCAAAGGTATCCTCACAGTATACACCAACCTCGTGGCTTCTGTACTATACACCACCTGAATCTCATACCATGTGCCCATTCCCAGTGGCTTCCATAACATAACTATCGTATGCTTATATATTGTCGCGCGACATTGTCGCTTCATCTTTAAACCATCTTACCAGCAGTCCCAGATTCCCAGCACTGTTCCAGCGTTTATCCCACCACCATGGCGAAGTCTGACACGTTCTCCTCCGACGCCAAAACAGCCGCCAACACGCCTTTCTACGAATCAAATCCTGGAGCCAAAGCACACGTCTCCTACCACTACAACCCCCACACTTCCGAGTACCACTATGGCGCCTTGCACCCCATGAAGCCGTTCAGGCTCATGCTAACCGACCACTTGGTCAGCTCGTACAAGCTCCACGAGAAAATGGACTTATACACTCCACGGCTGGCCACCAAGGACGAGCTTTTGCAGTTCCACTCCGAAGACTACATCGACTTCCTCCAGAGCATCACCCCTGAGAAAACCGCCAAAATGACGGGCCAACTCCTCTCCCAGTTCAACATCGGAGACGACTGTCCCGTTTTCGACGGCATGTACGACTACTCGTCCATTTACGCGGGAGCGTCGCTTGATGCCACCCGCAAGTTGATCAGTGGCATGTCAGACATCGCCATCAACTGGTCAGGAGGACTCCACCACGCCAAAAAATTCGAGCCTAGCGGGTTCTGCTACGTCAACGACATCGTGTTGAGTATCATCAACTTGTTGCGAGTCCATCCCCGGGTGATGTACATCGACATCGACTTGCACCACGGGGACGGAGTGCAGGAGGCGTTCTACACCACCGACAGGGTGATGACGGTGTCGTTCCACAAGTACAACGGCGAGTTCTTTCCCGGAACCGGTTCCGTGGACGAAATCGGCTTGGGAAGAGGCAAAAACTACGCCATCAACGTACCGTTGCGTGACGGAATCGACGATGACTCGTACATCCGCCTCTTCAAGCTGATCATGGAGCCACTCATCACCAAGTTCCAGCCTACCTGCATCGTGCAGCAATGTGGTGCCGATTCGCTTGGTTATGATCGGTTGGGGTGCTTCAATCTCAACATCCGTGCCCACGGAGAGTGTGTCAAGTTCATCAAGTCGTTCGGAATCCCCATGTTAGTGCTTGGAGGCGGTGGCTACACTCCCAGAAACGTTTCTCGGCTTTGGTGCTACGAAACGTCGGTTTTGAACGACGTCACCTTGGACCACAAAATCCCCAACTATCTTCCCACCTACGATTGGTTTGGTCCCGACCACTCGTTGCACCCTCAATTGGAAGGGCGGATCGATAACAAAAACTCGAAAAAGTACCTTGAGAGTGTCAAACAGGAGATTTTGGAGCAATTACGGTACCTCAACCATGCGCCGTCGGTTCAGATGAGCGAAATTCCCCCTGATTTGACTGGTCTTACTGATGAGGAGGAGGATGCTATACGGGATCTCAACGAGGACATGGGAGTAGACCAGAAATCGTGATGTGGTAGAATCAGCAAGTTCAACGAATGCTGATTTTATAGATACACATTGCTTCTGCGTTATTGATAGAAGTTACTCAAAGACGAAGTTATTCGAGTGCATAACCAGGTGGAAGCTTACAAGATGTTTTTAGCCATTCCGAAGAGAGACTTAAAACTTTGAGTCGGGTAAAAAAGTGGATTTGCAATCAGTTTTTGCCCAAAAAGATATGGTTATGCTGAGATTAATTTCAGTAGACCAGAAGAATCGATGCTCCAAGAGCTGAAAGGTACGGTGCCTTTATCGTCTGAAAGACACAGTCAGTGAATGCGGAACTACCTTCGAACTACTATAATGTCTTGAAAATTGTATCATATCAATCCACCAGAAGTAAATCGCACCGAGGGCTATTTTGTGGTGCAACCGTCCTAACATCAGCAATCTGGCTCTGGCCACCAATGGTTCGATTTAAAGTAACAAGGAGACAGGAACACATAGTCATCCTCGCACCATATAATTGGGAAGCACTCAGTGACCCTTATCCCGGCTCAGAATCGTCACAATCGACCAAAAAAGATTTCTCTTAACCCACGATGCCGTGCATCGCTGTATATTAGTATGTATTATAGTAAGGTGCCAAACTTGTGCATGTATTAGCTCTAGAATAAAATAAACAGTAGCATTGATCTCGCTATACATGTATTGAAGTTGCACGTTTATACAATATTTGATAGTATTTCAGGATTATGTTTCGAATGCTCTACGTCTTGAATAGTTTATGTGGAAATAATTCGAATTTGCATCCGCTACCAATAACTATGCCCCAACCAATAATTTGACTTGTTAACTCTGTTCTAGTGGAAAATTGCTTGTGCTTCTACGCCTCGTATTAAGAATTAATAACAAGATAGCTCTAGCTGTAGAATTGTTGTTGCTTTTAGAGAATAGCTGTACCAATCTTTCCGTTATAATTTATATGAATGATTAATTACATGTGGTGAACTTATTGCAAAGTAATCACAGAGCCTTTAGTCCAGAAACAAAGCCGTTATCATTAAATAGGCGACGAAAGGATACATGCAATTATATCCCAAGAAGATGGACCTTCTAAGTTTTCAAGGAATTACGGATGTGTAATTAATTACAGCCTTCTATCTATACTCCAGGGTCTGCTCTAGCGACATAACAAGAAACCGTGCTTAGAAATTCAGTCTCTCACACGCTTCAGAGGAGTATTTGAAACCACATTCTGATTTAATTAGACAATTATCTGAAAATACCAGACTTGTAACATCCTCTGACTGTAGCAACTAAACACCGAGACCAAAGACTACACTGCCTTCCATCGTACAAACATACTCTCCATAACTTCCTAGGCCCAGGACCTATTTCCACCCACACTACCTCGTCACTAACGCAATAGGATCTGCAATAATAACCAAACCATCTATTATATAACCTCAATGGTCTATTCTAACTCTGCACTCGCGCTGCGCACTCGCTACGCCCGTACTACCATCTCCCCTAAAAGTTCCCTAACACCTCCCTAGAAGTTCCCCAGCCTCGCGAACTCCCCCCGCCACTCCCGCACTGCCCGCACTAAACTAGCGCCCATCTGCCGCCTCGCCGCCCAGTATCTGGCGCTCTCTCGGACCATCCGTCAATTTCGGACCCTCCTGCCATCACCTCCAAACACCCCTACGCCCCTTTGCCAACCCCCCTTCCCCCTCCAAGCACTCCAGTCTCAGGCCCTTCAATGCCATCCACTCCGTTGTAACGGATTTTCTGCTTCAATCGTGCCACCAGGACCTCCCACTAGTCTGACACAACCACAACCGCCACCACTCCATCGCCAGGCTGATCCGAGCAGAACCCCAGTCACTGTGCCAGATCGCCAGAGTAGTTTGACAGAAAGAAGCGTCAAATTGATAGCAAAACAGTCCAGTTGACATCCACAGACACCCAGCAAAGGCGCCATTTCCTTCGGAACAGCACAGTGCTAGTCCACAAGCACACAGACAGGACCCTCGAAAGTCGGTCACTTTGGCGTCAATCATCCCACCATCAACGCATCGTTACAATTCCCATATTGGCCACTTACGTCATTCAATTTCGTGTCCTACCACCACACATTCCTCGCCATGGACGTCACTTCCCTATCGATGGTGTTGGACCCGTCCACCAACCGCAAGATCATCAACTCCAGCTACAGAATCATCAAGAAAATTGGCCAGGGCCAGTACGGCAAAGTCCTCTTGGGAGAAGTGATACGAGACCCCAAAAACGACACCGCCAACAGCAAAGTCCCCATACGAAGTGACACAGTCGCCATCAAGACCATCAACCGTATAGACAAGTCCAAACTCATCACCAAATCGTACCTCTCCCAGACCACCAAAATCAAACGTGAAATCCAGATCATGAAGGAGTGCAATCATCCTAACGTCGTCAAGCTCTACCAGGTAATAGACGACCTCAAATTTGACAAGATCCTCTTGATTCTTGAATACTGCAAGTTTGGCGAAATCGACTGGAAGCACTACAACCACTACTACGAGAAGTACCAGACTCACTACGACCGAAAACCCTTGACCATCAACAAGATCTTGCGAGACGTTGTTAACGGGCTAGAATACCTCCACGACTTCAAAAAAATCATCCATAGAGACCTCAAGCCGTCCAATCTTCTCATTGCTGAAGACAACACCATCAAAATATCGGATTTCGGGGTGAGTTTGATCTTGCAGAACAACGCAGATGATCAAAAGGAGCTCAGCAAGATCATGGGTACTCCTATCTTCTACGCTCCAGAATTGTGCCAATTTGTGAATAACAGATTATCCCTAATCTCCAAAGAAGATAGTAATCAAGTTAAGAAAGTGAGCATTGACAAACGAATCGATATTTGGTCACTAGGTGTCACACTCTACTGCTTGATATTTAACGATCTTCCATTCAATGGTTTTAATGAGTTTGAGTTATTCAAGAACATTGTCAGAGAAGAGTTGAAGTTTCCAAAGATCAAACAAACCTCACGAGTAACGGATAGCGATGTCAAGGAGTTGAAGTTGCTAAAAGATTTAATCAGGAAACTACTCACCAAAAACCCTGATGATAGAATTAGCTTGGAAGAGATCAAAAACCATCAGTTTACAACTTATGATTTGAATCCAGGAGAAAGACGATCGTTTTTAAACTTGAACAATAACTTGTTCACGGCCAAGTTGGTTACGCAAGAGCTTAAGAAGGAAGCCATATCCACAGATGCTTCCAACATTGACCTTTCAACCAAAATCAAAAAACTCTTTGGTGCTGGGCCCAAAAAGCCTGCTAAGGATCCCGAGACCAGCTCCATACTGTCCACGGTAAGCGAGAATACTGCAGCACCAATCTCTTCGGTTGATATAAAGAATCTCGAGCCCTTGGACGATCTTCTCGATTCATACTTGGACGACTCGTCCTCGTTCACCAGTGATATTGACGAGGAGGATGTTGTGGTCGATACTACCAATATGTTGGAATCGTTGAATGATGAACCTCTAGAAGCTCCTGTGATCAAGCCTACGAAGATAAAGCCCCAACCGTTGGTACTCAAACAATCCACGTTTGATGGAAAATTTCAGGAATTGGCCAAGATTAACACAGAACTGTTCAAGAGCAGAGGCAGTTTCAGCAGCACCAGGAGCCAGAGCAATTCGCCCCATTCTAGTGCCTTTGCTAGCACTTCATCTCCGAAAACGGCAGTTTACGGAAGGTCTCCTACGAAGAGCACCAGCAGCCTTCGGGCCCCATCTTCACCCAAGAGTATTAATAGCATCAAAACCCCTGTGACCCCCACCAACAATAATAGCATCACCATTGGAGCCAGTTCTCCATCTACATCTTCCTTCAAGTCATTTTTCAGTCCTTCCAGACGGTTTTTCTCCAGGAACAAAAGCAAAGGCAAAAACGGCGATACCAAGGGCCAGGAACGCCAGGAACCACAGCCTACCATTAGCTCGTTGTCGTCGCCAGAAAAGAAACAGAAAAACCCTATGGAGGAGAAGCGGAAGTTCACCAACTTGATGGAGCCACCTCCGATTTTTGGTTTGAATTTGGCGCATCCCTCGAACCCCACGACGTCCGACTCGAGCTTGTCGTCTTTGAAGAGCCCCAGTGGGGGTGGATTTTCGTTTTCCAACACCAACAGTGCCAAAAGCAGCAAGCGTAACAGTCCCACCTCGAACCACCAGCACTCGCGGACAACTTCACGGAAGAATTCGATGGGGTCGCTCAGCAGCGGATATAAGCTCAGCAAAATCACCAGCTCGTCGTCGTCTCTCAACTTGCATGCGTACTTGACGGACGATAATCTTTCGCTAGCGTCCGGATCGGAGGATGGAGCTGCAGACGACACCATTGAAACGGTGGAAGACGAGGACAGCGACGACGAGGGCGAAGGTGTCAACGACACACTCATCCTCAATGATGACTCGGAGATCTTTCGCAACTACAAGAGCATGAACCAGTACTTGGATGGGTTGGACTAGGCTTTGTTGCGGCCGTCAGCGTCCTCGAAAGTGATGCGGATTGTTCCTGATAAGCCAGACACTTGAGGCACGAAGTGCATCAGCGATGCGGCATCGTCAAGGAATTGGACACAATATGCACCGAATTTGCACCCAAGGATGCGTTGACGATGCAATGGGGGTGATGCTGTGGGAGGCTGCCGGGGCAGGGCATGAGGCATGAGGCATGAAGGGCTAGAAAGAGCCACGAACAGAGTGTACCAAGTGTACGAGCAGGCGAGCAGAGCAGTACAAACAGAGCAGGTACGAAACGAAAGGTTGTGCGAGAATTGAAATGTATGACTGTACCAGGACACGAATTAGAGGTCTCCATTGTCGAAGTATTCCAGGTTCCTTCGCATACGAGCACACGATATTCGAGGCTTCCTTCCTGCAAGTATTCGGTACTCCTGGCCATTCTCGTCGCCTCATCCTCGGTTCACATTCCCCCTCAGAACGTTCCATCACCCCAAGGCCTCAGCACTCCAGTCCGCCCCTCCGTCGTCTTGTCAGTGGCAGAGACGGATCCAACACTAAATCCAGATGCGGCAAATGTTCTCATTAAACAATATTTGTGTTTGGGGCTGTTCATACGTGGCGAGGCCCTGCCTTGAAGCAATGCTGCCAAGCCGGCCTTGCTTGTCACATCAGCGAACACTCGGCTAGGCTACATTCTCCAGTGTCAGGAACCGATCTAACAATAGCATAGAGGCCCCAGGAGATGGGGGGAGTTTAGACGATCGTGGTGGGAGTTCCCACGGAAAGAACAATAGAGAAAATAGAAGAAGCCCACATCCTAAATAGGCGCGTAGCGAGCAGTAGCGAGACGTTTCGAAGGAAGGCGTCAGAGGGCGTGAGGAATGCAACGCCGCGAGAGAGGAGGGATTAATGGGAATTAGAGAGTTTTAGTCTGGGGATTGAGTCTGGAAGGTGTGATGCGATTTCTGACAAGACCGGACCAGGCCCCCTTGCGGCGGCGGCGACGCCAGGCACTGTATTACAGTGCCCAATCAGGAGGGTGCATGGCAGTGGTGATGCATGGCAGTGGTGCATGGTGCAGGGCCAGTTCCTGAGGGTGTCGGGGTAGTCCGTGGCGACGATTCTGGGCCGCAGGGAGGCTTTGGTTTCAGGACGGTTGCGGAGAGTGCCTCTGGCAGCACTTGCTGGTGCTGGAAGCGTCGTCCCAAGAACAACCTTGTCAACGGGACAGCGTCATGGTAGAAGCATTTTCGTTAAGGTTCGAGATAATAACACAATTATTTGCCAAATAGTGAAATTTGTAAACGATCCACACCCTTGCCGCAAACCGCCGGTGGGTGGCCATTGGACGTGCCAGCATCTAGAGATCAGCACGGACCCGGCATGATCAGCACAGGGAACCCGGCCGATCAGATTGGCCCATTTCCGGGGCAAGGTGTTGGATCGTGTGCTGCAATCGAGTTGGCGAGTGTTCCTCATCGCGAAGTGGACCTTCCCGATTCGGCCGGATTCAAAATACTAAACATCCCCCCAACTGGGACGCGTGCGCAACAACAGCAACGGTAGCGTCCGCAAGACGTTTTCATGCGTCCAGCGGCTGGCACCAGCCTATCAGTCTGTTGCGTGCTGGGAAGATCCGTACATGAGCGCCGCAGGCAGCACAGGCCTGCACAATTTCAAATAGCTACCACAAGGTTCCGATCGCCAATGTTTCAAACTCTATTTTGCACCATCCACCCTGTGGTGTCCGCACAATGGATCTGGTCGGGGGAATAATGGATCAGGGACAGCAAGCGGAGGAGACGGGGCTCCTTGGGTGGGAGCACGTCGGGCGTGGTAGCAGCACCGCTAGCTTCCTCGCACCTCCACCAGCATCTACAACGAACTCCTAGGCCTGTAGCACCCTCCCGGTCTGAGCAAGTTCCATTTAGCGTCGTATGCAGCCGTTGGCCACGCCAGTTCCCTGTGCATGGTGCGGGCGTACCTACTGGACACGGGCACCCGCAGGAAACCTGCACTTGGCGCGATCGTAGCTGAAATTGAGGCCCCACCGTTCCCCAACTGGACTACCTACGGTTGCTGATTCCAGGTGTTTGTTTATATCTGTGCCCATTTTATGGAACGATCGCCATTCTATTGTAGCCTGCCTCGCACCCCCCGCGGTTTATAAGCCAGCCCAACCCCAGCTACGCACCCTCCACCAACTACCCTGTGTCCTCCTGCGCCCTTCGCGTTTCCTTGCATCGGTTGTCCCGCTACCGACCCCCTCATAACTGGCTGAAACCAGCGTTGCCTCGTCTGCGCTGCCCCCAGTAACGTCCCCTGCACCTCTTCCTCCCACTGGCTTGCATCCTCCCCACCAACGTCGTCCGCCTACCGTTCTGACACTCCTTTTAACATCGTCTCCATCAGCTCAACTTTGACGGTTTCACCACCACCTCCTCCTCCAACAGCCACCAACCCTCATCGTGTGGCCGCCACTCGCTGACTAACACCTCCTCCCCCACCCTCCCCCACTTTCTGGCCTCGTTCCTCCACACTGGCTCCCCCACCCTGCCATGAACGATGACGGCTTGCTAGACATGTATCGCCAGAAGAATCCCCCTCCATACACCAGCAACAAGCGGGATCGTCCGCTCAGTTCGTACTTCGATCCCCCCCACGAACTCCCCCCAACTCAGCTGCCCCCACCCGTCCACCACCGCCAGCCGTTCCGCAACTTGTCCAATCTCGTCTTGCCCGGCATGAAGAAGAAGCTCTCGTCGTCCACCAAGACGTTTACACGTAGTGTCAGTCTGGTGGCCAAATCAGGACACCAATTCTTCACAGGATCGGACGTGGGGAACGCCGTGGGGGCGCCAGAGTCTCGAAACATCGAAACCAGTCCTGTGCGGCTAGACGACGACTCCGACGCCAATACTACCATTGACACCCTCGAGGACTGCACCCTTGAAGACGCAACCGCATCCACCACGGTAGAGGACTCGAAAGAGTTGGATTGTGCTGATTTTTCGAAGAGCTCCCCCCACGAATTCTCGCTCGAGGACTCGCCCTCGCCCAAGGATTACACTCAAGATGGCCACGGCTTCTCCAATGGCTCCTCCAAGGAGTTTTCCAGCGGTTCCAGAGGCTCCAAGCTTTTTTCCAGCGAGTTTTCCAAGAACCACAAGCAATTCACCGAAAGCGACTACACCCTCGAGGACAACGACTACACCCTTGAAGACTCGCCCACGCTGCCATCGCCCAGCGACTTCGTCAAGACCCTCAAGGGCTCCAGCAGCTTCTCCAATAATTTTTCCAAGCTCAATCATTACTCCAAGAGCTCCAATAATTTTTCCAAGGCCCCCAACGGCTCACCCAATGGATCTCCCAATGGCTCTCCCAATTCTCCCCAGTCGCCTTCCGCCTCATTGGCCTCGAAGCGTCCCATCCGTCGTATCCACTCCATGTACCAAACCCCCAAAGAAAAAGAGTCCCACCGCATGCAAGACAACTCACACCTCAAAAACACCTCCATCTCCACGTTTGTGGCCGACAACGACCTCATTCCCCGCATCGACGAGAACACCATGTACAAAATTGCCTGTGGACACCACGACGCAGACTTCGACCGTTTCGTGGTGATCGACTGTCGTTTCGACTACGAGTACAACGGAGGCCATATCGACGGCGCCATCAACGTGTCCACCAAGGACGCGTTGGAAGAACAGTTTCTTGGACCAGAAAGTGACTTTGGTGGTGTGCGCCCCCACCAAGTGCACCCCCACGCCGGTGCCCCCGCTCCAGCATCGCCCCCACGCCAGTTGCTCATCTTCCACTGCGAGTTCAGCGTGTTCCGTGGCCCCACCATGGCCTCGCACTTGCGTAAGTGCGACCGTCGCTTGAACAGCGATCACTACCCCCACTTGTCGTTTCCTGACATCGTGGTGTTGGAGGGCGGATACCGCGCGTTCCATGCCAAATACAGACATGCATGTCTGCCGCAGGGGTACATTGAAATGAAGGATGTCAATTACGAGAAGCACTGCGAGCTTAACATGCACCGTGCACGTCAAGATGCAAAATTGACACGCGCCAAGTCGTTCCACCAGTTTGCAGCCTCTGATTCGGCCCTTGTACCTCGCCACGCCCGCTCCCACTCGTTCACCACCATCACCAGCGAGAAGATCTTGAAGCGCCAGAAGTCCATCTCCAAGGTCAAGGCTGCCAGCTCGTCCCTGCGCTTAGATGTGCGGTTGGCGCGTGCCTCTACGTTTTCCAACGATCTTTCTGGCTTCTCTTCCTCCATTTCTTCGCCTGTGTTCTCCCAGTTCAACCACAGCTCCATCAGCAGCTTTGGGGGTCTCGATTCCGACCTCCAGCCCCCTTCTGCGCTGTTCAAGGCTGGCCATCGCAAGGCATACTCCACAGCCAACTTCTCGTCCTCGTCAGCATCTCTCAACTCGTCTTCTTCCTCCCTCTGCTCCGAGTCCACCTGCTCGTCCACCGAGGCTCTTCCTGCGCCCTCGTCGTCGCCAATGGGTGAGTTTACTGACTACTTCGAGTCCAAGACCACCAGCCTCACTCGCTACATGCGCTCGACCCCCAACCTCAACGTCAACACCGCCAGCGTCTTTCCTACGACTGCGAGCGTGTTGAAGCCTGTCTCCAGAAAGCCCAGTGGACCATTGCCAGCATTACCAGCAAGGCCTCCTCCACAGTTGGGCAATGGCCAGCCCAACGCATTCAAATTCCCTAACAATTTGACCAATTTGAAGCCCAAATCGTCTCGACACAGTCTCAACCGTTTGAGCACATCCACCACCACGAAGTCTTCTGCGTCTACGCCGCTTTTGAACTCGTCTCCTATCATCAGCTCGCCACTCTCCACAGCTACGCCAGTCTCTACCATCGACTCTACACTCTCCAACCACGCCTCGTCGATCATAGACCCCATCAATGACACTCCCGTGGACTTCACAGTGCCATTCGGTACCAAATCCACCCGCTACGTCAACCACTCGCGCAAAATATCGGGGTCACTCTTATCATCTGCTGGCGGAGGACTATACAATTTCATTTCTCTCGACATTGACGAGGCAGGCGAGCAAGAGGACGAGGAGTATGCCAATACCTACTATAGCCGCAGATGCAGCCTTGTGACCAACGTGGAAGAAAGCGATGACAACGAGGGGACGATTACGGACGTTAAGATCCCTACTTATTTCCAGAAGAGTCCTTTTAATTAGGTCCCAAGACTGTCAAGAAGAGTCTTATTTAGGCCCCGCTGACAACTGACGTCAAGATAATTTCCGTCTTTTAGGTTATCCAGCCTGGTGCTGGATTGGCCGAGGAAATGGTCGTTGGCCAAAGCAATGATCTTTGATCCATTAAACGAGGCATTGACTTCCAATTGTTCTCGCATTGGCAATCATTCCTGTGAGATCGGATGCGACGCAACCTCGACGGTTTGCGGGTCCTTTTCACAACCTGGACCTCCAGTCCTCACATATTAAGCGTATATCGAGCACTCACAAAAGCTAACTTTCGAGAACTCAGAATAGCTACTCCCAGCTTGACCTCCTCGCAGCTTCACCTCTATCGGAGTCCTCGTTTTCACGCTACTATACCCCCAAGCATCAACCGACATTTCTCGCCCATGCGATGGATCTGATCTTCTGCAAGCTCTAATTCTTAATACATATTCATACCCATTTTCAGCCGGCACAGCCAGTGTAGGATATTTCAAGAATCAACTAGATTTGAGTCGGAATTATTTCAATCGGAATTATAATATTCATTCGGAATTATGCTAGTGATCGGAATTATAGATCGATCTATCTTATGATTGATCTATCTTATGATTAAATCTTCACTGGATACAGATCACGTCCAAAACTTCTAGCTTTATATACATAGGTGGGCTGCCGCCCCAGGTTGTGACTTCAGCGAACAATCCCAAGGCATTTTCATTCGCTGCATAGTCGTAGAGATCTGAAACCACATGGAGAATGTCGCACGGAATGTACGAAAGTGAGACATCAGAACGAGAGAGAAATACGCGAATTTTTGACTACAAAGTGGAAGATGCGGTCACTAATGGCAACCAACGGTATGTGGGTGTTGGCACGTGGCCAATTGTGTTTTAAGCCGTTGCATTAGTAGTTGAATCTGAGTATCCCCCATCGTGTTTGGAATCACATCAACTATGGGGTGCGTAAGAATTGCAATCAGATCGTGCAGGAAGGTGCATGACGTAGCTGCCGGTACAGGATAATAAAATCCCCTTGCGTCCTCGTAAACCAACTTAGCCATGCTGTGCCCGCTGCGGAAGAGCTTCATATCGGCTACATCCGGGCTGGCTAATCGCACAGTTGACCATCCACTTTTTACCCCCCAGAAATGCAAGCTAGGCTAGGCTAAACAAAAAATACTAAGCTCGTTCCTGCAATATAATTACAATAATAATACGACCAGTTCACAAATAATAATATTCTGTCGACGAGCTGAGTTGTCTAGATCAGTCGGTGTCTACAAATAATAATCTTTATGTTTGGTGTTTACAACTAGAATCAAACCGGATTCAAAAGTAGAATTGAATATCTCCGCATGAATTATTATCCCCATTGGAAGGCATAAATTACTTGCTTAGGCCTGGGAAATCAGATAAGTAGTAGATGGAAATTAATTGGTTGAAGGGTAATTTCACGTTAGCTACTATCAAGAAAATAGTACCATGTATAGTTTTTGATAACCCTTCTGGATAGTTATTGAATACTTCCAATTTTTCGTAGCAAAACTCTTTCGGGTTAAATCGTAGACATACATTCGTTCACTAGCCCTGAAATCGTTAAAATATATATTCCACGTATAATGATTTCATCATCGCTGTGTGATCATAATTCTGCTTCAAAGTGCTTCATAGTACTTCATATTACTTCATAACAAGCCATATGTATCATAATCTAGACTTCCTCGTAATACTTCAACAATCGAAACTCGATAATCTAAACCTTTATAATACTTCAGCGTAAAATCATTATCTAGATACCTCGATCTAACTACGCAGTTGTCACAAATAAATAATATTGATAGTATATAAATTCCGGCTACAAGCAGGATCCAACAGTTGAACTGAAATCAATTGAGTTCATTTTCATTTCATAAATCATCGTCCAATCAGATCTTGGCCTTGTCGGAGATCAACTTGATGGCAGCGTTGTTGATGGCAATGGTCTTTCTTTCGACAACGTGGACTTGGAAAGTGACAACGTCTCCCTTCTTCCAGGCAACAACCCTCAAGGTTTCACCTGGGAAAACGATACCGGTGAATCTGGCCTTGATTTCGTTGAATGGACCAAACTTGTCAAGCAACACCTTGGCAGCTAAACCGTAGGTACACATACCATGCAAAATTGGAGCATCGAACTTGGCACCCTTGGCAAAGTTAGGGTCAATGTGCAATGGGTTTCTGTCACCGGTCAATCTGTACAAAGCAGCTTGGTCTGGAGAAATCTTGATTTCGGTGGTGAATTCTGGGTCAGACTTTGGAGCGTTGAACTGAGAGGTGGCGAAGGCCTTTCTTTCACCGTAGGTCTTGGTTTCACCTTCACACTTTCTGATGAAGAAAGTAGCCTCGTTGGTGAACAATGCCTCTCCGGTCTTGGAGTCAACAGACTTGGATCCGTGGACAACCACAGTGTTGGTACCCTTTTGGGTGATGGCCAATGGGTTGTAGGAAGTTTTGACACTGCCCTCGGTTGGGATTGGCCATTTTTCAACCTTGATGTAGTGTTCACCGTGCAACAACAACATAGGGTTGAAGTTCTTCAACAACTTGGAAAACGAGGTCTGCGACTTCTGGGAGTTGAAGGTTGGCAAGTGACCGAAGGTTGGAATGACTTCGAAGTCCTGGTCGTTTTCGTAGGTGTACTTCAACTCCTTGGCGGTGGCACCAAGAGCAATGTTGTACAAGATAACTTCCTTGTCACCGTAGTTGAAGATAGGATCTTCTTCTTCGTCATCGTCTTCATCTTCCTCTTCGTCCTCGTCATCGTCTCCTGGGTCCACAGCGTTGAGAATGGCCATGGAGGACTCGGTGGTGGACTTAGGGTTGGCAGTGCCTTGGGTGAAGTCGGTGATTTCGGAAAGGTGGTCCCTGATGAATTCTGGAGTGGGGTGAGCATCTCTGGAGACGGCACCCTTGGCTCTTTGCCATCTGGTGGAACCGATCCAGCCTCCACCGGCTTCGAACAATTCACCAGTGACTTCAAGCTCGTCAGAGGCCAAGTAGACCAACAATGGGGCGACTTGGTCTGGGTGGTACAAGCCCTTGTCACCTTCTCTGAAGATGGTCAAGGTCATGGCAGTCTCAGCGTGAGGAGCGACCACGTTAACCTTGATGTTGGCTCTGGCACCTTCAATGGCAATGGTTCTGGAGAAACCAAGAATGGCGGCCTTGGCCGAAGCGTAGTTGGTTTGGCCGAAGTTACCGTAGATACCAGAAGTGGAGGTGATGTTGATAACTCTACCAGCCTTCTTCTCCAAGAAGTGAGGCCAGGCCAATCTGGTCAAGTTGTAGGTACCCAACAAGTGGACGTTTTGCACGGAGTACCACTCTTCGTCGGTGATCTTGGCGAACGATTTGTCTCTCAAAATACCGGCGTTGTTAATCAAGATATCGATGGTACCGTATTTGCCAATGACGTTGTCGATGATGGCCTGAGAGTCCTTAGCGACGTCGTGGACGTCGGCGTGGGCCTCACCGCCAGCAGCCTTAATTTCGTCGACCACCTTAGAGGCGTCCTTGAAATCGTTGACCACGACCTTAGCACCGTACTTGGCGAAGAACAAGGCGTAGTCACGTCCCAAACCGGCACCAGCACCAGTAATAAGCACCACCTTGTCCTTCAATGAAATCTTGGAGATGCCAGAAGCGTCGAAAGGCTTCAATTCTCTGGCAGCGTTAGTCAACGACTGGTAGTCGTTGAGCATCTTTGGGTGTTGGTTCTTCAACAACTCAGGCTTGGCGGAGTCGTCGAAGTTCAAGATCTCTTCGAACTTGGCACCAACTGCTTCAGCGGTGAAGGAAGCGTCTGGCTTGAACAAAACACCTCCGGATCTCTCCCATCTGATCTGGGCGTAGAAACCGGCTGCGACCTCGAAGGTTTCACCGTTCAACTTGTTCTCTTCGTGAGACAAGTACAACACCAAAGGAGCAACCTTTTCAGGGTTCAATTGCTCCAAAATTGGGGGTGGAAGAATCGACTCAGTCATTCTGGATCTGGCCAATGGTGCGATGGTGTTGGCTCTGATGTTGTACTTTTCACCCTCCTTGGCGAGAGACTCGGCAAAACCGAGCAATCCCAACTTGGCGGCCGAGTAGTTGGCCTGGCCAAAGTTTCCGTACAATCCTGCTGGCGATGCGGTGTTGATGACTCTACCGAAGTTCTGTTTTCTGAAGTAGGGCCATGCGGCTCTGGTCACCTTGTAGGCACCGTTGAGATGGACATCGATGAGGAGCTGGAACGTCTTCTCGTCCATCTTCTTGAACTGGGTGTCTCTCAAGATACCAGCGTTGTTGACCACCACGTGCACAGTGCCGAAAGCCTTGACAGCAGTGTCGACAATCTTGGCTCCGTCAAGCACGTTGTTGTAGTCGGCGACGGCCACACCTCCGTTCTTCTTGATTTCTTCCACAACCACGTCTGCCGCCTTGGAGTCGCCTCCCTGGCCATTGAGAGCACCTCCCAAATCGTTGACCACGACTTTGGCGCCTCTCTTGGCGTACTCCAACGCGTAGTGCTTACCCAAGCCACCTCCGGCTCCGGTGATGATAACAACCTTGTCTTTAAACGATAATTCTGACATGTTTACTGAAAGACAACTGAATAAAGTGGCGGACCCTGGCTATATATAGTGAGGATTGCGGGGGAGTACGGGGTGGTCGTGGCGGGGCGAATATGGGCTTGTGATAATTGTGCCGAGGGAGTGGATGGGGAATATGGGGAGGCACATGCGGGTGTGGCGAGAGGAGACGACGGATCGTTCAGGCTGCAAGATTACTACTCTTGGGCATACGTCAGAAAAAGATGAAGGAGTTAAGCTGCACTTTTCCAGCCGGGGGTGTGTCATTACTGGTCCAATTAAGATGTACTCTTTGACCACGGAGAATGGATGTAGTTGGGGTGCTGAAAAACTTGTCAACTTGAACTGTAGAAGAATGGCAATTGGCCATGAAATTATACTATGGACGGGCAATTGATTTAATTGTACTTTGGACTGGCAATTGATTAAAATATATTTTGCACCATATTAATGCAGCAACGATCAATTGACTTGTATAGTTCTCTAGAAGGACAATTGCAGGATTGGGTTTACAAGAATACTCCTGTGGACGCAATTGAGAACACTAATAGTGAGCCAATCCTACAGTATCATCAATTGGCTCTGCGTAGCTCAATTGGCTCTGCGTAGCTCAATTGGCTCTGTGTAGCTCAATTGGCCCTACAATTAGTAGCTCAATTGGCCTCACCATATTGTACTTCTCGGATTGCCCGGACTGCCATGCCATTGCCTCTACTATAGTAGTCCCATTGCCTCTACTATTAGCCCCATTGCCTCTTCTATTAGCCCCATTGCCTCTACTACCACCGGTTCGGCTCTACCATTACCATCCCGAAGCCTCCTGTGTATGATTAATAATTATCCTTAGTATCCTCGGATTGCTACACTATTGTGAATTATCCATAGCTCACGTGCATGTTCCATGCTGAGAATTCAAATGCGGATCTTACTTGCTCAACGGAACTCAAAAGGCCGGAACCACGTCTCAGTAACCAATCCTTTACGAGTATTACAATTCTATTCCTGGTCGAAAGAGTCCTTCAATTACATAATCCCTGCAATTAATGCCATACAATTAATCCATTAATTCACACCATTCATCAATTCCAGCAAGGAAGCGTGGGGTGGTGGTCATGTGACGCAGATGGGCCGAGGGAACCACCCAGATGAGATTCCGAAACATGGGGTAGGATCCGAGGCTGGAATCCGACACTAACACGTGACTCCCTTTCTGCCGAGGATTGTGACAGCGGTCGTGTGCGATACTGTTGCACGTGACTGGTGTCAAGTGACATACTTTGTGCCATCACGTTCTCTTCAGCGTGATTTTTCATCACGTGCTACCAAACACCCACACATCAAAATATCAGTCATGTGCTCTTGGTCATGTGATCAACAACATCCACACTTCCATTTTTGTTTCACGTGATCTATGTCACATGATACTTAACATCCATGCATCCGTAACACACGTGAGTCCTCTCCCGGACCCTGGGTGCAAAAGGTTGTGAGCCTCGCCGCCAGATCCCTCCCTTCCATCGCCTATTGTCAGTGGAGCAATGACCCGCCTCTTTGATCACTCCCTATCCCGAAGCACGATTGTACAGAAAAGAGTAATTGAAAGTATAATACTGCACTTTACTGCTTGCTGGTTACCACTTTCTGCAGGCTGAATACTACCTACCACTATCGTAGTTTCTAGTGATAAACCGTGAAACCTCATCCACTAATCTGCGACCACTCAAATCACCTTTTTGTCGTCCTTTCTCCGAGGATACGTGCCGACTGAAAATTTGTACGCCACACAATCTTCAACTGAAATTTCTGCATTAGCATTAAGCTGGTTTTGAGACCCGATTGTGAAGGAATAACGAGAAGTCCGCCCTCGTATTCGCAACATAGCATCTACTTGACTTGATTGACGCTGCGCGTTAAATTATGGCATAGCTTCCATAATAAAAATTGGCTGAGACTGCTAATATTACCAAGTAGCTCCAGTTGTGACAGAGTGCCAGAAACTTACTTCTTGCCAAACAACATCCCGTTACACAATAAACCCCAGATAAGCCGCATATGGGGAACTGCCAGACAAATTTAAAAATTACCGTTTTGGGACATTCCTCGGACCTCCAGAAAAGCCTATACGTTAAATTAGTGGAATTCCTCGAGATGTGCCAAAGTTTCCTCGGATCACTGCGCTGTACTCAGTCCGGTGGACCCTGGCATGGCCTCCCCTGGGCACATTCCAAAATTGTTTTTGATCGACTTTTGTCTTTGGTCACTTTTATCTTTGGTCACTTTTATCTTTGGTCACTTTTATCTTTGGTCACTCTTATCTTTAGTCACTTTTGTCTTTGGTCTTTTCTAATATGCTAGTTCTAAATATTTAATGCTCTTCCAGTCACACAGTAGTCACCCACGCAGTGCCCCCCATAGACGGCTCATTTGCGTGTATCTGCACTTATAGCCAGTGTGGTCGATTTTTCAATTTCCACACGATTAATGCTATCCACGGAATAACTGCCATAGCCGTGCCAGACACCCCAATTACTTGCATGCCTTCTATCCGTCCTGCCACCACCCTCTAATGCCCCACCTGCCCCACCTTCTCCCACACCCGCCCCCACCACCTTCCGCTCCCCCCGGTCACGTGCACGCCCCTGCACACTTTTTCCCACATATCCCTTCACTTCAGCCGCCTTATAACCACCCATCCTCCCACCTCCCTGGCTCTATTCCGTAGTGCCACCATGTCATTGCCTGCTGGTCCCGTGCCCACCGTCCCACAGGTCCACGTGCACGACCCTTCGCCCTCTGCCGAGTCCGTGGTGACTTCTGAACGCTCCGCGTCTGTTATCAAATCCCCCATGGCGTCTACAACCACTGAACCTCCCAGTGGAGTCCCTAGAAGTGAAGGTACTAATACTTCGTCATTGCACAACAAGGAAACTTCCAGTGAAGTTACTAGAAGTGGCGTCGCTGCAAGTGAAGCCCCCAGCGGTGAAGCCCCCAGCGGTGAAGTCCCCAGCAATGAAGCCACCATCTCGTCTCCTAGTCCCTCGTCGACTCCGTCGACTTCCTCTCCCAATGCCTCGTCGCTGAGTACGTCTTCGAACTCCTCGTCCCCCTTCATCTACAAAGAATTTGCCTGGTATCGTCTCTGGGTCTATGACTTCGTGTTGTGGTGCTTCTCGGTGATCTTCGACTGCTTCTTCCGTGAGATCAGGCCTCGTGGAGCCTTCCGTCTTCCCCGTACGGGTCCCGTCATCTTCGTGGCTGCTCCCCACGCCAACCAGTTCGTGGACCCCATCGTGCTCATGAACCAGGTCAAGCGCGAGAGCCAGAGACGGATCTCGTTCCTCATCGCAGCGAAGTCCTACAAGCAGCGCGTGTTTGGGTTTCTCTCCAAGTGCCAGTTGTCCATTCCCGTGGTCAGAGCCCAGGACAACTTGAAAAAGGGCCAGGGTAAGATCTTCATCGACGTGCAAGAAGACCCGCTCCTTGTGCGTGGAAAGGGCACCAAATTCACCCGTGAGTGCATGCCCAGAGGACTCGTGGCGTTGCCCCAGTCACTCGGAGCATCTGAAGTCTCGGAAGTCATCTCCGACACCGAGCTCCGTATCAGAAAGGAGTTCAAACTGTCCCAGCAAATCAATACCCTTCTCGCTAACGGCACCTCATACAAGTGCGCAGACAAGGTCAACCAGAAGGACGTGTACAACATGGTTTTCAAGCATTTGTCCAACGGAAACTGCATCGGAATCTTCCCAGAAGGTGGCTCCCACGACAGAACCAACTTGTTGCCATTGAAGGCCGGAGTAGCCATCATGGCCCTTGGCGCCATGGACAACGATCCCACCTGCAACGTCAAGATTGTGCCCTGCGGCATGAACTACTTCAATGCCCACAAGTTCCGGTCCCGTGCGGTGGTGGAATTTGGCCATCCCATTGACATTCCTATGGAGCTCGTCAAGAAGTACTCCAACCCCGAAACGAACCGTGAGTCCGTCAAGGAACTCTTGGATATCGTGACCACCGGTTTGAAGGCTGTCACTGTCACCTGTGACGACTTCGAGACGCTCATGGTGGTGCAGGCTGCAAGAAGACTCTATGCGGGCAACTTTGCCCAACACCTTCCTCTTCCCTTGATCGTGGAGATGAACAGAAGATTGGTATTGGGGTACCAGACCTTCAAGGACAAAGCCGAGATCCAGAGCGTCAAGTCCAAGATTTTGAAGTACAACGAATTGTTACAACAATTGTACCTCCCAGACCACGATGTGGAACACTGCGATGAGTCCAACAAATTGCGGGTTGTGCCAGTGTTCGTGTTCAGATTGGTCAAGCTCATTATCTTCTTCACCCTCTCGTTGCCTGGAGCCACCTTGTTCTCGCCTGTTTTCATCAGTTCTAAAATCATTTCTACCAAAAAGGCCAAGACGGCTTTGGCTAACTCCACTGTCAAAATCAAGGCCAACGACGTTATTGCCACTTGGAAGATCTTGATTGCCATGGGAATTGCCCCCATTGTCTACAGTTTCTATGCTTCTGTTGGAACCTATTATTGCTACACCCGCGACATTTTCCGGTTTAGATTGGTATTTGTATGGTTAATTCTTTACATTTGTGGTGTGATTGTTACCTACTCTGCCCTCATCTCCGGTGAACAAGGCATGGATTTGTTGAAGTCTCTCAGACCGCTCTACTTGTCGGTTACTTCTGGTTCCTCCATCACCGAGGTCAAAAAGTTGAGAAACGAGCTCAGTGAAGAAATTACTTATTTGGTTAACACCTTCGGACCCGAGCTCTTCCCCAACGACTTCAATTTGTTGGAGTTGAAGAACCAGCTCAATATTACTGGCGAAGTCAACTACGTCGACAGCGACGAAGAAGAGGACAGAAAGACAGAAGAATTGAGAAACAGAAGAATGAAGAGCAGAAAGCACGCCAGAAGGGCTGCCAAGCAAGCTGCTAAGGAAAGTGCTGCTGCTTCTGGATCTCCCGAAGAACCAACAAACTCCTCCAACAGCGCTCTCTCGTTGGGCAACGCAAACTCGTCGTCTGTGTCCGATGGAATTTCATTGATGAACTCCGACAACTCCTTAACCAACATCCCAATGTTTTCGGACTATTCCTTGCACAAGAATGCCAACAACCCGAATGTGACCATCGAACAGCAATCGGCGTTGAATTCCACTGTCAACTCCTCAGCGTCGATCTACGACGATTACCACGTCAGAAGAGACACCACCCCATACAGCCGGTTATCCAGAGAAGGCTCCCACGACCACATCGAGTTAAACTTCGGTGCCAGGGTCAGTCCAAAGAAGAAGTTGACTGATAAAATCAAGAACCGCATCAGAGAGTCAAGAAACAACCAGTCCTCTGGTTGAGCATGCTCGCTTTACGCTCGTTTTACTCGTTTTACAGACATTACATCGTTGTCATCAGTCCATTGCAAAACTCGCTCATTAATGCATTAACATATTTATTTCTCAAGATCTCCCGCATCGACTGTCTTGACCATAAGGAGGCCCATTAGTTTTCTGTGTTTTTAGTAGCCTCCGCCCTATTTATTGTTGTTTTTTGATTGTTTTTGAGCATTTCTCGTTGGGTAAATGAGATGTATATCTATCATTTAGTTAATTAATACTCGTTTGTTTTCGACTGTGCCTTTCGTATATCTTCCGCTAGGCTATCTGGCTAGTTAATATTCGCTTGTCTTTCATAGAACTCGGCCACTTGTTCGGAATTCGTTCCATCTTCAATCCCTTTATCGTCTCTTATTCTGAGGAATCTAGGAAATCTGAGCGAAATACCCTTGCCATACTGTTGGTGTCCAGCCTTGTAAATCGGACTCAACGATAAGTCTGCTGTTAAAACTTCAAAAATCATCGATGGTTCAAACCAAACGTCTGGCTTAGCATTGGAGTTGGTGGTGTCGTAAACGAAATATGGCTTGGGCTGACTGATCTCAGTAGGGTGCAATTTGGCATGAATTTGTACCAAGTCCTCATCAGAAAATCCTGTTCCGATCTTGCAAGTAGTTTCGTATTCGCCAGTATCGGAATTGTAGGACGCCAACAAAAACCCACCGTAGGAACCGGTTCTTTTACCTTTGCCAATGTAAGCACCAATGACCACCAAATCCAAAGAATCACCCACACCTGCCAAGTAGTCTTTCTTGAGCTTCAACCAGTTTCTAGATCTTTTGGATGGCTCGTAGTAAGATTCATTACCATTCAACATCTTCACCATGAGCCCTTCACAAGCATCCTTAACCGACTGGTCCAAGAATTGCTGCAATTCGTCCAAGTTTGAGGAATTTTTGGCAGTTGCAAACTGGAACTTACCTTCGATTGGAATCAAGTTTTCTGTCATCACCTGTCTCCTTTCTTTCAAGGATTTAGTGATCAAAGACACGTTATCAAGATAGAGCAAGTCGAACGCAAATAAACAGATGTGCACCGTTATGTCCTTCTCATCCACACCCTTTCTCTTACGGGTGGATAAGACCTGAAAAGGTAGGATTTTCTTATTCACTCTGTCCCATGCTACTGCCTCGCAATCCAAAATCATGGACGACACATTATTGTCTGCACCTTCCTGTTTTTTTAAGAAGTCCTTGGCAATCGAGATCAAATCCGGATATCTCTGGGACATGTCTTCGGAATTTCTTGAGTATATCCGAACCAGCCCATCGCTCAACATATGGACCTGTGCTCTTTCTCCGTCGTACTTATATTCACAGGTGAATTCCTCACCTTGAAATCTGTCCAAGACCTCGCTGATGGACTTGGTTGGCTTGGCCAACATCGGCTTCAACGGGATGCCAGGAGTCAATTGGCAATGATCCAAAAGATTGAAGATTCCATGGGCATACGCATGTTTGATGATAATCTCGTAATTTGGCACCTGACTGAATGCTTCTCGCACCACCTCCTCAGCAGTGGCAGTGTTGGCTTCGGAGCCCTTGATGGTGTCGGCAATACCAGTTTTGATGGTTTTACCCACTTTAGAGGAGCCTTCGTAGGCAACAAATGCCTGTGCCAACCCAATTAATACAGTTTTTTCCGCCAAACCAATACGGAGCTTTCCTTCCAACGACCTGATCAAGAACTTAGCCTCGTTGGACTTCAAGTCACACGCAGTCAACATCTTTTTGATCAAGGCGATCTTTTTGGCTTGCGAGTCCTTACCTGTGGACTTGGCTATCTTGGTCAAATTGTCGAAAACGGTATCCACGTCCAAGGCAACCGGCTTGAACATGGTAGGCTGGCCAGATCTGGAGTTTTGGGCCACAAGCCCCAAATCACCCACTTTCTGGTAGTCCTTCTTGATTTTGGCTGGGGGTCTTCCGTAGCACTCACTGATGGCCTTGATGAGCAAGGTTTCGCCCAAGCCAAGCTCCAAGTCCGGCTCGTAGTCGGGACCCAACCTGTTGATGAAGAGGTACACGATTTTGGTGAGGTTTTCTGGCGTGGAGGTGTTCAAGATGTGCAAGAAGAAGTCTGCCACGAGGGCGGTGATTTTGAGTCTGGAGGACTCGTGCTCGATGCTTTCGAACACAGCCGTGACTCTGGCGTACGGCATGGAGGAGGTGGTGGATGTGGCGCTGTTGGTGCTGTTGGTGGCGCTCGTGGCGTCATTCGTGTCGTTTTTGGTTTCCTTCACGTCGTTTTGCTTCACGTCGTTCTCTGTCACTTCCACGTCCTCCTTTACTGCCTCTCCCTCATCCTTGGCCTCTGTCTTCACCCGCTTGGGTTCTTGAGACGCGGTTTGACCAGTGGCTCTCTTCTTAGGAGACGCCAACATGGTGGTGATCGAAGGGCTGGATGCCTTTGCAGGCTTATTGGCTCCACCTCCAAAGAACCGTGCTATGCTCTGCTGTTGTGCCATTGTCGTACGTGCTGCTAGTGCTGTGGATGGAGCTCTAATGGTTCGTAATACCACGTACTTGAACATATACTGGTGATAATTGTGCGCGTGGAAAAGGATCACTCATGAAATGAGAAGGCGTAGGGCTACGCGTAGAAGAGTTGGCTATCGAAGAAGGAAGAGGGCATACAATGAAGACTTAAGCGATGAGGCGCACGTATAGTAATGGTAATGGAACTGCTAATGAAACTATACTTGTTTGAGTCATTGGATCGTATTGTAGAGTAATGATAATGAAGCTATATTTATTTGAACCATTGGAACGTATCGTAGAGTAATGATAATGAAACTACACTAATTTAAACAAATGAAACGTACCCCTCGTTAATGATAATGAAATAACACTAATGCTATTCCAGCCAATGAATTAATCGTCAATGAAACTGAAGTAATTTATCCGAACCATTACTAGTACTGCTAATGAAACACATTTTACTTAAACCACTTTATAGAGTAATGCTGATGAAACTGTACTTATCTGTTTAATTAGTGAAACATCGTCTTATAGCAATGGTAATGAAAATATACTTCTCAAACCACAAGTTAAGCGTAGAGAAATGATAGTGAAACTACACTAATTTCTTCAAACGTTCTTAAATTGAGTTCGACCGAACTTCAATCCATACCGGTGTTTTTGGAGACCATATACCCGAGAAAAATATGCAAGGGTTAGAGATGGAAACCGTCAAGCAGAATATTGTATAATGGATGGATGTAGTGGAGTGCAAATTTTCGTTATTATCGATGGTTTAGAATCTATAAAATTGCAGACGTTCATTTGCTATGAGCTTCCTGAATTTGTTCTGGTAGTTTTCTACGAAGACTTTTAGTGAGATACGTCCACTCCTCAGAATATTGATATATTTCCTCCCGTGTTTAATTTTAGTTGCCGTATTTTGGCTTCTTGCTCTCTTGCAATAACTCATTGCTGACACTGCCGATTTTACATTCTCCATTATTTAGTCGGATGCTTTTGATTCTTGATATTCATACGATTTTCATCCATTTTATTAAGCTACAGAGCTATTCTTCTCATTCGTCTCACATCTTAACATCGCGATGCAAGTTCTACGATAATCAGCTTTAATAGTACAGTTATTAGATACTCTAGGACTATAGAAGACCACTGATCAGCCGATATGTTACAGTTGTTAGATATTCTAGGACTAAGAAGACCAGACTATATGTTACAGTCTGAGCTAGAACACCACAAGGCGTTCTGGCCATCACTTCATATTCCACTCCGTTGCTTGCTCCGATATTGAGAATGTTTCAGTTATTATAATTGTTGTTCCTGTTATCTGTCTATAGAAAATGGACTTTCCTATCCTCTTCCTGGCCTGCCACTGATCTGACCCCCTAAATACTCACGTCCCAAATACTCTGAGGTCCTTTCTCCTCATAAATATCAGTATCCACAAACAATTCCCGTCCGTGGTTTGAGTTGTTGGAAAAGATCTGCTTGGCATAGATTTGGGCCCCCAAGAAGTACACGTCGTGCCACGAGCCCCCAGTCTCCTTGGGTGCTTTCCACTCAGGGAAGTAATCTGGATACTTGCTGATTTTCACGCTGTTGGGAACCTGGGCCAAGTTGTTTCCCGTGTCGTCATTGGCCTCTTCTGCCTGCTGATAGGCGAGAATTGCGGGATTGACGCCGTCAGGATTGGCGTTGTTTGCAGAGCCAGTGGAAGGCTCCTTGACCAAGTAGTCCTCGACGATCTTGTACAACACCGCCTCCTTGAGACCAGGAATCTGGAACGTGGCACCCACAAAGATTAAGTTGTCGTAACAGTCCTGTCTCTTTTCGGTGTCGGGAATTGGAGCCAAAGCTGCGTAAATACCATCCGCGATGGCCTTGACGAGCAGAGCCGATCCCTGGAACCGCTCCTTACCCACGTACACCTTGTCTCCCGAGGACGACACGAAAAAGTTGTTTTCGAGCTCCTTGTTGGGCTTGGCCTCCTGGGTGTCTTCAGCAAGCGACTTAATGTCGTTGGTCTGGGCCACCATCTTGGCCACGTCGAACTCTTCCGAGTTTTCCACCTTCTTCAAGTCGGCAAAAGAGTAGAACGAGCCCTCGTGGCTGTTCAAAACCTCGTAGATGCCAGACGTTTTCAACTCTTCGATTTGTGCTTCCGAGAACTGGGGCAAAATTTGCCCCAATTCCTGGTTGATCAAGCTCCCACCCACCTTCAAGTACTGGCTGGCAAACTTGATGGCCTGGTTGCCCACCACAGGCACGATCTGGGTGGCATCAGCACCCACCTTCACTACCACTGAGTTGGGTGAGGATCCCACACCAAAAGTGGACGCGATGGACAAGTCCACCACGTTGAAGGCAGTAAACTCCAACGTTTCGATCACGAACTTGGTGATGTACTCGACAGTACTGCGGGACCACGTCAAAGAGGGCGACACCACGAGAAGCGGAATGTGGTTGATGGTGACGATAGGATTGGCATTGATGATACTTTGTAAGATGATCTTCAACAAGTGGTTGAAAGCATCGAGATCCACGATCCTCGAGCCTTTTATGGGGTGTATCGCTATGGACTTGTCGTCTTTGAGTGCTTGGAACTGGTTCGTTTCTGAGTTCCGGTAAACAACTGAGGGGATTTTGTACTGGGGAGGAGCCAACAGGTCCTGCAACCCGAACGAGAATACAGTGCTGGTGCTGCCGGGATACACCACGAGATAGCTGTCCTCTTTGTAGAAAGGCATGGTTGATTGGTGGTGTGGTTGTTGTGATATTGGTTAGTGAGGTGAATTTTCGGTTTGGATATTACGGCGCGCGCACGACCAGTATGGAGCTACCAGAGGTAGGATACTTCCGTAGTATGATTGATGTGCTGCCGATGCCGAAGGTAAATCATGGTTATTAATAGTTTAATGAGCTAATGGTGGTGTCACATTTTTTTTAAATAATTTTTTTTCATGTTGGATCTTTCTAAAGCATTTTAGGCTTAACAGACAGGGCTGTTCCATTTTCGAGTGTTATCTGATGGTCCATTAAAAGAGAAAACTCACTTCTTGAGTAATCAGATTTTTACAAACGTAATATTTCATTTTGTCAATAATTTTCAGAATAAAGAGGAAACTTATCAAACTGTTCGGTGTTTGAGGATGTTCATACTTATCTCGAAATACTGAATTGTCCAGTTGTATTTACTCTGACTTCCGTTGAATTATGAATCTCACGCTAATTACCTACTCTATAGCGTTCAAAGTCATTAATAAAGATAGTGGCGTTAACAGCACTTGTGAGATAAGAACTACTGCTTCGATGAATACTTGCCAGCACGTCAATTATACGTGCAAAAAATTGCATTCATACTACAGTCTCTAACACAGAAAATATTATGCAAAAAGCTATGAACACGGTATGTAGATGCAAAGCAAGCCACCGAGGGGCTCGCGGAGTTTACGGATTCATTGGAATGACGTGGATGGAGCATTATTGTCATTGAATGGCGGATGGTCTTCGTAACGGGTGATGCGGGTTTGATGGTGGGGCCTTCTTCAAGCCAACCATTCTAGATTAATTATTCAATACCGTCAACTAAATTGATTTCCTTCGGGTCGATTGGACCGCTAGTCCTCGTGCCCGTCGTCGTGCACGTTCGCCAAGAACTTGTTGTAATTAGAACGGGTGCCCAAGACAGAGTTCTTGCTCATGGTGGTGTTCAGTCTCTTAGGAGCTCCGTGAGAAGCCACCGCGGGAGGAGCGTGCGCGTCTTCCAGCAGGAACTCTGAGGCCTGGTCGCTGACCAACTTGACCTCGTTGATAAACGGCAACTCCTCAGCCTCCTTGGGGTACGGAGGCAATCTCTTGTGGGATGCAGATGTGTCAATGGAGCCGTTACGGGCCTTGCGAGGCGAAACCTTTGCGGGAGACGTCTTCTGGGGCGAGGTGCGCAATCCTGTAGTATGGATACGTGTGAGCTTGGGCTGGGGCTGCGCTGGTTTGGCGTGCTGGTGGAGGTCGGGAGTGCTCTGGTGCCTCTCGTTCTTAGGCTGGAATTTGAATGGTGTGACCTTGGTGAGGGTGTTTCTGCGTTCAGGCTGGGGACGAGGAATGGGAACGGCGGGAATGGCATCGGTAAGCGAGCTGGCCGACTTGTGGCTGGATCCCTGCGACCGCACGTCGCTGTGGATGTCTGTGTGGTCCCAGTCGTGGTCGTCGTCGTCGTCAGAGGACGACTCGAGGTCCACGTCTTGCACCACCACCACTGGAGTCAGCAAACCCATTCTGAGCTTCATACGAGTCAAAGCGTCGGAAATGCGCTCAGTGTCCTGAGGCTTGATGAGGCCTGTCCACCAGCAGATGACGACTAACAACACGCCCCACAAAATGGCAAACTTGAGGATGTCAAACACCACCAACGCATAGTGTGTGAGTGCTGCCCGCAGCACGTAGAGCACGCCCGCGGTGGTGGCGCCAAGCACGAAGCTGGGAGGGTGGAATTGCTTCGCTTGCGCCGAGGTGTGGTCCGCAGCCATTCTCATCCAGTTAACGCGGGGGACAACGAGGGGAGGCTGGGGAGGAAGTGTGGGTCTTGATTTTGGTTTTTGCTTGAGTTTTGATTTCTTGCGCCTGCGGTCGTGCGCGGGTCCCGATTCGTACCACGATACCCCTGGATCAGTGGCGGAAGCAGGTTGTGGGGCCAGGGGCACTGCCATTGGCTCAGGAACGGGGTGGACGTGGTGGGAGTGGTGAGCGTGGTGGACAGGCTCTGGTGTGATTTCTGCTGGTGCTGGAACTGCAGGAACTGCAGGAATTGCTGGTGCTGCTTCCGCTGGGGGCGGCACGATCTGGTACGAGCAGTCCAAGAGTTCGTTCAAAAGGCCAGGAGTGGAGTCTGGTGCTGGTGCTGGCTGGTGGGGCAGCGGTTCGTCGGTGTCGACTTTCTTCAACCGGAACACGCCGTCGGGGTCCTGCTTGTACACGAGCTTCTTCTTCTTGGTGGTAGTCACGGTAGCCATTATGATGGGACACAACGACACTGAGCCATAGACGGATGGAGGCACTGATGGATGGGGTGGCACTTATATATGTGGGGCGTCTATCATATGACGAGATAAACAATAGTGAGAAAAACGAATGGTTGTCAGGCGCGGTCGTCTAGCCAAAGTGGGTGGGGGAGAAGCTTGGTGGCTGGAGTGGCAGGGAGAGGGTAGCGGAAATTAGCGAGAGACTGGGGAGAGACTGGGGAGAGAGTAGAGATGCTAGAACTTAGAGGGTGTCTACGGTAGGGAGTAGACGGTAGCTACTATAGAGATGGGCGAGTCTAGGGTCAGTAGAACGTGATGGTGGTGGCAACGACTGATCGGGCGAGTGCGGAGATGGCACTGGCGCTGCAGGGGAATGTCGCGTGGCGCCCGATGGTGGTAGACAGGCCCGGGGCTCGCACCAGGCCAGCCACGCGGGGGGAGCCAATGGGAGCGTTGTGGAAGTGCGATCAGGGGCAGTGGCCCCAGAGTGGTGGTGTGAGTAGTGGTAGCAGTCACGTAGTGGAGTAATGGTAGTGAGGTGGTGGTAGCAGTCACGTAGCAGTGGCAGTGGTAGCCACGTACACCGGCCTTTCCTGTGGCCTTTCCTGTGGCCTTTCCTGTGGCCTTCCCCGTGGCCTCCCCCACAATCGTCCCTCCCGTCCCTGTCATCGCGCGACAATGTCGCAGATAACCGAGCGGTGCCTGGCGGTGCTGGGTAGGTACGGCTACACTGGCCCCCCCCATCACTACCATTGGCTAGGGACACCACCATTGTCCACCATTGGCCCCCACTAATATTGTTTTCCTCCGTACTACTCCCACTAGTCCGCTCTCGCTATCGCACGCCATGGTGGCACAAGCCGAGACCTCGATGCCAATTAGACTCCGCGCCACGCAGGCTGCACCGAGTCGCCAGCTCCGTTTCCGGCCCCCTAATTGCTCAAACCAATTTGGTTAAGGTTTCGTTATCTATTGGGCCACCAGGGTGTGGGCAAACCGGTATCTCCTGGGCGGGACAGATAAGAGGCGTTAGTAGCGAGCTCGTAAACGCACGCCATGTGCAGCAACCTTGGGCCGAGGCACGAGGCTGAGGCGATGGATGATGGTGCGATAGTTTAAGATTAATATGAATTATTAATTTGCTTGCGATGAAAATGTGGTTGAGCCGTGGAGAGCTCAGATGGCATGTTCAGGAGAGGTGATGGGATGAAAAGGTGGTTGAGCCATGGGGAGTTTTGGGATTAATGGTGAGGTCAGCTTATCAGTTTGACTGGTTCGTATATCTGTCGTAGATCTTCCTCGGGCCTAATTGTTAGGAATCGTCTGGGGGATTTTGGCTGGTTCGTAGCGTATTAGTCTAGATCCTCATCCTCGGACGTGCTTGTAAGGAGTCACCTGATGGTTAATTGACAGATGTGTCAACATTTTGATGGTTGGAAGTATTATCAGCTGAATCCGGAAATTGCCCACGGGCATCGGACATCCTGGCCTAGCGACTGGAATACAGTAGTATGGGGCTTCTCCAGCTGCATCACTTACGATTAATACGGGTTGCATTATATAAATTTAAGGATCAGACTAATGGTGGGTCAAACTAAGCACACATGGATCGTTAGACTGACAGGTGCACCCTGGTAATGCCTGGACGCTAACTAGCTGTGACTACATGACCGGTTAGAGCAACGGTTCGTTCTGAAGCTGTACTATCCAGCTATTACTACTTAGTTGATTCGCCAAATTCTACCATTGCGTAGCAATTACCGTGATTTAACTATTAATTGAATTAGACTACACTAATTAGCCCAATTAATCGTGGTGGATACCACTTGAATCCATGTGATTCCTGGACTAGTCTACTACCCTCGGAAGTATTGATCGGGCTTCTCGAAATGTCGTTTTTCATCAAGTCACAAGAGTATGTGGTGGGGATGACTGTGGTCCGACTTTAGACCAGGCAGAAAATGTGACCAGTCTGGTGCCTGAGTAATGACCGGTCCCCCATCGCTAAGCCATCTGACTGGTGATACTGTGTGGTGTGATGACTTTGGTGCGTGGTAAGCCATCTGACTGGTACTCTTTCTATGCAATTCTCGACGAAGTACGACAGGAACTCGCCATAATTCCGGAGCATGCTTCTTATCTGAACTCAGTATCCATCAACTAACGGTTTACACTTGCAGAAACTGGTAGTTCTGGAACTGCTCTTTAAGGAGTGGTTTCCACTAAATAAACGAGCCAGAACCCGATATCTTCCGAGGTGACCCACTGAGGCTTTCAGTTGGTTCTTTGATCTGCATTTCTTCGATTCTATTTTGATGTTGAGGCTCGCCGTGTAGGAGTATTTTGTTGCAGTAGTGGTGCCTACTTCCACAGTGAAGTTTGGAGGTTGCTTTGTCAAAGTACACTTAACTCTTCCTAGCACACTCAAATGTTCTATTTCGTGTTGTTTGCTATCAAAGCTGCCCCCTGATCCTTCGTGCTAGCTGAATGTCCCTCTTCATGATGGTCACCCTCTTGGCGTGAAGAGCACACAAGTTGGTATCCTCCAACAAGTGGACCAAGAACGCCTCACACAGCTCCTGCAACGCAAGAATGGCGTTGGACTGCCATCTGATCCCGTAATCCACCCCGATGTAGTTGGTGGAGATTTCCTTGATCAACCTGGCAAATGGCAACTTTCGTATCAAAAGATCGGTGGACTTTTGATACAGACGGATTTCTCTTATCGCCAATGTGCCAGGATGGTACCGACGCTTTCGGGTGGTGGTGAGTGTGGTAGGTGTGGGGTCTCCTGGAATGTTCCTGTAGAGGCCCGTCTCACGGCCTCGGGGATTGGTTATACGAGGCATGGCCTTTGGGGTGTTGCAGACTGGTTTTTGCGATGGGTGGTAGTGGTTCTAACCCCATCATTTCGTGGTGAGTGCGGGTAACAATGCGCCTGGAAAAGATGGCTGGCTTAAGTGCATGGAGAGTGTGACAAGTCGCTGTGGTGCCAGGATGAGTGACGTAGAACAATCTGGGCACTGTCTATAATATGTAGCTACAAAGTGGATATGGATGAGAAATTAGACCACCTGGAATGGAATTGGTGACCCAAGATATTAGGCTTGGAATGTGAAAAAGAGAAAATGGACCCTCACTTGGAATAAAATGTAAGTGAGATTCTAGCCCCACCTGTAGAACAATAATCTTCTTGTAGTCTCTGAGAACCACAAGAATGAAGTCTTCAGAGGATAACAGGCATTCCAGAGAATACAATAAATTGGAGTAACAATGTGGCCTGGTGACGCGACCTCAAGTGATTCCTGGCCCGAGTAGTAAGGATGATTTGCATAAAGAATAGAAAAGTCACCGCCTATGTATTAATTAGTGTGCCATAGATTTTCAAGAGTGGTTTTAAATTCATTATAATTGTTAAAGGTGTAGTCAACCAATAGAAAAGTTTGGAGACTAGAGCTCCAAAACAGGGCAAATATTCGAGCCATCTTACGAGGGGCCAGAAATGGAAATAGTAAATCAATATTTTACTGATGGGTGAAATGCACGATTCTGATTCAGTATGGTAATAGTGCCTTCAGAAATTCCTGGGAACACTTAAGATTGCCCTCAGAGAGCATATCTACCCCTGGGCAGCCGTCTGGAGCCGGCTAGCTGAAATGGACTATGGAACTACTTTTGTCTCGAAACAAACCGAGGACTTCAACTAGCTCCGATTTTAAGCATTACTCCGTATTTGCTTAGAAGCATGAAGCATTAACGACTATCTTAATACGGAATAATACCATCCCATTTTGAACACCCTTTCCTCAGATCGTATTAATACAGTATTAACTTTGTTTGGCCTCAGCCTCCATGTTTCACAACGGTATGTCTCCGTTTGCTTGCAAACTGAGATCTTACAATACTAGCTGGTAGTCTAGCCAGAATCTCGAAAATATTTTGGCTGGAAATCTGTACCAAAACCGTTTTTCGTTATTTGAGAAATTTGTTATTCGGTCTGTTCATGATGTTTTTGCAACAAGTGCACGAAAGCATCTGTTCGGTTGAGTACATAAGTAGATGTTGACCCAAACGGAGACTTTGATGATGGTCAAGGTTTTATTCCTTATTTGGCCCGATCGTGCCACATCCCCGACGAGAGCTCAGGTATCTGCGTTAACCTATAAGCTTAATTCAATGGGCTCGCTAAGATTGGGTTTTCTCAACTTTGCAAGCTGTAGGTGATTAAGTTAGCTGGTAAAGAGGAGTCATGGTCTTGATCTTTATCGAAGAGTAAAGGAGAAACCACTCATTGCGAAACATTGTAATTATAATACTATCACCTCTGGGGTGAGAAGTTCGATACCTGCGAAGTAATTGTGTTGGGGAACAAGTCTGAAGGTGCCATTCAGTGCTTTTCGCAGCCTATTCATCAGTTGGAACATAGTTATTCCTTTGCAGGTAGGAAGGTGAAAAAGTCCACAATAAAGGCGGGATAATGTCCGTATGTGTCTGGATGGTTTGCTTCAATACAAGAATAGAGTTGACGCAATGGCTTGGGGGCAAAGTGGTTCTGTCGAGCCTGTAAGATGGTACTCCAACGGTCGGTCGTGCGCCGCCCAAACAGAATTCGTATCCAGCAGACGCTCCAATCGCAAAAAACACTCCCCTATGGGCGTGTGGCGCAGTTGGTAGCGCGTTCGCTTCGCACGCGAAAGGCCTCCGGTTCGACTCCGGACTCGTCCATTTTTTTGGTGATGCCATTTACGGGCGCACCGCCCTTTTGGAACATGAAATGGCCCAATCAGGCAAGTCCAAACAACCGGATTCGGCGTCATTGGACTCGTACAACCCAGCTTCCAATGCCACCACCCACCTGCCAGCTTGTTGAGACCCTGGTTCACTTGCTACAGACCAGTATACGCGTATAGCCCACGATTCCCGTCTATTTGAGTGCTACCCCAGTGCCGTTTGGTGAGGCAGACGAGCCCTCCACTATGACGTTCGATGCTGCGGGTTATGCGCCCGCGCGCGCCAGCCCCCACGCCACGTGAGATTTCAGGTGTCAAGGAGAGTATGGCCAGTGCCATTCTGGTGTTCCTGCCATAGTAGTGCTGTCACACTGCTGCCATTGCCATTGCGGCGGTACTGTCGCCGCCATTGTGGTTCTGCCACTGCCATTGCCCCTGCCAATAGCTCGTCGTAGCGGTTTCACTAGCAGTGGTCCGCTCCACACCAAAGGCCAGTGCCCCTAACGTAGAACGCCCTATATGCAGGCATCCTCTAACGTCCACGCTTGCTAACAACCGTGACCCGTCCGTCACTCTCTTCTTCATCACCTGCTGCCTCCCAGTGCCATCTACCGATCCATCCTGCACTTTCCAGGCCCAATTGACGTCCGTACTCGTTGCAGTTCCACCACACCTCCGGCTAATTTATCGTTGCTGGCGCGAAATACTCTGAATTAATCAGTTGCTCCCAGCGGTTTTTATCATCACCACCTCCTCCACGAGCCATACGCTTCAATCATACGAGCCACACGTCTTCCCCCACACGTCTACTACCCCCACAATCGTCCACAGACCTCTACAATCGTCCACTGCTCGCAAACCCACCACTACTCCCTCCATTCCCCCCACCCTACCTGCCATGTCCCGTTCCTCCTACCAGTCCAACGGCAAGCCTCTCTCCCAGCAGGCGTTGTACCAGCAGAAATTGAAGCAGGGCATCTACACCCTGCCTAGCGCCACCTCCGTGGGTGTCAACTCCAGCGCTTCCGACACAGCCGCGTTGTTGGCAGCATCTGCGGATTTGACCGTCAAGCCGTCCTACGAACGTGTCGAGGCTGTCGAGGCCCACCAGGCAGCTTTGGCTGCCAAGAAAGGTACCATCAACGCGTGGTCCAGAGACCACACGGATGCTTACGCTGACGCCGCTGCTGCAAACGCCAGAACGTCCAGCTTGTCGTCTAACGCCACTGCGAACACTTCCAATGGCACAGGCGTTCCAGCCTACAAAGGCAGCTCGATCTTTAAGACAGCCACCGCCAACTCGGCGTCCACCTTGTCCACCAGAACCAACCCTGGCAAGGACGTGATGAGAAGCGGATTGGCCACCAAGAGCTCGGGCACCACCCTCAACATCGACAAGATCAGTGCGTTGGCAAACAAGAACTCCACCAAGTCGTTGAACTCCAGATTCAACCCTGAGGCCGACTACCGCTCGGGCCTCAAGGTGGCCTCCCACCAGCCTCCCACAGAATACTTGAACCAGGACGAAGAAGACTTGGCTGCCAGCGGAGCCGCAGCCTCCTTGAAACACGGGGCCGGCTACAGCACCCAGGTGGCCACCCAGCGCAGGTCCCAGGCATTCCTGGCCGTGGACGTCGTCGACGCCACTTTGTTGGCAGCTGCCAGCGCCAAGGCCAAGGAAAGATTGAACTCGATCAACTCGTCCTCCAGCAAGGATTTCAAGGCACAAGCACAGTTGTACGCCAACGCATTGACTGTTGCGCAAAAGAACAGTGAAGAGAGACTTAGAAACAACAAGGCTGGTGTCATCAACTTGGGCGGTGGTTTGACCATGCTCCAAAGTGAATTGGACAAGTTGGCTTCCGTCATCGTCCAACCAGTCTTGAACGACCTTGATACCAAGGCTGACGCCCAAAGATCTTCCGACAAGGCCTACAAGGCCAAGCAGGCTGAATTGACTGAATTGCACAAAAGAGCCAAGGAAGAAGAAGTCAGACAAAAGAGTCAAGAAAAGGCCGATTTCGAAATTGCTAAGCAAAAGAGAACTACTGCAAACGAAGACCGCAAAAAGGGTGAAGATGACGCGTTCACTGCCCACCAAGAAGAAAGAAACGGTGAAGTTGAAGAAAGCAACACTGAGTTGACCGAATTGGAAAAGAAGTACGCCGAAGAAAAGGAAGACCTTTTGGCTGAGAAGCAAGCCAACCAAGACCGTATCGATTCTGAGGAAAGTGAATTGATCGGTGGCCGCAAGACTGAATTGGAAGAATTGCAAGCCGAAAAGGACGAACTCTTGAAGCCAACTTTAGATGAATTGGAACAAGAAAACTCCAAGTTGAAAGAGTTGACTGATGCTAGAGATGAGTTGACTGAAGAAGTCAAGACTGCCGAATCCTTGAACAAGGAGAATGAAACCAAGGTGACTGAATTGACCGAAAAGTTGGAAAGCACCAGAGCCGAAATCGAAAAGTACACTAAGGACTTGGAAGAGGCCATTGTCAAGCACGAAGAAACCTCCAAGCAAGTAGAAGAATTGCACATCACCTCTAACGATGAATTGAAGAAGGCAACCGATGCTCACAAGGATCTCGACGAAAAATTAGCAAACTTGGAGAAGGAGAAGGAAAGCAACTTGACCACCAAGGCTACGCACAAGGAAGAGATCTTAAAGCATATTGACGAAAAGGTCAAGGATGAGCACAAGATCAACAATGAATTACCTCCTCACTTAAGAACCGAAATTGACGAACACAAGTTGAGAGACACTGGTTCATTATTTTCCGTCGAAGATGCCACGCCATTGGCCGAGCACAAGGAACCGGAACTCAAGCAGAAAGAGGAAATCTCCTCTGCTCCTGCCCCAGCCCAGCGTGCCACTCCCAAGCGTAGCGAGACTGCGATTGCTGCTGCCAACAACACCCATCAAATCATCAAGAAGAAGGGATTGAAGAGGTTCAGCAACTTTTTTAAGGGAAGCTCATCTCGTGAAAAGCCAGCTGCTAAGGCCGAAGCCTCATCTAAGCCTATTTCCAAGCCTATTTCCAAGCCAGTAGTTGCCGAGACCAAGGACACCAAGACCAAGGATGTCCAGGAAGTGAAGAAGCAGCCTACCCAGACAGACTCCATTGCCAGCACTGGTGTCTATGACGATGATATCTCGTTGGGAAACAATCCTAATAAGGGGGGATTGTTCAAGGAAGAAATCTGATCCTACGCCTAGCCAAGTTTATTGTAAACTAGAACTTTAATTCATTCAAGTTCCTTATTTGATTCAATTTCTGTGATTTTTGTTTGCCCTATGTATTACTCTTTTCTTAATATAAGTTGTTTAAAAGACTGTTCCAGGAGGCTGCCTGGTTGTAGTAGGCCGCCATCAGCCGTCGCCACATCGCCAAAATGCCAATAGCCATTCGTAGTGTTCAATTCGTTGTGAATATTCCTGGTGGACTATCTGTGCACCGCACGACCCGACATCACCATGCTCAACCTTCCCACAAAAGTCCATACTACCACCACTACTTCCCACACCACAAGCCATGTCGGAGACCACCACCTTGCGCAAGCTCCTTGGCGACTACAACTTCAAGATCGCAAACGCCTCCGATGAGTACGTCTCGCGTCGTAAACAGCAAATGGTGTTGTTTTTGACCTCAGCTGCCGCCACCATCTTTGCATCAAGATTCGCCTACAAATCCACCATATCTCGTCAGTACGTCCCCACATTGTTTCAGGGCAACCACGCGCCTCCGTTGAGCTACAACTTCACCACTGACGCCGCAGTGGCGGTGGGCACAGGCACGATGTTGTGCGGAACTGTGTCGTCGATGCTCATCTTTGGCGGGTGCTGGATCCTCGATGTGTCGTCGTTCAAGGAGTTCGGCTGGAAGATGAAGACCATGATGGGAGGATACGAGAAGGAAAGACAGTTGAGCGAGTTGCCCATGGACGAAGAGAGCTCGATGATCCAGGACGGGTTGGTGGACATCATTGAGGGCAGATATGACTGGGACGAGGAGGAGAAGACTGAGTAGGAGTTCGGAGAGCCCACCTACTACCATATGCGATAGGCACAGGCGGCAGGCCTAAACAGATGTTTTATCCTGCGACATTGTCCAGTCTTCCATGGACGCTGGCTGGTAGCTCATAGGCGAGCCACAGGTTCAATTTCATGTACATAGTGATGAGTTCTTCCAAGGAGTCCGCACCATTTGTGCAACTTCTTCAGCAGCTCGAAATAATGCTTAAAAGAGTATCTGAATTCTTTCGCTTACTTGTATTAGCCTCATCCTATTCGGTGTGTCAATTACGCAGAAGTTCAGGTTAATCCTTCACGCACTTCAGTGAGAGTTATTTCATTTTCTACCGAGCGTCTTTTGGTATCTAGTTATGCCACAGTCCATTTCTTATAATTTCCATTTTTACATAATTTTCCAATACAGCACTCTTCAATAGTCATTTATCTAGCATTCTACTCTTACTGAAGAGTGAAATGCAAAAAGAATGAGCGGTACGGGAATCGAACCCGTGACACCTGCTTGGAAGGCAGATATGTTAACCACTACACCAACCGCCCGGAATTATTGCCCTCTAACGGATTAAACTAGACTTCTCTGTATACATCTATTTTAGTAATGGCTTACTAATAGCCACCTCTTCTCTAATGGTAGCTTTTCACCTTCTTTGGAAGCATCATACTCTTGATTAACTCTAATGATAGGATGTGTAGCATGTATTCATGAGTTTCTTGAATTAAGTAGAGATCTAAGTAGTCAGAATAGATGTATTTATATAGCCCCTTAGGAGCTTGGGTAATAGTGGATATTTGGCCTCGTGTGCTAGCCAGGTATCGGCTAAACACTATTGTAAGTCTCCAACATGGATTATTACTGAGGTAGTATAGAGATAAGGGCCAGATAGTCATGTGATACAGTCAAATCTCTTGGACCTAACATCCTTGTACTCCGTGATTATTATTATTTTTCCATCACCTACTCTGTAGCTGACCTGTTAGTTGTCGAACAGCTCGCCATTGTATACTAGCCCATGAGAAATTTGCGATATTAAACAGACTGGATATGTAAGCAGATTCGTAGTCTAACTATTCAGAGACTCTAGTTTTGTTACAATTCAAAGCTTATAAGGCCAATGGTGGAGAAATGTACCGAAAGAGTGGGAATTGCTCTCAGAAGATATACATGCTCAATAAAAAACTATCTGGATATGCTTCAAAATTGAATTTTCCAGAATAATTCAGAAAAATGAACAGAATTCCGAACTGAACATTAGAGAGCCACTCCACCTCACAGAGTGTCCGCTTACCCCACTGGCACCATCCCAGCACCCCGGACCCTTCATAACCCCACATAAACTCACCTCGATAGTTCAGCCAAAACGAGTCACGTGACACATTTGTCGAGTGCGATTCTCTCCTAATCCCCAGTCAACCGTTCCAACTTCGTCCCTAGATTGCATCCAGAGGATACTTGCCTAGACCATCAAACACAAAGACTGTCCATTCCGACCATTTCTAACCAGCAAAGGACATAATCTGAAAAAAACCACCCCAAAACAGCAAAAACCACCGCCACAATGCCACGTTTAGAAGAATGGGAGATCAAGAAGTACTGGGAGATCTTTCAAGGATTGAAGCCTGAAAACAACAAATTGACGGGAGAAAAGGTGTCGCCGGTGTTGAAAAACTCACGACTCCAAGATGCACAATTGTCTCAGATTTGGGAGCTTTCCGATATCGATAACGATGGCAAATTGGATTTTGAAGAGTTCTGTATCACCATGAGAATGATCTTCGACTTGGTCAACGGATCCATCACTAGCATACCCTCAGAGTTACCAGGATGGTTGGTTCCAGGCTCCAAGGTCCACTTGATACAGGCAAACCGTGCAGTCAATGGCAACACCTCGGTGGACCCCAGCTTCAACGATGACGATGGAGAGGACGGCTTGAGTGACGATTTCGACTGGTACATCTCGCCTACTGATAAATCCACCTACGAGGCCATCTATAACTCCAACAGCGACTCATACGGTAGAGTCAGATTCGACTCATTGGACTCCTTATACAAGACATTGTCCAAGGTGCCTTCAAGTGATATCTCGTCTGCGTGGAACTTGGTCAACCCTAAATCTTTCGAAACTATCGATAAAGATCAGGTGTTGGTGTTTTTACATATTTTGAACCAAAGAGAAAACGGAAAGAGAGTCCCACGAGGAGTTCCAGCATCGTTAAGAGCAACCTTCTCAAAGGAAGTCCCTAACTACGATTTATCAGCCAACTCAAACTACAAGTCCGGCAACTCAGGCCCAAGATACACTGAACCTAGCGGCACGAAGAAATTTGCAAGCAACTACTTGACCAAAATAGGTCAGGCAACTAATGAAAAGGGTACAGACTTCTCAGCAACGGAAGGAACCGATTGGGAAGAGGTGAGATTGAGAAGGGAATTGACTGAGTTGGAGAATTTGTTGGAAAAAGTGGAGAAAGGCTCCAAGTACTATGAGGAAGAAGACCAAAAGAACTCGCTTGTGAAGTACGAGCTCGAGCAATTATTAAAGTACAAAGAAGGTTTATTGAATAAATCAAAAAGCAGAGGAAACGACAAAGATTTGGATGACGTCAAGAACGATATAGAATTAATCGAGTCGCAAGTTTCTACCCTCGAAGAGTTCTTGACGCAAAAGAATCAAGAATTGGCTCAAATTCAAGAGGAAATAGGGAGTTTGAAGGCCTGAAATGCAACAGTAATATTCTACAATAAGCGGAAACAGCCAGCTTCAGGCTGTAAAAATTTCGACTGATCTAATTTCCATTGATCAATAAATAGTACTATATAAAAATGCATGAAAAGATGAGAAATTAAAGGATGAACGGGGGTTGAGGAACGAGTTGTATTCTAATATTGTACTCCTGTATGCTTTGTATTCAAGAATCGCTAGTGGTGGTGTTATGATTGTTTCTCATAGCCATCCTTTGAAATGAATTTCAGTTCTCGCTGGTTGATGTTCACCACGAGATTACTTCTTTTCTGGCTCTTGTGGTTCTGGCTCAGGAGTTGGCAACTTGAATGATTCAGGAGTGAAGTCCTTACCTTCACCAACCTGTTCCCAAACAGAGGAACCAACAGTGAAGTTTCTCCAGGCCTGGGTCAACTCCAATGGCTCGTAAACAACTCTCTTCTTCTCCTCATCGTATCTGACTTCGGTGTAACCGGTGGTAGGGAAGTCCTTTCTCAAAGGATGGCCCTCGAAACCGTAATCAGTCATGATTCTTCTCAAATCGGGGTGGCCCTCGAAGAAGATTCCGAACAAGTCGTAGGTCTCTCTCTCGAACCAGTTGGCACCCTGGAAGAGCGGAACAATGGAGGGAACAGAGCTGGTCTCGCTGGCGTAGGTCTTGACTCTGATTCTGGAGTTGTGACGAACAGACAACAAGTTGTAGACCACGTCGAATCTGTTGGTTCTGGAGGGGTAGTCGGCAGCAGTGACGTCGACTGCAGACTTGAACTGGGCTGAGGTGTGGTTCTTCAAGAAAGACAACACTGGTCTGACTGCAGAGGGTGCCACGTATATGGTCAACTCGTCCTTCCAGACAGAGAACTGCTGGATATATTTGGGCATGCATGCCATCACGTACTTGCCGAACTTATGCAACTCTTCGATCTGCACCTTGTACTTTTCTGCTGGGTTAACCAATGGGACGTGGATGTCAGTAGGCTGTCTTCTGGGCAATTCGTTCAAGTTGACCAATTCTTCTGGGTGGTCTTGGTTGGCGAGTCTCATCACGGAGGACGACTGGAGGCCACGGATGGCACAGGGAGCTGATCTGGCTCTGAGGGCTCTGGCAGCGGTTCTGGCAATCATGGAGGCTGGATGTATTCTGCAAGAAGGGGACGGAGTGGGTGTCTGAGCTGCACTAAATAGGTGGAGAACGTGGCGTGGGCGAGGATGGGCCTGTAGATGTGTCACAGTCTGTACGGTTCAGGTTCTGTCACCGTGCACAATTGGGTAGCTGCACTATTCAGATGGAGTGTATTAAAATTTGTTCAACGACAATTGGCTGGTGGGGTCGTGCGCGGCCCAAAAATCTCGTGCGACATCCCAGGATGGAGCCAGAGGGCAGAGTGGGACAAGCTGGGACAGACAGACTGGGAGTACGGCACGGGCAGCAACCACGCAGCAGCCACGCAGCAGCCAGGACCGCCAGGCTGCGCGGCAGTGGCACCAGCACGCCCAATGCATGCCATTGCATCCGGTTTGCGGGCGCAATTGGTGCAAATTTCGCAATTTCCAGCATGCATGTCTCGTCGTGGTCAAGAATGTCGCGTTTAGCCATAACAACTCCGTGTGGCATGAAGACTTCAGTCAGCAGCATCAGCAAGGCACTGATCACCTAGAATGGCACCAACAGAGACGTGGAAGCCATTAGGTTCCATCGGAGATCTGGTCCATATTTTTGTCACCGGATTAGGCATAAATCGCCGACCGAAAAGAGACTTCCTCAAGCACGAGAACACCCAGGGACCAATAGAATGGCCTGGTTGGTACATGGACGGCGCCCAGCGAGCACGATATTGGTCCAGTTTCTCCTACAGCCGTATTGCGGCTGCGAATATTGAATATTTCAGTCCCCCGGGGACACGCGACATTAGTGTTAGCTTTTAACTCACAACGTCAACCAGATTTAGTGGCTCCTTTGCAGGAGTTAACGGTGGGTTTGGAGCGCGGGTCTCGTATAGAAGAATATACTGGTCCTAAACGGCAAGAGCGAGCATGTGCCATTTTGAGATACATTGATTCTCCAGCAACCGCAGGTCCACCAGTCGCCCACAGACAGAGCAGGTTTGCCCATCTGCCCTGACCCTGCTTTGCTCACCATCTACAGTCGCCTATGCTATGGCTCACCACATGCAGTCACGTGTGATACCACCCTCGGGTGTCCTCCGCGCACTCCGCGCGCGCTGCATGGCGTGCATCGCCGCCCCATTGGATCTGCATTTGCACGCAGATAGGGGCGCCATACGGCACTCTAACGCTAGCAGCGGCCATGGGCCTGGGGCCTGGCGCCCGCGGTCCGGTTCGGGCGAACCCTTCGCGCAAGCACCGCCCCAGGCTGCTATCGAATATCCGGATCACGTGATCCCACTAAACCCTAGATTCATCTCTGGCTACTGACGCTACTCTTCGCCAACCTCACCACCACTTGTATCCAACCCGCCGAGTCCGTCGTCGAGATAGCTTGCCTGAACCTGCAACATCCGTACTTCCCCACCCCCACCCACGATCCCGCACCATGGTGGAGGACCACGACAGTGACAGACGTCACGACCACAAGAAACGTCAACGCCGAAGCTACAGCTGCGGTTCGTGCAAAGTCCTCAAGATCAAGTGTGACCTACAGATTCCCTGCTCGTCGTGCGTCAAGTTCAAGCGCATGGACAAGTGCTTGGAGAGTCCACCCCGACCCCCGTCCAAGGAGGAAATGACCCGGATCCAGGAACGCAAGCAGCGCACCAAGAAGAAGTCCCGGCTCCAGGAGGTTCCTGAGGGCGCCAGCGACGTCCATACGGGCGAGCGACTACTGCCTGCTAATGGGCTCGTTGCACCCGTGCCACCAAATGGGCTCGTTGCACCCGTACCACCCAATAGCCATAGCCAGGCGCCTTCACACCTCCACGGTCCCTACGGCCCCCGAGCCCTCCAGGGGCCGCCGCTGGACGTGTTGCCCAACGCCAGCTCGTTGCCAGGCATGCACGTCACGCCCGACGCCCTCTTCATGCATTACCACCACCAACCGCTGGTGCACCCTGAGCAGACGCCGCTCCAAGCGTTCCCGGCATTGCCCATGGCTGCACCGTTGACCCAGTATGTGACCTCGCGGTCGCTGCCGGCGTCGTCCATGACCACCCCTCCCACCGCAAACAGCCTTCTTTCCATGCATTCGCCGCACGATAGTGTGCCCACGCCAGACTCCCACCCATCTACCTACTGGGCCAATCCGTTTGGCACCGACGGCCTCGGGTCGATCGACGCCCAGTCCCGCGACGACGAGTTGTGTATGGTGGAGATGTCCATGCTTGAAGTGGGCAAAATCAGGCGTTTGCTCCCCAACTCGTTTGCCATCGTTCAGAAACTCCACCAGGCGTACCTCCATGCAGAAGACGCGCATGTGTCGCAGCTCGTGGACCATGACACCCTCTTGCATAAGTATCACCACATCTACACCAAAATCAAGCAGACAGGCGACCACGACCTCTCCAAGACGTTCCGGTTCACCATTGTGGAGGTGCGCGTGGCCAGCCACTTCTTGTTGATGTTCGCCAGTGGGCTCTTGTTGGAGGACGCAGGCCTCTCCAACTTCCTCCTCGAGGGCCTGATCTTCCAGCCTAATGCGCAGATCATCGACGAGTGGGTGCAGCTCGCCAAAGCATTGCGCGCCAAGATCTTGCGTTACGAGAAGACCACCGACATTCTCTACTTGTTGGACTGGTACTTTTTCGCCAAATGCTACTACACGCTCAACAACCAGATAGTCGACCACTACCTCGAGTTCAACAGCTTGTTGAACTACGTGGTGTTGAACAGCACGTTTGTCGAGCTCATCGAGGACCCTGAGAGGGATACGCCGCCGGCGCAGGTGCCCATTGCCATGTCCGGCAGTCTTCCCACCACCACCAGCATTCAGGAGTATCCTGCAAGTATAGAGTTTAAGATTTTGGCTCGGTACTGGATGCAAATTCGCATAGTGGACATCGAGCATGCATTTTTCCAGTACAAGGGCTCGTTGTTTTCGTCGTCCCAGCTCAAGGGCACCATCTTGCCCCACCGCAAGGTGCTCCGGTTCCTCTACGGCGACGAGCTCGAGGACGTGGCGGACGCGAAGCTCCAGTACGACCTCAAGCTCTGGGGCCTGTACTACCGGCGTGACGTGCATACCGTGTCACGCACCCACATCATCCGCCGCTACCTCTACCTCTACGCTGACGTGGTGCAGTTGTTGCACGAGGAGCTTGCGGAGTTGCAGCAGCGGTACTACTCCACGCAAGCGTCGCCCACCGCTGACGAGGTGGCGCGGTTCACGCTCGACAGGCGTGCAGTGGACTTGGTGATGATGAACCAGTACACCGTCAACTTGTTTGTACGGTGGTTGAGCTTTATCCGGGTGGAGGCAGGCTACTTCCCGCTGTTGCGGTTTGCGTCGTACTACACCACCATGATCAACCTCTTCAACCACTTCTGCTTGGTGGATCAGCTAGTCACTGGCAAGTACGCAGGCGCCCGTGACCTTTTGGAGGAGGTGATGGCGCGCTATCCGCTTGCAGTGATGCGGCCGTTCTACAACTGCATGGTGGTGCAGGCGGTGTTTTTGGTGGTGTTCAAAAACTTCATGGACGCAGGCCACCGCTTCCGCATGGACTTGGACCCCAGCTACGGACGCGTGGTGCACCAATATCACCGGGTGGTAGCGCGCTTTGCTTCCAGCACCGCATTGGCGGCGTTGCATAGGGTGCCTCACTACCGCCTGGCGGTGGGTGCAGTCACCGAGACCCTGCGGTACTTGCAGGCAGCGCGGCCTGTGCATGGCACGGCGGCGGCGTTGATGGACCAGTACCAGGCCAGCATGGAACCCCTGCATTGGCAGTTGTTGGTTGACAGCTACTTTGGGTCGCTGGAGATGTTGGTGGGCTACGCAGAAAAGGTGTGGGAGCTCTTTGAGTATTTGCGGGACCCCGCGGAAGACGGACTGGACAACCGAGGGCCCATTGCCATCACGCCCACCGTCAACTTTGACCAGGACATGATCGACAACCCCAACTCGCGGCTCTCGGGGTACGTTTTTGACACCGAGATTGTGGAGCAGTACATTGCGCACATTGTGCCGAAGGAGTGAGGTACACCACCAAAACGAGCCCAGCGATGCGTACATGAACCACCCCACGTACACGCAGCCTCGCTACATGCATGGCATGATACTTCCAGGACGAGCAGCTTGGTCGTCTCACGCATGACACATCCAGGAGAGCCTATCAGTCATGACGCACTCTTCGCACCCCGTGCACTAGTCTAATGACGTACTGCCAGATCTGCATGCGTCGTATCTGGCCGAGGTCGACCCTGCAGAACCTCCAGCCCTGGCTTTGTACTTGTATATTTGTAATATTAATGGACGACACATGCCTCGTAACTAGCTGGGACCAGGGCAACCACCGGATCACTCGCATTGTTCCGTCGCTTGTGAGCCAACTATTATATCGTAGGTGATAATCCCGTTATATTGTACCTGTACACACGACTGCGCACCCGTCGCATCGTCTCGTGCAGCGGACCTTCACTGCGCTGTTTTCCGCGCCGATTGCAGTCCCCACCGCCAAGCTCGCAAAAGGCCAAGCTTTCTGCCCCCGTTGGGCCTCGTAAGTCCCCTTGTCATCCCCTTGCCACCCCCTCTTGGCCGTTGCTCACTACGGAGCTAGCGCGAACTCCACGTGGCTATGCCCAACTCACCATCAATGACCTCACCGCAGATCAACCATCGGTGTCACTGGTGGACTGAAAGCTGCGCCGATGATGCGCCGAGCTCCGCCGCCGCCCCATATATAAAGCGCAAACGCCCACCCCCAAAGCCTCTACGCATAAAGCACCCAGGCACATCCCCGACAAAGCCCAGGCATAAATACCAGCGCCCATCGCATACAATTCCCCAGGCCCCAGGCATAAATCAGCGCCCTCCGTTCCGCACCCTTGCCCGTTCTTTAAATAGCCTGCTTCTGCTTCCTGCACTCACCGCAACCAGCAAACTTCCGGTTCGCGCACGCACAGCCACTATATCTGCTCCGCCAAACCGCTGTATCTTTCAACCAATTCGCCTCCACTTGCAATGAAGCTCGCCTTGTTGCTGTTGGCCTCCACGGTGGCTGCCCAGGGCCTTGCCCTCAACTTCGACATTGTCCGTGCCAACGACCGTGCCTCCATCGACAGAGACAGCGACCACACCCCCCGCATGGTCAAGCGTGATGGCCTGTTGGACATGACTCTCACCAACCAGCAAACCTATTACATGGTTGACTTAGAAATCGGCCTGAACAAAGATAAGGTTGGCGTGTTGGTTGACACCGGCTCCTCCGACTTGTGGGTGATGGCTGCAGATTTGCGCTGTCTGGCACCCAGCCTGCAGCTGAAACGTGAAGCTAAAAATGTGGTACGGTTGCCTGTCAATCCTCCCCAGGAGCAGCCTGCGCCTGCTGCAAAGCGTGCAGACGAGCTGGAGCTGGTGACGGTAGTGACTGTCACAGGCACCGAGATGCCGTCCGGATTCTCGCCAGGCGACGCACCTTTCCGTTCAGGCTCTGCAGTAGCCTCTGCAGTAGCGTCGGCAGTGGCGTCAGGCTCGCCAGGCTCCGGTTCTTCGGGCTCCGGCTCAGGATCAGGCTCTTCAGGCTCCTCCGGCTCCAACTCCGGCTCCAACGAGTGCACCAAGCAGGGTGCCTTCAACTACGAGTCCTCTTCCTCGTTCAACGCAAACTCCTCGGCCCCCGACTTCCTCATCCGTTATGCAGACGGCACCTACGCTGCAGGCGAATGGGGCCACGACGACGTCGCCTTCGCAAACGCCACCATCAATGACTTGTCGTTTGCAGTCGCAACCAACACCTCCTCCAACATCGGCGTGCTCGGCATCGGCTTGCCGGGCCTCGAGGTCACCTACTCCAATGCAAGACGCGCAGGCGCCGCCTACCAATACGAAAACCTCCCTGTCAAGTTGAAGAACCAGGGCATTATCGACAAAAACGTGTACTCGATCTACTTGGGCAATGCCAACGCCAAGTCTGGCTCCATCTTGTTTGGTGCTGTGGACCACGCCAAGTACTCCGGCACTTTGACCACCGTGCCCATCATCAACACCCAGTCAGGCTTGGGCTTCGACTCGCCCATCCGCATTGAGGTGGTGGTCAACGGCATTGCGGTCAATGCGTCTGGCGACCAGTTCACCATTGCATCTGGCGGCTACGGCGCCATCTTAGATACGGGCTCCACATTGTCGTACTTCCCTACTGCATTGGCCGAACGTCTTGCAGACACTCTTGGCGCACGTTACGACCCCAGATACGGCGCCTACCTCATGTCATGCACCAATGACATGAACAACGTTGTCACCTACACCTTCTCGGGCCAGAACATCCTGGTGCCTGTGCCTAACTTGCAGATCCAGCTCTCCAGAAGCATATGTGCGCTCGGCGTCATGCGCTCGGGGTCTGCAGGCTACCTTCTTCTCGGTGACAACTTCTTGAGAAGCGCATACCTCGTGTTCGATTTGGACGACTTGGAGGTGTCGCTTGCACCTGCCAAGTACACCCTGGACACCAACATCGAGGTCATCAGCTCGGCTGTGCCCAGCGCCACCAAGGCTGCAGGTTACTCGTCGACCGAGTTGCGCAGCGGGCTGGTGGCCCCTGCGTCCAGAACCGCGTCGTTGAGATCGGGTGCACCTCCCCGTTCGGGCTCGGGTTCCTCCTCGGGCTCAGGGCTGTCTGCGGCCACCAAGACCTACGCGTACATGTTGCCATTATTTGTGGCTATTGGATTTGTTGCGTTTATCTAGGATAGATTAATAAAAGAATTTTGAGGCAAAGGGTTCTAGAACCTTTTAGTCAATCAAGAGCTTCTAGAAGCTGTGATAACTGTAGATGCAAAACGGAAATATTTTGAAGACCTTCGAAGATATTCATAAAAAATAATATTCAAATTTTGGTAAAGTTAAATATTATTATTATAAAGATGATAGTCAAATTGCAAACGGCTTCTAGAACATGACGTCGTTAATATTGATGCAAAAGGCCTTAGAATCCGGTATTTTATTAATTATCCTAGATTGTCTAAAATGCAAAAGGCAACATTCTAGAAGTTATTCGTTAATTGGTAGTTCAGTGTAATTCTTGTTAGAGCAAATCGTTAATGCTAATTTGTCATTCTCTTAATTATTCTTGATGATTTATATTTCGATGCGTTAGTATTTTTGACGCCATTCTGAGTTAATTCCTTCAATATCTATTAATGTTGCAATAGTTATACCGGAAATAATCATTGATTATTAATGGATCTGGTGAAACGTATACATTAATTTGATTATCTACAATTTATTCCAGTTGAGAAATCACCGTGACTCTGCAAGCGTTATCTGGTAACACTAATGTCGTCAATTAATACCCTTGTATCAGGTTTTATGACTTCAGTCCACGAAGCTCATGCCGCCTACGTCAAAGCACATCCAGGGTGGTAGCGGACTCTTTCCTGCCTTGTTATGTGGTGATGTGATAGTTGGCGTTGGAGTTGGACTCGAACACTGAATTTTCGAACTTGAGTATGAATTGCAGGCCCTGCTAGACCACCAAGCCGTTATTACGTTTGACTATGATACGAAATTGCGTCTCCTGAGTTCAAGTGTAAGCCTGAGCCGGCAGAAATTGCGCTAAGTAGTAGCTACTGATAAAATATCCTGAATACCCCTGTAGGGCTGCCAGTTTTATCTTTATCAACCTCTTCAGTCAATTGGTAGGCGTGCAACAGCTACACCCAACAAATACAGTGAAAATCCTGGGCCAATACAAGTCGCCTCTTTTTTGTCAATCTGCAAGCGATTACCCGGGGGTTCTGGTGACAACAGGAGCATAAAATAGTGGGGTCTTGCATTAAATCCATCGATCCATACAAGCTACCACGAACGGCTCGTAACCGCCAAAAATCTTTTCCCAAGAGAAATCTGAAACGGAGGAAGATTAGGATACTGAAGGACCACATGGAACTCGCGGCATGTTTCCGGAGTAGAGTTGGAACGTTTGGAATAATTGTTATAAAGAATAATTATTAATTGAATCGGAAGTTCTGATGCGTCCATGCCTATTATTGTACGGAAAATATTAATAGAGGAGCCAAATTCAACTAAACGGTCAGATTAAATGCCATTTAGAGACATTATACCTGATCAACGATCCATCCAGGGTTATACCCTCAAAGATACTTATTTATATACATATGTTATTTATATTCACAAGAACCCAATAAGAACCTCAGACAGAGAATATCGTGGCACGTGCACAATAATTATTTTAGCACCCATACTTCATTTAGCTCCACCGCTTCCCCGCCTCTTTCCAGCCATTTGTGCCTTGCAAACCTGTTGTCTCGGACCCTCCGTACCCCCTCCCCCTCCCTTATCGTTAGTCATGGCTGACGTCAGACGTCGTGCCCCCACCACCTCACACGATCACTCCCCGGCCCCTCCGTCTGCACGTGATTACTAATCCTGATCCACCAGATTGACGTTACAACTCCCAGGGTGGTTATCACTACAATCCACCAAGCCTAGCTCTTACCGCCCTCGGATCGCCTCCTCCGTCTCCCCCACCGTCTCCCCCACCTTTAATACGGTCCAGACCACTGATTGCGGCCTCTGAACTCGCTAGCCGCCCCGTCCAACCACTCACTAATCCACCGATAAGCAACTGCATCAGTCCACTCATCAGCATCGGCCAATCACTGATAGGCCACTCTGCAGTCACAGCTCATAGCTACGAGCCACATCACTGCAAACTTCGCTGATTCATCCACAAGTAAAACCCATTACTTGACTATTAGTCACACAGGACTGGCACTAGAATCTCAGTACGGACTGCTACTGAACCAGCGAGTCATCCATAGGCGATTCATTCATAATTGAATCATCTCAGTCACGCTCTAAGACCATAACTAGCACCTGAGCTGAATCCAAGGGTCGCACCACCTGGTACTGAACCCCCCAACACACCACACTAGGCTGTACAACATCTACAGGTGAAGCCATCCCTACTGAAACCAAGCATTCACTCACACCATGAACAACCAGAACCGCGAAGCACCCAACAACAACGACGACTCCGGCAGCGAGTCCACTCCCAATCGTCCGAGAGAGCCCCAGGCCGAAAGAGGCTCCTCCAGCTCCAACAGTTCCTCTTCCAACGTCCATCGCCACAGAGCAGATGCCGGGATTTTTGAACGCTTCATGGACAACTTCTTGGGAATCCACCGCTACCAGCACAGAACAGGCCAGGAGGGTGACAGTTCGTCAGCTCGAGGCACTGCCACAGCTCAGCCGCGTTCTAGACTACGGAGACTAGTCGAGTCTGCCTCCGGAAATACCCTCTCTGCATCGACCTCCGAGACTCCGAATGCATCCAATCCTTCCTCAGGAGAAACCACCAATCCCAACACTTCAAGCGCAAACCCTGCCTCTGCAAATCCTGCAGCGGGAAGCGCTTCTTCTGGAACCGATTACGATGATCGTGCCATAATTATCACCGTCAACTACGTCTTTTCTGACGAGAACAACCCTCAGGACCCCAACCGCACTGGTTCACTCATAATGTCACTTCCAAATAACTCCTCCAACAGAGACCCTCGTGTGATACAGGAGTTTATCCGGTTGGCCACCCAAATGGCATATTCTAGCATTATAAACGGGTTACACAAGGAGAAGGGGGTGACCTTGAGTAAATTCAACTCTTTTCCTGGCGTGGAAGAGAAGGATTTAGGCGAGGTCCAGAACTGCTCCATTTGTTTCGAGAAGTTCGAGAAATTGGTGGTTTCACCTGAGCCTTCAGACGACGAGGTTATCACCAAGAAGAGGAGGACTGACAGTGGGCTGACGTCCACTGCTACCCTGGACAATGAAAGAGAAGATAGTTCAACCAACACCACGACAGACCCAAAGTACTTGGTAGACTATCGTGGAACATTCGAACACATAGCCGTTAAAATGCCATGCAACCATGTTTTTGGCAAAGACTGTTTGTTCGAATGGCTCAAGCTGCACACCACCTGTCCCCTTTGCAGAAGCTCGGTCGCTGAACCTGGAAGTAACGAGGGTAATGTGTCCACCTTTGACTTACCTGTCAATGGGGTGGAAGGACTCTCGAATTCCAATTTGAGAGTTGTCAACAACGACACCACCCCAATGTCAGGAATAGACTCCTCGGGGCTCCGCAGAGTCTTGAGGTCGGGTTCTGCTCTACCAGAGGAAGATGAAGGTGAAAACAATGCCCTTTCCAGTATAATAGGATACCTCAGAAGACAGAGAAATGGTGTGACCCCACCAGAACCACTTTTTCCTACAGGAATGTCAAGCAGAAGGACGGAGAGAGGAATTGAGACTCGTAGCACGGAAGATTCAAACGACGAGGTATTGGATTTCATGAACTTAAGGAGCTTGGTAGATGGAAATGATGGATCTTCTACTTCTGGCAATACTACTAGCACCAATGAAAATACTCATGATGACTCTGGCAATACGAACTCCAATCCAAATGATGAACCTGCCTCAGGAGAAGGCACCAACAACTAGTCAGGGGGTAAACTAATAAACCAACCTCGACACACATATGGGACTGGCTCCATTCAGAGCATCTAGAGCTCTTGTGGCAGATCCAGTTATGATACCCTAAATAAATGTATAGAAGAACCAGCATTGTAAATATACGCATCTAAGCGAAATGGCACGAGACAGATCTAGCACTGTAACCATAATGAAGACATTACCTCAACATGGAGTATATTTATTTCCTTTTGTTCTTCTCTATCATTCGGTATTACCTCTAGAAATATAAATTACTCTTTTGTACTTCCCCAACATTGTGACCCATTTGGATCGCTCCGTCTACCAACTACCTTGCTTTCCGACTTCTAGACTGCTGAAGGGTTGTTATACTTACTAGATAAATTCATTGCACTTCAGTATTACAATAGCATGTATACATCGTATATTTATTTCATTATTCTGGTACCGAAAACTCGCAAATATACCCTCAATCATGTAGTATTTGCTCATTCTACTACAGGCCAATTCCTTGCTTCGAATAGATGTTCAATAATATCAATTAGTTGGCAAGACTAGTATAAATTTTCTACCTTAAACCTTTCTTGTTCATCTCCTCATTTGAAGAATTTCGCATACTTGGCCTTCTCGGCCTTCTTCTTTCCTTCAGCCAATTCGGTACATTTTTGCATGCTGTTCTCGATCACCTTGTCATTTGGCAAGAGCTCGTGTGCAACAGTGAGGTCCTTTAATGCTAGTTCGTACTTCCTCAATTCCATGAGAGAGCACCCTTTTCTGAAGTGTCCCTTGGCTTTCTCAGATGCACTCAAATTGTCGGACTCCAATAAATACACCGAATAATCGTGGGACTTCTGGAAATCACCCAATTTGGCACACACCAACGCCAAGTTCAAGTAGAGCTTTTTCTTCAAGTCATAATACTTGGAATACCACTCAGGCTCCTGGTCTTGGTCGGGAATGTACTCCATGACGTACCGAAGACATTTCTTGTACTTGAACAACGCCAGTTGAAAGTCTGCAGCCTTGAATAAGAGGCCTCCGCTTTCCTTTATGATGCTGGAAGCGATGAACACTGACTCAGATGAGTCCTTGTCTATGGTGCCATCGTCTTCGGGATACTCCTCGTAGATATCTCCTCCGATCTGGTTGTAACTGGCATTAAATATAGGCACCTCCATTCCTTCAGTCCATTCGCCACAGTTCTTGATACGAACAATGCTGGATGGAACTGGTACGTTGTCCTTGCTTGTATCCACTCTTTCCACCTCTCTGACGACAGACTTGCCATGCAACACTGTTCCGAAAATCGAGTGCTTGCCGTTCAAATGGGGCTGTGGATACGTGGTGATGAAGAATTGCGACCCGTTGGAGTCCTTCTGGCCATCGTTGGCCATGCAGAGCTTGAAGGGCCCGTCTAAAGGCTCCAGCAAGTTCTCGTCCTCAAAGAGCCCTTCCTCATTGAACGAGGACACATTTCCCTTGCCCACGTCTGCGTGAGGATATTCAGCTTTGGGGGTCTGGCCGTACTTCAAGTCACCTGCCTGGATGACGAAGTTCTTGAGCACACGATGGAAAACGGTGTCTTTGTAGGACAATACCTTGCCATTGGCTTCGATGCCCTTGCATAAGTTCAAGAAGTTCTGGGTCAGTTTTGGAGCCAAATCATCGAATAGTTCGAGCACGATTCTTCCCACATCTTTGTCGTCGATGGTGATGTCCAAAAAGGCTTTGGATCTGACTGGTTCCACTTTCATGGCTGGCGGTGTCGGTTCTTGTAATGGCATCGCAGAAATGGTTGTGTTACGTAAGCGGATTGGAGGAGTTGCAATATTGAAGTTTCACGACAGTTAGAAATAGAATGGGATGCAGCGTGGTATGTTAGCTAAGAATTGATTATTCTGGTCCAGCTATGGTGGGAATCATAATCCAAATTGTGATTCTGAGAACCAACTAATTGCCTTCTCGAAACAATTTATTGAAATAATTTCAATTTTGGTGGTCATGGAGCGAAGTGATCCACTGAGTAGTCGGATTCCAGGAGGTAACTATACTCTGCTGGTGGTAATTAAAATCCTAAAGTAACGATATGGATGCTATCAATTCCTAACTACAAATAATTCTTGCTTAAAATATATCCTTTGAATACTTAGCTTGCTATAGATCTACTCAGGAAATGCTTGATAACTATTTCATAATCTTCTTTTGTTAAAGTCTGCTTGTCATTTTTTTAATTTTTAGTTCTCGTATTTCTCCTTGGGTCAGCTCTATTCTTCGATATTTCAAGACTATGAAGCACCACCTTTCAAGTCACAGAGAAATTGTGCATTTCAAAGAAGTAGTATTGATGGATAATTTAATACCGAGCGTCAATTTCAATGGAATTGCTGGTCAACCGACGTTTTTGAACTCTTTTACTGGCCGAAATATTTAACCCGCTTCGGCTATTGCTCCCTTGATTGGAACTTCTTAGGTGCAATATCTTTTTTGGTGTAGTATTAACTTTGAGCGCCTTTCGTAAATCAATATGTATTTATTTTAAATCAAATTAGTTAATTGGAAACAACATTCCCTAACTTCCATATCCTAGCTATTCATATGATACTATACCTCCTGCGCTTCCAAGGTATGGGTATTATAGACTCCATCATAAATCTACGGTTTGATTGGCCATACAATGAAACACCCTAAATTAACCATCAACTTTACACCACCATTGCAGTCTACTTATTCTAGTATCGATGCTTTACTCATACACTTCGACTTGAGAATTGACACATTTTCCACCTCCACCTTTCCAGTTGCAAAAAGTCACTTCGTGTGCATACCAGCATCGCGATATATATCCCACTCCGATTCCATCCATTCCACACAACATGTTTGCCAGGTCTATACGGAGGTACTCGTACCAGGCTCAGCTACACAATGCCGTCGAGAACGTGAGCGTGCTATTGGAGAAGTCCGATAGGTCGTCATATTTGCTTGCTCAGTATATCCCTGAGCCTGCCAGAAATGCGTTTTTAGCAATCCGTGCCTTCAACCTCGAAATCAACAAGATCGATGGAGGAAACAGTCCCGGATCGGTCTCGGCCAAGGCATCGCAGCAGATGTCTGGATCCTTGGGCGTGTCGACCGCTGACTTGAAGTTCAAGTTCTGGAGTGACTCCATCTCCAGAGTGTTCACTGACGACTCAGACAAGGACTTGGGAGAGCCCATTGCCGTGTTGTTGCGAGATGCTATCCGCAACGACTTGAACTTGGACATCACATACTTCCACCAGTTTCTCCAAACACGTCGTCACTTTTTGAAGAACCCATCGTTCAGGACGGTCGACGATATCTGCTCCTACGGAGAAGGCACATACTCCCAGCTCAACTACTTGACCCAGGGACTCCTCCTCTCGCCCTCGATCCTGCCTTCCGCAATCAACTTGCTAGAACACTCGCCTGAGCTCCAGTCGCAGGTGAGTGACATTGCAGCCCATATCGGCCAGGCCACTGCAGTCAGCTCCATGATTCTTGGGTTAAAATACTACGCAACCACCCGTAATCTGGTGTCTATTCCAATCGACTTGATGACCAAATTCGACTTGTCCCAGGAGGACTTGTTGAGAATCACCCAGGGCCATATTAAGGACGAGGACAAGATCAAGGACATCCGCGAGAAATTGAAGAACGTGATCTTCGAGACGGCTATCACGGCGAACGATCACATTCTTAGTGCCAGAAACAAGCTTGCCAAGGTCCAGGAATTGATCGTAGACGTGGTGAAATCTAACCCCCGTGATGAACAACTACAAAAGCACTCCAAGAAATGGAGAAAAAACCTCCCTGATGTTGTATTCACACCATTTATGGTGGCAATTCCCTCGACGTTGTACTTACAAAAACTTGAAAAGCATGACTTTGACATCTTCCACCCCAAATTGGACCAGAAGGAGTGGAGATTGGCCTGGACTTCCTTCAAAAACTACTACCAGAGAAATATCTAACTGAGGCTCAACAAAAAACTGCTGCTGGATAGGAGTAACAACACCACGATGACATGTACATAGTTAAGCAACGGGTACTCCTGCCATTATCTGTAGAGTTGCAAAAGCCACCAGTAGGATGTTTTTTATCACGAGAACTACGAAAATTATCGAACAAGTAGAGGAATCAACGAAATTGCTACCAGAAGGGATTTATAGAAAGGTGTCGAGAGATATGAGAAGTATCAAGCATACACGAGAACAAACCTCTTCCAGATGGTAATTATAATTAGATTACGGACACTTCAGAAATTATTTGAATCCTGTACGTAGAACAAACTTCTTTTATAATTAGATCACGAAACATGGAGATTTATCAGCCGTGTACGTAAACTAACTGCTACTTGATGGAATGGATGTAGTAATTGATAAAGGAGCACGAGGATATGCCCATTCTAAATACACACCATAAGTAACTATACTTTTTTGAAAAAATACCGAAAATGCTAGAAAATATATAATCGTAAACGATATCGGTGTACCAGAGAGGAATTCCCCACGTACTTAGCAACCGGAATTGTTTATAGGTTATTACAGTTACTGCCAATACCCTAGTAATGAGGAGCTTTCCCAGAGTAGAATTGTCTACGATCTTCACAGGCAGTTCCAGCCAAAATCATCTCACGAATCTACGCGTATTAATTTGACAGTTCATGCTATCGTTTGAAGAGGAGTTTAGACTGAAACCAGCATGTTCTACAGCCTGCCCACAACACGAGGCATGTCTTATCGTATCTACTTGACATTAGTGGCAGAAACAATTCTGCTCCTCAGCACCAATCAGTAGTGCACACGTCAAAAAACCTCGCCCGCCTACAAACATTGTGTTGTTCACTCTTGCTGAAACTAGCTAGATTTCCACCCTAAAGCAAGGTTGGCGTATAGATTGCAAGACAATTTATCCTTGAACACCCTCAGATCGAGTTCCTGCCGTTTGCTTCCACCTTCCACACTCAGGAGCCAGAATTGACCCTGAGATCAACACCGATCTACGCGAATCACAACCGGCTTGCGCTGTTGTTTCTGGATATTGCTTGATTTCAATCATCCAGAAAGTACTGACCACGCTGTTGATCGTTGAAAGAAAGTACAAGTCTCCATCGCAGACCAGACACAACTTTCTTCCCCATGGCTCCGTCGTCTAAGTCGCCTACCCCTGGCTTTTCCCACGTCAAAGTACGTGCCAACCACCACCAGGATCAGACTACGAACATGGTTGGCATTGACCCCATCACCCTCATGATCAACGAGTGTATGATCTTGTCGTCAGCGATGAGAAAGTCCACCCGGTGGTCCCAAAGTGGAGTGGCTGCCATTTTGGGTGCAGGGGATATTTTTGGCGAGGACGAATCACTTACCCATAGTTTGGGATTATCATCCAGTGTATCAAATAATGGGGTAAGACCAACCAGCGACAACCCACTCTTCTCCAGCTTCCTACAACTCAGGGCCATCTTGACAGATGCCGTTGATATCTACCAAATTGATAGCTTGACCTTGTTGCAGCCCTTCTTGCTTGCTGTCAAATCGTCGTCCACTTCAGGACATATTACTTCATTAGCATTAAATTCCATCTCAAAGTTTTTGAAATACGAGATCATATCTTACAAGTCGGAAAATTTGCAAAGCACTTTGGTCCAGATAAGTTCATCGCTTACTCATTGCCGTTTTGAAGCTGCAGATCAAAACTCAGATGATGCGGTTTTGCTAAAGGTTTTGCGTTTGCTCGAGGAGATTATTGAGAGCCCATTGTCAAACTTGTTACCTAATGAGGTTGTTTCCGAAATTATCCAAACGTGTTTATCATTAGCGTGCAATAAAAAGAGAAACGAGGTTTTAAGAAGAGCTGCAGAAATGGCAATGATCTCCATAACTTTCAGAATATTCACTAAGTTGAAGCACATCAAACCTGAGTCAAAAAATGATGACTTGCAAACCAATTTCAATGATACACAATTACCCGAGGATATTATAGGGGGAACAGAATATGCACAATCGCTTATGGGAACTCCCGTTCCTGAAATTCACCCTGTCCAGGAAGATTCAGAAAACAGGTCTGAGGAGCTGGATACCACTGATAAGCAAGGCACCGCTCCAGCGAGCAAGCCCAAAGAGCCATCGAAGAGTGAACTCGAGGAACCATATGACATCATTTGTATTAACGAATTTTTGGGTATACTCATTTCAATGATTTCCCCCACAAACCAATACCAACACATGGAAAGCACCAGGGTTTTTGCCTTGAATTTAATCAACACTGCTATTGAGGTTTCAGGTATAGAAATACCTAAACATCCATCTTTACTAAGCTTGGTTTCAGATCCCATCTCGAAGCATATTGTACAGATTATCACTACCACAGACTCCCCTGCATTATTGCAAGCATCATTGCAATTGTTTTCGACTTTAGCCATAATGTTGGGAACTCATTTGAAGTCCCAAATAGAGCTTACTTTGACTTTGATTTCCCAATCAATCTTACCATCAACATCTAAGAATACTAAACAGACCGACAACTTGAAGAATGCTAATGTCTCAAGCAGAAATCCAATTTCTAAGGAGATGTTAATTGAATCATTGTCCTTATTGTGGACAAGATCCCCTACTTTTTTCACAAATTTGTTTATCGATTACGACTGTGATTTTGACAAGTCAGACTTAGCGGTAAAATTATTGGAGTTCTTGTGTAAGTTATCATTGTCAGAGTCTTCCACCATTACTACTGAAAATGTCCCACCAATATGCTTAGAGAGCATTTTGCTATTCATCAGTGGCGTCAATGATAGAATCAAAGGTTTGAACAAAGATTTGAGTGACTTACCAATTCCGCAATTAATTGAAAATAAGAATCAAAAAACTTCCTTCATTAAATGTGCTGATTTGTTGAATGATAAACCAAAGGAAGGAATTAAAGCATTGGAAAGTAATGGGTTCATTAGCGATCAAAAGAATATTCCAGAGTTGGCAAACTTTTTCTTCACTAAGTCCGGTAGATTGAACAAGAAAGTTTTGGGTGAATTCTTGGCCAAACCATCTAGCATTGAAATCTTGAGAAGTTTCATTAAATTGTTTGATTTCGCTGAAATGAGAGTTGATGAAGCCTTGAGAATTTTATTGAAAACTTTCAGATTGCCGGGAGAGTCTCAACAAATTGAGAGAATCGTTGAGTTGTTTGCCGAGAGATATGTTGAGTGTCAAGCAGAAAGTGATGCCAACGCAGTTAAATTAAGTGAGGAAGAGAAAGATGAGAAAAACGAGTCTGCCCAAAAAGCACCTATACAAGAACCCGTTCGTCCTGATAGGGATTCTGTTTTTATCTTGTCTTACTCCATCATCTTGCTTAACACTGATTTGCACAATCCTCAAGTCAAGAAGCAAATGATGTTAGACGATTACAAGCGGAATCTCAGAGGAGTTTATAACGGCAAAGATTTTCCTGAATGGTATCTTGCCAAAATTTACCAGACAATTAAGGATAAAGAAATTATTATGCCGGAGGAGCATCATGGGACTGATAAATGGTTCGATGATACTTGGAACAATTTGATCTCAATACAGGCATTGAGCTCACCTATTGAGACAGAACACTCCTCAGAAGAGGTTTGTCAATTTGACAAAGTGTTATTCGAATCTATAATAGAGATTTTGATTTCTACTCTCATAAGTGTCTTCAAAGAGGCTTCTGATGATCACATCATTACCAGATTAATGTCCTCGATAGACAAATGTGCAAACATATGTTTATATTATAACTTGGGAAGCTCTATCGACAAATTGATTGGATTTTTGGCTGACTTAACTACTTTAACTTCAACTGGTGTGTCCTCAAGGGCATCTGCGTCTCCATCTGCCGATGACCTTCGTGATGAAATTCCTGTCACTCAAATAAGATTGGAAGAGAAACAACAAACTATCACAACCAGTGAGATGTCAGTTTGGTTCGGTAGAGATTTCAAGGCTCAATTGTCTGTTGTTGTGCTTTTCAGATTGATCAAGAAGAATGATTGTAAGATATCTCCATCATGGAGCAAAATTATTGAGATTATTTTCAAATTGTTCGAGAATTGCCTTTTAGAGCCTAATTTGTTCTCAGATTTCCAGAAGAAGTTGAAAATTCCTTCTTTGTCAAAGGTCAGACCAAGATTTACCATCAACAAGACCAAGCCAGTTAATTCGTCTGGTCTTTTATCAACATTTTCTTCATTCTTGAAAGGGTACTCCGATCAACCACCTGAACCCACCGACCAAGAGATAGAATCCACGTTGTCTACCATTGATTGTGTTAAATCTATCAATATTCCAAGTATTTTCGAAATGATTTCGCGTGGTCCACCAGGTGACTTGGCTCTTTTCGTTGAACTTTTATTAGAATCATTCCCCAAGTACAATGATGAATCTAAGAGATATTACGAAACAGAGACCTTGTTTCTTTTAGAAATCTGTGTGTGCTTCGCCTTATTGGCTGAAGATGACACATTATTCAGAAAGGTCTTGAGCAAGTCCGATCCAGAACAAATTTCACCAAAGAATAAATTAAGATTGCTGTGTTACAAACTATTATTATTTAGGAAGGTAACTGATGGAAAAATTGAAAATAAGGAGACTGAAACACCCTCTGATATTTCAACCATTAAATCTCTCATTGTTGACCTTCACACGTTCGACAAGGAAATATTGAGCAAACAGGGTGCACAGTTAGTCCAGCCAATATTGTCTTTGATCGATCATGAAAGTTGGTGCTTCAGTCAACTCATAAACGACGAAGATTACTGGAAAGTTTTGAGATTGCTTGGGTCTATTCAGATTTTAGCCCCAGAGCTCCTAGATTTCGTGGAAGGACTTCTTAAGAACTCTCCGAAAGATATTAGCCCTGATAATTATATGTTTGTGTTAGGATTGTTGGATGAGATCTCATCCTCAGGGGCAATCGGCTCTCAATTTGAGCAGGAGAGTGATGCTAAACAAATCAAGATAGACGATCCATTTTATGAAGATTTAGTGGTTGTTTCCAAAAGATCTATCACATTGACCCATGATTTGCAAGCTATAGTGCAGAGAGAGGATTTCAATAGCAATGATCTTTCATTCTCCTTGATACAGGCGTTAGCACACCAATGTTTCAATCCATGCCGTGAGGTCAGAGGTTTCGCATTGAGCAACTTGCAGCTCCTTGTCCTCTCAGTCGAGACTACAGATCATCTTACCCCACATGGTATTTTTGAGTATGGATTGTTCCCATTATTGTCGGAACTTTCAAAGATTGAGGTACTTCAAACAGACCCCAAGGGATTTGTAAAGACACAATCGGAAACTCTTTCACTTACCAGCAAAGTGTTTTTGAAGTATTCTAATGACTTCAAGGGTGAAGAAATCAACCAAGTATGGCTAGGAATTTTGGACCATATCAACACTTTGAACGAGAAAGGGGCTAAGGTATCTAACCAGGAGGTGGCCTTCAAAGAATCAGTTTCCGAACTTATTAAGAATATGGTGTTGGTTTTGCAATCGAACGGAATTCTCACACCAGAGAAAGAGGAGATTTGGAGCGCAACGTGGCAAAAGATTGAAGGTGTTAATCCTGAGTTACAAGCATCCTTAATGCCACAAGAAACCAAGGTTGAACAAGTTGAACAAGTTGAAGAAAAAGAACAACTGGAAAAGCAAGATGAGGAAAAGGAAAAGGCTTGAATATATAGCGGAGGTACAGAACTAGAGTTGTGAGTTTAACTTCGTGTCCGGCAGGGGACACTGTCCATTTATAGACCTTCTAGAGGAAGTTATTATCAATATATACTAAGAGAGGAACTAGCAAGACGGTTGTCTGTAGATATAGCGTTATTGTAGTATCATTTGTTATGGGGTTGGTGATGCTTCATTTGTGACCTTCATACAGCACTGAAACAGGCTACCTTAAACGAACATGTGATCTTTTTATCAGCTATTCAGTGAATGCTGTTATGGGGACCAACCCAAGGCTACTGTAGTACGGATGTTAATGCACGCAACCTCGTATTTACGAACTGCAATGTCATTCACAGTTAAATATGCTCAACTACGGACAATCCACCGGAATGCGGTCAACCAATCCCTCCTTGTGGACCAACAGCTGGTCGGCCATTTCTTGCATTCCACCCATTACTAAAATCGTGTAAACGAAAAGCGCGATTGGTAAGGGGAAGTGCACCAAAAGGGAAAGCTCCAAGACCACCAGTCTACTAGCAAGGAACCAAGAGGAAGAATGACGGCAAGCTACCCCCATCTTGGGGACCCACACCAGACTTCTGGAACCTTCTAGGACATCGCAATCTCTCGTATTACAGTCTCAGCCTATCGGGGCTTACCCATCACTAAGCGCATGTGTCAGATCCTTCGGAGATCCTCTACACGTGACTTTACTAACCGTTAGTAACGACTTACATCCGGTTTAATAATGCCTGACATCCACCTAAGATCAGCTTGCTGGGCTCGCCTATTTAAACGTGCTAAGTGTGCAAGGTATTGCTTCTAACTACAATTTTTTCAACAATTACATCCCCATCAATGCCAGCCTTAAGATCAGTCAACAAAATCGTACACGCCCAGGAGCAATCAGAGGGCGTTGGCGCTCGTGTCCGTCGTTCCATCGGAGGCATGAGTGCCAGAAACTTCACCCCGTTCCTCATGCTTGACCACTTCTCCAGTGGAGGCACCAATGGGTTCCCAGAGCACCCCCACTCTGGCCAAGAAACCATCACCTACATCTTGAATGGAGCCATGGCCCACGAAGACTTCACAGGCTCCAAGGGGATTCTCTATGCTGGAGATCTCCAGTTCATGACTGCTGGAAAGGGTGTGGTGCACTCAGAAATGCCCATTCCCAACGAAGACGGCTCGCCTACCGTTGGCTTGCAATTGTGGGTCGACTTGCCAGAACACTTGAAGAATGTCGAACCCAGATACAGAGACTTGAGAGCATGGGAGATTCCGGAAGTGGTGCAGCAAGACGGAAAGCTCACAGTCAAAGTCATCTCAGGAAAGAGTTATGGTGTGGACTCCGTCAAGGAGTTGGCCTACACCCCAGTCAATTTCTACTACTATCAAATGAAGCCAGGGTCCCACTTCACTCAAGAGCTCCAGAAAGACTTCAACTACTTCTTGTACGTGTTGAAGGGAAACAGCTTGGTGCTTAACAACGAGACCCAAGCCAAGCAGCACCACAACCACTTCTTCGGCGTGGATGGTGATGCCGTGGAAGGTGTCAACCCCGAATCTGGGGACGACATCGAATTCGTGATTATCGGAGGCCAAAAGTTGGACCAGAAAATAGTCCAACATGGACCTTTTGTGGCCACCTCTCAAGCCGGTATCCAAAAGGCATTTGTGGACTACCAATATGCCCAGAATGGGTTCGAGAACCTCAGATCCTGGGAGTCTTTGATCAGCAATGGTGTCTCCAAAGAAATGATTGAGGGTCCATTGGACGGTAACTTGGAAAAGAGAGAACAGACCAAACAAGCATACTTGGCCCTGCACAAGTAAGAAAATGGCAAAGAATATTGCACAGGCCGATCTCAAATAGGTCCCACTAGCATTGTTACTAACTCTACAAAGTAACTAAAAGTTGTATTTTAGGATCGTATTCCGTTTAATTCTCTTATGTACCATACCATTAAAATGTATTACAATTATTAAATTACTGTAGAAATCAGACACCACAAGACCTACACTTGAGTTCTAATATTGGCATTTTTCTGACACTCAAATTGCTGGATAATGTTAAAGTTCTCAAATTAAAAACGTATTTCACCATTTGAAACTGAAATTATTTCTTCTAATGGGTGTCAGTTTGGGGCCAATGCCTAGGTGCAAACTTTCTTGCCCACACTTGCCCACAATTTTTGATAGGTGACATGGTCACATTCAATTCTGGGAATTGGATGCTGACAGTGGTGGTCAATTCACGATTCGAGGGTCTTTAATCTGTTCAATTGCTCCAAAATCATGTTCAATATTAGAAATCAATAAATTGTTAACTTCTACAAGACTCCCATATAATGAGCATTAATTTCCTAGGTAATGCTTCGGAGAAGGGCCAACTTCAATTTTCATTGATTAGCAGTACAGTACGTAACTCTCACTATCTTTTCTGATAAGTAAGTTTAATGAGTGCTCTTGGGTTCGATGGCTTGATTAGTTTATGATGATCTAAATGAATTGCAGTAGGGATTTTCTAAACAATTTTGATCTTGCTGAAAACGTCTCTCCAAGTCAAAAAGCTTAAATTGACTTCCATAGCTTCTTATATAATAAATTAAAATTACGCCCTGTATAAGGTCTAAAATATTATTGGCACAATATTGGCCAGGTCAACGCAGTAGACATACCTAATTAGGATATTATTCTAAAAATTGCTATCTTACACCAGAAATCAAGACTCAAGGGCTCTTGTTTGATGCCAGGTCGTGCCCAATTCAATATGTATTTCACTATTCATCTCTTCTCAGATCTCCAGTAGTTCATCAACCCTATTCCAACATGGTCAACACCCAGTCTTACACCGACCGTGCCAGTGTGCACAACTCTGCGGTTGCCCAGAGATTGTTCAGGCTCATGGACTCCAAAAAGACAAATTTGTGTGCTTCAGTGGATGTGAAAACCACCAATGAATTCTTGTCCTTAATTGACAAGCTTGGCCCATACATCTGCTTGGTCAAGACCCACATAGACATCATCGACGATTTCTCGTACGAAGGTACCATTGAGCCATTGCTCAAGTTGGCCAAGAAGCACCAGTTCATGATCTTTGAAGATCGTAAATTTGCAGACATCGGCAATACCGTGAAATCTCAGTACTCCGGTGGTGTTTACAAGATTGCCCAATGGTCAGACATCACCAATGCTCACGGAATAACTGGTGCTGGTATTGTACAGGGATTGAAGGCTGCTGCCAAAGAAACCACCGATGAGCCTAGAGGATTATTGATGTTGGCTGAATTGTCTTCGAAGGGCTCGTTGGCATACGGTGAGTACACTGATAAGACCATTGAAATCGCCAAAACCGACAAAGAGTTTGTGATTGGGTTCATTGCTCAAAGAGACATGGGTGGTTCCGAAGAGGGCTTTGATTGGATTGTCATGACTCCAGGTGTTGGTTTGGATGATAAGGGTGATGCCTTGGGCCAACAGTACAGAACTGTTGACGAGGTTGTGTCCACGGGTACCGATATAATCATTGTTGGAAGAGGTTTGTTTGGTAATGGAAGAGACCCAGAAGTCGAAGGTAAGAGATACAGAGATGCTGGATGGAACGCTTACTTGAAAAAGACTGGTCAATGATTAACCACCAACTACATAACAATAACTTCAATGCTATAACCTATGTACAAGTCTAGATGTAGGCCAGGAGTTCTCAGCAGGTGGTCTGTATATCTGAGAAAACCAGGTAAGAACGAGGATCATGATGTCAGTCATGAGAATACATTTATCGATGGTAGATACTCACGAAGAGAACGCTTCTTCGTCAAAGTTATCTGCTAGTTTGGTTCTCATGATTTCGAAAACCAAAAGTCCAACGGATGTGGCTGGAATTGCCGTCAACGCATTTCTCACAAATCCTTTGTATGCAATGTCAAACCAAGTCAATTTGGATTTGGTTTTTAATTTGATTACCTGATTATAGGTATCAATGTATGAGTTATAGTACAATTTTATGAGGGGTCTTGTCTGTGTGTGGGATGAATTGTAGATATCAAGCGCTTCTAGTCTGGAAAGATGGATCTTCTGTATCTTTGTGAGAGGATACTGCACTGCCAACAACGAGAAGGCTGCAGATGCACCTGCCAACAAAATAAACGACGATTTCAAAATCTTGGTCAGTCGGGTTTGTTCCAATCGTACCAATCTTTCATCTATTTCAGCTTCAGTTTCACTGGATAAAAACAGTAGCTTCTTCCTTATATTGTTCTTCATTCTTCGATAGGTAGTGATCATTCTGTACGTTAAGTTATAACCTTGCGTCTTGACTACTTCGAATGTTGAAAAGTAGAATGCAAACCCGAGACTCTCCTTTATTAATGAAAACCCATATCCCGCAAACACCCCAACCAAACCCACTTCTTTAAGCTTCTTCAATCCATATATCCAGAGGTTTTGGTGTTCCCCATTTAACATTTCTGCTGCATTCAGTCTTGTATATATGGCATCGACCGGAGCAGCAGCCAATGATTGAGCAGCACCTGCAATGAATCCCGCTTTCCACGTATCCAATGGAGTGTAGTAGAAGCTGTGCTTGGATTCTTTCTCGTGGGCTTGGTCGTAATTATCGAGAGCAGCCAAATAAGTACCGTACAAAATTAATCCAGTGGCGGAATTGGCAATTAATGGTGGCAATACCTTTTCTGGGATGAACTTCCAGCCCTCTTTCTTGATCACGTTTATAAGCATTCCAATGGATGAGTGTGTGCGGATGCTGTATGGTTTCTGTAAGATATTATCATGCTTGTTGGCAAGCTCTCTAACATAGGCCAAGTAGTCGAATCTCGAGGGCCGAAAGAGCTTGACTGGTGTTCTGAGGTACAATGCCTGTAGTTGGTAGATTAGTGCTCTGATACCTGCTGTAGAAACGGTAACTTGTTGGTTCGTGTTTTTGGTCAGTTTGTGAGTTTCATGATCCAAGCTGTCATGCGTTGTATCTAGAAGAATCGGAGACGATGCAAATAACGAAAGGGGACTATGTCGGCTCATTGGATCAGATAGGTGGGAAAAGAAATGGAGATTGCCTTGCTGAAATATTTGTAGGTGTTTATCGTTGTAGTTTTCCTCGTTGTGGTTGTCCTAACTATATTGGGGGTGGTATAAAGATCCCCGATGTTTGTATTCTTAAACGATGAAATGTTAAACCTCTTCAAAGGAAAGGTTTACTAAGTAGCTGACTGGGCCACGAACTGTTCTGTACCAATCTCTATAGTGGATGAATTGTTTAAGAGACTAATCACTTGTACTCCTTTTGTCTTCAGTACTTGTCACTTCCGATCTGGATAGTCTTCCACGGAATGTGCTGTGATGTTTGCCCTCGAGACTTTGCCTCTGGTACTGTATGTGGTGCCTGTACTCAATAGAGTAATTCTCTGAAAACAGTTGCTTGACGAGCGATGAGGGTCTTTGTCACTCAATGAGCCTCTTAGCTTCTGTAGTAGCGACGGAGTTAGGTTGATGCCTTAATGGTCTATTCTATGATCACTGGTTGTGTGGTTGAGATCGCTATCGTTATATTTTTTCGTACAGAACTAGTATGCGATGGTAGATCGCGTAGATTGACTGGGCTTATACATTAGAACTTAAGACGATTAAATGGCACAGCTACGGCAACAGAGATTTACTACCACACTGAGATGGTGTATTGCAATGTATATCCTTTTTTAGTATAATCTAGTTGATTTTTTAGATCGGCAAGTTTTTTAATGCTTATCCTATACTTATTATAATCTAGTTATTTTAATCTTCAGTTCGACTAGCTTGTTCCAAATGGTATCGATATGGATTCTTGAAGGAGTCGGGTCTGAAATCCCCAGGAAAAACATGTATTTTGAGTTCGTATCAAACAGACTCTATCGTGATTTTGGATTGTATTCAAATGCCTATCTTCGATCATTTCATCTTGAGTTCCAGGACAATTTCACGGTCAGCCCTTTAACTTCCAAGACAACAGTATTCAAACTGTTCTTGCTTTGCATTGCATCCTCTACTCCTCTCTATAAAGAATAATCTCGCTTTGTTTGAAGTATCTTCTGGAATCTTCATCTATCAACACCAACGACAAGTACGTTCTGGTGGAAAACTTTTTGTTGATATCCTTGTAAGTGGGGATCAAGTCGAATCCCCCCAAAAATAACCGTATTGGTATTGTTTCCCCCTTGATTGGTGCACCGTCCATGATTTCAAATCTTATCAATGTTTCGCTATCCACTATCTGATTAGGTGGCACCCCGACGGTTTCTCTCTTGATCAAAGATAACTCCATATGTTTGATTTTCAACCTCACAAGTAAAAAGTATATTCTACCAATTATCACGTCCTTCAAAGAGAACCTGGACTTCAGGTACTCAAACTCAATGTGCAAGCAATCCTCGATACCAACATCCATCTTGACGGTTGGTGTGCTGGTGGAGGGAGTATTTTGTGAATTGGACTTTTCTGGAGCATTGTTGACTGCTGGAAGCGATGTAGGAGGACTGCTGAACTGGTATACCCAGAGCTCTTTCTCCCTGATGATATCCGACGACGACTTCTTTGATACATTGACCTTGATGAAATACCTCAATCTTGCATTTTTTCCTCTGTAGCTCTCGTACTGCTTTTCCACGTTCTTGAATTCGAAGGGATATGTTTCTTGGTGGGTCAATTGGGCAGGAGCGGATAATTCGGTGGCTAGCGATAAGAACTCCGACGTCACTAATCCGTCGATGTTAGTCTCAATGACACCGAGTAATTGGACCTTTATTCCAAAATGCTCCACCTTCTTGCCTTCTTTGGTTCGGATTATCACGTTTCCTTTGACAGACTCGCCATCCTTGTAGACGGGTAGCTTTTCTAGCCTGCCTTGGGCTGTCTTGACTTCTACATGCTTGCGGTTGTCCTCGTTGTCTAGCCGGATTTCAATGTCTAGGGAAGTTTTGAAGAAGATGGACATTTTGCTGACGGTTCGACCCCAATTGGTTGGATTCAAGTAGGATCTGTTTCTTGAGACTGCCTGGATAACGCACCACGATCGGCACTTTGATCACGTGACTTAGATTTCTTGAAGGTATTTACCCAGCGATGCCAGACAGCACAAGAAGTCCACATCAGTTCTGACGGACCCTGCCGTCTTGATCCAGTACGGGAGCCTCTTCCACAACGCCCACCACGCTGGCCCAGGAAGACCTTCCGCCAATCGTGATCACGTGACTGCATCGCGCACTACCTGCCTCCAGTTGAGCCCCCCTGGATGTCATGTCTTTACCTACTCAGAGCAGTGACAAATAGAGGAGCGTTCATTAACCGGCGCTTTCACGTTCACGAAAGCCAGGGTCCCGTTCAAGCCGATACTTAGTGTCAATTGTCTTCTACCCAACTCGACCTTGTTAGCTATTCCTACCAACAGTCCAGTACCTGAGTGAGTCGTTCATCGCAAGATCTTTACTAGCATAGAGTTTGTCAGTGGTTCAAATATGTCTTACATGGACGAAATCGCCCCAGACGTGGTGTCTCCTCACGACTCCAACGCCACGGCAGACCAGCCGTTGAAACATCTCGACACTGTGATCGCATTGTATGATTTTCCAGGCACCCAGCCTTCTCATCTTCCATTAAACTTGGGTGATACTGTATACGTACTATCAAAGTCCGACACAGGATGGTGGGATGGTGTGGTAATATCCAACAATGAGCTCCAGAGAGGCTGGTTCCCCCATAACTATGTGCGGTCCGTGAACTACGTCCAACCAGTATTGAACAAATTGAAAAGTAACAAGGAGATCGATTCCATAACTGCGGCGAATACCGCAGCCAACGTGTTAATTCCTTCTTTCACAAGCCTTCTCCAGAAGAACTTCATTGATTCTGAGAAAAACTCGCCCGCTACGGCATCCAGAAAGAACTCTGTAGTGAGTTTTGCTAGCTCGGAGACTAGTATACCTTCAGATTCTAAGATAAATACGTCTTTGACGCCCTCACACCAATCATCCACACCTTCCCAGCAGTCTCACCAAACACCCTTAACCCAACGAAGCTTGTCACATCTACTTGGGCCTGGCGACATCACCGACAGCGTTGAGTACACTGACTTGGATGAAGCAGAAAGATTACTGGACGAATATAAGCTGAAGCACAATAAAACTGTCACATGGGTCCCCAAATGCACCACTGGTGGTGATTCTATCTTCTACTGTGAAGCATTAGATATTTACTGTGAGTCCATTCCATACCTTACTTTTGATGATTCAAACTTTCCAGCGAACATAGAAATTCCATCCAAAGTGGCCTTGAGTAATAAGCCAATAATTACTATAGAAGAAGGCACCAATAACAGTGGTGCTGAGTCCAACAATTTGCTTGGTGCAAGACAAAACTCATCGTTTGATCCTTTGAAAAGAGATTCCAACGCATCATCAATGAATTCTCAAAGTTCTGGGGCTTCATCTTTTCATAAATTTTCCCAGCCATTCTTTGCTACTGAAAACCTATTTTATAAACAACATTCAGATTTGTCGAAATGGAGTGAGGTGAAAGAAGAATTCCTCTATTTGTTGGACTTGTCTTTCAAGGCTTTAAAGGACTACAATAAACTGTTGTTCAGTACCCATTTTTTCAAGTTGCATAAGTTAATATCATTGGTTTTTTCAGCCTCAAGATTAGCACAAGATGATTTTATAAACACGAAGTATGAAAAGTCCATCAGGAGAAAATTGAAGAAAATAGCTGGATCTTTTGTCCAGGTTTACATTAATGGAATTCTCCATTTGAGTGTCATGCATTATTCTCAAGCTACTTCCGAGGACCAATTATTCAGTATGGATATCACAAAACTCAACAGATCCACTGGTGGTGGAAGATATGGATCTAGTGTTGCTGAATCTACGGGTTCGTCCTTATCAACTTTAAGACAGAATTCAGAAGGGAGTAACCTTGTGGGCCCCAATAACAATCTCAATTCTATTTCATCTAATTTGCAACGGTTGACATTGAATGATGATCAAGAATTTGTTACTTACTTCCAGCAAATTGAATTCGAAGTTGAAAATCTCAAGCATAATATGACATCTTTAACAAAGATTTTCTTGAAACTAACCGTGAATAAGAAAGTTCGCCGGTCCGATTACGACGGTTCTGATGCATCAGAGGATGAAGGAGAAGACAGATATGATATCTTGCCCCAGGTTTACCCACGGTTCATCACAGATGAATTTAATGGGGGTAATTGGTGCAACCCGTTCTTTGCTTCGAAGAATCCCGCTCTCAATGTTAGTGGAGATGATAAGAAGAACAGATACCATTCCAAAGTAATCATTGATAATCAGGCATATGATTCGATACTTCATGATACTGAAGAGATGACTGCCCTTAGTAGAGAAACGTTGAAGTATTTGGACCCTGAGGTCCAGCATTTGTACTTTAATGATGCGTTGAAAGGTGAGAGAAACACACAAATTTTGAGACTTATTTATAAGTTTTTGAATCATGCCAGTTCAATGGTAGACTTGATTGAGTCCTTTGATTTCACAGTTTTCTGTTTGATCAAAAGATATTCCTCAGATGAAGAAGATCCTGAAGTAGTGAAAGAACGCTTGGAGAAGAAAAATCTTGAGGACTTTTCTTCCTATTCTACTTCATCAAGTCCTTTAACTTTTGATTATCCTGTTGTGTTGGACTTTTTCCAGTTGAAGCAACAGTTTCATGACTTGATCTTAAAAATCATAATGTGCACTCAATCTCTCACACTTGACGATCCTGAGGTATTCAGGAGTCTAAAGGAGGAGGATCCAGTGTTGTACAATCGTGATATTCTAAAGATACCCACGGAGAAAGCTGCATTATTGCTCACCAATATTCTTTCGGATCAGGTCAACGAGTCTAAAGGGAATGCGATTGCACTCAACCCTGATACATTGATGTCAGGTCATATCAAAGATGGAATCAACTTCTTTAAGGACATGTTGACCATTATTCAACAATTAATTGATGAGAGAGAGACGATTCTTAACTATGCTACAAGAGTTATGCATGATGATTTCAATGTTCAGCTTTTGATGATAGAAAGAAACAATACTATACTTTCCACAAAATCCGAAGAGGGAGATTCGTACTATAGTGGAGGCCAAAAGAAATCTACAGATACACCATGGTACTTGGAAGGTGATGACGAGTTTGATCTTTTATTAGATATGAAGGGTAATATCAAGGGAGGAACAAAAGAGGCATTAATCTCGCACTTGACACATCATGATATGTTTGATTCGAACTTCAATGCCTCCTTTTTGTTAACATTTGCCACTATAATGACATTGGGCGAGTTCATTGGACTTTTGATAAATCGTTTCAACATTGAAGCCCCCGAAGGCTTGAGTTATGAAGAATATAATACCTGGATCTCCAAGAAACAAAATACCATCAGGTTAAGAGTTATGAATATCATGAAGCTTCTTGTTGAGAAGCACTGGTGTGACTCTTACTACAATGAGCTGGTAGTAAAAAAGTGGTTATCTTTTGCGCACTCAGGAACGGTTCAAAACTATAGTGTTGGAAAACAACTAGCTAACAACTTGGTACGTTTAATGAATGGTGAACAAGTGTACATTGAACGGAAACCTGTTATCCCAAAGATCAAGCCTCCTGCACCATTGACCAAGGGCTCCTTAATGAAGAAAATTAAGCTACTTGATATTGACTACATTGAGCTCGCTAGGCAGTTGACACTCAGAGAATTCAAATTGTATTCCAAAATTACTAAGTTTGCATGTTTGGCAAAGGTCTGGGGTAAGAAGTCAGGTTTGAATGAACCCACCGATCATATTACCGCATTTATCAAGGCATCCAATCAGTTAACAAATTACGTTGCTTACATGATTCTCAGAAAAACTGAAACAAGAAAGAGAGTTCAAATCATTAGGTACTTCGTGCAAGTTGCAGAAAAATGTCGTCAATACAACAATTTCTCTTCTATGACGGCAATCATTTCGGCCTTATACTCTTCCCCAATCCACAGACTTAAGAAGACTTGGAAATTTTTAAATGCCGATGCACTTACACATCTTCAAAATATGAACAAATTAATGAACTCTTCTAGAAACTTTAACGAATACCGTGATGTTCTTAAGTTTGTTGGATCGGAACCATGTGTACCTTTCTTTGGAGTTACATTGAGTGATCTTACCTTTGTGTACCATGGTAATCCGGATTATTTGATGAACAGAACAAGAATGACAAATTTTGCCAAGAGAGCTAAAACTTGTGAGATTGTCACGGGGATCGACAAGTTCAAAACTACTGGATTCAATTTCCAAGAGGTACTGGAAATCCAAAAGTATCTCGATTCTTGGTTTGACAAATGTCCAACAATTGAAGAACAATATCAGCTTTCATTAAACTTGGAGCCAAGAGAAGTTGTACAGACTACAAGCACTAATTCAAACAGTACTTCAAGTAAATCCGGACATTCATCTAGTACCAGTCACAGCCATCATCAAAGTATAGCACTGCACATCAAAAACCAAAAGGTATCGAATACCCTAAGCAGTTTCGCATTCAAAGCAACCTAAGGAGCTTTGCAATATGTGAATAATTAACGCTAGTCCGAAGATTTTTAATTAAAGTTCAATACAGGAATGAATAAATATATACTAGTCATCATAGAACACGATTAAATACAGTAAATAAATAAGTTACACTAATCTTCATATAATATATTGAAATGGTATGTATAGAATAATTCAGACATAAATAGAGCATTGGATATCAGAACCAATTCTACTACTTAATAATGACTAAGGTAGTAATATGCGAGGAGAAATGAATGAAATGATTGTGAAACGTGAACCATAAAAATTAAGAATCTGTCAAGGGCAATCTTGAAGTGGTAATGTACAGTTTGAATTAGTTTTTGCCTAATAGTCTTCATAAAGGAAAGTGTGTGGGGAAGGAACACCTCAACCTGTTGACGCAATGTGTGGCGAGGCAAGCCTGTATTTTCAGTGTGAGTAGCTCTTACTAGGACCCTTGACCCGATTGAATTGGAGCTTGAAGTTTTCAATGGTGTGGGTATTGTGCGGGACGGATGTTTGGATATCCTCTATGACGGATTGCAACATCTGGTTCAATCGCGCATCTTCTTGGATGGACATGTCGTGGAGACAATCCAATATATTATTCAAGTTTGCGTCTTGCTGGTGTAGATTTCGGTGCAACCTGATTGATTTTGTCACTGCTTCCTGGTGGGTCTTCTCCGAGTAGGGCATAAACTTGGGCTGGTCGGCCTGTTTCTGGAATTGATATGGCTGGTGGTTATAGGCGGTGGATTTCTGTCTGTAAGTCGAGGACGAGGAAATCTCTGTGGAGGCAGTTTCTGTAGAGTGGCATGTCACTGCCGAAAGGAGAGTGCTGTTGGACTTGGTGCTGTTGTTGCGCAGGAATTGGTGTTCGTCTTGGGTGGAGCACGAGTCGTAGGCTTCGTCCTCGTAGGAATCTATGCTGGAATCAAAGTCGAACTCATCGGCCAAAAGGCCATCGAGCTGGCTAAACAATTTCTGGGTGGGCATCACCGCAACTGGACTAACTAACTCGAGGCTTCAACGGTGTGGTATCAAACTCTACTGATGTTTCAGAAGATGCACTGGATTAGCGTCAACGACAGTTGAGTAATTCGTTTTGGCTATACGCGGGTGGTTCTATATGTTTATAGCTAATTTTCCTTGCCAATTATGGTTTCGTCTCTTTTAGGTTTTCGCGTTTGGTCCTGCCAATAATACCGTTGTGGTGGCCGAGCTGTTGGGCCCTGTGGGGCGCCAACCGTTCAGTCAGCGCACGCCAGCACTGCCTGGGACTGCGGTGCTTTGTGGGGTCCTGGCCACCTGCCTATCTCTCGGCCATGTCACCAGGACAATGCTACACGATGCTGTCGCTGGTGTCTGACCGCGTATCGAACAATAGTTGCAGCTAAATTGTCATGGCACCCTCGGCTCGCGACAGGAACTGACGCGCGCGGACGCTAGCGAACACTACCCGCAGCCGGTCACGTGGGGCAACCGTGTCCTTTTGGGCCCTTCGGTACACACAGGGCCCCATCGTGGAAGGCGTGGGTGTGTCCCGAGCCGTCAGCGATGCAGGAGTCCTTGAATGCAGTCGCCCAGACCGAGAAAAGGTCACATGACACGTGGCAGCCCCATGCCATGACTCAATCGCGACAAATGGCAACTGCTTCCTATGGAAGACCTTTAGCGGTCTATGATCTTTGTATACACTATAAAAAGCCCAAACCCGTCCAGGTGCAAGCTGGAGCATAAGCCTCTTCGTTTTCTGTGCTGGACATCCTTGGATGTGCTGATCTTGCACGTTTCTAACCCGCTATCACAAGTTTCGCAACCCGGTCATGTCGGGGCCCCGCGGAGTCCCAAACGTGACTCAATCAGTGGAGTATAAAATCACCCTGACTTCCTTGCAGATATCTGAGTGAAACCGTCATCTATTGCTTAGATAACACATCACAACTCGACTACATCCTCAACTATCCCATACCACCCATATTTTAACAATGACAACCTCTACACCAATTAAGACCGTATGCGTGTTCTGCGGTTCATCCTTCGGAGCCAAACCCTCATTTGCTGATAAGGCCAAAGAGTTGGGCGAGTCGATGGCCGCTAGAAACTGGGGCTTGGTCTACGGTGGTGGGTCGACAGGACTCATGGGCACCGTGGCTAGAGCGTGTGCTACCAACGGAGGGTATGTTCATGGAATCATTCCTGAAGCATTGATCTCCAGAGAAAGAACGGACGAAAGTGATGAGGTGAACAAGAAGATAAAGGAATCCATCGATAACCACGACGGATCCACTCCACTTCCAGACTCCAAGGAATATGGTAAAACCACCTTGGTCAAGGACATGCACACCAGAAAACGCTTGATGGGCGAAGAGGCAGATGCCTTCGTCGCCTTACCAGGTGGATACGGCACGTTGGAAGAATTGATGGAAGTGGTTACTTGGTTTCAATTAAATATTCATAACAAGCCTATTGTAATTTTCAACACCGATGGATTCTATGACAGCTTTTTGAAGTTTATCGAAGAGGCCATCGCCAACGAGTTTGTCAGTGCCAAGAACGGTGAGATCATCAAGGTTGCCAACACTGCTGAGGAAGTGTTGAAGGCAATCGAAGAATTCGAAATCCCAGAAGGTAGATTCGATTTGAAATGGGATACTACTTAGATGGGACTGGTTCTTCGCTTATATACAAATCCAAAATAATAAAATAGATAAGATTAACAGTAAGAATCTCCCGATAAAGAGAAAAACTGGAAAAGATCTATAGAAGCCACAAGTTATAGAAATATACAAGGTGCAAACAAAAAACCAGTAAGGCATAAATTAGGCACAGTTACTATTTACACCCGGCTACAATATAATACATACAAGGTCATTTATTCTATAAGTATATCTATGTTCGTTCAAATTGCATTTCTGACAATGCACTAAAAATTAGACACCACAGCCACACTTACTGACAACTCCTCAGTGTGGGTTGAAGTCATCTTCGTGTTGCTCATCATGAACATGGAACAAATCCTCAAATTCGTCATCTGGAATTTGAACCTCAGAAAGGTATCCAGTGGCAACATCGTACATCATCCCCCAAACTTCAATTTGGCCGTTCTTGAGCGCCATTGAAGCACTTGGGTGTCTCTTCAACGCAGTAACCGAAGCGATAACATTGAGTTCCGCCAACTTCTTGGCCTTCTCCTTTGGGTTCAGGTTATACTCGTTCAACAACTTCAAGTTTGCAGCTCTGATATGTCTGACTGGGTTCAACCACAAGTCCAAGACACCGCCGATTCTTTTCGATGACAAAGAAGCCCAAACACCACCACAATCAGTATGGCCACAGACGATGATCTTCTTGACCTTTAACACATCAACTGCGAACTGGATCACACCTTGAGATGAAATATCGTTGGCATTAACCACGTTGGCGATATTACGGTGGACAAAGATTTCACCAGGCAAAGTTGACAAGCAAGCTTCGCCTGCTCTCGAATCCGAACAGCCGATCCATAAGGTGTGAGGTGATTGACCCTTCCCATTCAAATCAAAAATTTGGTTTGAATGGTTGTGCTTGATGGAGTCCACGTAGTACTGGTTGTTGTGCAAATAATCAGCCATAGTAGACTCCTTCGACAACGAGAAGGGGAAGTTGGAGTGGGAGGTTTGCTTCTTCACTGGAGCCCTTCTCTCATCCTTGACCTCTTCTTCCGATGGCAAAACCACCAAATCAGTTTCATGATCCTTCTCCAATTGATAGTGTGCGATGTTCTCTCTGCCCATGGTGATACTGGAATTATGGATTGACTTGAAGTGTTGTCGAGCTACGCCAGCTACTTGACGCTGAATATTCCGTTTCCACAAAGTCACTGTGTATGGCCTTTTATATAGTTTCCACCGGAGGTAAATATTGGGTAATTATATATGTCGTCACACACTCGCCTCAATTTGTTGACTGTTTATTTTTTTTATAATGTTAAGCTTTCGTGTGTAATTATGCACATAAGGAACAGTAGATTAATGTATTCCAGGCCATGCTCTCAGCCTATTGTGTAGTAGATTACTCAGTTGACTGGCCGAATCATAGTAAAGTTTCTTTTTTGGATGAGGGATTCGGAGTTTTTTACAGGTTATCGATGAGGTAATTGGTATAACCTGTAATGTCAACCAATAATAGTGCTAGATTTGGGCCAACAAATGTTGATGTGATCAATACACAAAACTGTGGGCGATAAGAAGCAGAAAATCCCGACTTGTCTTATTCGTTAACTTGACGATCAGGAACATACGTCTAAGACAACCTCAATTAAGAAACTGTGTCAAAAGTGAGACTCCATTGTTAATAGATGGGTGTTTTGAAGAGAATTGCAAACTTATAATTAGAAATCATTCACGCCAGAGTTGAGTTCATTACCAATCGGAATGGACATTTCCGGATCAGAAAAATGTGTTAGATCAACTGTGCATGTACCGAGTCATAGGGAGTCATCATAGTGAATTGTCACGTGATATTAACAACGTGATTGACGCGTCTTAATTGGCGATGGATCCCTTAGCTGGATCACTATAAGATGGATATTTCAAGCAACGATGGATATGAATCGACTCCGCCCACAGAGGTGGATATCAGTTCGATAATAAAGGAGCAGGGCTTATCGAAAACTGATTCGAAAGAGCAACAGGAATTTAATGGGTTATCTAAGCACCACAAATTTGAAAGGCTCAATAATTTGATCCAGAAATCACAGGTTTACTCCCAAATTATAGCTGATAATATATTGCAAAGAAGTCTCAATCTGAACAATGTGCGGGACGATAATCAATCGAATGAACAAAAGGAACCATCTAAAAAGAAGAGGAAAATTAAGAAACAACAAGATATCACAACCATGCTATCGAGCAACATAGCTGGCTCGACCAAAGCTACGCGACAAGCGATTGAAGACTCCCAGACTAAAGCGCTGATGTCACAACCTAAGTTGGTTACAGGCGGAACTTTGAAAGATTACCAATTGGAGGGTTTGCAGTGGTTGAGCACCCTTTTTGAGAATGGGTTGAATGGAATTCTCGCAGATGAGATGGGATTGGGCAAAACGCTACAGTGCATTTCATTTCTAGCCTTTTTGATAGAACAGGGGATTAAGGGTCCTTTTTTAATTGTGGTACCGTTGTCAACTGTATCAAACTGGGTTAACGAAGTGCGAAGATTTGCTCCGGAAATCAAAATCTTCAAATATAGTGGTTCAAAAGAGGAACGTTCATCTATCAATATCAAGAATCTAGTCTCAAAAGAAAAAACCAATATCATAGTAACTTCATATGAAATATCAATAAGGGATTTCAAGAAGTTTAATTTAATTAACTGGAGTTACTTGATTGTGGATGAAGGACACAGACTAAAGAATAATGACTGTACGCTAATTCGCTTTTTGAAAAAGCTTAATGTCTCTAATAGGCTTCTCATAACTGGTACACCATTGCAAAACAACTTGAATGAGTTATGGTCATTGCTAAATTTCATTTTGCCAGATATTTTTCATGATCTAGAATTATTCCAACAATGGTTTAACTTCGATGAACTAACTAAATTTGAGAACGATGACCAGGATGGAACTGACGAAGAGACCAGGCGATTAATTAAGCTCAACATTCAGGAAAATCTTGTAAAGAACTTGCACACAATATTGAAACCATTCATTCTTAGGAGACTTAAAAGAGATGTGATCAAATCCTTACCCCCCAAGAAGGAATACCTAATACATATTCCATTGACCCCTTTGCAGAGGAAATTGTATCAGGATGCTCTCGATAATAAGCTTTCCTCGGGCCTAATTGAAATTGCTATGAAAGAATACATAAACTATAACTACCCCAAGGAATTCAAAACGAAACAAGATTATGCATTGATTGACAAATTTCTACTCAGGGAGCCAAATTTGGATACTACTTCCAAATCGCAGAATTATAAGGAAGCTGAATCAGATGACGAATTTGAGCTGGCTGTGGTGCCTGCACCTGTACCCACTACTAAAGAAAATGACAACTCTTCTCTAGAGTCTGTATTGAAACAAAAGAATCTTCCGAAATCGAAAAAGCAAGATTTAATATTGAGGTTGGTGTACTCAAAGATCATAAAGGATATCAATAATTTATCCTTGCAAAATTCAATGATGCAACTAAGGAACATCTGCAATTCGCCTTATATTTACTATGAACCATTCGACCACTCAGAAGGCAAGCTGACAGATGAGAAGCAATTCATGAAAATTCTATATAAAAATTCCGCAAAGATCCAGGTGCTAGATCAACTTTGTACCGAACTAATGCTGAAAAAGCACAAAGTATTGATCTTTTCTCAGTTCACAAAGTTGTTAGATTTGTTGCATGACTGGTTTAATTATAAGAAGATTCAAGTTTCACGAATAGATGGAAGTTATAGCCAGGGAGATAGAGATAATGAGATAAAGCGCTTCAATGAAGATTCAACTACTCCAATATTTTTATTATCCACTAGAGCGGGAGGTTTGGGCATTAACCTTACTGCATCCGACTCCGTTATCTTGTTTGACAATGATTGGAATCCCCAGATGGATTTACAAGCTATTGACAGAGTCCATAGAATAGGACAAACAAAGCCAGTGAAGATATTCAGATTTTTGGTGAAGAACTCTATCGAGGAAATCTTGATAAGCAAGTCGTCGTCCAAGCGTTTCTTGGAAAAATTGGTTATCCAGATGGGTGAGTTCAAATTCCAGAAGTTGAAGAAGATTATTGAGGAAAACGATAGAAACAGCAACACTTTAATTGACGTGAAAAGTATGCTAGAATTCTCTAAATCGAGTTTTAAGCTGTATGGTGAGATAGAAAGTGACGACAATGTACCAAGCTACGAGTATTCGTTTGGATCAGACAAAGAAGTGATTTTCAGATTAACAAAGAATGAAATAAAAGAGTTATTGGATAGATCTGAATTGTCATACCAAAGAGAGAATATTGTCAACCTGAGAAACGTCTCCTCTTTTGAGACCTTAAATAATATGGATAAGTAATTTTGGTAACACATACACCTTTGTATTAGCTATTCTAAATCTTATTTAATGTTCTTGAAGCTCTTTCCCTCCATCTGAATGAGTTCCATACAGCACTGTAACTCCAAGTTAAGTCCGTAGCACCTTGCATATAACCGTGATACTTATTAAATTGTTCGGACATATGTCCGCTATTATCAACATGATCTTTGATTATCTCCAAAAATGAGTCTGAATAGTGAAAGAGGTTCCGTGTTAAACTGACATAAGTAGTAGAGCCATATGGAATCACAATTTGAGCATCAGCTTCCGTTTCAATTCTTTCTATATCGATAAAATCTTTAAAGAAATCTTTGTTTTCAGAATTAACAACAATATTTTCACGATTTTTGCCTAATTTATAAAGAAATTTATAAATCACTTCAGCCGCTGTTGCAGTTGATAAAAACCAAGGATTTCCTTCTGACGTTCCATGTCCATCATACACATCTTCAGGGTAACGCCCTAATGCAGCACCAATTCCTCTTTCGAAGCCAATTTTATTGTGGTTGATTGGATAGCGGTACTTCATGTCACCAACCATGGCACTCAAAGTGTTGAGAATTCGTCCATCAGTCACATCAAATGGAACATCTGCATGGTCATTTGACTCGATGTTATGAGAATGAATTGAACCAAGAAGAACAGCAGAATCCAAACCGCTACGCTTCCCAGACTTCAAATATGAAGGGGTTTCAATGATATAAGGATGAGATTCAGGGGCATAACCAGAGATTTCCACAATGAATGCTTTCAAGTCATCATAGGTGTTCTGCAAAGTTTCAATGAAGTCTGGATCATCTTTGAGCTCCTTCGCTACGCGGACACCATCCTTGAGTGCTCTTAATTGAGTAATTGAACCAAAGAAGTGTAATGAGCTAATCTCTTCCCAAAGATCAAATCCTTCTTCTTGCCAATTCTTAGATATGTAGATAAGATCTGGCTTAACTATCTCTTGATAGATGAATTCCTTCGATCCCAAGAATGTGTTTCCAACACCTTTTTCAAACTTGTCTAATAAACTGAGGTAGCTCAAAATTGTGATGACCCTTAATCCAGGGCCATCTCTTTGAGGCCTACCCCAATGTTCGTTGAAGGCAGTATTATCTGCATGGAACTTGGGTTCTCCCAAACCAGACTTCGAGTCATCATCAAATCTCCCTGATTTGTTATCTAATCTTTGAAGATAATAATTATTCTCAATGTATGATTCAACAATCAGCTTGATATGGTCAACACCTTCAAATTCTGCATCTTGGATATAGTAAATTAAAGATTTTATAGTTAAAGCAGCATCACGAGTCCATTGATAAAAGTAATCAGGATCATTTTTAGAAGGTGAAGCAATCACTGCACCTTTTGCCACCTCTGTTTCATTCAAGAAATCACTTATACCTCCAATGTTATTGAGAATACCTTGGAACGAGACTTCCTTCTGTTTGATAATCCAAGTTTCAAAGTTGTTGTTGCGAATATTATCTTTATCATAAATGGAAACTGCTGAAAACCTGATAACCTGATCTCTTAGGAGTTTAAAGATTGACTGACCCTGCACTGAACTAAACAGGACAGGGCTGGTACTAAGTCTAGGAACGTATAAGGCAAAAGCCGAATTCAACAAGAGAAAGCAATAGCAGATGTGACTGATATGGACCTTCATTACTAAATGGTTGGTAATGCCTTTAGGAACCAAGTGTGTATATTTTGATAAGAGCCGATGGGTCTCTTATAAACCGCCCTCAATTAGCAATCTTACTCAAATATTGTTCCCCAGCTAAAAATCTGCTTGAAACACGCCTGAGCTTAATTAAGATGAATGGAAGACTATGTAGCTAACTGTGACCAGTAGTTTCTAGCAATATGATAGTTGAAAGGAATGTAGGATGTTGTTTATATATCAGCGCTGCCCGGTCACAAACAGATTTTTTGCACCCCATAAAAAAGTTGTGGATTCCTCGGATCATTGACAGAAAGAATAGGCACGACAACAAAATATGATCATGTTTTGCCAAGTAGGACAACTTGGTAACTAAGTGAAGGGAAGGAATTTGATGTCATGCTGGGGCTGATATTATCTCATACTGTTATTATTTCACATTCGGGCCGTTTCTGAGTAGTGTACAGGATGGTGTGGGGTAGATAATATCTATGACTATGACCGTGCCTGTTGCGAGCCAGAATCATTGGTTGAAAGCTAGTTTCAGTGAGGGATTCAAACCCCAAGTATTCACGCCGATTGAGAGAAGGCGGGTTGTAGAGCTATCATCGCCTCAGAATAGTACCACGATTGCTCGTGTGGCACTTGCTTTGCACCTCAAATCATGATTTTTCCTCTTCGAGCGGGTTTTACGTCATTTCAATTTCAGGCCCATTGGAAATAAACCATAACTCACCAATGGCCTAATGTGTATCGTATAAAATTTAAAACTTAACGAGAACCTTATGTTTCACTTTATCCAAACATTATATGTGGCTGGAGCCGTTATTTCTTGATCAAGGATCTGCTATTAAAAATCATGTAGTTGCCACGATACTTCTCGGTAGATTTGATTCCTACAAACTTAAGGTTACGGATATAGCCTAGTCTTGGATTTTATAAAACTAAAGAAACTCTGAACTACAGAATGCAAAGATTGTGCACTTCTATGCTTACCATTGGTTGTTACTCTCGATGTAATCAATATCCTGTTCAATGGCCTTCCAGTATTCTTCCATGCTTGTGTACTTTGGCTTCCATCCAATAGCATAACCATTGTCAGCCCTACTTCTAGAGTTGGTACCCCAGTAGTATGGAGCAAACTCGTCTCCAGAAAGCTTAACAAGAGGTTCTGGTTCAAATGCGACGACCTCTGCAGATCCGATCAAGCCCCTCTTGTGCATACTCTTACCGATGTATTCTGATAATTGCTTCCAAGTGTGCTCAATAGAACTTGGCTCCTTGGTAGGGGTGCCTTCATTCTCAAGGGCGTAAGCACCAAAATAGTAACCTTCCTTGTTAGCAGGAATAGATGCACCGTTGAGAAACTTTTGCAAAATCAAGTAGTACAAGTCACCCAAATCTTTGATGTGGATATGACTCCAGATATATTCACCAGAGTAGGAGGTGACAGCTTTTCCATTTTTTTTGGCAAGCCTGATCAAAAAAGGAGATTGAACAGAAATTATTTTGTCGTAACCATTGCTGATACCAACAATGTTAGAAGGACAGATGATTGCAGTAGTAACCTTTTCGTTGTGACTGTGAATGTCCAAAATAATTTCGTCAACTGGTCTGTGGGGTTGTTCTGGAGCCAAAGAGTTGATCTCATCAATATCTTTCGAATCAGAATAAACTTTAGTTGATGGACCCTTGCTAGCACTCAAACTATCACCGAGGACTGAGGTACCAGAAGTGTGGATTAAGACCTTCTTAGTAGTAGAAGTGTGAAGAGCCTCAGCCAAGACCTTGGCTGATGGAACATGGTCAACATTAGCGGTGTTGATAATAACTTCATTCTTGCTGACCAATTCTTTAATGAGGTCCAAGTCATCCAAACAACCAATTGCAGTAGTCACCTTAGAGTTGTTGGTATTGGAGGGTTTGTTTGCTGCAGCCTTAAGTTTTTCACCTTTCTCTTCAGAACGGACCAATGCAGTGACATGGAATTCTATCCCATCTTGGTTGTTCAAGAGCTGGTATAAGGCTTCACCACCAATATATCCGGTAGCACCAGTAAGAAAGACTTCGATTGGCATATTATTGAAAGTTGTTTGTTTGATAGTTAACAATTGAACTAACTGAAGAATCCATCGTTCGATGCATGACTTTAAATACTTCGGTATAGCAATAGCAAAGCTCCCAAAGCTAAAACTATGGCTTACCAATATTCTTGACAATTGTTTGCATGCAGGCTCTTTTCGCATCATACCCGGACTTTTCGGAGAAGCTTTGTAATCATCGAAAGCAGCCATCAGCTAACCACTAGTTCCAAATCCGCAGTGGAACAAACCAGAGAAGAAATTCTGCACACGGCTACATCCTGCATTACAATTAGTAAATGCTAGCTGTATTTGTATCAACTGTTATTAATGAATCGGAGATTTCGGTGATAGCGATTGCTGGCATTTTATTACTTTTCCTTTCATTATTTTGGAGCCTATCATGGCTCCATTGATTGGATATGAGATATACAATACTGAACCACAACCAAGACGATTCTACTAAAGGTACATAAGCTTCTACAACTATTTCTCAAACTTGTCTATGATCCGAAAACAGTACAACGAAAGACAATTTCAAAAAAGTAGGAGCCTTTGGGTCATTTGGTTCAACCCCTTCTGAAAACCCATTCGGCTCATCGACATCAGACAAAAAAAAATGACGACAACTGCAGGATTCGAACCTGCGCGGGCAAAGCCCAAAAGATTTCTAATCTTTCTCCTTAACCACTCGGACAAGTTGCCACTTTTTCTCCATTGTAACAGATTAAACTTAAGTCCTTGGTTTACTTGGACGTGCCGTGATAAGGCATCTGCGACCACGTTTTGCGTCCCTGGGATATGCACGATGTCGAAATCAAATTCCGCTAAATATTCGAGCCACCTAGCTATCCTTTGCTGCGGATACTTCGGTTGTTCCCGTAGGTACTGCAAACTGAAGTGATCTGTTCTGAGTAAGAACTTATTTCCAAGTAGTAAATTCCTAAAATGTTGCAAACTAGAATGTATTGCCAAAAATTCTCTTTCTTGTGCCAGGTATCTCTGTTGTCTGGGTTCCATTTTCTTACTGAAATAAGCGACAACACCTAACAATTTTCCTTTATCGTCGACTTGTTCGAGGGTAGCACCCATGGCTGTCCCTGACGCGTCTGTAGTCAATCTAAATGAATTAGATGGGTCTGGAGATATCAAGATTGGTGCCGTCACCAACTTCTCCTTTAAATCTCTGAACGCTTTTCCTTGCGTTTCTTTCCATTCTTCAGTTCCTTTAATGAACTCTACTATAGGTCTAGCAATCTTGCTGCAACCTTCAATAAACCTTCTATAATAGTTTATTGTTCCTAGGAAACTCTGTGCTTCCTTAACCGTTTTCGGTTCTGGCCATTCCACTATAGCTTTGATCTTGCTCTCAAGTGGTTGAACTCCTTTGGTTCCTATCCAATGGCCCAAGTATTCCAATTCTTCTTTAAAGAAATCACACTTCTTTAACTTGGCGATAAACTTATTCTCTCTAAGCTTATTCAATACTAGTCTAACATGCTTCTCATGTTCTTCCTTGTTTTTGGAGTAAATTAATATATCATCCAAATACACCATTACAAACTCTTTGTAATCTTCCAATACCCTATTCATTGCTAACTGGAATGTTCTGGGTGCGTTGGTCAACCCAAACGGCATGACATTCCAAACGTACTGATCTGTTTTCGTAACAAAAGCAGTCTTATCCACATCCTCTGGGTGGATTCTAATTTGATGATATCCTGACATCAAATCTAACTTCGAGAAGATCTTGGCTTGTCCAAGGTTCTCTAATATATCGTCGATTCTGGGTAATGGGAACTTCGACTTAACAGTCTGATTATTCAAGGCTCTATAGTCCATGCATAACCTTAGTTCTCCCGACGCCTTTTTGACAAATAAGACGGGGGCAGCAAATGGTGATTGGCGTCTTTCAATAAAGCCAGTCTCTAACCATGTTGCTATTTGCTTTGCCAACTCTTCTTGTTCGGGTTGGGATAATCTGTAGGGTGCTCTAGCTGGCGGATCCCTACCTTCATGTAAAGTAATACGATGTACGTATTCTCCCAACTCTGGCAATTCCTTTGGTGCTGTGTTCGTCACAACATCCGAATATTCTTCTGCAATGAAGTCGGGGGTTGAATTCCGCTCTTCGTGCCTATCATTCATGCACAGAATTCACCATGACGACTCCAGTCATCAGAATTTTCTCTTCTTTCTTCAAATCCTTCTTTAGTTGTCTGCTATTGATCAACCTAATTTCCGTAGAGGGATTTCCTCCTGTCAAGATCATTTGATCTAACAGATTTAGTGTTTCTCCTTGGAGGTTCATATTTTCCTTACTCCAATCTAAACGGTTACCGTGTTTCAACGCAAACGGTTTGCCCAAAATGATGGGTGTATCTGTTTGGTCATCTTCAATCACAACGAATTTCAACCTTTCTTGTAACCATGGTAATTCAATCTCTTCGTTGCTTACAAACTTTCCTCCTGCAAAACCTTTAAGAATCAGCTTTCTCTTCCGCGATACGATTGTAATAGAATCACTTTCCTTTAATTTTCTAACAAGTTCTCTAGATATAAGATTGGCCATTGCACCTGGGTCGACAAGTGCTACATAATTTTGGTTATCAATCTTCATGATTCCGGTATAAGGTTTAAGTTCAGCTTCACTGTACTCCTCATTAGGTGGACTCAGCTCGTCTGCCACCGAGATGGTAGTGACCTTTCCCACGGAGAGGTTTTGTTTACCGTCAGAGTCTCCTTCAACTGACTTCGCTAGTTTTTTGAACTAGTTTTCTTGTTTTCTGGACAGTTTCTCAGAATGTGACCTTCCTTGCTGCACTTGTAACAGGTCACCTTGCTTCCTGATTTAGGAGCGTAGGGTCTTTGTCCTGCTGGCTTAGCTTGATGAGGTTTTCTGTAAGAATTTCCAGACATATAGTTAGCGGCTCTTTCGCAAGCTACCGCAATTTCCATTGCATCGCCTAGGGTCTCTGGGCGAGTAGCCACAAAGTCTCTAGCGAACTTGGGTGATAATTTCGCTTGGTACATCCGGACAAGGATATCTTCATCGAAGTCCGGGACCGAATAGGTCAACAACTGGTTGAACTGTTTGTTAAATTCCTTAACTGGGAGGTTTCCTTGGGTGAGACGAAAAAATTCATCCGTCGTATCGTTTTTGCCCTGTTGCAACCGGCTGGCATAACTCGTAAATTCAGGCCAGATGGAATTTGGATCCTTACCCATTGTCTCCATTTGATGCTCGTGTCTTTTGAGCAACTTGTGCAAGTGTTTTCTTTCCGGACCACTACCGACTTGGTAGGAAACCCATCTTGCCACAGCAATTGGTTCGAAAGGAACGTTAAGCATCAGGATTCTAGCCTCAATGTTGGCTAAGTAATCAAAGAGGGTCATCTTATCCTTTCCATGGGGGGACCATGTGGAGTTAAGCCCTAAGATGTCGAAGTAATTGACACCTGGGTTGGAACCTTCTGGTTCGGTGGTAGGGGTTTCGGTTTCACTTTTCATATTCGTCTGACTTATCTCTTTTTTGCAACTTCCCTGGTTCAACGTAGCTGCGCTACCAACTGTAACAGATTAAACTTAAGTCCTGTGTCTAATGCTTTATTAGTAACCTCTTACTAATAAATGTCTCTTCACTATANCGTCCGTCCTATAGTATCTCTAACAGTAGCTTATGTAATTCTTTGGAAACGTCTTAATCTTAAATACTATTACTCTTAATAATATATTGAATCTTAAGTAATCTGTCACTTAGGAACTATTGCTCTTCTTGAGTTCTTCAATAATCCCCTTGTCTTCCTAAATCTAATCTAAGCTACGCTTTTATACTTCTTGCTTCCGTTCGTACGGCATCCTTTTGCTCGTCTATCGTCTCTCTGCATTTGTCAGCAGTTTCAGGACATTTGTCATCAACTGCATCCAACTGCCTTATAACCTGACTTCTCGTCTAATGTCTTCCAACACCCGAGGTTAACATGTCTTCTTTGTCGAACTCATAACTTTAATTAGTCAGCAAGTCGTATAAGCGTACGTAATCAACCGTAACGTGATCTCAAACCGTTACATCCATGAAAAGAGTGAGAGTGAGATACAAAGATTACGTATTATTTTACGTAATAGCAATTAGGTGCCTTCTGTGGCGCACAAAGTTGCAAAAAATCATCAAAAAACAAAATTGAATTCAAAAATTAATTTAATTATAACGGTTTGACCATAATGGTGTGTTATCCATAGCAATAGGTATATAGTCAGTAGATTATAATATACTTCCCATTAGCAAAAAAAAAAAAGTATGCGGATAAAAAGTGGTTAACTCAATCCGCTTCTCTAACAGCTACCTTCATGGAGTCAGGTTAAACAACTCTGCCTAGGCAGACGACATAGCCTTATTCATCGAAGAATCGTTAGACTTCCAGATAATTGCGGACGAACTCCATAACTACCAACAAGTGTCTAGCAGCAAGTTTAATCAAGATAAATCCCACATCTATATAAGAGGTCCACCCACAGACGAGGAGACGAAGAAGCGGAAGGGACAGAGGAAGAGGTACGCCACCCGATCCTCAACTTCCCCGTCAAGAAACTCGCGGCGTCCTCCATTGAGTACTTAGGCTTCAGCCTATGAACCTCAATTGGACTCATGAGATCAACAAACTCATGCATCTCATGAAAACGCGCTTGATAACGGAACTCCCGGCCACACTCCGAGCACAAGCGATAAATTCATACTGGTTCTCCAAGCTATACTTTAGAGACCTACACTCACCAATGCCCAGAGCGAAGTTACAACAGTTAACTCAAAAAATTAGCTGGCTCTTCCCAGGTATTGGCAAGGAAAAAGTCTTTGGATTAAAGGAGAATGGAGGCTATGGAGTGCTCGACATCGACTTGCAACTCAGAGCCAGAAGGGCTTTATACATCTACAACACCCTCACCGGCACTAAGCATATACATTATGCTATCCTCAGAGGAAAATTACAGAGTATCACCCCAGGCAGCCACGGATGGTTTTGCTTCCTCGTGGGAGACAACTACTCCAGAACATTCAGGGTGAAAGAACTCTGTCAACATGTGGATCTCACGGAAGCGGAAAGAGAATACCTCCATACAAAGAGGATGTCTAAGGCTAGAGGATTCCTCGACAACATCCTAGGCTGGGATGACCAACCCGTTACTGCGGCAACCTTCACAAGCTTAACTAGACGCATGAAAGAATCCAAGGAACAGGTACTCATTCTGAGAAGATGGAACGAACGTCTTCCAGACATAGGCACAACCGGATGGAAATCATTTTGGAAGCGCCTCAAAACCCTTAGCTTTAAGTAGTCAGGGGCCATCGACGGCATACAACTATTCAACCATGGATCCCAAAACCACCGCATTATCAATGAACAGACATGTCCAACATGCAAAGCAGCTACCCCTCCGGACATGAGGGCAGTGGAACACGTCTTCGTTCGGTGCCCCCAGCCCAGCAATGTTGGGAAATCCTCAGCATCCCAGAAGAACTTCGCAACATACGAAGCTTAGTCGCCCCACTGGCGCAGATTATAAATGATACAACTATCATCAAATTGGACAAGTTGATTAAGACTCTTTGGAGGTTATGGGTGCAACGACGAGCACAAGGGGAGGCCCATGCTCGTCCTCCAACCACCAACTAATTGTCTTTCCTCTTGTCCAGCCAAAGTTCCTAATGAAAATCTTATCTAACATGAGCTGCTTCTACAAGGTGCCTTTTGTTGCGCACCAAGTTGCAAAATGAGCATAAAACAAACTTTAAAAACTAATCAAATTATAACGGTTTGACCATAATGGCGTGATCCATTGCAATAAGTATATAGCCAGTAGATTGTAGCTTCCTTCCCATTAGCGAAGATTAAAAAAGGCGCATACTTCAATTTAACTCATATCACCATATCATAATAGAGGAAAATTATATCAAGTATAAATTATAATTCAATGAATTAAAACACACCTGGCATATTCTATTTCAGAGTAGTAAAACAGCAATAGGTAATCAGCTACTCAAGCCCCCTTTTACCATTTGCTAGTGATCGTTCTTGATTATACTATCCTTGTAGATTTAGTGAAACATACGCAAAGTAGAATAAGAGCACAATAACGTTACCTCCATTTCATGGGAATTAGCAACAAACAAGATCTGAATATAACTGAAAGCAATCTAAGTAGTTTTCACAAAATGTCTCTTTTGATCGGTTAATGCTCTAACTAGATCAGGTCTTTCCAACAATTATAAAAATCAACTGGGCAAAAGGCCGAAGGCTTTTTCAGTTCCGGAAACCGAGCACTTAACCAGAATATCAACAGTTCTTGAGGGGTGATCGCAAGACATTGTAATTTCTAGAATGCTTGATAAGCGATTCGCAAGCCTTACGTATCCGTTCCTGGGGACATTAAGTCAAGTGATGAACACAATGCCCCACCACATACTCCAACCATAACAGGAATTTCCCGCTCTTATTGTGCTTTACGACAGCCACAAAAGCTTCTAATGAGTCTAGGTGCAAGTATTTGAGGCTTGTTGAAGCTTATGAGAAGTTCACCTAAAATGCTGGACGGAGATTAATAACGTGAATAGCGGCAACTGCCACCTTGAGTTTGAGGTGAAAACTCTGGGGAGATTCTTAAGAATTAACTTCTGTTCTGAGTGCTCCGAAAACTTCCTGGCTATGAAACTATCCATATCTAATTGTGGCCTGACTGAACCCGGGGAAATAACCATTTGAGAGTCTATTTTAATGTTATCTTTAATAGTACCTACAATATTCTTTGGGCTTCATAAACGAACTCAACAATTCGGAGAATAACAGATATACTCTGATTCCAAAGCAACAAAGTCATATTGAGTGGGCTGGGAAATAACTCCAAGGGTAAAACTCTTTGAAAGACAAGCCGGTTTACAAGTAGACCAACACAAATGGTGCTCGTCAGGCCAATAAAGTTCTCAAAACTCAGCAGGTCTTTTTTGACATGTTCGAAATTGTCTTCAGGACTTAAATCTGACAGGAGTTCAGTAGACTATAATTAATTTATTAGCAGGAAAGACCTTGTCCTTTAACAAAGCTTTGTATCTTTTTCAGATTAAGAAGGCGTATATTTTGTAGGCAAAGAAGAAGCCGTCTATTGAATCAAATTGAACGTGAAACAAAGGATAAACATCCATTCCCAATATTCTGATCCTTGGATCATATTAAATGAACTCTGCAGAAACAACTCTTACCTCTAGGACACAATAGTTGGTCAAACATCCATGCAACCTATTCAGCTCAAATGCTCATAATTCGAAATCAAATACTCAATAGCTATAAGAATTACAAGCTAAGTTTAATATCCTCACACCACTTGAACACTACTACTAATTGAAAATGTAATCTCACGTTTCCAAAGTCTGCATGCGGTGAATTAGTGTCGAACAGCTTAAGCGAAATATAAACCAAATCAGATAGATGGCTACAATATACAATAATCTTCTTAAGCAACGCCAGTTTCTTCTTCATTGACCATTCGAACGGATGTTTCCAATCTTTACTACCCTTACTACTGTATTATCTATTAAATTAATATGACTTAAAAAACTATTCAAGTCCATATTATGATTATTAAAATCAAATAAAACGAAATTGAACTCAACTTACAATATTTCTCAAGATGCAACTCATGCAATTAATAGACTAAGACATTTGATCTATATCCATATACGTACAGACAAAACTTGGAAATACGCAATTGACTTTCGATTCAAATCAAAAACTTAACAACTTCTAATCTTCTTATCTATAATATACTCAGGAATTCAAAAACAACCTTCTTCGAACCCAAATCTATCAGAGAGCAAAGATCAAATTAACGTCTAATGGAGAAATTGAAATAACATCGAAGAAATAAATCATACCCCCCACCTTACTGCCTCGTAAAATCTCAGCTAGCGTTTAAATAAACAATGCACAATCCACAATAACTTGCAATAAATTATTCCGCTTGAGAAGTACTCAGTTAAGAATATGTCTGTACATTTCATGGCAACTTCGAAATTAAGACCACTCATAAACTTCCATTCATACACACTAGGATCGAGAAGATAGAAAGTATTTGTACTTAGCATACTTTTGAGGCACTCTATGATAGGTATCAGTTCCGATAGACCTTGTGATTTCCATAAATATGTGGGTCAGTCCTTCTTGTACAGGAAAAGATCGGATATGTTGATCAAACAATTAATCCGAACTTATACAAGATTGTTAAAATGTATGATTTGGTTTTGCACCAATTCAAGAAAAAGAGTTGAAATCTGGCTGTTAGCCTGCTAGTTCAGTAGTTTAAGCTTTGTGAACTATTGTAATATTTCGATTCTTTTTACATTGTGCTTACATACATACGAACAGAAATGATTATCGATAGATTTAAATCTGTAGAACAACTTAGTCCCAAATTTGAACTTCGATGCTTACACGAGTGATTTTTAGAACTGTCTGAAAGCTAGCATGGAGCTTGTAATTAACTTCTCATGGTCATGTGGGTTGAAACCTAATATTCCAGGGCCACCGCTTATTGAATCTGTTTCAATTCGCTCTTGAGATGCAAGAGAGATGCGATTTGAATTATCACCAGCTTAAATACCAAGAGTAATGGCGATGAATCTCTCAGCTTGTATTCGGGAATTCTCATTGGAGTCCTAGTGAAGATAGCCTACAATTTTCTCAACTTGCGTGCCTTGAACTTGGGAAGACGGGAACGGAGTATTCTTGAGTAATGAGTTTGTTGATTTTGTAGAAGGGATCTCATATTTCAAGGAAGGCGAGGCAAAATTTAACCAGTGCACAAATGGAAGCGTTGCAAGGTGAGAACACAAATTGAGAAGCTACTTGTTTGCAACAGCGAAGTAAATCGCTAAATTAGAAGCATTTAACTGTTATGTAATTATTATAACTTGTAGGCTTTGAAGCATCTAAGCCTGTAAGGCGTATACTTGTTTCTGCTCCTGCCTACTTTGTTGGCTGCGAAATATAATCACGTGACTAATATTAGTTTAGGGGGGTCAGGTAAGGGATCATCAACAGTTGTATTGATAGTTATGGACCGAATTGGTCAAGATTGACCAGCTGCAATTTTCAGGAGGATAAGTCACTGGAGCTAAAAATATATCTGAACATCCCTATTGTCTAATATACTACAACAGGTATTCGCCAAGAACTTAATCATGACATTTTCAAAAGTTCAAGCTTGACCATCACTGACTTCTGTTACGTGGCTGTAAATGCTTCAATATTTCATCTTCTTTACCTAAACTCAGATCAAGAAATTTTCAGTAGTGCATTTCTTAGTAAAAAATCTAGAACGTACATGTTTTGCTCAATATTCTTTGTTGCCTTACTATGATCCACCAATCACAATTATTTGAAAGCAAAATACATTTTATATCTATCGCCACTTGGATAAGATGTAGCAGCTGGTCAGGATCTGATTCTGTGGGTTATTGGGTAATTGTATTATTTTAGACTGTGCTATGAATGCTGTACTGGACCGGAATACTCACCCCATAGTGAAAATGGCCCTGGGCTTTGCTTAAATTTTCAGCACCACTAGTTGAACTTAACGCTGCTGCTTAACGAACTCCTCTCTTTCTGAAGGACTTGTCGGGTCGAAACCTTATATACTGAGCAAATTTCTTCAGTTACCTAGTGCCATTTAAACATATTTTCGAATAAATTCTTTATTTCTCGAAGATTTGCTAACTTTCGAATAAATTCTTTATTTCTCGAAGATTTGCTAACTCAATCAAGTAAATAAGGATTAATATGTAATACTTCAATTCAATATGTCCATGATTGTCTACAGTATAGACAGTTGCCTTAGCTCATGTAATTGAAAAAAGGTTTCCAGGTTTCATAATCCAAAATTAGTCACAGCCTCAAACTTGAAATATGAGGCCAATACTGTAATACAATTGCTGAAGCAACACCATCCATTAAATAGTATTTAATCTTTTAAGCTCACTAAAGTGAGACAATTCCCCAACAGAGCTATCTCATATATCAATTCCTACTCCTCGAGATTCATAAGAAGTCCATCTAATTATTCTGTTCTTAACTCACTTAGAGTAGGTCATATTGTGATTCTTTTGTCACCAATTCCGGTTTTGTTTCATGATGCCGGTGTAACATTCAGTTCCGGCCGAGAATTCGAATATTACCTCTGTATTGAACTTCATGAAGAAGATACGGAAATCTACTAGATTAATCCGTTCCCAATATTTTTATCTCCAATAATAGCTCAAGTTAAATATTATAACGTCCTTGTCTCAAGAATTCTAATAATAATAGAATCTGGAGTCCTTGTCTGAACCACCTTACAAAATTTCGGAATCTTGTAAAGACATAGTGTAGAGTTATAGACGGGACTGATCTATTGTCATTCTAGTGTGTCCTTGTGGGTTGCCTCATTAATGATCCTTTTCACAGTTTCCCCCGCATTGACATATCACTTCCGGATATCTAGTCTTCCGGTATGAACCTTAATTAGCTCCAGAGCCTTAAAAAATGTTGGTCAATCATATAGCTCGAGGTACATGCATGCAAACTAGCCGATCTATCTGATTATGTAGGTGTCCCTCATCTGATTTGATAGAAATTGGTAATTACGATATTAAATGTTTGAGTACACCCTCACAACGTGTATGCAGTTTATATTGGCTCGGCTTAGGGAGGATTTACAATCAATCAAATCCCACAACTATTCATTAAAGGTTGTTGGAAACCAATAGATTTTGGTGCCTGTTATACCTCAGATTAGGCGGTGATAGATCTCAACTTTGCTTGGTCTGTGGCCTGATACTGTTCTAAAATCACAGGATTCCGCTGTTGAATTCCGGGTTTCCGAGGGGAACGCATTATGTGGGGAAGGCATTGTCATATGAGTCTGAGAGAATCATCGGATAACTGGTCAAGGTGTCGGATATAAAAGAAGGAAAGGACTCGACTCGAATTAACACTGATTCAATTGTTCAACTAGCTCCCAGGAATACAATGTTTGACTTACAGGAAGCGCTTATGCCGATGGATGTGACGGAGGAGCACATTGACACCGTGCTTTTGCTCATGGATGCCGTCGTTCACGAGACTACAGTCGATAACGTCCTTCCTTACTTGGATAAGGATTTCCCAAAAGAAAGATTGGAAGAGTACCTTAAAGGATATAGCAGACCATCGCAAATTCCAGAATATAGACAATTCGTGAGGCAACAGATCAGCGCAAGCTACACCCCCACGAAGACACAGAGAGACTTTAGATTCTTAGCCGTTTTATTACAGTCAAGATTTGCCACTCCATTATTCACCAACTCTCTTAAGTTGATTTCAGAAATGTCCATCAAAGAAAGGGAAGAATTGTTGAAATCCTGGAGGGATTCCCCACTTCCATTGAAAAGACGGTTACACTCAGTTTTCACCACTTTGGGACTAGTTGGATTTGCAAGGTATGCTACAGACTTACACAATGCTGCCATTGGATATCCTGGCAGAGACACTAGAGAGTTCGAAAATCAAGCCAGGCCTGAGTTCAGATACGAAATGATGGACAAGCCAACTTCAGATGGCCACGTGTTATCCATTCCAAATGTTGATGTCCTTATCATTGGCTCTGGATCTGGAGCTGGAGTAGTGGCACAAACATTATCAGAACAAGGTCACAAATGTCTTGTTCTTGAGAAAGGAAAGTACTATCACGAATCAGAATTCACTTTCAATGAAAATGAAGCAAGATTATTGTATGAAAATGAAGGTGCAGTGACAACCACCGACCAACTGTTATTTATGTTAGCTGGCTCTACCTTTGGAGGTGGTTCTACCGTAAATTGGTCAGCATGCTTGAAGACTCCATTCAAAGTCCGTAAGGAATGGTATGACGATTACGGACTTGATTGGGCTGCAAATGAAAGCTATGATCAATGTATGGATTACGTATGGAAGAAAATGGGTGCATCTTCGGAGAACCTTGACCATTCGCAATCCAACAAAGTTGTTTTGGAGGGTGGTAGAAAGTTAGGCTACACAGTCAAAGAGATTGCCCAAAACACTGGTGGCCATAATCCCCACAATTGCGGAATGTGTAACTTCGGTTGCAAACGCGGAGTGAAACAGGGTGCTCAAGCACTCTGGTTGCGCGAAGCACTGGATAATGGTTGTCAATTCATGGATCAAGTAAGAGTAATTCAGATTTTGCACAATGATGGAAAAGCAACTGCAGTATTATGTCAGAACGAACTCACCGGCACTAGGTTCACAATTACAGGCCCAAGAAAATTTGTTGTAAGTGGTGGCTCATTGAATACTCCCATTGTATTACAACGTTCGGGATTCAAGAACAAACACATTGGCAAAAACTTAAAGTTGCATCCTGTTACGGTGATTTTTGGCGACTTTGGAAGGGGAGTGAAATCCGATCCTCACTATTACCCAATCATGACAAGTGTTTGCACAGAGAAAGATGATTTAGATGGCAAAGCACATGGTGCAAAAATTGAAACTAATATACATGCCCCTTCGATCCATATGGCATTCTTGCCATGGGATGGTAGTGACAATGCAAGGAGGTTCCAATTGCGTTACAACAGTTTATCATCTTTGTTGATAATTACCAGAGATACAACTAGTGGAAGCGTAACTTTTGATCCCAAAAGACCAGATGCTATGATTGTTGACTATACTGCCAACAAGTTTGACAGAAACGCTCTTTTACAAACCATGTTAATTGCTGCAGATATGTTATATATTCAAGGTGCCGAAGAAATCCTTGCTCCACAATCATCAAAACTTACCTTCAAGTCCTCCAAACCAAAGGAAGAGAGGACTAAAACTGATCCGGATTATGTTGCCTTTAGGAATAAGATTGCTAATTCGCCAATCGAAGTCTATGGCACTAAAATTGGATCAGCTCATCAAATGAGCACTTGCAGAATGTCCGGAAAAGGACCTGCCTATGGGGCATGTGATACTAAAGGTAGGCTTTTTGAGTGCAAGAACATTTATGTTGCAGATGCTAGTGCTATGCCAACTGCTAGTGGTGCTAATCCTATGATTTCGACCATGAGTATTGCAAGGCATGTTGCATTGGGTATTGCAAAAGACTTGGAGCCTCAAATCAAACTTTGATTTCGCCTTTGATGTTAAGTTGCTTAATGCAGATCATTTGAAGTGCTTGAGAATTATTTGATAAATATATTATGCTTTTTTGTACAGATTAATGTAAGAAGATTCGTAACTAAGATGGAAATTAATCCGAGCATAGTGAGTCTAACTCAATCGGAAGATGAGAGCCAGTTAACTTGATTGTGAGCGAAACTGCATACGTCCTCCATATTTGCTTTGGAAAAGTGCTCAAATTGCAACTTATCCTCACACAATGCTTTATTTATATGGGCCCATTGGGTAGCCTCAAAATCAATCTCTTTCTGTTCATCTCCAGAGTTGTTCGGATATTTGAAATTACCATACAATCTGTATTTGAGTTTCATGCTGTCTTTTTCATAAATGTTGTCCTTTGTGATCAAATCCAATGGATCAAGTTTTGGGTAATTGCAATGCAATGTGAAAAGTGGAGTGCCAGCACGAGATTCGAAATCTTTATCCTGTAATTCTTTGAGCTTCTTAATTTGTTCGTCAATTGATAAATTATCGGTTGAAGCATCTTTGAGGACTTTCTCTTGGTAAATTTGGTAGTCACTCAATGGGTCTTTCTGACCCATTGCAACTCCTTCGAATTTATTATTCGAGTCTAGGTAGCCTGCTGTGAGAATGAAAGATTTAAGTTGATAATACTTTTCTCCAGTTACTTCAGCAGCAGCAACAAATGTGTCCTTATCACCCTCTCCTTGCTCGCCGAGTGAAAATAATTTATAATACAATTTTGGACCATAAACATTGTAGTAAAGTGATAACATTAATGTTTTTCCATGAGTGGCTTTATTTATCATCAATTGTCCTGATTCAGTGGATAAATCTGGTAAGGCACCTTCCAAATCGTGAAAAGGAACACTTGCAAGGTCATCGTCTGACATATTCATCTCCTCTTTGGATGAAGTTTTCAACGGAAAACGGTTATACCTTACTCTTTTCAATTCATTGACTTCAATTCCCGCTATTTCATAAAATTTTGGAGAAACTGTTCTTTGCCAATAATCTGGCCAAGTTATCATTCCATTTGCCGCATACAATTCACTATCGAATATTAGTTCGGGCTTCTGTAAAGCAAAATTGTCCGAGTCCAACAAAAGGATATGTTGAAATGTTGATGACATCAAAGCCAATGATTTGTATTGATAACTCTTGATTTGATCTTGCCATTTTAACATTACCATTGGACCGAACGTATCCGCAAGCAGAATGCACGATGCATTTAATGCTGGTAATATTTTTGAACAAAATTCATCTTCCCGTTCAAATTCTTTGATAGTTGGAATGACAACCTCCACAGGAAGCTCAGAACCAGTTTGTCTAAGTGAGAGGATTGAAAGATACGACAACCAAGAATATCTTCCTCCTCCAACCATCACAACCCCTCGACTGCCCTTCTTGTAGGTGGAGGTAGGGAATTTCTTAGGCAAGTTCTCTAATACCCTGTCGTGTTTCAACTTCATCTCGCTAATAACTTCATCTGATATGATTGCTCTGGACAAAAGGACTTCTTTAGTCAATGGCCCCAGAAGTTGTTCTTCTTTGGGGACATATTTCACGGCATCGTCGAAGTTCTCGATCTCAATAGCAGAGTTCTCAAGTGTATCAAAAATTGTTTCCCAAAACTTATGTGACTCGGGTGTTTTGTAGAGACCCACAACAGGCTTTGGTTCAGGTTTGTCCTCTTCCGGTTTGATGGTCTTGAATGTTAGGTCTTGAGTGTAATCTAGCGTGGTATAGCATGCCACTATGAAGATTGATATGAGCACACCAAGAGCAACCACCACCTTCGCTCGGAACCTTGAAATTCGTTGAATCATCGATAGTTTCTGAAAAGGGCGTTACAAGGCGACTTTATAGATGTTCGCGTCAATGAGCGGCTCAAAAAGACGCATGCGGCGATCGGCAGGCTACAAACTAATTCTACTTTTAGCACACAGATACTCCTATGACTAGATGCAGCACTAGCATAACAATATTTTTTTGGCTTTCTCTGGTCTTTATGGTTCATACGGCAGGATAGACTGGAAAGAGAAGATCTTTCTATTGCGAACGGCTGAACCCTCTTCATCGTTTAATCTCAAACAACAATTTATTCAAGAATCAGAAATGTATTACACTATCAAATAATAGCAGAAACTGTACTCTCCACAGTTAGTTGCCCCTTGCTTCTCTACTCCTCTCCACCGAGAAATTGCTATAGCTTCCCTGGAGTCATCGCATAAAACGGGCACGTGACTTTAGATCTAAAGTGATAATCATCTGCATCCAATTGGGCAGTATAGGGGGCACACTCGGGATGTCTTACAATGGAATAGGTTTACAAAGTGCCAGAGGCTCTGGTACCTCCGGATATATACAGTCAAATTTGTCTGCTAACAAGAAAAATGCCAGCGAAGACTTGACTTCAGGACACTACAAGAAACGAAAACTAGAGCAGAAGCTCAGAGTTCGACATGGTCAAGTTGCAAAAGTGGTGAAACCCATCTCGCAAGCAGTTGATAAAGAAAGAGAACTATCAAGGCGAGTGGAAATACAGTGCATGGAGTTGAGAGATGAACTCGAGGAGAAGGGCGTCTCAGAGGAGCAAATCAAACAGAAAGTGAACAACCTAAGGAGTAAACTAAAAGAAAGTAAAAAGGGATCCGAGTCGGAGTTGGAACTGGAACTGGAATTGAATCAAAATAAAGAGCAAATACGTCTACCAAATAAGAGTGAACTCACAGTTAGTCTGGTCGATAGCCTGTCAACAGAAACACGCACAACCTATCAGTATCAACCAAGATTTAACTCTAGAACTAATTCTAAGGAAATTAGAGTAACACACAAATCTGATGAATGAAGGTCAAATTAAACGTCATACATATCAATATTATTGATTCAAAATATAAACAATCTAGATAATTTCTTCTGAACCTGCTTGTTGTTGAGATGTCTCCAACACAGAAGTTTCGACACTAATCATGTCTTTTGGATCTGCAGAGTCGGGTTCCCTTACCTGAACCAGATCGTCATCATTAACGATATTCAATCCAGCAGGTTGTTTTTCCTCACTGTCTTGGATTTCAGGGTTAAACTTGGGAGCAATCTCTGTATTTGGAGTCAAATCTTCAGTGTGATACGTACTAAGAATCTCGGATATTTCACTAGAAGATTCTGCAGGATCGATTGGCGTACCATCTGACACGTCACTCTTAGGAGCAGACACAGCAATCGACCAAATCTCACCAGTAACGATATTGAACCGAGTCTTGGCTTCTACCTTCACTGGATCCTTCAAGGCTTTTGGTAATCGTTTTCCTCTTGGCCCTTTGGCTCTTCTTTCATTAACTATGGGTTTTGGTTCTGTTTCCTTTTCATCACCTGTCTCGGTTGTTTCCTTAGATTCCCCTGTTTGTAGACTCTGCATGTGAGGATTTACCATACCTGGCAAAGCAATTCCTCTTCCATACATCCCTTGCAAGTTTGCTGCAAATTTCATTTTATCTGTAGACAATTTATTCGAGTTAGAACCATCAGGTCTTTCTTGGGGTGTAGAAGGTTTAGGTAATGGCAGTGCTTGTTGTGTGAACATTTGTTGGAAAGCAGCTATTTTTGAGGACAATTTCTTTGGCTTAGGAGGTGGTGGCTTGGATTTTGTCTTTTCTTCGTTACTAACCTCTGATTCTTCCTTTTCCTTAACTTCAGGCTTAAATTTCTTGGGACGGGTCGGAATGGCTGGGGTCACTGGATTTGAAGACTCGGACTCAGAGCCTTGAGATGGAGTGCTTTCTTCCTTTTTCTTAGGTCTACTAGGAATTAGTGGTACTTTCGCAATTTGCGGTTGCACTGATCCAGATTCTGTTGTTCCTTCACCATGTTCACTTTTTAGAGATTCGTTGGATCCTGCAAATTCCAGTTCATTGGAAGCTGCTGGTGCTTCTAGTTCGGAATTCGATGCTAAATTAACGTGGTCCATAGTGCTGTTCTCTGGATTTGCATTTGAGCTTATGACGCTAGCCAAAGTATCTTCAGAAACTCGGTTTATTTCCTCTGAATCTTGCTCTTTATCAATTGGTTCTACCTCTTGAAGAGTTGCATCTTCGTTTGGGGTATCAGCCTCGCTCTGTTCGTCAACGACAGCTTGTGAAACACTCTCAGAATTTTCGGGAAGAGTCAATTGATCTTCGATGACACCAGTTTGACGCAGTTCTTCAAGTGAACCCTCTTCTTTATCCTGGGATACAGTCTCAACATCATCATCGAAACTAGATGAATCAGCAACTGGTGCACCACTGTCGTCTTCTTGGTCCTTGAAGGTGATCTTCGTGTTCGAATTGCCTGGAGTTTTGTCGCCGTCTCCATCACCTTCCAATAGATCATCCTGCGATTCTCTAGGTGTATACAATTCGGAAATTAGCTTTGATTCTGGCTCAATTGAGTGGTTATTGTCAGCCGCCACGTCGTTGTTCTTGGGGCCCTCTTCGTCAACGACTGGGCCAGTTGGGCTCAGACTCTTCTTGACGGGCCTCTTTGGGATCTTTGGACCCTCTGGTTCGATATGGCTTATAATGCTCGACGGAATTAGGTCGTTGTTTTCTGAAGTTGTAGCAAGACTCTCCTCCTCATTCTGAGTTGGTGCAGCGTTCAAAGGGACGCTTGTACCATCAGGGAGTTCCGCATCACTGAAGTTGGATGAATGGGATTTCTCTTTATCGAGTGTCTTCTTGGGTCTTCTTGGTATCACAGGCTTAGTATCCAGCATGTTGGAGCATAGAAAAGGGGATCAATAACATTCCAAAAAACAGGCGCACTTCAGCACTCGTGAAAATGCCGTCACAAGTGTGTTTTTATAGCACCGTCTACAACCACTATTGGAACGGATAAATAACTACACTACAACAACTAGATTCGAATAGAAGATAGTATTAAGATTATATAGCTTGAATCTCTTCGAGCATTAATCGCTTAGATACTGACTGTAAGCATAAGTTTGATTGCCTAAGAGTAGTTCAATCTAAAGATGTCGTTGAAAACGTAGTAGGAGTTTCCATCTGGGTTCAAGTGGAAGACTTGAGAATAACGCTGGGGGTTCTGTTCTTCGTCAATTAATAATTCACCAGTGACCATGACCAAAATGTCACCGTTGGCAGAGGCTGGTTGAGCATCCAAAGTGGAGATTCTGTGGGCAACCTTTTGGAATGGCAAAGAAACCAACTTTTCAACGATGTCCTTGGCACCTTGCAATTGTGAAGTTTCGAATGTCAACATTGATTGGTCTCTGTATAAGTTTCCTAATTGAGTTCTATCAGAATCGAATTGTTGATAGTAGAACTTGCAGAATTCATTTGCGACAGTGTTGAAATCAACTGCTTGTTAGTATGTGATTGGAAAGCATTCCGTGTAGAGCATTGGTTCAGTTGCACCAGATTAGACGGATTTACAAGATCATTGAGTTGACCTTACCAATCAGCGAGCAATACTGAGCACGTTACTTGAAGGCGCTGCTCTCAGGTGTGCTTCTTCTAATACTTACCAGACATGATGGCTAATCTTTGATGGAATCAGATCCTGGTATTGACTACGGGCTTCCATTGCAATTATAGAAAAAACCCAGTGTACAGGAGGGAATTTACGCGCCGTTCTAAAAAATGCGCATTAAATAATCTGTGGTCATTCACAACATGTTCTTGTAACAAAAGTGCCTACCTCGAGCGAACCAGTAGCTACTGGAAGTCATTAGGTTGTGTGTATTTTTATATGCGTATTTGGGTGCAATATCTTGCAACAATTTGATTAAGAATCGCGCTCTGCTTTTCCTCGGACCATGTTGATTTAGACCAACTGGGAGTAATCCTTTAAGACCCCCTTCATGTGTGTGTTTGTGATCTTTCCCCTTCTTGCCTTCTTTTGCTTCTTCTCTTGCTGTTGAGGCTTCTTTATGAGTAAATTTGGATCCGCACCAGTTGGTTTCAAATTTTGATCAATTAAGGCTTGGTACAAGTTATCCGGTAATTTCACAGTACTCCACATATCCTTGAACTCTTCATCAACAGTTCCTAATGGGCCTCCAAGATTTGCCCAGATCAATCTTGGAGCATTTTCCTTCTTGTTTCTTAAAACCAAAATTTTGTTCTCAGATTCGAGCTCAGTTATAGCAGCAAGACAGCCACTCCACCCATCTCTCAATTCCTTCACAGAAGTGCCTTTAAAGGTGGGTTGTGGCCACAAATAATTCAATAAATCAGATGAATTTCTTATGTTATGCAACGAAACGTACTCCAAAGTACTGGTTTCTGGGTCGTACTTGAGCCTATCGATCTCCTTAAGAAGAGGGAGTAAGTTGTGGCTAACATCCATCGATAAGTAGTTCTGGAGCTTGGCTAAGGAAACGGGGTGGTCATGCTGCTTGACAAATTCCACTGCCAAGTGCAACTGGGTCGACAAGTGGGACCCAGATATCTCACCCATAGACACCTTCTGCCTCTTGATAGCTTCAGTGAGAGAATCAGGTCCTGAACGCTTGGTTCCTCCATTTTCAATTTTTGGCTTCGTTATCACAGGGGATGAAGGTTTCTGGATTGGATTCACAGGACGCCTGGCCACCGTGACCGAAGGCCCACTCTTGATTTTGTTCTTGAATGCTGATAACTGAGCAGAAAGATCTGACATGGCTGATGGTGGATAGGTTGATCTCCTCTTGTGATAGCCTAGATCGATAGCCTATTAAACTAGTAATGTGGTCTCTATACTAGGAGAACGTGATCAGCGAGAAATGAATAGTTACCCGGACAAAAGGTTTGGGTATAAAAGTGAGATGCGCCCCAAACATTTTCACACACTACAGGGATCTTTATTCAGTTTCTCGTCGACCGTGGAGGCGTTAACATGTGCATCCCAGGCTTGAATCCTGTTGGAATTTCCTAGAGAAACAAATCGATTCAACGGAGCAGTCTGTTTGAAAAGATCCAGCTTTAAAACCATCGCTGTTAGAGGTCGCCCCTGATTCATCAGGCCTGGCAGATCCATGAAATGGTGATGACCTGATGTCTGGTACATTCATGTAAATCATTAACTTATACCTATTGAGTACTTAAGCTAAAAAGTTTTCCCCCATTCTTCCTCTTCTTATTCTTTCCATTCTGGTAAACTCTTCAAATTGATCGTAAAGATTATCTTTAATAATCTTATCGGCTAAGTCACAACCTTCAATTGTGTTCAAATCAATTCTTTTGGCCCACTGCAAGTTTTTGTACATTCCAGAGTCGGTGAAGTCAATCACCAAATCTTGTTTGTAACGAAGAACCTCATCGCTTGTTGCGAGTGACAGTGAGTCTTCTGTTGAATAACCTAAAACGTGATCACATAATAATCCTCGTATGAGTTTCTCTGACAATTTCTTATTTAACCAAATCATGAACGATAAATTAAGATACTTCAATTTGGGTTTACAATTGAGATTGGGCAAACAATTGTTGGAACGGCACTGATTCTTCCCATGTGCCCGAAGAATACATGTCAATAATTCCTCTTCATTGACCTTCCTTAAATAATTATTATTGATGGACTTGAGATTAAGATCACTCAAGTAAACTTTACCGTCTCCTTTGTTGAGATATGAAATATCTGTTACTGTTTGTGGCAATGGAGGTAACAAGCTATTGTATTTTAGAATAGGCTTAGCAAATGCTCCCAATGAATAAACGGATGATGCAGATGATGTTGGTTGGTGTGGTTTGAATCCGTTGGCGAAGCCATTTCGGATTGATGTATTGGAGTTGGCGATAGTATTGTGAATGCTAAAAGTTTCCGCGTTGAGAAAACTCCCCTCGTATGTTAATGCATCTTCTCCATCATCAAGGCTCATAATGTCATCTATATTCTTCACCAAAGCCTTCGGATAGTTATTCATCAAATCGAAGGTTTGGTACTTATAGATCATTGATCTGCTGATCTCATAATCAATGGACAATGACAAATTTCCCAAATTCAAGGACTCGACGTTTGGGCACAAATTAATTAAATGCAATACGTAGCCCACAGGAATATCCTTCGATGACGAGTAGTTCATTAAAAACTTGTTGATAGTAGGGTGTTCCAGTCGATGATTTGAGCTGGTTCCGTGGTTTTCAGCATCGTCCGCGTATCCATAGTCGGGTCTCAATAGTTTTCTCGAATTTGGTTCTCCTGCTGAGCTCAACGAACGTCTTCTTTTCTTCTCTCTGAAATACTTGAATGGTTTGGAGAACCGCTTGGAGGTGGTCGAATATTTTCCTGACGAAGCCATCGACTTGGTTGAGCTCGTCAGAATCTGGGAGTTGGATGCAATTTTTGTTAAGCTAACAGATGACGAGTGATGCACAGAATACAACGGATTATTCTTAAACTTCCAGTCTCGCCAGCCTGCAAGGATCTTCTCGTTGGACTCTGCACCTAACTCATCGTCTCCAAACCGGATGACTGCGTTTCCGTGTGTGGGCTCCTCTACAGGCTCTTCTTGGTCCTCGATGAACCCTGGCTGCACCCCCGACAAATCGAGGGTTTTAACGTACCTGCCGACCTCTGAGTTCAAGCGGAGGTACGAGATGAACTGGGCTACTCGATACGTGGATGTGAATGCGATGTGCTCGTAGTAGTACGGTTTTGCGAGTAAGTAGAAGAGCTTGCATGTGTAGAGACTGTTCCTGTAGTCAGCTTTGTCGTCCACCAAAAAGAAGATGAAGTCCCAGATTTCCAACGGCAAGTTCCTCAAGTAGCGAGGCGGCGGAGGCGGCGGCACGGCGCGTGGCGACTGGGTGGACTCCTTGGAACTGCTGGTGAGGGTAGCACTCAGTGGAATGCCGTTGGACGAGAATTGCGACAGCGCACCTCCAAGAAGATATGGATTGCTGAGACGGATCGAGAGGGTTCTGGAGACATCGCTCAACAACGACTTGTACTTCATTTTGAAGGAGGAGCCTGGCGTCTTGGACGACTTCAAGCTCTTCAACGAGAGGTTGTGGTTGTTGTGCATGCGGAGGTTCAGGCTGAGCAGGTTCATTTCGTTCTGGCTGATGGGGACCAACGAGTGGGTTCTGTAGTCGTAGCGTGCGGTGGGGTTGAGCAACGAGCGGTAGGGAGGTAGGTGGGAGCGGAAATCGATAGCATCTGTCATTGTGGGGAAAGTGTGAGTGGTGATAGTGTGACAATTGATGGTTGCAGTAGTGACAGGCGATAGTGTGACTACTGATAGTGTGACTGGTAGTGTGTGTGTGGGATGGTGATGGTTGGAACTGTGACTGGTGAAAATGACTGGTGACAGTGACTGGTGACAGTGACTATTTATGTGACTCGTGACTGTTAGGTAACCGTTAGGGGTGTGATCCACAATGCGGTCTCTTAGGGGGCAATCCAGTCTATGTTGGTGAATGCGTGCCAGTAGTGTCTGGACGTCTCAAACAAGCAGCCAGGCTGGGCTATATACGAGTGTCTTCTGTCGGGAGCGTTACTCTCGTGTGGCAAATAGGGGAATAATAAAGATAGTTGTGGGGTCGATCGCTGCACTCGGGAGATAATTGCGGACGGCTGCGACTACGAACAATCTGGTTATGTAACTACGTGGGACCACGGCACTGACACCAGGTAGCCAGGGGGCAGTGTGAGTGGTGGTGTGGACGGAGTGTCAGGGATGAGCAGTGATCGTGTGAATCTAGCTGCGGGGCGTGACTAACGGTAGCGGGGGCCGATAGTGTCTGCGCGGACCAAATTGTTTTTTCTTGGGGGTGAGCGATCGGTTGGTGGGGCCATGCCACTGCAGGCGTTGATGTTTGTGCGGGTGGATCAATGCCACAGGGTACGGACTCCCGAAGCTCGACAGACTCGAGGCTAGACAGACTGGGGGCTGAAGTGATCATTATGGTAGTAGTGAAGCATGGATGTTGCCCCAGCCAGCCACACCCCTAGTCGCTGGTACCCTCACCAATCCCAGCCTCCAGACAGACGTTGCCACGTCGTAAATGCTTGGCTGCGGGCCGCCTGCATTTCAGGGGCTAACTCGAGCGATTTTGGTGGTGGATCGGCTCAACTGGGAGCACTTGCGACCCGAAAGTGCACGATCACGGGACCAGCATGCAACGTCTGGCAGTGTAATTCAGATGCGGTGTGGGGTCAGACAACCCGGTTGGGTAAAGTATCGGCAATTGATAGCGTTGGTGCAAAGGGCCTGATGGTGGGTACTCGGACCCCGTGACTTCCCCCATCGAAGCAAGTACCGAAAACAACACATCCATGTTGTATGCGGTTAGGTGGTGTCGCTGGCACGTGCATATGCCATGCGTCGGTAATGATTCGATTAGATCACATCGGCAGGCCCAGGCAGTGGGCGGGATGCTGTCAAGATAGCATTAGTCTTTGCAAGACAATCACCAGGCTCCACACAGGGTGACATATTATGCCAACTTTATTCAGGTGCAAGATCCCCATTTTGTATGAAGGTTTTCTGGTGGGACGCCTAGGCTGAAAATTGTATTGTGGTTGACTTTTTAAACGCCTTTTACGACCCATTATGTATATTAACCTATTTGAACCAGTGAGAATAGTCTATAGTGGCAACTGTGCGGACGTATAAATGCGCGTCCAACCTTATTTTGGGTCAAATCTGCAAGAATCTGACATTTTGCGACTGAAAACCACTTTAAACATTCTCAAAGGCGTATTTTGCCTTTCTTATCGCAGATACAATGCATCACGGGGTTTGTCTACGTGATAGAGAATAACAACTTGGAGATACTTCCCCGAACTGGAACCCCATAACCTTATTTCTCCAGCCACCAGCTTCTATTTCTTCACCTCCCGATATAATAAATGGGGATAAAGCATTGTTTGGTGTGGACTTTCTCGAATGTAAGGCTCGTGTATGCAGAGGTCTCGACCGTACTGAAGAACGCTTTGTGAAACCGGCAACTTTAAGAGAGTATTGTCGAGTCTAAGCCTCCACCGCTGTTTCCACAACTTACTAGAATACCCCACTGTGTACCAATATATTATATTGGCGTGAAACGTCAGACATGGGGTAGCAACCGTATCGGTGGTGCGCCGTACATGATTCAGCGCAACATCAAGGACATATTATTGGCATATTTCCTACCGTGCACCTAACAAGTCAGCAATTTCGTCTAAGTTAATCCACAATAATCTAGGCTAATTGTCTGATAACTAATCGGAGAAAATATTGTCTCCATATTTCAAGAGGACGCCTAGATGGACGCATGCATGCAAAATATCTGGAAAGAATTGCCGCATTTAAGGAACACGATAAACAATCAATCTTATGCAGGAAAAAGGGGTGAGTAGTCAGGTCTGTCCCAAAACAAATACTTCATTCCTGTCTCGTAATTGAATGTGGAGGTTTCTAGACGGTCAGCCGCATGAGAACCAGCCAGAAGAACTATAATGTTGGTGAAGATCGGCGTCGTCTACATCCAGTTGTGCTTGCTTAAAATGGGTGGGAATGGGTGAAATCCGTCGGGGAAGTTGATGTGGACTCGGCCGAAAGTATCAGCCTCAATTTCAACTCAAGAAATATCACAAGATGCGTTAGACACTCACCAGAGGAGTTTATTCGCCCCGGAAGTGTGCAGTTTGGTTAGCAGCTTGGATGTTCCATGATTAAAGTACCAGAGGTTAAATCACAATCATGCTGGAAGCCAAACTTAAACATACATAAAGTCGCAGATAATATTTTGCACAGCCATGCTGCAAAGATGGCTGCGGACGATAAGCAAATCAGAGTGGACCATGCCATACCAACGCACCGTGCTCCACTGCGACGTGAACGCAATTCAGTTGGTTTACCACCTCCGGCATACCGAGTAATGCAGCGGTGCCGTTACGAGCGCGTCCCTCGGCTTTCAAAAGTTTAACTAAATCTGCGGTCAGGATGGGTGCAGGCTTTCAGGCTACCAACTTTAAAAATATAACCGCTAAGCGTTGAAGGTTCGTCTGTCCTTTATGCTGTCATGTGCACGTCTGGGTACACTAGTGAGTGTTATGTCCGCCGCCCGCATCTCGAGTTTGTGAAGCAAATATTGGGACCTAGCTCCCGCAACTCGACCGGCCACGTCCGGGAAAGACTGTCGTGAGGTTGGTACCAATAATGACCATTCACCTGCAATGCTCAGCGAAGAAATGGGCCAACTTCCCAAATTCGTACCCCGAAGATATTGGACATACATAATATTTAGACGCCGTGTGCGTTTCTCATGCACTGCACATGCAATGCGGCCTGTACCAGCTGTAGATAATAATGTCGCAACTGTTCAGGGTGCTGAGACAAAAGAGTGACATGTCGAGCCCAACTAACCAGCACCCACTAGTTGCGGCCAGTCCCCTAGAGGGCTTGCAGTCAGAACAGCAAACCCACACTCTCGGGAGACTCTTGCCAGCCCAAGAGCGAAAACGCCGTCCAAATCGGATACTCGGACCCTCACCTTTCTGTAAAAAAATTCTACAAACCATGTCTGTTTTTGTTCTTTGTCTGTCTGGCTGTCTTTGTCTGTCTGCGTCTTTAAGTGCTACCGCCTCGCTATCGATACACTGACAATACAATTACAACGTACAACACATTTTGCTTATATACTGGACCTAGTCTTGCGTTTACTATTTTCACGGTGTCTCAATTTCAATCCTAACTTCACACCTACCAGAGGTAAGCGCTTATCTCTCTTGGAGTAGACTCAGTTAGTGGTCATCAGGAAGTCGAAACATAACTGCAGGTTGGTGTTCGGCCCACCAAACACTTGCAAGCTCAAAAGCGAGCCATTCACAGTTTATCACAGGGTCCTACTGGTTCTTGATCGTGGACAATTGAGCTTCGTACGCAGTCACACCTAACCTGTACGCCTCCGTTCTCGATCTAGCCAAGGGGGTTCAACCAGTAATCGTTATCTGGACCATCAATTAAGGCCTCAATATCCTCAGCGGCTAACCCACCACCTATTGCCAGCAGGATTACAACACCCCTACTTCAATAGTTTAAACCCCATTTCCCAGCGGTAATCACCACCCTTACTTCAGAAATCTGAAATCCCCATCCTCAGCGGCTAACTACCACCCATTTGCCAGCGACTAACCACCATCTACCCAGCCACATGTCGACATCCAAACTATACCCGACGTACTACGGGTATGTGGGCTCCACCAAGGACGCTCTCTTGATCATCCAGGAGATTGTGGACAAGCAGTTGGAGTTGGTCCCCAGAAGACCACACGAACGTGAGAGACCAAGCTTGATCAAGTCAGGCAACGTTTTCGTGTTCATTGAGGAACACTCAGGCATCAAGCGATGGACAGATGGCATTGCCTGGTCGCCGTCGCGGATCTTGGGTCGTTTTCTCGTGTATAGAGAGCTTGATAAACACTCGCTCAGTGAGAAAGACGACAAGAAGAAGAAGAGACGCAAGATCAGCGTGGACCAAGATCCTTTGGACACCTCGACGTCGTCGTCGACTGGTGCTAAGCAGAGAGGCCCATCCATTCCGCATGCTCAGCAGCTCCTACCCCAAAACGAAGGCGCCTTGGACTACAACAATAGCAACAATAACTCCAACAAAAACTCGCTAGGTGCGTTGGTGACCTCGTACGTGTTCAAGGACCAGGGGCTCATCAAGAAGACCCTAAGCCTCACTACAACCACAAAAGAGTTGCACATCGAGAAGAGAGTGGCCAAGCAAACCATCCATCTAATCAGCTACTACAACGCGGATGACGTGTTGAACGGAAAGTTGCAGAGACCTTCCAAGACAGATTTGAAGGACCTCACAATCTCCAACGCGCTCTGGAACTCTGTCAAGGACTCGTCTTTGGGCGGCAAGATCCCTATGGAGGACGAGGCCTACTACTTTTTGGACACGAACTACCAATTGCAAAATATGTCGCTATTGCAGCAAGCCCCCCAAGCGCCAAACCAGGCGCTTGTGGCCAAGCATCGTGGCCAATCGCAATCGCAGCCACAACATCCTGGCCAGCATCAGCAGCAGTTACAACATCAGCAACTCCAACACCAAATGCTCTCGCCACAACAGATGCAATATATGCAAAAGTTTGGCGTGCAATCGCAGCAGGGCGCTGAAAACATTCCACCAGGCTTTTCTCGTCACAATTCACGCCACAACTCACATCCACCAACCCATACTACCTCTGCCCAGCAGTACCTATCTCCCGTGACTCAGCAGCAACAAACGCAACAGGTTCTGCAATATCAAACAGGGGCACACCAGGGGTTGCCTGTTGATTACTCGCAGTATCCTTCAAACAATAGCGGCAACATTAAGCGGGAGGATGAGCAGACAAACAATGCAGTGGTTGCAAATGAACTTACGTTCATCAACCCCTTCACTGGCGCTCCCCATCAATCCAACTTTTCCTACGGTCAAAATAGTGTTGCATTGGGAGGATCTGGTAATGTTCCTGGTGCAGGTTCGGGCCCAGCGTCTACGGCTAGTGGTGCAGTTCCAATGTTAAACATGGCTGCTCCCCAGCAATACCATCCTGGTTATGCCCAAATAGCTCAACCGCAACACGAGGCAAATCTCGTGAATGCAAGCAACTCTGCAAACTCTTTCTTCCCTCCGTTCCCACAACACTACCAACAACAGCTATATGCCAACCAACAGCAACACCAGGCGCCACATCATTCTCAAGCTTCCCAGCAGTCACAATCACACCAACAGGGTCATCTGACCCAGCAACAGGCTCCCCAACAATTACAACAATCTTATCAGTTAGGGTCTATCTCTGGTTCCAGCGATCAATTCTCGATCAGTGGAGGGGTTTCCAACGGTTCGGTCAGCTCAATTAATAGTAATATCCCACCAGCTGGCTCGAATTCTAACAGTTTCAGTGGTGTAGTGTCAGGAGCACCAACCAAAAAGAATTATCGCAGTGGCAGTGGAGGAACGTCTACCAATAGTATCAGCAGCACCACTGGAAATAGCGGCTCGGGTGGCTGGTTCACTACAAACCCACCAATTGGGTCTTCTGCCCCTTATATCAGTTCTGCCCCTCCCCCATTAGCAGGAAATGAGGGAGGAGAGGTCAGTGGTAGCGTGAGTGGCCCTTCGAGTCATTTGTACCATCCCATCAACAGCACTGCTACGTCTGGAGGCGTCAACGCACATTCTAATTTAGGTGGTACTCCACATCATTTTTACATGCATCCGTCGCATCCATTAGCAAACAACACTACTGGAATGTCCGGAAGTAGCAACACTTTGGCTGGTGGTTCCGAGGAAACTTCTGTGCCTACTCCTGCTGTTTCAGGTTCTGCTACCACCAACACTGGCTCCTACGGGTATCAAAACTCGAATTGAACATCCATCAACAGAATCGTCCCAGTTCTGATTCCACACTTAATTATTGGAGTAATTTTCTATTCGTTCAGTCCACTCCATTCTTCTGGCCTGACACGGTGTATTATTAGATCGTGTGGGTTCAGAACGGTTCGTTTGTTCAATTCTAGGTTGACATATGAGAATCCCATGTTGGTTGCAAAAGTACCTTATACTGTTATAGGAGCTATGTTTGTAATACTATTTAATTCTTGCTTATGACTCCCAGTGCAACTTTTCGTTTAGTATGCCCTAGTAAAATGATTGCAGGTGGATTCTTGTAGATAAGGCGAGGATGCTTGAGTAACCAGCAAAGGTCCAGAATTGTCGAGCAAACGGAAATCACTGCCAGAACACCAGGATGAGCGGATGTTGGAACATTCTTACTCGTTACTAACTTTTTAGATCGTACACAATAGTATAAAATAAGCGAAGGGTGGAAAAGGGCCCTTCGTGTACTTTTAACCTTGTAGAAGGCGCTTTCAAATTATACTTTTGTTCTCATGGGCATGCATATTTATCGGATGGAAATAGAGTTCAAATGGGGAGCGACCAGACTGACAACCGTCTATCAGGCAAAAAGCGGAAATTGCTGTCGCCGCTTCCTGGAAAGAGAGAAGTTCGGGGATGCGGCGCACAGGCATGGATCGATCCAGATGTTTCATCTGCTCGGAGCAGACTCTTGCGAGATGTAGGCCGCTGGTTGGGCGCATGGATCCATCGGAGTTCACCCCAGTCAGGATGGCTCCATGCACGATTGACTAACTAAGTTATGGGCCCTGAAATTATTTTGTGCGTTGCTGCAGACTCTTTATATTTTCAGACACGCGACAAAATACCCTCGCATTTTATCAGACTCGTATTAGTAGCCCCTACACGAGGGTCATCAACCAAAGACGTGCATCCACCTATTGTTAAGGTGAGGGGTGCACTTGGAGGGAGCGTAAGTATTGGGAAACCTGATTCGCGATAATGCACTCCTGTGTCCGCAGTCAAATGCATCGTGGCACTGAAGTCGTTAGTGTTCTTGCATGTGGATCCGAGGTTTGAAGTGCCGACACCAGACAGTAGGTTGTGGTGACTCTGATCGTCCCAGGCACTTTCCCACATGTTATGTGGGGGAATATCGATATTTTATCCTCCCTCTGCGGTCACTGTCCTCCAAATAATCCCCGCATGGAATATTCTCCAACACGCCAGTGCCAGTGATGGAGTGTACGTCTGTCGAAGTTATTCTTCGCATCCAAATAGCCGAACCGTGGATCGGTCGTCTATGTGCAGGCGCAATTACAAGCCTCTGCCTCGGCCAGCCCCATAATCCGCATAAAATCGGACCATCGTTGATAGCTGGTGGACGTAATCAGGCCCTTCTCTCGATGCATCAATTTGCGCTTTAAGCGCGGAGGGCACTTGACCCGGACCTGTCACTGGACGTGTCCAGAATGTATTCCCGTGCATGTATCTGTGCATGGTTCCTGCGGAAGTACGTCTCCCAAGCATTGACAGATTGCGTGGGGGATCTTGCTGGTTACAACGTATATAGTACAATGTATCAATTAGAAGAAAGATAAAGACTGTCACAACTTCCTCGGCACGATGGTTACCAAAAGTCACCGGGATTCTAGAAATGAAAATCTTAGCATATGAATTATTATACCTGTCCCAAGGATAAGATCACCTTTGGGCAGCAAGAACTAGAAAAATCAAAGAACGGGCTCTCTCTTCCAGAGAACATGTGTACCACAAAGTACAGGCAAATGACACTCTCTTCTTGGGGCAGAAAACGGACTGGGCCGTGGTTTTACCTTTCTTGGACCCTCTGAAGAAACAATTGAAGGAGTTGATCTGATCGTTCTACCATCCTGGGACCAATGGTTCTTTTGGACCATCCTGGGACCAATGATACGGTACCACATCGGCTTTCACGGTTGGTTCTTCTACCATTATGGGTGCCAAAGATATGGTCCCACGTCGAGCTCCATGCTTGGTTATTTTGTGTCGACCACCATCCTGGTTCTTTTGCCCCACCTTCCTTGTGTCTCTATAAATATGCTCGGAAACATCCCCCGTTAGTCTATGCACAAGTCGCTCAAGCCATGGAGCTCGTTCAAGTCATCCAAATCGTCAGCATTCTGGATCTTTGAGTACTTCTTCAACGCACTCAAGCTGGCTGGGTCTCCTTTGGTGAAGTACTCGTCGATGTGGCTATTCATTAATGCAATTAACTTCTCGCAATTGCCCAATTTGCGCTGCGCTTCCACGAGCCGCTGCTCGTACTTGGTGACGTTGTTCTGCAATTGCAACTGGGCCTGCTTCTTCCTCTGACGACACTTGGAGGCTGCTATTCTATTTCTCTCTAGCAAACGCTCCTTCTTCCATGCTGCGGTTCCAGGTATAGGGCCGTTGTTTGGGTTGTATATCACCTCGTTGTTGTAGATCAATTGGTGGTTGGGAGGAGGCACTCCTGCTGCGTCGGTGATGGAGGAATCGGCCTCTCTGGCACTATCGCGTTCGTTGACAGGTGTTCCTGTAGAATGTGCTGAAGAGACGGTTCCGCTGAGAAGGCCAGTTGACGAAGGACTTCTTTTTATGAACTTGGGGTCGAGAGGATCGAGCGGATCGAGCGACTCGAGCGGATCACGCGGTGCTGGCTCCTGCTGGCTTGGTGGTGCGGGAGGTACTTGCTGAAGCACCTGGATGTTGGAAGCTAAAGGCATTCCCACAGGAAAGTTATTCATCACCATCGGCTGGGAGTTGATCTGGTTAACCTGGTTAACTTGTCCATTTATCACCACGCCTGGTGCTGGTTGTGCTACGGCTGGCGCCACTGGCTGGGCCACGTTCTGCACCACTGGCTGGCGCACGGGTTGCAGCTGTTGAGCCAGAATTTGCGCCTGGAGCTGTGCCTGCTGAAGCAGTGCACGCTGGCCTTGGCTGGGATGGTAGGGATACGCTGGGTCGTCGAAGCCCATGAGCTCGCTCTCGAACAACGCCTCGTGGTTGATTATCTGGCCTATCTGGCCGTTGGAAATGGATATTCTACGTCTTCGCGGGACCCCATCGCTGGAGTAGTAGGGAATCATCATGGTGGAGTCCAAGAGAGGGGGGTTTGTGATGGGATACGACGAGATGTCGAACGGATTGTGGAAGGGAGACGACTGGAAATTGTTGAAGGTGATGGACTCACTATGGATGGCAGAGCCTGTGCCTGATGAGGTGTTGCTGGTGGAGTTGGAGCCTGCTGTGGTGGACCCAGTCTCGTCCTGGCCAGGTACCAGCATTATAGCGTCCTTGGACATGGCGGAATTAGTAATACGTGTAATGGACTGAGTAGAGCAGGCAGTTCGCTCGAAAAAGAGGGGCTGGTGGTTTCGTTGATGTTGGTAGTATGACTGGTATGTGGGTGGTGTAGTGTTTGCGGGTGTGGCTAGCAGGCGATGGTCATCTAGCGTCCCAGAATGAAAAGTGCTGTTGGTGGTAGATGTTTTTTTTTTTGTGTGTGAGCGCTGTTCCGCTAGCGAAGGTGGAGATATTTTGTTACCTGGCTGGAGTTTGTAGGAGTAGCGACTGTGCGTCAGGGAAGCCGCCCAGAATCCACCTTTTGGGAGTTAGGAGGGCTCCAATTATGCATACCCGTGGATCTCCGATTTTATGCCTCCGTATGCATGCGCAGGCCCATTCCGAGACACCACGGCCGAAGATGGTACATGTGTGGCGACGGAGCCAACGAGATTTTGTGTAGGATCCGACGGTGCTTTAGTCTGTGAATGCATCTGAACGGCTGCGGAGGGGACGGACTATTGTTGGAGGTGCTGAAAATGGAGCCACGACGGAAGTCCGGGGTTAAGCAGTGAATTGTGCTGTTCCTAACACCGCTGCGATCTCGCCATTTGGTGGCACAAAGAATGGAAAGACATCCGATCCCATCGAAGTAGTTGCTGTGCCGTTAATATCGTACGATTTTCGCCTGGATCCGCTTCTTTGGCAGCAGTGTTTCGCCCAAGCACGCCTTGTTGGAACCGGTAGGGAATCCAGTGATAGTGCCACGAGTTCGTAACCTAAGTATCCGCTTGTCGAGAATATACGAAGGTGTCATTAGTCACGTGACATCTGTCATGTGACCGGATGAAATGCGACATGTACGACACTGGTTCGACGACATTGCGATACAAGAGACCCGCCTGACCCTGGGTAGCGACGAGAAGATACTGAGTTTTTTGAGATATAAGGTTACCAATTGGTCTTCTCCTGGATACAAGCGGAAAACTCACTACCATCGGGTGCAAACCTATAAATTGGTGAGAGTGTCACACGTGAGGCAAGTCACTTGACCAGCTATGGAGTACGGATGTTTACGCATAAATAGCTGGTAAATCCCCGAACTTCAACGGTGCTTAAGTGTGTCTAAGCGCACTGAATACTGTTTGATAAATCAGTAACTCGATTCTCTGATTGGATTAGCCTGAACAAAAACCAATATCATGCTAATATTGATCATGTGATAATAAAAACGTGACTGGATACACAAACAGGCCATTCAGCAACCAACACCACCATGGATAATGGCCATACCATGCGGCCCTGAAGCACTGCCACGATCCACCCACCAGGTGTACGTGCACCTCATCCAGCGTCTCAATCTCCAGTTAATAGCCCAGCACCACGCTCAAAACAAGCACTCGCATGTCTTCGAAGTGCTTACCTCGTTCAATGCATCGGTTCTCCATCTTGACATCCAGTTCGACTTTGTCATCGAGAACCAACGAGGCATGAAATTCTTTGGCATTCCTCTATTCTCCAACAAGACATTGCTCCCGTTATTGGACCCTCCCAACTACCAGCTGCTCCACATGAAGCCCATTGTACTCTCGGAGAACTCGATAGTCAACTATCCATTGCCTGACTTGGACTGGAAATGGACGTGGGACTCTTGGTACATCTTGATGTACAATGATGTGGACGACCAGGGCTGGGTATACTCGAACATAGTGTTCAACAAGACGTTGAGCGATTCTACCTGGAAGGGAAAGTACTATACTGGGAACTTTGTCAGACGAAGGATATGGGTACGGATGCGGGAACGAGTTCCAGAGGATGGGGAGGTTAGTCTGGAGATTTAGGTTCAAAGAGTCCAACCCCCAAATTCCTCACACCATAAATTCACAAAGAGTCAAATCCGTACTTTAATTTATTCCCGGAGCCACCAAAATATCGTTTACTCCATCAAAAACTTCCTTCATAGCACTATCGTGGAGCTCGAGCTCCCAATAGCATTTCACATATGGGTTCATGGCCCCAGAAGATTATATTCACCAAAAAATCAGCCAGCATATGCGCTTGTCGCCCTTTAATAAAACTAATAGTGGAATTATTCCACGGTTTGCAGCACCCGAGGTACCTTAACAGGCACATCTAGCATCATTCTCCTGTATTCCAACATTACGGGTGCAGTTAATAGCATAATCTCATTAATATTCACCATTTGGGAAGCAGCAAATAGATTCATCAGCATCCATCTCCTGAATGTCTCACCTTTATGGGAGCAGTCGATGTAGCTTATTAGCATATTCTCACGAATAGTACACCTTTGGGAAACTGCTGATATAGATTTCTTAGCATAATCTCGTGGTCACTTCACCTTGCATGAACCATTTGATGTATATTAATCTCATGAATATTTCATCCTCGTGCAATATCTTAGTGCTATCTTTTTCCAAAATCGTATTCCACGCCCCCCAACAGCAATACGTGCTGTTCCTAGCTTGCCTCCTCTTGCATAATCATGTAGCATTTTTTAGAAGTGAATACCAGAATTGTCCCCCTGGCCACTAGGGAGAATGAATACACGACATACTTCTGCCTTCCTGATGAAAAGGAACAAAGGCTCTGTCTGAAACCATTGGCCATTCTCCTTGTTTCTTATTAAGTTGTCAGAATAAATAGTATATTGGCTCAACCCTCTGTTCATATCCAGTACAAGCTCTAATGTCAATGAACTTCCAGCTCCTCTAAATGAACAGCTGTGATGCTTAGAAATAATACTTTACACCAAAGTGGCAGTAATCACTGAATAGTACCTTATAGTTTCTATTTGTTCCTATTATTGGAACTTTAATTGAGAAATTGAGCTCTTCGTCGTATGAATCGCTAGAGGTTCCTTCAGTTGTGTAGTTAGCTGTAGCATCTTTAGCAGTATGATATCTCATGATATTTCAATTGTTCTAGTCCCAAACAAAACAACTATAGCCATCTTAAGTGTTCTCCCTTTGGTTTCGGCTGCCATCATTCTGGGTCATCTGCTAAGATAGCTATATCGTTATTTATACTCAATATAGCTTACTAATTGAAAGAGCTTATCCCACTGAAGTCCTTCTACGATTGTTTAAATTACATTAATGCTTTTTCCTCAGCAAAATAGTTTTTGCAGCCTTTATTACTACACCTGTCATGAGTCAGTCGTTTGCCTTAGCAGTGGCGATAGTTCGGCTCAAGTGTAGTCAGAAATTAACTTGTGGCTACGAAGGTAAGTACTGATTTGCTTTCGGTGGATATTCCTAACAACATTCAGAGATTTTTGGCAAAATTCTTACGAAAATAGAAAACACCGGAGTGACCAAACCAAACAATATCCATGCAGAGAGGAAAAGACGCAAGATATCTCCTCGTAAAACCCCAATCGGCGATGAGGACGATATAGGTTTCAGTAGATCTCATGGGGTGCTTACTTTGCCTTACGAAGTGCTTTCCATAAGCAATACCAACGTGGATGACCTCTTGCGAGCTCTCAAGCAACTCATTCGCTCGCCAAACCAGTCCGACAATCGTCTGCTTGTGAACTCGCTTATCAATCTTGTCATTGACCAAATCGAAGCCATGTGCTTCGTCAAGATTGCAACCATCAGGCTCATCAACGAGTGCACGGTGGCCCTGATCGAGGAAGAATCCAGCTGTTCACCATATTTGAACTACAAGCTTGCAGCATTGAAAAAGATCTACGAGGCCCTCCGACGGACAATTAACCAAAACATGGCCAAACCCGTCTACTTTGAAACGAAGGTGCTTGAGTTCTGCCTATCTAATGTGTATCGCATCATGTCTCTCTTAAACGTCACCTTTGACCACGAGAGCCCGTCGATACAGAAGCTTGTGGATGCCAATCAAGCAGTTTTCACCAAGTCCGGGTGCCTAAATAGCAAATACTTCTACAAACTCAAACTGAAGAGTGCAGCCAAGATGCTCATGCTTTTTAATATCTTGTTGATACATGCCTTCAGTAGAAACAAGAACAAAGTCCTACTAGGTTTGTTGATCACATACGGCGATCCAAATATATTACATTTCTTTCATTCACTCAGCTATTCAGACGGGGGTAGAGAGGGAAATATATGAATGAATAGATTAACCCTTTTTCTATTTCAAAAACTTGACAGACTTGTTGTTGAAAACATAGCTGAGTCCACTAAGAACGGTGGTGACACTCACTAAGATGCCCATTCCTTGGAAATAGAGCTCCAAATCCGTCATCAATAAGTTTTCAACTACTGGTTTGAAGACCAATCCACCAATGTAAACCATTTGCAACCCAGTGTTCACCTTGCCAAGCATGTTTGGGTGTACACTGATAGTCTCATTCTTGGAAATATCAAGAAATCTTCCTAAAGTCTTGGGTGGAGGAAGAGTCTTGTATCGGTAATAAAATGACATGAAACTTAACATCACATCACGACCAATAATAAGACTCGCTACCAAGGTCGGAATGGAGTTAATGTATGCTAAAGACAAAGTGCAGACAGTCATAAGAAGCTTATCTGCCAAGGGATCAATGATGGAACCAAGTACCGACTTAAGGTTCCATTTTCTGGCTATATAACCATCGATGAAATCTGTAATGCATGAATACAGAAACAACAGCAATGCAAGTTGTGTGTTTCCATTGACGATGAAGTATCCGATGAATGGGGCACTGATTATTCGGGTAAACGTCAAGATGTTTGGGACTGTGTAAATGGAATTATTGGTTAATGCTTTGGAAGTTTGCTCGACCAGATCCGGAACTGGGTTCTCTGAGGTGATTTTATTAGGGCTTTGGCGAGCTGCTTGTACTTCTTCTGAAGTCTTGGAGTTCTGGCTCTGCTTGATGCTAGAGTATTTTCTTGTTCCGAACGGATTCTTGAGTACGTGGGTCAAGGTGATAGGATAACTAGCGACCTGGCTCGACACATGATATTGTGTACGAAAGAACCTAACTGGTCTAACTGTCGATATTCGAAGTCTACCAATAGTATTGGCCAATCCTATCGGATTCAATAGTCTTCCCTGTATCATGTTTAAGGAGGGACGGTTCTAGACGTTTGGGCGGACTGTCTCAATTTATCAGGCTGAAACCTTCGAGCTCTGGCAGCTGTGAATTTTCGCACCGACGTATGGGGAAGCAATGAGCGATGGAATTGCACAACCAGCTGAATCCAACAATTCCCAGTGGCAAACTTGGAAGAGAAACAAGTACTTGGCTGTCAATGGCATTGGTGTGGGTTGTCTAGTATTCTATTCAAATATGAAAAGAAAAATTATTGTCTATTTTATGGTGGCAAAATCAACCTAAGAAGATTAACCAAAAAGAAGGAAATATAATAAGATCCCCTAAACCTCCATATTTATCTTCTCGAACTGAAACTAGAGAAGCCACCCCTAAATTCCTCCGTATTTCTGTTGCTTCCTTCACTGTTAGGCTGTGTCAAAATCCTGTACACAAGTGATCCAAAAATTTTTACGCGACGGCGAACGACAAACTGATCGATTACTTAAGTCTTTGAGTCCGAGAACGAATAGTACACCCCTTCTGGATACCATGTCGCTCAAACTTCCACAAGCCCCAAACTCCGGGTTATTCAAGCAGGGATACCAATCACACTCGTCTGCCGATGGTGTCATCATCAGAAACATTGAGGCAGTCAGAGAAATCTCCTCTATCTTACTCACCTCTATGGGTCCAAGTGGCAGAAACAAGATCATTGTGAACAAGTTGGGCAGAATTTTCATCACAAACGATGCTGCTACCATGTTGAATGAGTTGGAAATTATCCATCCTGTGGTCAAGATCTTGATCATGGCCTCAAAGCAGCAAGAATTCGAGATGGGTGACAATACCAATTTGGTCATCATTTTGGCTGGTGAATTCTTGAACGTCGCCGAAAAGTTACTCACTTTGGGCTTGAACGTCACTGAGATTATGCAAGGATACAACTTGGCTAATAAGTTTGTTAACGAAACCTTGGAAAAGTTGGTGGTTGATCAGGTCGAATCAGTATTGGATCCAGAGCAATTGAACAAGGTGATCAGACCTGTCATTTCAGCAAAGCAATACGGTAACGAAGACACTATTTCCAAATTGGTGGGAGAAGCAGTTCAAACAATCTTGAACCCAAAGAACCCTCAGTCCTTCAACATTGACAACGTTAGAGTTGTCAAGATTATGGGTTCCTCTTTGTCGAACTCACAAGTCGTTAAGGGTATGGTATTCCCAAGGGAGCCAGAGGGTTCCGTGAAGAACATTTCCAGCAAGTCCAAGGTAGTTGTTTTCACTTGTCCTATCGATATTTCCACAACTGAAACAAAGGGTACCGTGTTATTGCATAACGCCAAAGAAATGCTTAACTTTTCCACAGGTGAAGAAGAACAGTTGGATCAAATGTGTAAGGAAATTCACGAATCCGGTGTTAAAGTCATTGTTGCTGGTTCCAGTATCGGTGAGTTAGCTTTGCATTACTTCAACAAGTACAACATTTTGGTGTTGAAGGTTCCATCGAAGTTTGACTTGAGAAGAATTTGTCAAGTCTGCGGTGCTACTCCATTGCCAAGATTGGGTGCTCCAATGCCAGAAGAAACTGGTGTTGTTGATGTGATTGAAACCAAGGAAATCGGAGGAGACAGAGTTACCATCTTTAGACAAGATGAATCTATTTCTAGAACCTCCACCATTATCTTGAGAGGAGCTACCCAAAATAGTTTGGATGACATTGAGAGAGCCATCGATGATGGTGTCAATGCTATCAAGGGTTTATTGAAGGACAACAGATTGTTGCCAGGAGCCGGTGCCGTTGAAATCGAATTGATCAAATTAATCACCAAATATGGAGAAAACACTCCAGGTTTATTACAAATTGCTATAAAACAGTTTGCTAAGGCTTTCGAAGTGATTCCAAGAGTTTTGGCTGAAACCTCGGGTTTGGAATCATCCGAGTCCTTGAGTAAGTTATATGCTGCCCATTCCACTGAAGATGGTTTGAAGATGGGTATTGATGTTGAGAGCGACGAATTGGTCGACATCACCGACATCGGAATCTACGACTTATTGTCCGCCAAGAAGTCTGCTATAAATTTGGCTGTCGAGGCTACTAATACCATTTTATCCATTGATCAAATCATTATGGCCAAGAGAGCCGGAGGACCCCAAATTCCAAAGCAGCAAAGACCTGGTAACTGGGACCAGGCTGATTAACGAGTGTGTATATTACATAGAGAATGACATGAGCATTGAGCCATGCTTGTAGCAAACACCTCAGCCACAGATTGGTATGGCTTCCAAACTGGATAAAGAGACGCAAATAAGCGGAGAGTTTCCACTACAGTTTTTAATTGAACATCGGCATTTACGTTTTTTCTCTAACATTTTTTGCTATTTGATGCCAGATCTAAATCAAATTCGGAAAGTTTTGATTTTTTGAAGGACTCACAGTTTATGTCTTAATTGTGGACACGATGATAACAATATAATTCTGGTTCAGGTTAACAATTGTAATTGGAAAATACTATCCGCAATAGTAGCGTAGATATTAAGTAATTGTTGTGATTGTGAATTACAACCAGCAAGTAGATGGAATTATTTATTGAAACGGTCTATTGTTAATTATATTGTTAATTTTACTCAAATTCACTTGGTGCACGATGTTCAAATTTATAACCTAACCCGCTACATTCAAATAGTTTAGTTACAATAGATTCTGATTCTTCGGGCGAAATTTACTAATTCATGTAGTATATTTATAATAGATTCGAAGTCCCCTCAATGCAAAATACTGGATGAATTAAAGAGCCTATTGTGGTGATAATTACCGGAATGAGATGGCATCAGGTTGCATTGCAAAAAACTCAACTTTGAAATCCATGGGTATTCAGGCGCCTAAGCTGACTTTACGCTGGGCTGAAAAGCGATCGTACTTGTGATTATTGTCTATCCTTGACTTCCTACTGTTCTGAATTCAATACATGTATAGGTTTCGTTAATCTAATAAACTAGTAAAAAACCTGAACTGACGACTATGTAACGCAGAAATATGTTCAAGTGATGGAAAGATGTTAGGATTTTCATCTTATTGAATGGAATGTTCTACGCCGACTGCAACCGTCTAACGTCTTGTATTTCCTCAAAAATGTAACAGCCAAGCAGAATACTATTTATTCAATTTTACCTTTTCTTTTATTGTTTTCTGCTACGACTAAATGGGTATCTAAGATACATCATTAATTTTATAGTAGCTTAATGAACAAAGCTTTTAGCACCAGTAAAACCTGCGATCCATATCGCCATCGTAACTCAGAACATCAAATGTAGTGCTTACCTTGCAGTCCTAATATTTTCATAGTATTTCATCTCTGCTATTATACTTCTCATCTAGCAGTATCAATGGGGTATTATTGTTGGGGCTTTGCATGGATGCTTCATGGCGAGAACATGGACTCACGCTTCTAATCATTTTGCTTGCTGCGTCTATACTCCAGTAGCCAGTCCCTTCGCAGTGACTATAAACTGCTCGATCTTGGTCAAATCCTTGACACCATCCGTCTCAACACCCCCACTGACGTCGTACCCCAATACGTTCTTCACTGCTCCTGCAGCTTCAAGGTTGGAAGGGGTCAACCCTCCCGCCATAATGAACTTGCCAAAAGTCATTTTATTCACAAATTCCCAGTCTATGACCTTACCTTCGCCTCCAGCCTCGGAGTCAAGCAACGGTATCACCAACTCCTTTTCCTGGGTGAATTTGTGGACATGCTGGGCCAAAGTCTCAGCCTCAGTGGGAACCACGTATCTGTTGATGAGTCCATAGTTGCCCTCAGAGTTTCGCTCTAAGTACTCCAACTTGTTCTCGCTGCCGTGAAGCTGGATGAAGTCGATTTCCAACGCCAATGCTGTCTTGTAGACCTCGTCCAAGTGCTGGTTTCTGAACACTCCAACAGTGAAAGGTCCGTTTTCTATGATGAGCTGGGCCACTTGTTCGTAGTAATCCACCGGATCTGTTGCTTGCAAGCCTTTGATGTGCTGGTTGAGCTGTTTCATCGACTGGATCTTTCTCTTCCGGTCAATTCTGGTCTGACGTGCTCTGGCAGTAATGGCACTAGCTGTTTCGTTATCGATGGTTCTGGCACGGTTGGGCACAAGAATGAACCCCAAGAGGTCTGCTCCCGTGTCGATGGCTTTGGCAGCAGCCTCGGTGGACTTCAAACCACATATCTTTACTAATTTGGTCATGACTGGAAGGTGAAGTTGAATATGAAAATAATGTATATGTAGTAACGTGATCCAGCAGGTGCGAGATATATCGCTAAAGTTTCTACTCTCCGTTTCTGTATAGCTTTCAGCTGTATTGGTTGAATGCTGGTAATAGGATGCTGGATAGTAAGGATGGTTCCAAACTTGTAATGTTCTGGAAGTGTACTTATTCCAGCATCAAGCGTTAATGATCAAAAGAACTCATCAAAGAATTTTATTTCGTAACAGAAAACTATAGAATAAGGTGTCAGACTTATTGCGACGTCACAGGTAGAAATAATTCTTGAAGTTTTCGTTTGAAACAACGAAAGCACAGCAGAACGACCAAAGCATGGAATAGGTGTCAAAGGAGCAACTTGATATTCTTAAGCCAGTGCTATTCAATTATCACCTATTGCATTGCCAGAAATTCAACTTAGACTAGATGCTCTACATTCTAATCCACTTAGTTTACAAGTTCTACATTAGCAAAGATAGACCTGTGAGTCAAGTTTATCAACTAACTGAATGGCTATGTGAAGATGACAGATCGCTTGCACTGCCCTACGGTTAAAACATATCATTTATTAATTGCAAATGTACTGGTAGACCCTTGGCCATACCATCTAAAAAAACTGAACTAGCTCCCAACGATGCACAACTCAATCATATCCCAAAGCAGTTAAGCCATCAACACCATAACCGTACCTGGCCTACCAACGTGTTTCCTGAAGATCTTCATCCAGCGTCCCGTATCAATGTGTCCAAGGTACTGCTTGTTCGTTTCATGCAATATGGTGCTACACAGCTAGGAATCCCCCAATTCCTAGTGTAACTCTGCAATTTCCAAAAAAACAGTTCGTTTAGGCATTTGACCCGCTGTCAATTATTTTAATCTTGGGAAAATACCAGGCACGGTAGCAACTGCAACTCTCAATGCAACGTTAGTGCCAGCATGCTAGCAAGGAACACTCGAAAGCACCCATCATAAATGTTTTCGCACCCAAATACCACCATCACCGATACCTTGGAACGAAACTAGCAACACGGCATCTCGCCTCCATCTTCCCAACCTAAGTCTCTGACTAACTCACTTACCATAGGACCCATGCAGACCAGTTCATACCACTGTAGTTCGGGATTTGTTGCCATTGTGGTAGCGCGGGCGGACTAGGCTGTGTACAAACACGAGCACCTTTCTCAAACCATGCTGATACTTGGAACGTATCTGGTCATCGATACGTTTCATGCGCTCAGATAAGAAGATGTAAGAGGGAGAGTTATCCATCCCAATCATCTTTAAGGACCCTAGTTTAAGCTCACAGGTCTTGCGAAGTTTGCGCAACTCCCGTACAGTCCGACTGGTGAGGAATTCCTCCAACCGACTATCTTGAAGAGCAGCCAAGTTGTACACTGATCCCCTGGAGGTAACAAAACAAACTTGATGGTCGATAGCATCCAATTCAGCGACTTTTTTGTGTGTGTCCCCCTTGACCTCCGGGACGAGATCTCTGAGCATTTGCTCTGCCTGATCTAACACCAGCTGGGCCTTCTCCTGTTCAACCTCAAGCACACGCATCTTGTTTTCCATCGTAATCTTCAAGGTCTCGATTTCATGGCTTAAGCTGGCAAGGTCTGGGTTTGTGGCAGCACCAGTGGCTTCGGTAGTGTTTGTGGCCATCTCATTAGAAAAGTGGGATGAAACAGGCGAGGATTCTTCCAGTTTGATTTCACAGTCTTTGCTTGGGCCCTTCGCAAATAATGCTTTCAACTTGCCCAAGCTTCTAGGTCTCAGCTTGAGTTTTCGCTTCATCCTGGAAAAGCTAAGTTTTCTCTTAGATCCAAGCTTTTCAAGAGGGTTCTCATTCGTAGTTAATCCCCCACTAGCATGTGTATCTTCTGGGAACGCATCACGGTCATCGGGAATTAAATTATCGCCGGTCAAATGGTTCTCAGGAACTACCACAAATGGGCTTTCATCTTTCTTTTTGCCATGGAACCTGTCCTTTAACTTGGAAAGACGATCACGGAACATGCTAAAGTATTCGGTTGTTGATTTCGCAGACTTCTTTCTTGAGCTTGTTCGATTTTATACTAAGGTAAGTATGAAGAAAAGATTCGAAATCTCTAGGAAGGCGAGCCAGGATTTATACCTGGTGTACAAACGGAGTTTACAGACAGAAAAGTTGCAAGGTGGCAAAAATAAAGAATTCTACGCTTTCAGAGTAATTTTTGATGAGAAAAGAATCAGAACCGGTGATGGATAATTACACTGGAGGTGTTTTCAGCCGTTTCAGGTCGATATCGGGGCCATACGAGCTCAAACATGTAGAACAGTGTTTACCTTGCTGCTTGGGTTGGCTGCGAAATCTGGTCACGTGAGTGTTCCGATAAGTATTGATGGTATCATTACGTTTGCCAGTCCCAGTGAGCCACTTGTTTCTGTTCACTCACAGGCCCTGCTTCAATTGCCGCAATCGTTGATTTATTTGAATTCTTGCTACAACTCTTTTGTTAGCATTACGGACAAGAGCTTTTTTCAATGTATTGCATCTGAACTGCTATGTAATAATTTGAGAAGCAAAAGTTTATCGATTCTCTGCTAATGTGTCACGCCACTGAAGTAATACAAGATGGTGATTCTAGTCGTTGTCTTTTCTGAAAAGCTTACCGAAATTTTTGAAGTTTTCGTTAAGTTTGCTGACATGATTTTCACTGTTCAATGCAAGTTCTCTCAAGTTCTTCTCAAAGTTATTAATGGTTGTAGGTAAAATCTTAGGCGATTTAATATCCGGTGTCATTGCTTTTGGAGTGTTAGAGCTGCTGGTGGAGACGCGGATTCGTTCTTCTTCCTCACTCTCAATATTGGCCAACAACGTGCACAGCTCGATCAAACGACTATTTTCAAGGGTTAATTGTAATTTGAAGTTCTCAATGTACTTCTTTTGCTCGTGCTTCTCGATGCTCTTCAAGCTCAACACCTTGGTGAAGTTTTTGAGCGACTTATCTCCAATCAACTCAAAGTATTTTTCTATTAAATCCTCAATGGGCAATGCAGGGGTGGTTAATACTTTGATAACAGATTCGAGAATGCCAAATTCCCTAGTAACCAAATTTTGGTAGGACTTGGAAGATTTTTGAAAAGCAGGAGCCATACGGGAAGAGCCATTTTCTTCTTTGCCAGTACCTGTACTGTCTCTAAGTGCTCCTGGTTCGAAGTGAGAATCAGAGAATAAGGGAAACACAAATGCAAGTTCTTTCAAACTAGCCAAATCTTTCAACACTTGCTCTCGAGTGTTAATATTTAAACTCTTGATATACCTAAGATGATTGCCAAAAAGATTAATCAATAATTCAATTAGCTTGTCGTCGAAGTTCCGGATATAACTATCTCTGATAATCAACGGGGATATTATTCTTAAGTTCAGCACCAATGTGTTTCTTATTTCGACCAAGTAGGCAGACACAATTATGTCCTCTTCATTGCCAGCAGCGGTTAAGTTTGACCAATTCATATTTTCGAAGATCCTCCATGCTGGCTTTAAATCCAATGAAATCTTGAGCAACAAATTCGTTATGGCCTTATTGATTAATTTGAAGTAAATGTCCTTTGTATCCTCAAATGATATACGGCTCTTGTACTGAGGCTGGATGTGATGCTCCAACTTTTCCTGTAATTCCACAATGTTGCTAATGACATAATCACCTGTGTTGAGCAACATAGTCAAATACTTTAACGACTCGATACCTCCAACTCTTAAATCCTCTTCTCTCTGTGGAACAATTGGCAAAAGAATCCTATTATGGTAGTCTCTCAAAGTGTTGTTGAAGAGTCTTGACAAATCTATCAATATTTCGCCAGTGCTCAACTTCAACATTTGATTCAACACCTTGTAGAAGGACTTGAAAAGCTCAATAGAGGAGTTAGAAATGTTGGGGACATTGTTGATCTTGAGCGTGGTCAAAAAGTCTTCCTCCTTATCTCCTATTAATTCAGAAGGCAATTGTGAGACTCCCAATGATTCCATGAGTTTTGAATTAAGAGCCCTCTCTTGCTCTTGTATGTACACCTTCAAGTAAGGTTCGAATGCTGAAGATATGATGTGGTTAAACTCGTCGGTTTTGAATCGATCGTTCAAGAACTTTTCGAATTCCAAGGTGGCAAACAAATTATCCATCAACTTTTTGGAATCAAAATTGGAGTTGCTTCTTCTCAACAAGTCCATGATATCTTGGCTGGTAATTTTGCAAAAGATTTTGGAGACTTCGAGGTCGATTTTCCAGTCTGTTGGAAATACCTTGAGATACTTTGCCTGCACGGTCGAAAGAGTGTTTTTAAAGTATATGAACCGTCTGTTGAGGTTTTCCAACGAGCCTGCTTCCTCTGAGATGTTGAAGATCATTTTAATATCCTTGAGCTGATTATTGTAGAAAAGGTTAAGGAGTTTATCTTTATACTTGGAGTCAATCAACTCGAGGATCTGGCACCCGTACAACAAGTTGGGGCCAGAGGACTCAGGATCAGGGTTAGAGCCATTCTGGGCCCCCGGTCTCGAGTCCTGGAAACTGCTTCTGGCACTGTTCAGGCTGGCGCTGGCGTACCCGTCGTACTTGTCATCCCTCAACTCTTCGAAGTCGTTGAAGATATCGTCCACCAACTTGTTTTGGGTGTTGACGATCATCAAGTTGATGCTGTTGATTTCGTCGATCGACCTGTACGGTTTGAAGTACACCAACAATTGCTTGATTACACCAAGGAGCTGGAGGATCTCGTGGTAGTTGTGCGAGGGAATTGCTGCTGTCAAGGCGCTGTTGGCACTGAGGAGCATCTGGAGCCGCTTGACGATGGTCATGGTCAACACCAAGTTCTTCTTGTAGTTGTCTAGCGATTGGATGGAGCTGGTCATGGCAGTGATGGAACGCTGGGTGGAGCTTGCACTGCTTTTGACGGTGCTGATGGCCTCTGCCAACTGGGCAGTGTCGTTTCTCATGTCGACGTAGCACTGGTTGTACTTGGCAACATCATTTAGGATGGTGGCTGTGAGGTCTTGTTTGTAGCTGGCAGTGTGGGAGAGCAATTGTGGAAGTTCGTCGAGGTTTTGCGGCAGCCGGAAGAGTTCATTGAGGTGGGGCAACGGGTCGTACAGCGACGGACTGGGCGAAGGGGAAGACATTATGATGCCGCAACGACCTGGGGGAGAGTTGTAGATCGGTTGGTTTTTTCAACAGTGCGGACTGGGGAGGGGGCGGGCGACGTAGCGAGCAGCGTAGGGGGAAATGCTGCGGGAAGTGTTCGGCGAAATAGCGAGGAAGTGGGGAATGTCGGACGACGATAGCGAGAATAGCGAGCGCGTCGGTGGAAAAGGCACGGTAGATAGTGAGAGCCAGCGGAAATAGTGGTGCGGCAAAGCTACCAGAATAGAGAGTTGGCTTTGCATGTTCACCCACCATATCATTGCTTCACAGGTGGGCATAAACAATGTAATTACGGGGATCTGAATGAGATGGATGTTATGGATGCTATGGATGCTATCAATGATACGATTTCCAGGGGTTTGATAGGCGTAGTTCACCGTAGGACAATCTAAAGATACTGTAGGTACATTCGCAAGCCACTGGAAACAACGTAGGCTAATACTCATGGTATCACTGCTCGCTCTACTCTGGGGACTTTCTTACTCCACTAATAACTTACTTGCAAGCTATTACTCGAGCATTCATCCCAAAAGCTACTCTGGGAAATCGTCTTTACTCCAGCCAGTAATCTAGCTTTACTCACCAGATACCACTATCTGTGAGTTCTGTACCAAGCTTGTGACTTCTACACTACCTGATATCATAACCCTCCCATTAGTTGTGTCTAATGTTCGTCTGAATTATTTTCTGCTAATTGTCTCTTTCAAGTAACTTTTTTCCCATGCATGAAGCTGACTGACAATCTAGGTATGATGCCAGTTTAATCCCAAGGTTGTGGTAGAGGACTCCGGGAGAAGTACAGACCTGGGTGTGTGTAGTTTGATTACTTCGGTTCCAGATTCCGACTATTTGGATTCTAGTATAATTTCCCTAGATTTATACTAAAATCGGGAAAAATGAAGAAAAGAATTTGTTGGAGACTCATCAATTTATTTTCAGTAATTAATTGTTGAACAGGATTTCGCTACACTTTTGATATTTAATCAGATATCAAAGATCGTGGTAGGATGTAGTCACATGACATGGACTTGCCATGGAATTGAGCACAAGAGCAGCAGAGATACTAGTGAGCAAACTGAGTTATTTTGTAATTATAATTAATCCTGTTGGAAAGAACTAGTACTAATGGTTGGCTTGTACTCTTTGAAAAGATATAATATAGGCTCTAAACTTCGCTTAGAGTCCACTGGAAAGATTAGTACCAATGTTGTCTTCTTTCCCCATCGGAAAGGATGTAACAATCAAATTACTAAATTACTTCTAATCTCTTCGAAGAATTATTATAGTCAAAGCTTAAATACTTCTAATCTATTGGAAGGATATTGCATTCTCTAAATTAGCTTTATTAATTATATTTATATAGTTATATATAATGTTAATTCTTAAGTGACCTGCTGTAAGTTGAAATACGGTTCGGTTAGGGGAACCTGATAGCAGATTACCGAATGTGCACTTATGGACCCTGGATCACAGGATCACCAGCCGCAGACCATCGCTCACACTCCATGTGCTACTCCAGGTGGCTGGTGTTCCACGTGACACCCCACCAACTCCCACCTACACCTGCCAAGTCCACCAAATCCACCATCCACCCGTCGGCACCTGCCAGATCTCAGTCGTCCCCCCGCAGCTGCCCCCGCAGTCAGAACCCGTATTTAAACCCTAGCACGGGACCATACCCGTTTTCGGAGGTGTTTTGGTGGGTAGATGCCCAATTAAGCCGAGATGGTGCACCAAACGGGACAATGGACGATGCCAGACCATCGCGGGTGGGGAGCTCGACGGTCCAGGGCCTGTTGGTCCATTTACTCTTCCTTTTCGAGCAATTGCCCTATGCTCACAAATTTCCTAATTAGGAAGTATCTATCCTGTCGATAAAACTGCTGCTGGCACCAGCCAGAAAACCTATAAAGGGTGAGGTCCAGCTCCACCTGTGGTAAGTAGACAGAACTCGGACGTTTGCACAACAGCTATACTGTAAAAGTGGAACCTTACTGCAATAGTGGAACCTTTACTTTTGGAAAGTCCACCAGTATCTCGAACCGTCCTGCATCGCAACTAGCAGCCGTTACGCACATCTGTTGATTTGACAGCAAATTCTGGCGTTGATTCAGCACATTTCGTCTAATCGATTCTACCAATTCGTCTATCGATTCTACCACATTAGCACCATTCTGGCGGCTAATACGACTACCATCCACTCCTTCCACCATCAGTGAGCCCATCCGACCTCTATGGCCCGCTTCAAGTTTGGTAAAAAGAAGAAAGGAGACAAAACCACAGACACCCAATCCATAGCCAGCGATTTCACCAGAGCACTGACCGATATGCCCATCAGAAGAGGAGATTCGCTCAGAGAGGACTTCGTGGCTGTGCCCTCCACCCAGGCGCTGGTGCACGTTCCCGAACCACCAGTGCAACCCACCAAGGTGGTGCCCAAAATCACCGTCAATACCCCCTGGAAACGCTACAAGTTGTTCAACTCCCCGTTCCCCCGTTACAGACATGCAGCCTCCAGCATCACCAGCGAGAAGAACGAGATTTTCTTGATGGGAGGCCTCAAGGAGGGCTCCGTGTTCGGCGACACCTGGAAGATCTTGCCTGAGGAAAGCCCTTCAGGAGAGGTGGTGGGATACTCGGCCAAAAATATCGACATTGCCAACTTGAACAACCCTCCCGCTAGAGTCGGCCACTCGGCCGTGTTGTGCGGTAACGCCTTCATAATCTACGGTGGTGACACCGTTGACACCGACTTCAACGGATTTCCCGACAACAACTTCTACTTGTTCAACATCAACAACTCCAAATACACCATTCCCGGCCACATCTTGAACAAGCCCAATGGAAGATACGGACACACCGTGGGCGTGATTTCCGTGAACGACAAGTCCTCCAGACTCTACTTGTTTGGTGGCCAGTTGGAGAACGACGTGTTTAGTGACTTGTACTACTTCGAATTGAACACCTTCAAGTCTCCCAAGGCCAGATGGGAGTTGGTGGAGCCATTGAACAACTTCAAGCCCCCTCCATTAACCAACCACTCCATGTCTGTCTACAAGACCAAGATCTACGTTTTTGGTGGTGTTTACAACAACGAGAGAGTTTCTAACGATCTTTGGAGTTACGATGCCTTGGTAAACAAGTGGACTCAAATCCCCACTTCGGGAGCTGTTCCACAGCCTGTCAATGAGCACTCGGCTTGCGTCGTCAACGACAAGTTGTACATCTATGGTGGTAACGATTTCAGCGGTATCATCTACAATACCTTGTATGTTTTGGATTTGCACACCTTTGTCTGGTCCAAGTTATCCGATGGTGAATTGGACGGCCCTGGCCCCAGATGTGGCCACTCCATGACCTACTTGCCAAAGTTTGACAAATTTGTCATCATGGGTGGTGACAAGAACGACTACATCAATGATGATCCAAACAACTTCGAAACCTACGAAGAGTACAACGGAGAGGAGATCGGCACCATGATCTACGAGTTGGATTTGTCAGTTCTCGACCAATTTGTCACCAACGAGGTTGCTGAGCCTGTCGTGAAACAGGCCCCTCCAAAGAAGATTGCTGCTAGTGCAGCTCCTGCTAAACCAGATGGTCCTTCATCTGCCCTTAGACAAAGCTACGAGCGCCACGCTCGTAGCTTTTCGGCTGGGCCTGAAGATTTCAGAACTCCTGAACCCTCTCCAAGCAGAGCTTTAGCCTTGAGGGATGACAAGTTCGTGAATGTTCCTGAAACCACCGAAAACTCGTACACGGCAGCTAGCTTGGATCCTCACGCTGACCAAAACCTTGACTCATACAACAACGGTGACGTTCATGTCGAGGATTACCAAACAGAGACCTATGCTTCTCCAACTAGAGAACCAACCATCAAGGAGACCAGTTCAGTATCCAGACAACCCACAGTATCTAGAGACCAAGGAACTAGAGGTATCGTGAGTGAGGACACCGCCGTTACCAGGGATGCCTACAACAATGGCCATTCCGAAGACGTGAAGAAGATTATTGCTGAGTTGAACAACGAGCTTAATGAATTGAAGGCTTCCACCAAGCAACAAATGCAAAATGCTACTGAAAGAATCAACACTTTGGAGCAAGAAAATAAATCTCTTAAGGACAGCCATTCGAACGACTCTGGCAGTTACGAAAAGAGATTGCAAGAAAAGGATTTGTTAATCAACGAATTAAGGGGTGCCCTCGATCCTAATGCTTTGGTCATTGATCCTGCAGCTGAATCTTCCGCTCGCTCTGGTCCAGGGTCGCTCTCTGAGTTATCCAAGTACAAGTTAGACAGATTGGAATTAAGCAACAAATTGCTTTACTTGGAACAGGAAAATACCAGACTCAATGAGAGACTTGTCAGATTCGAGCCTTTCATGAACAACCAAATTGGAGGATTGACAAAGTTCCAAAAGATTATCAAGGTCCAAGAGGAGAAGATCCACAAGTTATCCCAACAAGTGAAGGACGAAATGGTGTTACACAAGGAAATCAACGAATGGAAGGCCAAGCATGAAAACTTGGAATTAGAGTTCGAGAACTACAAGAGCATTTACTACGATGAGCCTGTTTCTGACGAGGAAGATGAACCTGAAATTGATGACCCTCAAAACAACAGATCTATTTTGAGTAGCGCAACCAGAAGATCCAAGAAGGACATCTCATCCCACTTGGAGAACTTGGTTACCTTGTGGAACGTGAAGACTACCGAAAGCACTAGGGATGTTGCCAGTGAGCACGAGCTTCCTGCTAACAACCAATTCGTGGGTAAGTTGCAAAACCAAATTGATGATCTCTTGAGAATTGGCAAGCAAAACGAAGCCAAGTCTCAAGAAGAGATTGCAAGATTGAAGTCTGACTTGGGCGAGAAATTGAACAGCTTGAAGACTTTCGAAGAGAACTACAGGGATGCTATCCAGTCCGTCAACAATACCAGTAAGGCTTTGAAGATGAACGAAGACGAAATCAGAAACCAAAGGGTTTTGATTGAAAAGTTGACTAAGGAAAACAACGAACTCAACTTGTTCAAGAAGGCAAGCAAGAGACACAGTTCTAGACAGCCAACGCCATTGGCACAAGGCCAACACATCCGAGACTCTTCTATTCCAGAGGAGGATGACCAGGACCACGACATCGACGAAGCCAGTGCTATCAACCACGCTCACTTCAACATGAAGATCCAAGACTTGGAGGCCGATTTGTACATTTTGAAACAAGAGAGAGACCAATTGAAGGACAACGTGACATCGTTGCAGAAGCAATTGTATTTTCAGTCCAACAATTGAGTGAGCCACTCATTAATTTACGAAAATAACGCTTAATGAAGTTGTCTGGGGCTGTTTCCAGCCGTCCATGCGCTGTACATTCCTGTTGCTGATGTTTTAATTTTGACGAGTTTATATTGTTTAATTCTGGAGTTTTCTCTGCTGGCCGCCGGCCGGGCTTATTTATAACCTATTTGTGAACAGCTGTAGAATCTGGGGTAGCGTCACGTGAGACCAAACCACAGAGTGAAGGAAGCACGGAAGTTTCCTGAGTAACCAGGGGTCTGCAGAAGCACCACGAAGCCCACGCAATAGACGAATTGTTCATCGCTGTTTCGGGACTTTCCACACACCCATTAGACTTTGTGCATACATCCTCGTCACCTCCTCGCATGTTGCTGCTGGCGACGCATTTTCTGTCAATGCCCCAACACTATAGACGACCCGTCATATCCGAGGGCACCCGCGAGTTCCGGTCAGGCCACTCTCCTATCTCCTGGCCAACGACTGACCTGACGCTACCGCCTCCAGCGCCCGTCTCCCATCGAAGGCCCTTTCTGAGGACTCACCACTAGTCGTCTGGTGTCGCCATGAGCAAATTCACTGAGAAAATCAACCAGTTGAAGGAGGAATCCGACCACAAGCAGTCTGCCTACTACCAGCTCAAGACCGTCTACACCACCAAGCAGGACGAATTGACCCAGAAGGAGTACCAGTTGAGGGCTTTGACAGCCCAGAATACCTTTTTGACCGAGAGATTGGCTCGTCACAACTCCCAGCACCAGGAGAATTCTGACCAGCTAGCCAAGAACCAGGAAGCAATTGCTGGCCACCAGAATCGCATTGACACCCTCACCAGAGACATAACTGAGTTGGAGACCCGTTATGACGAAACCGTGGCAAAGCTCAGCGAGGTCCAGGCCGAGTTGCATGACATTCACCAGGCGCTCTCGTAGGGCAGTGAGGCACACCAGAAAAAGAAGGGGATTGTACTGGAGCACCTTGGAGGCATCTGGTGCTGAAGTAACAAGTAGCTGAAGTGGATCAAGTGCCCGAACTACCCTTCAGATTGCATAAGTAATATAAGAGCTAGTAAATTACATTCAACGTAGGCTATGCTGTGGATTCATATTTATGGGGATAGATCGATGACGAAAAACTGTTTCGGACTAACTTGAATCTCAGTATAAAATTAAAACAACTACTCACCTGAAAGTGACAATTATTATGAGATCCTCGAAGGGGAAGAAATGTCATGAGTACTAAAGTAAGTTATTGAAATAAAATTATTTGATATCGTTCTCCGAAAATGAACAAATAACTAGTTAAATCCTTGAAATTATTGTCATATTCCTCGAATTAGGGAGAGTTATCACTACTATCTAGACTGTGGAGATTCGTAATCTAAAATTCTTAATATCTATCTTTTACCTAGGATAAATCACATTGAACTGTCAAGTTTCAGATTCTCCAAAAATATGTATGCAACAAGACTCCATAAAACAGGTCATAGAGACCAGTGAATTTGATTCAAGAATAAAATAGCTGTATCCGGGACGACGACAAAATGGAATAAATAAACTTTTCATAGACAAGCTGTTCCGAAGGTGTATTCACTTCATAAGCCTAATAGAAAGACCCCATATGTAAGTTCGAATTATTATACAACTTAGTAGTCAACTATACAGTGATTTCCAACTCCACTTCTAATTGACCTGGAAGTACAATAACGAGAATCAAAACATCCTTACTACCATTATAAAAAGGCCCGACAACGATGTTTGAATGCTACTATAGTAGTAAAGCTTTAATACCGTAGCTTTCCTGCCGGAATTCTAGAGTTGCGCTGTGATTTGGACCGGATAGTGCAATTGTGCTACAGCATTAAAACTAATGATGAAGAAGAAAATTCAAATAGTTGAACCAAAGGATCATAGATGATATATACATAATATCCAGTAATACTTCAAATGGTTTAATAGTATTTTACTCCATTACCTTCTGAATTGACAGGTAGACCTACCCTTCCTCAATCTGATCCCGCTCTACACTCGAATATCGAAACATAGCCAGACGTCTATTAATACACTTCCAACAGTAGTGCCGTCGTATAATACATAAGGAGAGCCCACACTTTGCCCTAGAACGCTTGCTGATCTGGCAGGCTTTCGTGGGTACCAGTACCCACGTTGGCGCCCTCAGCAATGAGTTTGTCGTTGTTAACCGTTTCGTACTTGGGAACGAAGTCGATAGCACTGTACTGGTCGTCGCTCGCAGTGGTGGTGGGGTCACGATAGAGATCATCGTCACTGTCGTTGGGCTGGGGATGGTCAGCCTCCGAGATGGTGTTGAGGGGGCTCTGGAAGGTGAAGAATTGGAACTGGTGGCTAGCCTCGACTGCTTCGTTGGGCGTTCCCTCGCCTACGCTGACGGTCGGAGACAGGACTGAACCGTTCTGGTTCTGGTTCAGCACCAGAGGAGCCGTGTTGTCGTTTCCTGCGGCTGTGGGAGTGGCTTCTGGCAGCTCCAAGATGTCGTCGTTGACGGGACTGATGACGTCCTCACCATCGTCGAACTCAGGAGGCACTGAGGGTAACAAGCTGGACTCATGGAGCTTCATGCGCTCCTTTTCAGACAAGGATCCTGGAGCCGTGGCTGGAGGATCTATCACAGCACCTCCAGAACTGCTGATATATGCCAATTCGTCATAGTTGGGAATGGAGCTGGAGTTGGCAGTGCTGGTGTGGTTTTGGTGGCTCTCGAAGTACGGAGGAGTGTGGAAGTTGTTCATCTCAATGGACTCGGGAATGGCTCCAATGTAGCTGGGACTTGGAGCAGGCGCCACACCCGTGATTGCAGAGCCCGCGGAGTAATTCTGGTCGGGAGATTGAGCAGAGACCGGTGGCCCTGGACGAGGAGACGAGCTTGTCTGACTCACAGTGGCAGGCGAACCTGCCTGGCTTCCTCCCAAATTCTCGGAAACTGGCACAGGAAGCGCAGAGAGCGCCGCAGCCTGCTCACGGAGGTGGGAGGACGGAGTCTGCTGGTCCTGCGACGCAGGGCTGTTGAGCTGCGCCGCAGTATCTGTAGGTGCACCTCTGTGGGTGCCAATAATAATCTCTGTGGTCAACTGAAGAAATTTCTTCAGTCTTTTGAACTTGTCTGTATTGACGAAGCCTGATCGCTCCTTCTGGTGCTGCAAGGTCGATACCGTTGAGTTGAAGTTGAAATTAAACTTGTAAGAGTCGGTTCCAGATCCCAAGATATCCGATTGTGAACCCGAGTGGTTTTCCACGTCGTCAAACGATGATCTATGGTGCGGAGGATGCATGTTCTCGTCATCCAAGGTCAACGATTTACCCGACAAATTGATCAACACCTCGATGAAGTACTGGAACGACACCAAAGGGCATCCTACGATAGTCGGAAACGCATCCGCAGGTACTCTGACGCTGCTGTTGATCTCGGACTTAAAGGTGACCGGATCCACGTAGAGTGGAATAATCAGCTGCTGTAAGTCTTTCCGGAACGACTCAAATGTGCCGTCAGGCTTGTCAAGCCTGCAAACACGCACAAAAGTGACGATTATGCCATTGACATCCTGGACCTTTTTGAGGTGGTTGATGGAGATTTTTATGGGAATCAACTCGCCTCGGATGAACCCTCGTTGCGCTATTTCCAACGACACCTTGATGTTGTCGGACTTGAGTGCTTCCTGCGCAGGCAGCGGCACTTGCGCAGATGCGTTGGTAGTGGCCACAGTTCCTGCAGAATTGACACGTTTGACACCATTGGGCATGGACGGCTGGGCCGTTATTCCTGCTTCCTCCGAGTTGTTGGAGGAGTAGGTGCTATAACTGTTGACAGTGTTTATGGTGTTGATGGTGGAGGTGGACGACTGGGTTCGCGAGAGCCTTCTGCTGTTCCGTGGGTCCTTGATGATGAGTCTTTTGGGCTTTGGCGGAGGCAACGTCGCCACGTTGATGGGGCTAATGAGGTTGATGATTTTTTCCGCAGTGTAGATTGGGTTGTTGAGCACCTTAAGGCTTCTGTTCTTGGAGAACATGTGGCTGGTGGTACTGGAGGGGCTATTGGAGTCGATGGGGGACGAATGGGTAGACGGCGAATTGGAAATGGCCGCTGCAAGACCGTGGTTGGGCGACGCAGCAGGCACAGGGCTGGCGTAGGAGCTCAAGTTGCCGATGGACGCTCGCAAGAGGTATGCGATGGAGCCTTTGCCAAAATCGATGGAGGTGAAGATGCGCTTGTTGGGGAGCTTGACGATGAACGGGAAGCGGTGCTCGCCCTTGAACAAGCCATTGGCGAAGTCATTTTCCGACGCAGCCAGCGGTGAGTCACCGTAGATCTTGATGGTGTGGTTGAACAAGCAGTACTTGATGGGACGCAATTTGGAGTGCGACGAGGCGTTGATCTTTACGTGTCCGATCAACGAGAGCGTGATGACGATGTTGGCGAGGTTCTTGTTGGAGATGAGAATGATCTGGCCCGACACTTCTTCTCCAGGTAACCACGGCTTGTGGGGGTCGTCGAGCAGGATGTAGAACTCGTCCACCGAGTGGAAGTCGATTTTGAGGTTGGATGCCAACGACGAGAGGCCCGACGAGGTGTCAGAGGTTGTGCCGGCAAGGAACTTCGAGGAGGGGATTATTTTCGATACAGCACGCCTCATTGTGGAGGTGGAGGCATATGTGGGAGTGGAGGTGGGTTGGTAGGAGTGACACTGGTGGCGGAGGAGTGGGGTGGTGGTGGTAGTGACTGGTAGCGACTGGTGGCGAGATTAGTGGTGGTAGTGAGATTCGTGACTGGCGGTAGTGACTGGTCGTGACTGGCACCGCCTGGTGGTCAGAGTCCTAGGAGATTGGCAGCAGTCGCTGAGTGGGCGGCTAACACGAGGAGGTAGCACGATTGGCAGCACGAGCGAGGTATCAGCCAGAATGGGCCCACGGGAGTGTACGAGGTGGGACAGGAAGACGCCAGGGACGGAGGAGGCGGGTGTGGGGAGGAATTGGGAGCCGTTGTAGGATCTAATCGGAGGTGTTGGTTGATAGTTTTTGACGGGCTGTGTGCAGGCTGAGGATTAGGGGACGGTGAGGGTGTAGAGGCTAGGGGAAGTGGGTGGTGGTGGGCAGGACGCTGGCGCACTGAGGCAGGAGGCTTACGGCACGAGGCACCACGGGATGGTGCCGCTACAAGGGTGTCGGTACGGGGTCCAATAGGGCCTTTACGGGTGTTTTGGTGTCAGCACAGCCAGCACTGGCGCCAGATCCACCGCGAACTGCCGCTAGCGAGAGTGCAGTCCAGCTCTCCCTAACGGCACCGGGACGCACGTAAACGAGGCGCTGGTGTAGAGGCGGGAGGGGGGCACATCCGGGAGCGGTGCTGCGGGAGGGGACACATCCGGAGTGGTGCAGGAGGGAGAACACATCCGCAGTGGTGCAGCAAAGGTGCAGCGAGCAGCACCAGGTGGCATGTGGCAGGTGACAGGTGACAGGTGACATTGACAGGCGACAGCTGACATGTGGGTGCTACTGTGTCCATGAACTTACTCACCAGCTGGCTGCGGTGGGTGGTCCAGGGAGTGGTGGCGGCTACCGGAAAGCCCCCACGTCGCGTGATCGGGGGCACATGATATCTATCTGGCTCGACACACACTTACTCGGCAATCATTTCCAATATACTCGGATCTCACAGAATGGAAAGCTATCTAGTTTAGACGGGATACTCGCACTGATGGGCCCAGCGAAGTAGTCTAATACCTTGTTATTTGTAAGTTTTCTGCTGAGAGCGATCCTCATCTCTTTTATTATAATAGTAGCTATGCTGTTCTCCGAAAGGCTAGCCTAGCCTGAGGCCCGACCGTAGCCCTGTGACTAGCCACTGCTGCCTTCATTAGCTCCTCAACTTGGACAAGCCTCCAGTCCTTTTTTGCTAATTAAAAGTGTATTATAATCTACTATCTAGATGACCCGTAGTTGCCTTCGAAGGGATTTCAATGTAAGCTATCCTTACTACCATTAATTAATACCCTGAAAACGATAAAGATCTTTGTTTTCTGTGTTCTTGGATATTAAAATCGTTACCTCGGCTGTAAAGCTCGGATGTTTCAGATTATGACTACATTATATTCTATTATTGCTACTGCTCAAAATTGTAACTTGGATTGGCCAGTCGTAGAGATTGCACCCCCTGAGGGCACTGTAATTCTTCAACTTAATGTGATGTTGAAGACCTGTGATTACTTATTGCGGAGCTGATTTACTCAGATGCTAAATTTTCTTTGTGTTTAGCCTGTGTGGGAAACCCTAATTGGATCATCTATAGATGAAAGATTGAGTTGTAAAACAATAAATAATACCTTCGATAGCAAGTTAATATTTCTACAATGAACTATTTGAAAAGTTGTGGAGAGAAATATGAGTAGTTGGCTGGAGATAGCCACTTAAGTTCACTTTGGAGAGTTCAGCTCCCTTGAATTTTTGACAATAACTTCTGACACCCTAGTAGAGATCAAACAGTCCAACGGTTCCAAAGGCTCTGTGCCCCAGCAGCCTCCACAGTCCCTACTCAATTAAATCAAATATAAATGTATTAATACTGTACAGAACTATCTATGATAGACAACGAATAAAAAGGAAGATGATTCTCAATGCAGCCAATAGTGCCCTACGGCATCCACCTAATCAAAGGTCTTCTTGGTACCCTTGAATTCAGCAGCGTTAGGACCAGATCTTGGAGGACCAGCAGATCTTTCACGGCCTCCAAAACCACCTCCAAAACCACCTCTACCACCTCTGTTTCCACCGAAGCCACCTCTGCTTCCACCTCTGTTTCCACCGAATCCACCACGGTTACCACCACTGGTGTTAGGGTCTCTTGGAGTGGAGAAGTCCAATCTGCATGCACGTCCTTCGATGTATTCACCGTTCAAGGCTTCCATGGCAGCCTTGGCCTCGTCGACAGAGGAGAATTGCACGTAACCGAAACCCTTTGGCTGTTGAGTGTCTGGGTGGGTTGGGATTCTGCAGGAGATCACGCTACCGTACTCACCGAAGGTGTTGAAAAGAGTGTCTCTTTCAACGTTGAAAGACAAGTTACCAATGAAAAGAGTGTCGGAAGGAGCGGATGGAGTGTCACCAAACTGCTTGGCTCTGTCGTTTTGCTTGGTGGCGTGTGGCTTACCGGTGGACAAGTCCAAGTTGATTGGTCTGCCGTCGATTTCTCTGCCTTGATATTCAGCAAGAGCCTTTTCAGCTTGCGACTTGGTTTCGAAGTCAACGTAACCGTAACCTCTGGACTTACCAGTGGCCTTTTCCATGATGACTCTGGCGCTGATAACTCCGCCAATTGGCTCGAATTCTCTCTTCAACCATTCGTCGTCGATGTTCCACGACAATCTACCAACGAACAAAGTTCCTGGTTCTTCTTCAGTCTTGGCCTTCTTGGAAGATGGCTCTTCCTCGGACTCTTCAGCCTTACGCTTTGGAGCTTCAGCCTCGGAGGATTCTTCGGATTCAGAGTCGGAATCAGAATCAGAAGAGTCGGACGAGGAGTCGGAATCAGAGGAGGAGTCGGAGGAGTCGGAGGAGTCTTCCTTCTTGGCTTCCTTCTTTTCTTCCTTCTTTTCTTCCTCTTCTTCGTCAGAAGAGTCGGAATCAGAGTCGGAAGAAGAGTCAGAAGAAGAGTCGGAGGAAGAGTCGGAATCAGAGGATTCTTCCTTCTTCACTTCCTTCTTGGCCTTCTTTTCTTCAACCTTTGGCTTTTCTTCTTCTTCTTCGTCAGAAGAGTCGGAGTCAGACTCGGAATCAGAAGAAGAGTCGGAGCTGGAGGAGGAAGAAGAAGAGGAAGAGGAAGATTCGGATTCAGAGTCGGAAGAAGACGAGGTCTCTTCTTCGCTGCTGGATTCATCCGAGGATTCAGCCTTTTCTTCTTCAACCTTCTTGGACTTCTTGTCGGCCTTCTTGTCGTCCTTCTTGGACTTCTTTTCGACCTTAGTCACCTTAGTTACCTTGGATGTTTTAGCCATTGTGGTTGTATGGAGTAATGCAAAATTAGTAGTTAAATTTTTCTGGAGATGGGTTGAAAAATTCGAGGTGATGAGCTGGTCGCGTGACGAGATGAGGTGGAGTGTGTAGAAGAATACGAGTGGATAAGGATGGGAGAGCCGGCAAGGGTGGAGGCACGGCGTGGGGACGAAGGAGGAGAGGCTAGCTGAGCACACTACAAAGCTACAGCCCTGGTGGTAGGCGGGTGACTCAGAATCCGAAGCTTACATAACCAGGACTCCATGGGTACGGATATGTGAACTATTTCACGTGACAAGATGGAATCGTGCTTAGAAGCACATCTTGGAACAATACCGTAATAGTTCAAGGCGGAACCGTACCGAGCGATCGGAGCCACAAATGGTAGCAGTAAAGAAAGCGAAGAAATAAATAGGGCGCTGTAATAAATGTAAGTGAAAGATAAAATTTGGTGAATTAAGCCCCTGCAATTTGATAAACAGAAGTGTGAGCTGCGCTCTGTTCGCCCCACCTAAAAAGCAAGCTGGTAGCTCCAGATTTCACTTCTCTGTTAGTTTACTTGATATTTATTTGTATCTTAGTAGTTGACTCTATATTCCACCTCTTGAGTAGCTGCGATCTTCACTATGCTTCAAATTCGACATCTACAAGGACACGATGTACTCGGTCTGATACACTTTAATTTCCAAACCGGTAATCGATACATCGATAAAAATATGATTTATGTTCACGTAACGTAGAGAAATCTGGCCATGGACCGATGTTGTGCCCAATTTGATACCGACATTGCCAATGTTGCGACTTAGTGAAATACCTGACATACCCCAATATACACGTTCATTGTAGACCGTCAAGCTTACATTAAGGAACTGTCTATTGGCTGACTACACCTACAAGTGATGACAAGCCTGCACAGAACACAGGGTCTGGAGTGTATATCTTGAGTTTGTTCGGAAATGAGCTGGGCGCTTGGACGTCCAAAAGAACGTGCAGCAACCGGCAGTGGGCCCATTCCTTAGCCCGAGGGTGGCGTATTGCCACGACTTATTGCAGCAAATGAAGAACTGAGAGCAGACTGGGTTTATGACTGGCATGCGCCGCTGACAACTACCGTCTGTGCCGCTGGCATCTGCACTGCACCTCTGTTCTCTGCGCCGCTGGCGTCTTCCCCACCCACACCCCTCTGCATCACGTGCCCGGCCCGCTTCCGGCCCTGCACCGCTCCGCACCTTCTCCACCATTACGTGGTTTTATCACCACCACCATTTCCATACTATTTCTGCCATTTGCACCACTTTTCCTCCACACATTTCCCCATCATGAGACGCACGTTAGCATGTCTCCAGAAGGCGGCCACCAGTGCTGGTGCTGCCGCCAGAATCCCGCCTGTCAAGCTAGCATACAAGAACATGCTCCGGGACCCCTCGTCCAAGTACTCGGCCTTCAAGGCTGTAGACCTCCCCAACCGGACCTGGCCCAACAACGCCATCACCAAGGCACCTCGCTGGCTCTCCACAGACCTTCGTGACGGTAACCAGTCGTTACCTGACCCCATGTCCATTCCCGAGAAGAAGGAGTACTTCCACAAGTTGGTCGAAGTAGGCTTCAAGGAGATCGAGGTGTCATTTCCTTCTGCGTCGCAGACGGACTTTGACTTCACGCGGTACGCGGTGGAAAACGCTCCCGAGGACGTGGCCATCCAGGTATTGACCCAGTCGCGTGAGCCTTTAATCAGAAGAACAGTGGAAAGTGTCAAGGGTGCGAAAAAGGCGATTATCCACACCTACTTGGCCACTTCGGATGTGTTCCGTGACGTGGTGTTCGGCATGTCCAAGGAGGACGCCATCGCCAAGGCCATCGAGACCACCCGCTTGGTGCGTTCGTTGACCAAGGACGACCCTGCCATGCAAGACACCGAGTGGACGTTCGAATTCAGTCCTGAGTGCTTTTCCGACACCCCCACCGACTTTGCCGTGGAGATCTGCGAGGCTGTCAAGGCTGCGTGGGAGCCTACGGCTGCGCAGCCCATCATCTTCAACCTCCCAGCCACCGTGGAGGTGGCAGGACCCAACGTGTATGCTGACCAAATCGAGTATTTCTGTTCCAAGATCTCCGAGCGTGAGAAGGTGGTGGTGTCGGTGCACTGCCACAACGACCGTGGGTGCGGAGTCGCAGCCACCGAGTTAGGACTTTTGGCTGGTGCCGACAGAGTCGAAGGGTGCTTGTTTGGTAACGGTGAGAGAACTGGTAACGTCGACTTGGTCACCGTGGCCCTCAACATGTACACCCAGGGGGTTTCGCCTGAGTTGGACTTGAGTGACATGGAGTCTATTATCGCCATTAGCGAGAAGTGCAACAAGATCCCAGTGCATCCCCGCGCGCCCTACGGGGGAGACCTCGTGGTGTGTGCGTTCAGTGGCTCGCACCAGGACGCCATTAAAAAAGGGTTCGCTAAGGCCGAAGCACGCGACTCCCAGAAGTGGACCATTCCTTACTTGCCTTTGGACCCCAAGGACATTGGGCGCTCGTACGAGGCCGTGATCCGTGTCAACTCGCAGTCTGGTAAGGGTGGAGCCGCCTGGGTTGTTTTGCGGTCGCTCGGCTTGGACTTGCCCAGAAACTTACAGGTGGTTTTCTCGTCTATCGTCCAGCAGCGCGCAGACTCGTTGGGACGTGAGTTGAAGACCGACGAAATCATCCAGTTGTTCAAGTCGGAGTACTTGGCCACGCCTGAGTTGACGCTTCGCGACTTCGAGATCTCCAAGAACAAGAAGGCGTCCACCGACAACGACAGAGAAATTTTCCTCGTTTTGGAGACTGCTGGCGGCCAGCAGGTGAACTTGAAGGGCCAGGGCAATGGGCCCATTTCTGCGTTCCTCGATGCGTTGTCGCAAAAGTACGGCACATTATTGGAGGTGGTCAACTACTCCGAGCACATGGTAGGCAAGGGGTCGCAGAGTAAGGCTGCCACCTACGTGGAGTTGAGCTACATTAACAAGGACAACCAGAAGGTGCGCCAGTGGGGCTGCGGTATCCACAGCGATGTGTCGCAGGCGTCGTTCGAGGCCATTCTCTCCATTGCCAATTCGTTGGTGCAGTCCGGCGAGATTGCTCTTTAGGGGTTTGGGTTACATAGCGTAGATCCAAGGTAATAAAATATTCAGTGATCCAGAATTGGTATGGTAATTATTAGTAGTGTTCCAGGTATCCAAGGTAATAATTAGGAGTGACGCAGGTATTGGTTAGAGTAAGAGATATTAAAAGGTGATCAATTATCTCAGATCCACGTATTAGGAGTATAAGGATTTGTAAGGTATAAATCAGCATCCGTACAAAGGTGTAATAATTATTCTGTTGGGCTAGCATGATGAGATCCAGGGTATATGGTTATTTTTGTCGATTAGCATGAGAACAAAAGCACAAAAACGTAGGAACCAAGGAACCAAGTCAATTGAGGTGAATCGAAAGGTCTCTCATAAGTAGGTTAAATGCTGATATAGAATTAGAGCAGTATGCGACGAGGTAAGTTCTCCGTGCCGCATACTCAGGTGACCTTGTGGTCCTCTACTGAAAGATATCTCAACGGTAGACAGGGCAAGTGCTGAACCACACTTAAGGGCAATTTTGGACAAATCACATAAACGTCTCACCATATTCCCATGTTCATATAATTGATATTGTTTTGGAGCAGAAACAAAGAGTAGGCTAGGTGCCACTGACGTTATGGGAGACTACGGCCAGGGAAGAATAGCGAATGAAGTAATAGAAGACAAGACGGAGCCTATTTCCACCGTGATAGAGTGTAGAAGCCAAAATTAGAAGCCCGTCAATTGCCCAGGACGATATCTATTGCCACGGTGAATATTCGGTGCAGATGCATCAGCCAGAAGACCAATTCTACCACTTCACAGAAGCAAAGAAGCCATAAGACCAATTCTTCCACTTCACAGATGCATGAGCCATGAGACTACCACTCCAATAATTGACTACTACTAATCAGTGCCAGGTCTGACCCATCGCTACTCAGCCGCACCTGTTCACCATAGTCCGAAACTCCCAAGGCTACCTGCGTCTATTCGCAGCCACACCTCCCCATTAACAGCCAGGGCCAGAGCCCTAGCGCACGTGCACACATCCTCCCCCGTCACGCGCGCCCTGCACACACCCCATCCCCAGCTATTCTTTACATAATCAGCACCCGCGCACCATACAGGCACAAACACCCGTACCGCAGTACTGCCGCCCCAGTCCCACTCATACCATCACCGAAAATTTTTTTGTCAATACCTCTGGTGCGGTTTAACAAATTTTTTCATCCTTCTGGTTAATCTTTCTTTTAGGACAACGCAAGAATCGATATGTCTCAATTTGAACCAGTTATTGTGATTGATGGTAAGGGCCATTTGTTAGGTCGTTTGGCTTCCATTGTTGCCAAGCAATTATTGAACGGCCAAAAGATCACCGTCGTCAGATGTGAATCGTTGAACATCTCTGGTGAATTCTTCAGAAACAAATTGAAATACCACGACTACTTGAGAAAGTCGACTAGATACAACAAGAGAAAGGGTCCATTCCACTTCAGAGCTCCATCTAGAATTTTATACAAGGCCATCAGAGGTATGATTCCTCACAAGACCGCCAGAGGTCAAGCCGCTTTGGAAAGACTCAAGGTCTTCGAAGGTATTCCACCACCATACGATAAGAAGAAGAGAGTTGTTGTTCCTCAAGCCTTGAGAGTCTTGAGATTGAAGCCAGGTAGAAAGTACACTACCGTTGGTAAGTTGTCCTCTGCTGTCGGCTGGAAGTACGAATCCATCGTTGACAAGTTGGAAGAAAAGAGAAAGTTGCAAGCCGCTGAATACTACGCCAAGAAGAAGGCTTTGACCAAGAAGGTCGAAGCTGCCAAGGCTACTACTGCCGAATCCGATGTTGCTAAGCAATTGGCCGCTTTCGGTTACTAAGCGTAAATGATAATAACATAATTGGTTTCGGATTGTTTTATTATTGTTTGTAATCCACTATAATACATGCAAATAACATATATTAGCAAACCATGACTGTAGAACCGATGGCCAGGGCTGGTTACCCGTCACGTGCGTCTTCACGGAGTCACGAGTGGCCTCGCGTGACAGATCCTATGTGTAGGATACTGCATACAGGCATAAATATCTTAGAGAATACCAGTTTATCAACTTAGTCATATTAGACAGTATTTAGTGTGACGTTGGCACACTTGAGCGCAATCATCAGTCCTATGGATTAGTCCTTTGTAGAGTACTTCTTCATCCAATTCAGTACAACTCCCCGTGGCTGACCTTATCGATATTGCGACCTTTCCTCAATATCGATTCTCCCGTTTTGCGGAGAGGCTGTCCAGACAATAGATAAGTTATCCTAGCTGTAGCTCAGCCACTTCTTGCATCTAATCTAAACCGGCCTCGTAGCTGATCCTTTAACCAGACACCGCTCAAAGTCTCCGTTGACTGTGTCCAACTCAATGTCGTCAGCATCAAGTGTCGCATTTTACTGTCTCCTACAATTTGCACCCATCAAGTACTGTTGGAATAATCCACTAGACTAGAACGCCAAACCAGTATGTTCAATACTCTGTGATGTAGGAAGGACTGCCTACCGTCTCCTGAAAGCTCCTTATTTCTCCAGAACGAATAGATGGGGGTATTGTCGTGTCTTGTGCTTGAAACGAGACCAAGTCTTCCAACTTGAGCAACGGGAACAATAACAGAACTCACTCAATGCCTCCACTGCAGAGACCTTGCTATCAGGGTGTAGAATGCTATCTATTCGGGCAAATTTAGCGCCCGGAACTTTGGTACCTTCACTTTTTCCTAGCTAAGCATAGCACATGAAGAGTTGAACAGATTGACTTGGAAAACCTAGCACGCCCTTTGAAGTTGAAGGGAAGTTAAACCAACGTAGAAATATGTAAAAAATCAAACAGATTTGCTTTTCAGCTGGTGCAAATAAAATTACTAAGTTACTCGTTGGAATCCTAACCGAACCTGGAGCATTGAAAGTATCAATATTTCTTCTTTTATTCAAAGCTGAGAATTTACTGAGCCTATAGGAGAACAAGAAATGTGCCCATGGCCTGCATGTACGTTTCCACTACGTATAATTAGTTCAACGGTAATGCACAAGTTTAACCCAATCCTTGTATGCAGGCGTTATGTCAAACAAGCATAGAAGTATAGAACAGATTATCGTTATGCATATTTCATGTATATGAAGACAGGTCTTCATGTGTGTAGCCAACACCTTGTGCTACTATTTGGTCTTTGGCAAGTGACTGGTACATATACGTGCGACTAAAGAATGTCTCAGGCATCTAGTAGTGATTGGCGATAATATTGAGGATATAAAATGTACCATCCTGGGGATTGTGAAAACGTATCTATTCAGGTTCAAGTGTAAGAAGGGTGTTGATTGCGTCTTCCCTGGAATGTCTTTCGTTTCTCTAACTTCATGCTACCAAATAGGAAATTTTGGAACCCACATGATGTTATTGGGTGCAACTGATAGAAGGAATAGTAGGGTGTAAGAAGCGTGGAACCCCTTGGTGGATGACAACTGCAAAAGTACAAAAGATGAGTATTTCCTCGAGTTTATTTCGTTCGATTGAAGCTTCTTTAATAAATCCATTGTATCATGAAGTGCCTTTCATTTTCTCTTCTAATGTCCTTGTTGATGTTCCAGATGACATTGGCTGCACCCTTCAGGAGCTTGATAACGCAAGGGAATGTCACTAGACCCGAGGATGATCCTTTCTACATTCCTAAGGAGGGTTACGAAAATCTCAGGCTAGGAGAAGTCATCAACTACAGAAAATTAACTCAACCTATGGGTGTCCTCTACTTCGAGATGAAGGTTGAGTCCACTTATCAACTTTTGATTCGTTCTGAGGACTCTTTCGGTAACCCAAATGCTATTGTCACTACTGTTATAGTTCCACATAATGCTGACCCATCAAAGATCTTATCTTATCAGCCAGCCGTTGATGCTGCTAACCCGAACTGTGCCCCATCGTATGCTTTGCAACTTGGTTCTGATCCAGGAACATGGATCACCACCAGATCGAGCAATTAGTTTCTCAGTCTGGATTATACGAAGGATGGATTTTGGTTGTTCCAGATTACTTGGGTCCAAAAGCTGCCTTCGCTGTAGGACTTCAAGCTGCCCACGCTACATTGAACTCATTGAGAGCAGTTGTCGCATCGGGAGACATTACTGGGGTCAACAAAGATGCTGAAATTGTTCTCTGGGGCTACTCTGGAGGTTCCCAACCAACTGTTTGGGCTGCTGCCTTGTTTGACCAATATGCTCCTGAATTGAACATTATTGGTGCAGCAGCTGGTGGTATCCTTGTGAGTCCTACGCACATTTCCAACATTACTATGGATGGCATTTTTGCTGGTTTAATCATAAATGCTATCAATGGTCTTGCAAATGAATACGAGGACTTGACTCCATTTATCAAGGAAAACTTCTATGAAGGGATTCAAGACAAATTTTTCAAGGTTAAAACACAATGTTTGGCATCAACTGTTTTTGAAACTATCTTTACGACTTGGGACGATCTTACTCCTTTGGGTTATAAAGTATTAGATGCTCCTATTGTCAAGAAATATACCGGCATCAATAACTTGCTCAACTTGAACTCCACACCATCGGTACCATTATTCTTCTATAACTCTCAGGGGGATGAAATTATTCCAGCAGTTGATGCCGATCAACTTTACGACAAATGGTGCAGCGAAGGTGCAATTATTGAATATCACCAAGATGAAACTGGAAAGCACCTTACCCAAGTATTAGCTGGCTCTGCAATTGCCTTCAATTGGCTCAAAAGAAGATTCTCAGGAGCTACTTTGGAGAACAAATGCAAAAAGACGATAACTTTCTCCAATATATTTGATATTGAAGGTTTTGGCAGCTTTGCCAAAATTATTGGAGATGCTATTTCGACTTTTAAGGAACAGGAAATCGGTCCAAAATCTCCTTCGTCTTCTTCCCCCTTAATTTCGAACGCTTCAATTTCCACTTCTGTTACCCTGACGTCAACTAATTCTGGTGTGAGCTTAACATCTACTTGCAGCAGACTCTTAGGTTTGCTTTTCGATCTTTTTTTCTAACTGGATTTAAATCAGCAAATTAAAATGCCATAGAGAGCCTGACGCTCAAATATACCAAAATTCTGATAACAAATAATAATATACTTTGTAGGTGAATCAACTCTGATTGGATTTCAGTGTGTTTACAATTATTACTCTTGAACTTCGTAAAAATCTAGTAAGAAGATTGTTATAATGGTATTCTACGTTCTTCTACATTGTGGCTTTTGCAGAAAGGTATTACGCCAATAATGCTAAAATAAATGAACCAGAACAGTAAAACAATATTCATAGCTGGATAGTTATATTTCGTTATATTATAATACTAACACATTCCTCTACTCGCAAGCTTTCTTATGCTTCTGTTTGTTGTTAGTATTTATCAATCGTAAGCACTAGTGCAGGAAAAATGATGACAAGTTCACGAATATCACCAGAAAGTGCAATTAAACCTCCAAAATATTCTATAGGCAATTCTGGAAAAACATAATTCACCTTATAGATATTATTCGGCTAAGAATAATCCATCATGGTTTGAATCAGGCACATATTGTCCATTGTCTAAATATTTTGGGACTAGACCCATTTGTCGAGTCCCGTGGGCTTAGTCGGATCTGCTTCATAGCAGATGAAGTTGAGAAACTCCCATATTCTATGGTATTCTCTTATCATAATGGAATCTCAAGGATGGGCTAAATATCAGTAGAACCTCGAAATATACTGGACGGGCAATTTTGATTAGTGCTGGTGATTTCTTCAGTTAAAAATAGGTAACACTCAATTCAATTGATAAAGCCTATCAGCATAAATATTAGCTTCTCTGTAGCTACGTCCTATACCAAGTGCTGGTTTTACAGAAGCGCTACATGTTTAATTTTCGTCTTGGTTTGTATAATTCCACCAGACTAGTCGTGGGTGGTTACTATACTGTGCTATTCGTATTCTTCATAAAGGCTTCCCTTACCTGAACAAGAGCCTTCTCAAGCTCCTCCTTCTCTGGGTGGGCTTGGGCTTTTCGGTGTTGGTATCCACAGTCCTGTCTGAGCCAGCAGAAGCAACTGAGGGTCTGATCTTGCCAAACATCTTGGACACGATGGATGGTCTGTCGCCCAAGGAGTGCGAGAGGTAGTTCTCTGCGTTGAAATACTGGTACACGTTCAAGTTGCCGTTGGTGTTGTGCTGCACAATGAGATGGAACATGTTGAAGCGACTGATATTGTTCAACAGCATAATGGTTTGGTTGTGGGCAGTGATCTCCTGAACTTCAGTCTCCATGTCAGTGTACGTGAACTGGTAGGGAGTGAACTTGTAGGAACGGCCCCCAAAGAGCACGTTGAACTGGTTGATGTATATCTTTGAGGCGGTTCCAAGGAGGGCGATCTGGAAATAGTAGATATAGACGATCAAGTGGTTGATGGTCAATGCAGAATGGGGGATGGGCTTGGAGGCATACGAGTTGACCAAGCTGGCCACGGCTGAGAGCTTGACCGCAAAGCGCGACTCTTTGTACATCAACACCAACTCGAAGTCGGGAGCACTTGGGACGCTTCTGCTGGTGAGATATGTCTTGACGATGTGGGGGTTGAACTGGCCACAGGAGCCGGAGTTCAACACTGTGGAGCCGGAATCACAGGGGGTTAGAGGTTCCATGGTATAGTAAGAACGTTTGGTCGTTTTGAAGTCAGGAAAGACTCTGTGAATGTTGGTATCGTTATCGTGCTGGAGTCAGAACTCTGCTGGCTTTGAGTCGTTTGGTCGTCTAGAGTCAGACTGCTGGATGTTGGCGATCTTTAATCGTGCTGGAGTCGCTACTCTGTTGGAACTGATCGTGTTGGATTCAGGAAATTCTCCGTGGAGTTCGATGGTGGTGGAGCCAATACTACTCGTAAATCGTTTGATCTGAGTTCTGGGCAGATCGATGATCTTTATTGTTGCTCGTCAGTGTGTGCCGCAAATCGTAGTAAAGGCAATCGGATATGATGGATATTTGTACATCACCAACTGAATCCAAAATCAGGAATCCCGTCCCCACCTACTGGATTGGATGCACGGCACGATACTAACCGCATACATTTACGACTGCACCATGCACTACCACAACTAGGTCTCTCCGAAGGTGCAGTACGCGCCTATTACCCCAGAGGGTAGGAGCGATGGTAGGAAGTGGGGGCAGCGGGAATTGGCGGTAGTGGGTGTTGGGTGGTGGTGGTGGGTAGGGCGTCGCGGGTGTCGCGGCCTGCGCTGGTATGTGCCCCGCAGTCCTACTCGAAACACCCCGGACTACCCCATTCTGGCTGCGAGATCATCGCCAAAGAAATAGGGGACTGTGGGGTGAGGGCGGGGTAGCGGGGATGTCACGTGTGTCTGTTGACGCAAAGTGGGGCGGGCCAAGCGTCTAGGTGCGTCGGCTGATGCGTAACCGGGGGTGTGCGTGGCGTGGGTGCTACATCATATTGGCTGTCAGAACTAGTATCACCAGGTTATGGACGGGACAAGATGTCACCACCAGCCGGCACCCGCCGTACCGTGGCCAGGTTGTCTTCTTGATGGTTTAGTATATGATTTCTGGAGATATTCGCAGCAAATTGCAACCAGCTGGAAATTCTCCTGAACTACAGTCACCAATTGCTGGGTACTGTCCATTTTCACTCGAGTCAATTTGGCCAGTAGACTGGCAGGAAAAATGTACTTTGTAGAGCTTTCCTTTTCATTGACCATCAGTATCCCCACAAGGGGCTTGATATCTTTCCCAACTGCCAGGCCGGGTTCTGGGCTTTAAGGATGTGTAGTATGAGTTTTCTGCTCTGCATCAAAATTACACCACTGGATGGGTCGTAGTATTCTCCTTTCACGCCTGAACAGGTCGTATTGCAGTAGAGGTCTCGGTATAAGATACACATGGTGGATTAATTTAACTTGGTGTTTTTACCTCAAGTGACATACCAGAAGAATTAAAGTAGAGGTTCATGGGTTTAAACCTCATTTCAGCATATTGCAGTAGACTTCGCAGTGTTTGATTAATATGGCTGGGTTGATTTATCTTGGTACTTTACACCATATTTGAGCTATTCAAGCGTCTCATAAATTTGAAGATTTCTCTGATGTGATCCACTTCAATTGATCTACGTGATCCACTTCAATTGATCTCTGATGTGATCCACTTCAATTGATCTTATTGAGACGTATCATATTTTGACGCCTGATCTTGGTGTTATTATACCTCGGTGGTCGTATTGACGTAGGCATCCTGTGGTTTGAAAAAGACTGATTGGACTGATTTAACTCACCTAATTGTCCTCTGAAGAGAATTGAATGGACGTCTGGATTTTTTATCCCCCCAATGACTTCGTATCAGGACGTCCCTGATTTTGATTAGTATCTTGGATATCCACCTAATTTGAGCGTATTGAGAGAATTGATTAGTATCTTGAGATGCCTCACAATCTTGACGATATATCTCCGGGATTCCTCATTGATCGTACTGAGAGGAAAATTGATCTCTGATTCATCCACCTCATTGGATCTTACTTGCCTCACAATCCTGACGATACCTCTCTAGGACTCCTCGTTGATCGTATTAAAGCCTCTCAATTCTGATTACTCTCTTTGTCTCAATTCCACCCAATTGCACCTATTCATTCGGCAGGACCTGCCTGCTCCACCACCACCTCGGTGTCCACCAACCGTCTCACAAACTCGTTGGCCTGCACGTCCAACATGTACACCTGTCCAGTGCGTTTCAACATGCGAGTCAACAAGTAGTTAAGCTCGTTGTACTCCATCTGGTGAAGGCTGCTGGCTACCACTGTCTGGAGATTCTCCACCACCACTACGTCACCAGTCAACAGCACAATATCCTTAACGGATTCGATTCTCTGGTAGTCAATTGCCTTGAGGAGCGTTGTCATTGGGACAGAGTCTCCTCCCATCGTTTTAACGATGTTGAGCAACGTGTTGGGGGATGTGTTGTTCACATACACAATTTTCTCGTATGTATCGATAAGCGCATACATGCGGAGGATCATCCACCGTATTGACACCGCAAGTGGTGTCTGGGGTTGCTCTCCAAACACGTAAGTGGTTCCATCCATGATGGTGATGATGGTGAAGAGTTGGCAATGTATGCGCTATGCAGGACCACCCATCATTGAAATGTGGAGTGGATACCAAGACTATACCCAAAAGGACGCGGCAGTGTGGGACTAGCATTAAACAATTGGGGTTTAGGGCCGTAGATAGCACGTTGCTAAATTCATGCTAATGGCATTCTGGACGAAGTCAACTCTATAGAAGCATAAGAAGAGAATTGGTGTGTAGATGAGTTGCTGAAAATCAGTAACATTTATTATTTAAATTATATAATATCCTTCTCGTAGATGACTTGATCAGTCGTTAGACTATGGTAAATCTCGAATTTTCTTGCCATGTAGTAGCATGGAACCAGGAAAGTAGAAAGCTGGTTGAAAATCATACACTATTATTTTGGAAATGGCCACACTAAGGTTTAAGTAAATGGAATAGAGATGGCAAGTTACTGTATTCATGCAATTGCATAAATATTCTGAAGAAGAATTGCCAACTTCGACATCAATATCTAATACAGGCATTCTACTGGCAGCCATTAGCATGTTGGGTTTAATTATTACTGAAGATATATACAAGCACCTCCACAGCATTGTTTGGATAATTACTACTAAAGTATCCCAGGTGAATCCATTTGTCTCGATATTTATTGTTATCGAAGCATGAAATATCATTCTTTGGCATCAATTCTTACTGCCCCAACATCGCTATTCCAATTGCCTTGTACCTTTGGCATTACTCAACTATTCTACTACACCTCGATTAGCATTATTTGGCATTAATTATTACTTAACTAGCAATACAGGGTGGTAGGCATCGTGCAAGCCATATCATCATACTATAATACTGGGGTTCCTGTGGTTCACTTCTGGCTGTCGAACTTGGAATCACCGCTCTCTTTTCTTTTCTGGACAATCTGTTTGATGGTGTCGTTGCTTTCCAACAAACCATATCTTCTGTGTTGCTTGACAGCGTCAGCAAAGCCGCTAACATCCTTGTTCTTGATGTGGTCGCTGAAGTTCGATCCGATGAGCGCCAAGTAGTCGTAACTCAACGTGAGCTTGTAGTCCTTGGAGTCCGAAGGGTCAGTCAAGTCCTTGAGGGTGGCCTTGGTGTCCAAAGGAGTGTCAAAACCTTCGCCCTTGCCAAGGTAGACACCCAATTTCTTCATGGTCTCGAACAAACCAGCCTGGTGGGCTGGAACCATTCCACCGTACTCCTTGATCTTGAATTCACGGTAGTACTCCTTGTAGTCTTCTGGGGATGCCTTTCTGGAGCCGGTCCATCCCAACTCGAGCAATTCCTCCTTGGTGATGTTCAACTTGATGTTCTGGGAGCCGAATCTGAACAACTTGATGGGGTTGAAAGCACCAGTGTTAAGGAAGGCGAAGATAACGAGCACCTTAATGATGTGGAAAGCAAAGAAAAGACCCTGGGCCATGAGCGAAGCTGGCTCGATGTCGTCCACCATGGCGTGGGCCAACTTGGCGTACCCGAAAGCCTCGGCAACCCTGCTCAAAATACGGGACACCTGGTTGGTCAAGCAGATGCCTGGGGTGGGCGAGATGGCGTCTGGCAAATCGGTGTACAACCAGGTCAACATAGCGGCAATGAACGAGTAGAACCCGAAGTAGTTGAAATCCCACACAGGCAAGATCAACTGGCCTGGCCAGACGTGGTCCGACACCTTGTCGTTGATGTTTCTGATGGGTTTCAGGACCTTGTGGGCGTTGTAGTCGAACAAGAGGTTCCCGTCTTCGGTCAAGTAACCAGCACTGGTGCTGACCTTGAAGCCCACGGGCTTGCCGTTGTAGAACAAGTTGGGTCTCAACGCAATGGGCAAGGTTTCGAAGATCTTGAGCAACTCCTTGAAGGTGGTGGACGATTTGATTTGGAAGCAGTAGTCCTTGTCGGAGTCGTCATTGAACCGGATGTACACCTCCAAGTAGCCAGTGTCTTCGCTCTCGGCGACATCGTTGAGCAACTTCTCGTCTTCAGACACTTTGGGTTTGGTATCGGACATTGTAGTATGACAAACAGTGTTGGAGGCAAATATAGTCGGTGGCACTGAACAACACACTGAAAATTTGTGTGGGGCTGTGTGCAGGAGTGGGGCATTCTGGCAGGATTGTGGGGAAAATGTTACGGGCTGGAGGGCTCCGTTACTCCACTAATATCCGGGATGGGCAGTTGCTGGGGCGGCAGTAAGGGTCTTGTGGGGGCATAATGTGCTGAAAGCGGTAGCTTGGTCCGTTATGGGTCACGTGAGGTGGTAAGGACGTATAAACAGTATAGGAGGGTTACAGGTAGAAAAGGCAGGTAACTGTGCAGTTTCAAGCCGGAGGCAGTTACAAGTAAGAGATCATTAGCGGGGAGTTAGATGTGGAAACATAACAGAAACAGTAAAGGACAGTTAAAAATATGGACATAAGTAACTGGTACTCTGAGTCTACCTCAAAGAAATTGCAATAGGGGCACTCCGAAAACCAATAACAATTCAAGCAAGCACCACGGGTGCAGGACCACCTTCAGAGCATCGGAAGACCCTGCCAGAGCCTGTCTTTGATGTTTTAGCACCAAGCGGAATTTTTAGCTCCGTTTGCGAGGTAATATCCGTCATGAGCCCTATGTTGCATTCTGAATTATTTAACAGAATTAGATGTAAAACTATTGTTCTCCAGCTCCAGGCCGATCGGAAAAGTATGCCGTCTACAGGACTGTGCCTTTCCACACGTACTTTCTCGGGTCTCGAGTCATGTTCACCTTTTCTTGGCTCGTTCTGTCAAGCAGCAACCCAACTGCATGTTTCGTGACATTTCGCAGCCGGCTATAATGCCCACTATTATTTGAGGGTACAGTACATTTCTCCTCCCTATGCACGGATCTACGGTTAGTTGCGTGGTGCCTTAAACGGCCCTTATTGTCTTTGGCTATTTCCGAGCCGGTTGAGACTGGAACGGTACTGGTTACAAATGTGGGGAAAGGAAACGATACTTCTTTCAGAACTGCATTCACAGAAGCACCCATACTCCAGACCTCCTCCGCCTCCTCCTCCCCCTCGTAGGTACCAACATTTTATGCGTCAAGGTAACGTCATCAATTGTTCCAGTTGTTCCGTATCCCAATTTAGCGTCAGCTAATTGCCCTTTCAGTCTATGACGTTTACTTCTGAGGCCATGACACTGTAGCCCCCACGGAATTAAGTTTGAGCCCATAACCATCCAAAGGGTAGCAGATCTTATTGCGAAATGATCAGGCTATAATTCCGTGTCGAATACGACTCGGTGCTAGCCATTGACTGGGGTTTAAATAGGTGGGTTTCCCCAATCTAAATATCTTTGATTAATTAACATGTTGGCTATCCTCTTGCTATTAGCACCCATACTTGCAGCTCCAGGGTCTGTCACTAGTGCTGCTACCACGACAGACCCAATTAACAAGGATTCGACCGTTTACGTCTTTCCTACAGATCCTTCTCCTCGCTATGCTAATTCAGTACCTAAGCCAACAGCTCCTGCTCCAACATATGCTGCTGCTTTCTCGGATCTTTCCTCCTTGTTGCCATCAGGAATAGAGACGAGAACCTGGGGAAACTGGGACCCGTTGGAAACAGAAACTGCCTCTGATACCTCGGACCCGTATGGGGATTACGCCTGGAGCCAGCTCTGGGATGCAGTAACCCTCTACAATATCACGTCAAGCACCGACATGTACTCGTCCGTGGTCGAGCCCACGCCAATTCCCAGCTCTGAATTGGTTCTTCCTCCAGAGGATATAGTCAAGTTTGACGATTCCTTGAAATTTCCAAAAGATTTCGTGTTTGGAGTTGCTGGTTCTGCTGCCCAGATCGAAGGTGCCATCTTCAAAGAAGGAAGAAGTCCCAGTGTGCAAGAATTGTTGTTGCCCAACCCAAAAACTCCACAGGACTATGTCACCAATCAGAACTACTACCTTTACAAGCAAGACATTGCCAGAATTGCGGCTATGGGAGTCAAGTATTACTCTTTCAACATTCCATGGTCTCGTATATTGCCATTTTCTATGCCAGGAACTCCCGTGAACCAAGCAGGAATTGCTCACTATGAAGACTTGATCAACACTTGCTTAGAATACGGTGTCACTCCTGTGGTGACATTGGCCCATTTTGATACCCCTGCTGCCTTCGTCAATGACGAATTTCCTGTGTCGACTGTTGCAAGGAAGAACAATACTGGCTCTTTATACCCTTTGTTCAACAACGCTGGGTACTGCAACGAGTCTTTCGTGGAAGCATTTGTCAACTATGGTAAAATTGTGATGACCCATTTTGCAGACAGAGTGCCTATATGGGTTGTTATTAATGAACCACTTCTTTATTCTGCATACCCAATTGGGGTGAAGAATGTGATCAACGCAACTGCCCAAATCCACAAGTTTTACCATCAAGAAATCAAGGGTACGGGTAAGGTCGGAATTAAGTTGAACAACAATTTTGCCATGCCAAAGAATGCAAGTGATCCTGAGGATGTGAGAGCTGCCGACAGAGCACAGGACTTTTTCATCGGAAATTTCCTCAATCCCATGGTCAAGGGCGAAGACTATCCTAACTCTTGGAAGGATACCTTTACCAGTTACAACGGCACAATTGACCCCAACAACGAGTTCTTATTCACGCCAGAACAGTTGGAAGAAGTTGCTGGCTCGACTGATTTCTTCGGCATTGATCCATACACCATTAGTATTACTACTGCACCAGATGGTGGTATCGAGGCGTGCCAGGCGAACACTAGCCATCCAATGTGGCCCCAGTGCGTGAACCAAACCAGTATCAGAGAGGACGGATGGAATATTGGGTACAGATCTGAAAGCTACGTGTACATTACCCCCAAGCAGTTCAGAGACTACTTGAACTACATGTGGGTTTCTTTCAAGATTCCAATTTTTGTTGGGGAGTTTGGATTTCCTGAGTTCAAGGAAGGAGAAAAGTTACTTCCCGACCAATTGTTTGATTTGAACCGTTCGTTGTACTACAGAACATTCATGGAGGCCATCTTGGAGGCCATCCACCATGATGGGGTGGATGTCATGGCTGCGTTTGCTTGGTCGTTCGCTGACAACTGGGAGTTTGGGGACTTTGGTGCTCAGTTTGGGCTTCAGGTGGTCAACAGAACCACCCAGCAGAGGTACTACAAGAAGAGTTTCTTTGACTTGGTGCAGTATATCGAGGAGCGGTCGTGAAGGGGTATTGCAGCAAGTAAGGAAAGAGCTCTTGAGGAGTAGCGAGATTGTCGTATAATGATGTTGAAGTAACTATGAAAATGTTTATAGGAAGTAAATTGATATGTCATGATAGGATATTGACCCATGGTTATAGTCACAAGATAATGAAATGTAACTGAAGCATGCATGTAATGGGTGCAAAAAATGCGAGACTGGCAACTTTAGCCGATAAATAATCCGGAGTTGTGAAATATGCATTTTGGAAGATCTCGTACAAGAGACATCAACTTATGACTGTAGTGTCAGAAGTTGAATAGTTGGATCGCAGACTGATGGCATAAAGTATACGGGTACAGGTTAAGTATCTTTTCGTCCAGCATTAAAATCTGAGAAATAGGCAAAAAGTTGGAAAATTCGAGTTGGCTGAATATTGGAGTTGTCCGAAGAAGTTTGATAAGTGATCAAAGGTTGAGAGTGAGGCTGTTAGAGGCTGTTAGAGGCGCTGAATGAGTATTGGCGAGATCATGATGGGCAATATTGTGGAGGTATTACAGTCCACTAGACGAAAATGGAGTCTTAGAAGACTGAACAAAGTATTAAATGTTGAGACTGCCGAGGACTGTAAGATACGGGGAATCGTCTGGAAAGAGGTAATTACGAAATGGAGAAAGTAGTTTACCTGGCGGACTTGAGAGTTCAGGGAATTTACTAAGAACTGTAGCAAATTTGCGAACGAAGGGCTTAGGTAATTCACGCAGAACTGGAGTTGTGACGAAGAGGACTGTAGAGGGAGTGATTCACGCAGAACTGGAGTTGTGACGAAGAGGACTGTAGAGGATTATACGCAGAGGCTGGACAGTTCAAATTCACGCACGGGAAGGAACTGACGAGTTGAGGTAATTTAATACAGCAGAGGAAGTAATTTACGAGCTGAAGAGTTAAGCATTAACCACCGCAAGAGAAATCAGAGAATTATCCAAGAAGACCCAAAGTCTTCTTGAGTTTCGAAGTCTTTTTCGAAGTCTTCTTTTTCGAAGTCTTTTTCGAAGTCTTTTTCGAAGTCTCTTGAAGCTGCCCTTCAGAAGTCATTAGATGCCACGCGCCGCAGAGCATCCACGGCGGGGTCGCTAAAACCTCCAATACCACCCACCGAGTAGTGAAGCACGCTCCAACGTTTCCATGCCTCCATCCCATGTAATTCCGCCAGGCGCAGCACCCCTTTGGCTCCTGAAATATCCACTCCAAGCCTCGCTCACGTGGCCCATCGGATCCAGCGGAGGCCACGAACGCGTGCCCGCCAGGGCCAGCACGCCTGGCGAATACGACAAATTACGACCGCGTCGCCGTTGCCAGATCGAGAATGACAGCCTTGGCATGCTGCTGGCGTGCTGGCTGCGTTTTACTGGCATGACTCCGTCGTCCCGTCTCGGTCGCTGCAGCGATCTCGTCTAGGCCGCGCAGCCCCTCCCACCAAAATTTCAGCCTGATTGGGATATTTGCCCACACGGGATCATCCAATCAGGTGCACTGGCGCAGCAGGATGGCTAGAAGTCACCAGTGGAAGACACACCAGAACCACACCAGAAGTCACACGGAAGACACATCGGAGTCACAGGCGAAGTCACCCGCAACACCCCTCAGTGCCGGCATTCAGTGCCACTAGCCGGGTGCAGTCACCACCACCGTAGCGTATTTCGTGGCCTGGCACCATCTGTAAATTCTCCGTTTTCTCCGCTGTTTACGCCAAGTTATGATTTTCCTCAACGGGACTATTTTTGGCGATTGGCGCTCCCGCGATTTATATAGCGCCCATCGTGCTAGCAAAAAACATCCACCACTATCATGTTGTTGAAAAGCATCTTGGGCTGGACCGCCCTCGTGGCTTCCGCTGTCGCTGCTGACCTTCCCGAAATCGAAATCATCGGCAACAAGTTCTTCTTCAAGAACAACGGCACTCAGTTCCTCATGAGAGGTATCGCCTACCAACAAAACCCAACCAACACCACCGCTTCGTTCCACGATCCGTTGGCTGACACAGAAGCATGCAAGCGTGACATCCCCTACATGCAAGCTGTCAACACCAACATCATCAGAGTGTACGCCCTCAACGCCTCGTTGGACCACACCGAGTGCATGAACTTGTTGACAGACGCCGGCATCTATGTGATTGCTGACTTGTCCCAGCCTGACCAGTCCATCAACAGAGACAGCCCCGAGTGGAACTTGGACTTGTACAAGAGATACACCGACGTGGTCGACAAGTTCCTGAACTACTCCAACATCCTCGGATTCTTTGCTGGTAACGAAGTCACCAACAACGTCACCAACACCGACGCGTCTGCGTTCGTCAAGGCTGCCGTCAGAGACACCAAGGCCTACATCAAGGCCAAGGGCTACAGACAGATTCCTGTCGGATACAGTGCCAACGACGACACCGACATCCGTGACTCTTTGGCCGACTACTTCGCCTGTGGTGACGAAGACGAAAGAGCCGACTTCTTCGGTATCAACATGTACGAATGGTGTGGCTCTTCCACCTACACCTCCTCTGGTTACTCCGACATCTCCAAGCAGTACCAAAACTTGGGTATCCCCATCTTCTTCTCGGAATACGGCTGCAACAGAGTCACCCCAAGACAGTTCCAAGAAGTCGGCACCCTCTACGGCTCCGACATGACCAATGAGTGGTCTGGTGGTATCGTGTACATGTACTTCCAGGAAGACAACAACTATGGTTTGGTTTCCATCAAAGGCAACTCCGTGTCCACTCTTGCTGACTACAACAACTACAAGTCCCAGATCCAGAAGATCTCGCCCTCGTTAGCTGCTGCCAGCGCTGCCTCCACCGTTTCCGCCACTTCTTGTCCTACCTCCACCAGCAACTGGTTGGCCTCCACCAACTTGCCTCCTACCCCCGACCAGGATGTTTGTGACTGTGCCACCAGCGGTGCCCAGTGTGTTGTCTCCGACGACGTGGACTCCGAGGACTACGGTGACTTGATTGGTGTTGTCTGTGGTATTTTCGACTGTTCTGGCATCAGCACCAACGCTACTGCCGGAAAGTACGGTGCTTTCTCTCCATGTGACTCCAAGAACAAGTTGAACTTCGTGTTGAACGCTTACTACGAAGCCAACAGCCAGCACAGCGACGCCTGTGACTTCTCTGGCTCTGCCACCAGAACCTCGGCCAACGCTTCCGGCTCCTGTTCCGCCCTCTTGAAGTCTGCTGGTGCTTCTGGCACTGGTGTTGTCTCTGGAAACCGTAGTGGTTCTGGTAACTCTCGTGCCAGTTCTGGTTCTGGTTCTGGTTCTTCCAGATCCGGCTCCAGTGCTTCCAGATCCGGTTCCCTGAGATCTGGTTCTGCCTCTTCTTCCAACGCTGCTGTCAGTGTCAAGGGTGTCAAGCCATTCTCCATGGACTCCGTTGCCAAGACCATCTTGATTGGTGGAGGTTTCGCTATTGGTATCACTTTGACCTTCCTCTAGATTATTTTTCGGGTTCCGTTTCCCTTTTGATTGAGTGGATATTCCTCTGATTCCCTTTTGAATGCTGAGTGCCAATATTGTATTGGTCACGATAGCCAAATAAATACTATTTGAAACTGGTGTAGTCATGAGTTGTAGTTGCAAATGGGTTAGCTTTGAGCGATGCTACTCCCGAAAGCCACCATGAACTGGTGCGATTAATTAGTGAATAGTGAACCCATATCTGGCAAAGCCATGATGAAATTTGTGCAAATGCTAAAAACAATTCTGCAAAAAGCCATGTTCACCAATTTGGTGCAATTCTGGCCATGCTAATTCCTGGCGAAAGCGATGTTCACCAATTTGGTCGTTTTCTGCCTATTTCGTCACATTAAGCCCCAGAAATGTATCTGTCGACTCTTACTTCAGTCATTGAATATAGCCTCAGCAAAAAACGTCACCGACTACGGCAGAGTCTACTTTTTATATCTCGCCATTATGAACACTCAGGCACACCCAATTCCAGGCACCACGCGGCAGGCGTCCCAGGCTATTGACGCGAAAAGCTCTAGGCTCAACTCCATACCTTCCTATTGCGGATTCAAAAGCTTGGGTATTATGAACCCTTTGGTGCGAAACACAGCCTTGGGTCCAGTGCCAGGGCCAGGAATGTGCCAGCGTGCCACGGGACTGTTGGACGTAGCAGCTGTCTTTCTGTGGGAGTTCCAAACCATATGACAGGCAATAACAACAGGGAATGGTTTTCTCGTGCTCACTGTAGTTGCGTCTGGTTGGCCATGGGTGCAAAAGCAGAGCACCTTTGGCTCGACTCGAAAAGAGAAGTCGACAATAAGTGGAAGAATGGGTGTGTGTGCTGTGTGTGTGGCTGATCGGCTGATTGGGAGTCTTTCTGAGTGTGAATAGAACGAGCTGCTTGGCATGGTTTTGGGCTTGGAACAGTGAGTGCACAAATACACATTGGCAAAAAGAATTTCGAGCAGTTGGGATTACGGCTGGCAAGAAGCTGAGAACTGAATTGCTACGCTTACGACTGGCACTGGCTTACTCTGGCTGATTGTGATTGGAACTTCTGGAATTAGCTCGCTGGGGCTTCTTGACACCTCTTGCCACGAATTTATGGTGCCAAGTATGTCTATTATCCAGTCGCGATATCGCTTGGCCCAAGTCCACATCTTGGCTCCAATAGGATAAAGGATACTTTGGGACGATTTGGAGGTACTTAGGTGTTATGCCCCGTCTCAAATTTACACGGCTGGCTCGAGGGTCCTACAGTGACACGTACATGCAGTGGGTATCATTATTAGCAATATGTAGTGGTCGTTATTCGTTATCTATCACCATCTTCCGGATTTCCCAGTAGTAGTCTGGATTGAAGCCGTTGCGCGTATTGTTGGTGAAGTCGTATTCATCGTTGACCGGAAACCAGTGATGAGTCTTCTTGGTGATTTTATCCTCTTCTTTCATGAACCTGTCGATCAACTTCATGGAAATCTTAAACTCTCCTGCCAAGTCGTCGTCTACGCTATCGGAGCCACTTGTATGAGTGTTGCTCGAGACAGTCCTTTGAGTGAATTGACTCAACCCTCTTCTGGTCATTGGGGATTGGAGAGCCGGCCCTAATCCTTGGTGGGCCTGGTGGGCCTGGGGTGATGAAAAGGCCGTTCTACCCATAGTGTCACTACCTCTTTGAGGTGGAGCAAACTCAGGAGGTGATGTGAGCTTGTAGCTGCTTTGGACTCTACTATTTGACCCCGGGGTCTCTCTGAAGTCTTCAAGGTCAGGGATATCATTGAAAATGGACTCTGAATCATCGTTCAAATTGACCCATCTTAAATTCTCGTTGTCATAAACCATATTAGGATTTTTGTCCTTTCCCTCGCTTCCAATTTCAACGGAGTTCTTCAATGCGGAGCTCAAAGCCAACTTTTCGTTGCTCAACTTATCTTTAACATCGTTTAATGTAATCAAGGAAGGTTTGTGCATATTCTCAAATCTTAGCAAATCTGCTTCATTCCCTTCCCAACGCTTATTTGCAGGGTCGTATCTCATGCTCTTGGTGTTTGTGGGTATAGTTGGATTATGAACTACCGAGTTGTTGTTCAAATACTTGACCAATCCTATTTTATGTTTTGACTTATCATTCTTATAGCTTTCTCTATTACTCTTGTTAGCTCGTTGATGGTTCTCGGCGTATTTGCTTAAAAGCAGTTGCTTCTTCTTCAATGTTTCAGCATCAGCCTCCTTCTTGGGATTGTAAAATGATGGTATTCTGTCAAGCTTTCGTATGACGTTGTTATTATAGTTAAATCCAGGACCTTTCACTGGTTCAAAATCTTCATCCTCTTCATTCAAGTCAAAATTATTACGACTATTGTATGCATTGACAATATCCATACTTGATTTGTATTTCTTTATTGTCGTGGGAGCACTTTTGTTCAAATTTGGCATTGAAACCTTGCTTCTCATAGTGCTGGGTTGGTAGATATTAGACCTTGATGGCATTCTTCTACTTTCCAAACTCAATTTCTTTTCAAAGTTATTGTCGAAGCCCTCTGTAAAATCCTCGAAATCATCTCTAGTATATTCGTAGTTAATTGTTTTGTCATTCTCCAATTGATCGAGCAAACTCAAGTTTTGGTTTGTCAATGTTTTACTCCCCATTTGAGGATGATTGAAATCCTTGATTTTGATGGTAGCATTTATATCTTTGGCGTGTGGATTTTGAAATTGTTTTTTATACCTCTTCTGTAACTCCATATCTTCTAGTTCGGCTTCATTTTGTAGCTTTAACTTCTTTGCCACCAATTTTTGGTTAATTTTTTCGTAGATTCCTGATTCTTCTGCGCCAAATATGTTGTCAAGATCTTCAAAGTCGTCCTCGTTCATTTGCGAGGTTACATCGGTATCATCTCCTTCACTATATTCACTCAAGGTTTTCCGGGTAATTTGGCTTAATCCATGGCTAGTTGAGTGAGCTCTGCTCTTGGAACCACTCTGTCCTAAACCGAGACGATTGCTAGGGGTGAGAAGAGACAGTTTTGGCGACGATGTTGATATGGAATCGATTGGAGACATTCCCAAGTCTGGCATGTTTCCGATTCTTTCAAGAGCCTGGTCAAATTGCTCAAAGACATGCTCGAAATTCAATGTGCTTTTATTATTGGAATGCTGGGGAACCTTCAAGGTCTCGAGATCATTGATTTTCAACGTATTGAAGTCATCATCGAAATTAAGCCCTCCTTCATTGGTACCAAATATGTCATCATCATCGCCAATATGATCCTGAAATTTCAGGAGCAAGTCATTTTTGTTCATCTTTCTTCCTTCGTTAATGGACCCATTCAAACCTGGGGATGGTGTTGAAAGCTTCTTTGTCACGGCCTTGGGCTTTCGGCTCGTTGGTATCATGTGACAGGCCAAATGTAGATCTATTCTTGCTGTGCCTTATGATTTAGTGGATACTTGTGCCAACCTTGAATGGCATGTGATGATGGGATTCTTGTAAATATTCTGGACCTGATCTGGAGAGTTCAAGTCCCTGGTCAGTTTCTGGGTGATAAACAAACAATAGAGATCACGCGCAAGTCGCGTGATACTAAATCATGTGCATACTGATTCAACCCAGGGTCTGATTAGTATGAGTATTGGCCAGGTGATTAGGTTGGACAAACCCGCCTAAGAACTTCGGTACGTGAGCTGTAATATCTGGTGCAAACTTCTCAGCTGCTATAGGTGCACCAATTAAAGCCACAAACAAGAGAAAGACTAGTAGGAACAACAACGCATACATGGTGACTCTGGTGCGCCGCACTCTTCGTTGTTTTCTGGAGTAGATGGGGCTGCGAAATGTATCTGAGGGCTTAAGCCAGAAGAGCATCGAGCTATGCCATCCATCGACTAAAGGAACGAATAGACAAGGTGCCATGGCGAATAACAAAAAGTGTCCTAAAATGAAGTCTTGTGTGAAAGAATTGAGTTCCAACACTTTGACAAAGAATTCCCTAACAGGTTGTGATAATATCATCCAACCAAACCCCCGACCAAACCACTTTCCTGACCACCATGCAATATTGGAGTCATAGTCTCTCAATTCCCTAGAAAGCAAGGCTGTGAACATAAAATTAGAGATGGCCTTCTGAAATTCCAATACAAATAGAAGCCCGCAGATGGTTCTAGTGTAGTTCCACCCTTGCAATAAAAAGAGAACTCCCACATTCAAAATAGAAAAGACTAGAGCCAAGAAGTGTGCTAATGCTGCAATTGTTGGTGGACCTTTCCTCCAGCAAAACATGGTACACGGACTCACTAAGTATGACAAGACAAACATTACTCCAAGAATGACTGCATTGAAGACGAAAGGCAAAATGCCAATCACTATTATTCGGAGTAATGGATTAACCGACTTGGGGTTTGGTACCCCATTTTGGGCATTCATGAACAAAAATGCAGATAATAGTATCACAGATCTCAATATTGGCATTAAAACCTGACTACAAAGAATGTTAATTCTTCGTGGTCTACCAATTCCACCAATTCTTCCTTTGTCTAAGTTGTATTTTTTGTAGCCAGTGAATTTGGATCTTTTAGACTTCACATATTCAGACCATGAATATTTGCTGGAATCAGTGTTCCCTCTCGAGAGCCAATGAATGAACTCCCGATAATCGAGAAAAAATTCATTCCACTGAAATTGATGTGGATTAAAGATAAATGGAGCAAGGCACATTGAGATTATTGTAATCCAGAACCAAATCAAAGAGAATTGCCACATCGATAAACATGAAAATGCTACTACTAGGAAAATCTCAGCACCTGTGTAGATTGAAAGTTCAGCATACTTCAGATAAAGGGTTGCAAATGATATTCTTGCAGTTGCGAAACCACGACCAGTTGATATATATTTTGCTCCACCGAAAACAAAGTTATCCCTCAATGACTTTGAATAAATTTGACAAACAAACACCTCAAATAATGGTGCCAAGGAAAGGAAATGATAAAACATTCGACGAAATGAGCTAAAAGGTCCCTTTTCTACCAATTCCTGAATTATTAAAGGCATAAATGAGATGAAAAAGCAAATAAATATGGACAACACAAACCTTCCCACCCAATGTAGGACTGGGATTAGATTATAGCAGCCCAATGGTAGTTGTATTTCTTTTAATTGTGTACTTGTGGTTATATCACATAAAATGGATTCGTGTGTCAATGCACCCAAGTTAACCAATACTATCATGAACAACTGAATGGATAACATTATAAAAACATTATTGATATGGAATCCTGGATGAGCATAATAAAATGTTAGAAACCTATCAATGGGTAAAGATGTTCCTAAGTAATAATGCTCTCTTGACAAGATTTGCTCTCCCATTCCTGCCCCTATTTTTGCAGTAAAGTTTAAGATTGTCCCAAAACCTAGGTCACGACCTTTACCACATTGGTAGTAATCACAATGCTTAATTCTTCCACCTCGACAAATGACAGTCATACCAGCATAAATGTCCTCATTCAAATGAAGTCCCTTCTGGGCTTTGGAAATACCTCCTCTAGTAGTCATGAAAATCGAATTCAAAAAATCAGGATGTCCATAGTGCAATTTTCCGCCTAGCTCTGCCATGGTTCTTGAAAATAAGGTCCCAAATGTTTGTTCCTTACCCGCTGCAATATCCCCCAAAACACCTATTGATTCTGAAAAGATATACTCCCTAGCCCCTAATATTGCCACAGGTGGTTTTTGCATGGTTAATACACCAGGCGCATACTCAGATGAGACGTCAAGCTCCATCTCCTCAAACTCTGCCAATACTGTTTTTATTTTCAAACATTCCTCGATGTAATTATCTTGATTTGCATCAATCACCTGTAAATATTCTCCTCGATGGAAGATCAAGCAATGATTTTGATTGTCGGATTTTCCATCCCCGAATATCGGATTTCCAGAAAGCTTTATACGATATTTCTTTGAGTACTCACCTTGAATCGCACCTTTTTCCAAATCTAACATAACTGAATAAAAATTTGCCTTCCCGTCAGTCCCTATCACCAGTTCCAAGTATGCCACTTTAATTTTTGGAAAAGCTTTGAATAAAATGTAGGCATCTTCTTTTTCTTCTTTTGAGAATTGTTGATATCTTTGCATTGACACCAATAGATGGAATTTCCTTCTCGATAACAGTTCAACTTCTCTATCTATCTCTTCCAGACCTTGGGATGTTAAAGTCAGACTATAGTTTTCAACCTTTCCTAATGTTTCAATTGCAGTTTCATAGTTCATGAATCCCGAAATTGTCCTATACAATGTTTGATATCTAAGAGAAGCCCATAGTCTAGTTCTCAATGTGAAGTCAGGATTTGATTCCTTAAAACCAATACTGTAGAATGGCAAATCATTAATCTGGTTTTTTATTAAGTTACTTGGGTCTTGTTTTACATTGGCTGTTGTTCTGGCTTCAATTATATCCGCAATATCATCAATTTCGTTACTTTTATCGGGGTTATTGTTTATCAGCAGTAATGTTTTTGCATCTCTTACAAACGATTCCCAATCGTTATGATTCAATTCCTTCAAGTAGTCTAGAAGTGAAACCTTTGCGTTTTTATTCTCCTTGATTGTTTCCTTTAATCCAAGAATAATCCTTTCTGAATAATGGGGTACAAGAACTGTAAATGTAGGCATTGCGGTTATTGCAGTAGTCTCTGGTAATTGTATCGAAAGTGACTGAGCGAAGAAAGAAATCCTCCTTTCGCCTTCCTTATTTGGAGTAAAGAAGTCTCTTAGTCTAATGGCGGTGTCACCCTGGAGTAAAAAGAACAACGGAGGTCTCACACTCAGTCTTTCGAAATTCTTCAATTCCCTGAGATCTATTTGTTGATAAACTAATTTGCTGACTTGTTCCGTTGAAAGTAAGTGCTCCCTGTACATCGACAAGACAATGCAATTCCATATTCGAGATACCATTAACGTCGTGCTAACCTCACTTTCCCCCAGTGTGAATATTAATTTGGAAGCAATTCTCTCCGGTAACCTCGAGAATATGTTCTTCCATGGAGTAAAAATCGAGATCCCTGAAGAAAAGGAAAGTCCAATTGAAAAAATGCAGTTGCAAATAATGTACCATAGATACGTATCTAAGAAAAATAGCACCAAGTCGGTAAGGAGTAGTAAAATCAAAATGATTCTTGCATGATTCCTGCAAAGTAAAGCTTTTAGATAGATATCACCATGGCACTTAGTTATTTCCATAGTAAATAATACCTTTATAGGATCTTTCAATGATAAAGTTAAAAAGAAGTATGATTCCAAGAATTTGGCTGCAAAAACGCTAATCCACAATGCGTAAGAATAACGCTGACTTTTTGAATTGAGAACGTGAAATGAGGCATTGAATTCTCTTGAGATTCTATGTTTCACCCCCTCCCCTATTAAGCATCTGAAGAGCTTGTCTGGGCTCTGTATAGCAAAATAAATGAATGAAATAATTGATACCACAAATTGTAAGATAGAAATAATGAGCCCTGTTCTTGATTCAGCATCCAATGGCAAGAACCAAAGGATATACACTGAGGGAGACAAGTTCAACATCAAAATAATGAATACTAAAAATAATCTTCGAAACACTGGCCTTGATCCTAGCCACTTCCTGGAGACGTAAACCATCTCAAATATCATACTTGCCATCGTAAGCAAAGATGCAATAGTCCCCCCCAATGATACTACTGATAAGCGGACTTGGACAGGAGGCATGTTATCTTTTGTTATGTCATAATTTGGTGTGTAGATGACAGATGAGTTGAAAGCAGTGAAGTACCAAAACATACTTACATGAATAACCCACACTCTACTAAAATTCGTCAAGGCATGTATCCAAGTTCGGTGTTCCCAATAAGTTTTACGAAAAAATTTGTTCCAGTTGATCTGATCTAATTTGCTGAATCTTACTGATTTCTCATAATCGAATAGTATGCTACCATCATGTAGTGTAAGCCTTTTCAAGCTATCATAATACCAAAAGCACTGGTTCATATCGTCATAGCCAATCACTTGTGAGTGATCCTTTTCGTTCCTTAACCATTTCCCGTCTACCAGCTCATATTGCTGATCTCTGATGAAACAGTAAAGAGGAGTGATTACTCCTTCCAAGAACTCAAACTTTCTGGTAGTAGATAAGTCCCCTTTTTTGATTTCGTAGAAGTACTCTAAGGCGCAATTGAAAATAAAGCAGAGACACTCAGGCATGTAACGCACATTGTTACTTTCCCCCCATATTAGCAACCATAATGATAGTTGGTAGATGTAATCCTTCTCAGTGTAGTTATTCATTCTGGTCTTCCACTTGAACTCGAGGCCAAGATATGAGTTTTCATCCTCCAATTCATGAAGCTGGTACGGAGTACTGCGCAGGCTAATTTTTTTGGTGATCCGCTTGGGTTTCTTATACTTGAGCTTAACACCAGTTGCAGTTCCGATATCTTCGTCTATGGGTGCTGCAAAGAACCACTTTTTGTAATTGGCTTGGTCTCCTCCGATGTAGTGCACATGAAGCGATAAGAGAGCCATGCCGCAGCTCATTCTACTAGACCTGGAGTCTAACTGTACCATCAAGTGATCAAACATGTTTAGAACGTTATCTTTTTGAAACCCAAAAATGTCGCCTAGTTCATCAAATATTTTCAAAATCTCATCTTCTGTATACTTTGATCCATTCTCTTCACACCAAGAAGGATACAACGAAATTGGAGAAGATTGTATCTGCAATTCTGGAGCTCCAGCGATGGACGATTGAGTTTCAACTGTATCTTGATCGTGCTGCTGTGCATTGGGCTCGCTAATAGATCTATCGGCTTCAATAACTATTGGTGGATTCATCATAGCGGTTAGTAAAGAATTTCTGAACTGAGCCAGCGTTTATGTAAAAAGCTGCAAAAAAAGAATGCCTTCAGCCAGATTCGAACTGACGATCTCCTCATTACTAGTGAGGTGCCTTACCAACTTGGCCATAAAGGCTTTTCTTGCAACAGAAAAATTCTGAAATGTATCTGACATATAAATAAGGACTCTTTTCAAAGGTCTATTTTTGTTCTAAAACATCTTTTAACAACAATATAGGTAGCTAGAGAGCCCAAAATAATTTTACACTGTAAGAAAAAAAAAAAGGCAAAAAAAAAAAAAACAATTAGATTCTCCTTTTTCAATAGAATTTTTTTTTCCAGCGCAAACAGCCATCGATACTGAGTATGGTATATCTGTCATGGTGTGTTATCCATTGCAATAGGTATATAGTCAGTAGATTATAATATACTTCCCATTAGCAAAAAAAAAAAAAAGCTAAGATAACAGACCATTTTTCTTACATTAAAGAAAATAGATATTATTACCTATTTTACAAAATTTTGCCAATATTCCATGTTCATTAAATCCCAGCAAATGTAAATCTTCAGTTGATTTTGTTGCAGATGATACATATTTTAATAATTTTAAACTAGCTGTCCCACAATATGTATACTCCAATAAGTCCCATATTTTACATAACTGGAAAATGGAAATGCCTGTAGTCCCTAGTTTGGCTCTATTTCTCATTCCTTGCAGTAAATGATTTTCGGAGCTATTGCGCGCATCTAGCTGTTTTCACACCAGTTTTGGGCCAGGTCCGTATAGTATGTATGAATAACACTGGACAAGTGTAGAATCATACGACAGGAGTGCAGTAGTAAGGGATGTTGGGCAAAAAAGAAAGACATTCCGATACCGGGAGTCGAACCCGGGTCTGCTCGGTGAAAGCGAACCGTGCTAGCCGTTACACTATATCGGAAACTTGTTGAATGTTTTTCTGGGTGAAAATATATGTCGAGATGAGATGGCCACGATCACGTGACTGCACACACTCACTATCCTCCGGAGTTTGGTCCATACATCCAAAATACATTTCTTATTCCGAATTTTGAAACATCCATACTTTATTCTTCGACGAAGAGTAAATGGTTCCTTACCATGAATGCCTCCCAGCAGGATAGACCAGAGTCAGACATTTCGGTTGAAAAAAAAATCGCGGAATTACCAAAACACGGGATTGTCAAATGCCGACAATCTCATCGAGATCCATGCTCAGGTACCGGTGATAAGTCCGCCAACATCAAACATGGCCGAACGTACGGAAGATAGGCCAACTGGTCGAGGGTCGCAGCTGTAGTACTGCAGCATGGGTTTTCTCGTCGATCTCGCTTCTCCATATCCTCTTTTATACGCTATTGTAAAGTGACAATAGCTTTAACAGGCGTGCTGGCAGGACTATTCCTACAGTTTGCCCAAGGGAGACTATTTTTACACTTTGCCATAGGCAAGAGTACTGAAAACACACATACTTCACTACTTAGGGGGTAAAAGATTACCTATAACAGCTACCATAAATTAACCTACCTCGGTCCAACCGTTTCACGTCTCCCAATACAGCAAGTGATGACGTGGGGTTATGTGCACACCGTTTCAGCCGCAGGTTGCTACCTTCTGCGCACGGAACCTGCAGACGTCACGTGCCCATCACCAGCATTTGCTGGATATGGCAACCCTTGGCAGGCCCCGGTTTCAGCTGAGCACACCACTCTTTTTTGCACTGTCCACCAGGCCTGTTCCCAGCGGCTACTCTTGAGTCAACCAGAACCGAATTCGCCCTTCGTCACGTGCAATTGAGACGTTCTAGCCTGCCGTTTACCGCCAAGTTTGCAACGCTTTTTTCAGTGTTTACCGCCAGGTACAGCCTATAGCGCCCAGTTTTGCTCAAATTTTGGCCCGTTTTTACAGCCTTTAGCGCCCAGATATACAATACTTACCACTAAGCTTACTCACTACTTTTCAGCGTTAAGCGCCTAAATTTACTCCCTTTTACAACTCCGAGTTTACCCCCTCCAAAGCCGTTAGCCTCACCTACGATGGACCAGTACAGCCCTCCCAGCTACCCGCCCAATTCGCAGGCCCACCACTACCCTCCTCCAGAGTCGTCGTTCAACTCCAGTGGCCAGGGCCAGCAAGGCTACAACACCAACGAAACCTACCACGTCCAGCCAGACATGGAAAAGATGCAATACAACCAGCGTCCCGAGCCATCCAAGGACTTTGACGAAAGCTTCAAGATCGAAAGACCAAAATTCAACGACTGGCCGTTTGCCGTGTTCTTCCTCTTGGTCGTGGGTGGCTTCATCGCAGTGGCAGGCATCACCTTGAACGCCCTCCGCAAGACGTTTGGGTTCCAGGGAAGCTCCATCTACGACAGCAGAAATTCCTTCACCATGAACACCAACACCATCATTTTGTTTGCCTTCATTATCGTGTTGGGCATCGTGCTTTCTGCCGGGATCATTGTCTACGCAAGAAAGGCACCCCGTTTGTTCATCACCACTGGCTTGATCTTAAACGTGATCTTGGGGCTCGGTACCTGTATCTACTACTTCGTGATGCACTACTACTCGGCAGCCATCGTGTTCTTGGTGTTCACCCTCCTTTCCGCCTGGTGCTACTGGTCGGCAAGGTCAAGAATCCCGTTCAGTGCCACAGTGTTGCAGATTGCCATTGACGTCATGAAGAGGTACCCCTCCACGCTCATGACCTCGTTGATCGGAATCGTCGTTTCGGGTGCTTTCAGCGTGTTGTTCAGTGTGGTAATTGTGGCTACCTACGTCAAGTACGACCCCAATAGTCTGAACCAGGGATGTGACGTGGCTGGCGGTAGCTGCTCCCAGTCTAAGTTGATTGGAGTATTGGTGTTTGTATTCTTTGCCGGGTACTACATCTCGGAAGTGATCAAGAATGTGATCCATGTGGTGATTTCAGGTATCTACGGAACCTGGTACTACTTGGCCAACTCCGACCAAGGTGAACCCAAACACCCTGCCTTGGGTGCCTTGAAGAGAGCTCTTACTTACTGTTTCGGCTCCATTTGTTTCGGTTCCTTGATCGTTTCCATCATCCAATTAATTCGTGGAATTGTCCAGACTTTGAAGACCAACGCCTTGAACTCAGGCGATTTGTGTGCTGGCTGTGGATTGTTTATTGCAGACATGATCATCGGATTGCTCGAATGGATGGTGCGTTACTTCAACCATTACGCCTACTGTTACGTGGCCTTGTACGGAAAGAGCTACCTCAGGTCTGCTAAGGACACATTCGACTTGATTCGCTTCAAGGGAGTGGATGCGTTGATCAACGACTGTTTCATCAACACTTCCTTGCACTTGTACGCCTTGTTCGTGGGATACCTCACAGCTTTGTTGGCATACTTTTATCTTAGGTTCACCAAGCCCGAGTACAACTCCGACGGTACATACTACGCTCCAGTCATTGCGTTTGCATTTTTGATTTCCGGTCAAATCACCCGTATTGCGTTGACTGTCATTGAGTCAGGAATTTCCACTTTCTTTATTGCGTTGGCCAAGGATCCCGAAGTATTCCAAATGACCAACAGAAACAGATTTGATGAGATCTTCAGACACTACCCACAAGTTTTAGAAAAGATCACCTCTGATCACTAGATAGAGGCTGTAATTTAGACCTCTTCTCTCGCCAGCACTTAATTTTTCCATGTTTACTGGCTAAATATTGTATTTCTCACTATATTCGTCTCTATAGTTAAACTTTTCAATTGAAATAAAATAATATAATCAAGGAGCCTATTGTGGGCTGAATCGATAGAATCTTATGCCCCACACAGGAACGATATGGTTCCTCGGCCAGTGGTTGTTGAGTGAAGGATCCAAGGGTATTCTGTCGGAAAATGGGCTCAATGGGGAGCTACATAGGCTGAAAATGTGTAAAAGGGGGACCTTGACCATATACTACAACGAATGTTATAAATTTGCTTCATTTCTCAGCTAGAAAATAGATTATGAATTGTCGTTAAGTCTTTAGTCTCTTCAAGTGCGTTTTGAATTTCTTAGATTGTTGATTAATTTTATAACTACATAGAGAATACACTGGTATCCCGAATAACATTTGGGAACGATTGAATGTCTATTACATACCATCATCTCATTCTGCAAACACTAAAATTCTTTAGTAACGCGGCACTTCGGTAGTAGTAGACACCATACCACGAAGCCATTTCATGGAAAATATTATACGGTACATTTAGCTTTGCTTAGAACGGCAAGATACACATCCTCCTGGCATACCATCATAGAGACCATTTAATAGCACGATAGTATTTTTGAAACTGGGCTCATAAATAACCGTATCATGAGGCTAAAAACACTTAACTGTCTTCAAAATGGATTAAGACTAATCTTAAATTATAGAACCCTAGAGAGATGTCAGACTATACGTAGCAAGCAGACTTAATATTGTAAAAAAACGATTACGATTAGGATCACTTAAGCATCACTAGATTATCATAGCGAATAACCCATAGACTTTCGGAGAATATTTCACAGCCATTCAGAGAATAATCCATAGACTTTCAGAGAATAACCCATAGACTTTCAGAGAATATTCCGTAGACTATCATAGACTTTCTATAGAATATCCCAATTTCAATACGACATCCCCCAATTAAATCATTTTCCATACTTCAATTACTACTCCCCCGATGCTGTCTCAATACATCCTTACTACCATATCTCCAATCCTCTACCTCTGCTCTTAATCACCATGCCCCCGCCCATTTTCCAAACTTCACTTGTCTCCACCAAATGTCGCATGTCCCCCCCATATATCTACAATCGCGACACTCCACCAACCACACCTACTCCATGTTGACGCTAGTGATAGGAGACCTCTTCGTTCCAGACAGAGCCATTGGCTTGCCCAGCGACTTCAAGAAGCTCTTGAGCCCCAATCCCTCTGCCATTCCCTCCAACAACAAGATCGCTCAGGTGTTATGTTTGGGCAACGTCACCAACTCAATCGAGACGTTGCAGTTCCTTTACAACCTCTCGCCATCGTTCCACATGGTACGAGGCGAGTATGACGACGCTCAGCTCTTGACGCAACAATTGAAGGCGTTGGGACATGAATCGCCCAACATTCCGTTCCACCAGGTGGTGACCATCGACAACTTGAAGATCGGATTCACCAGCGGGTACCAGATCTTGCCTCGTGGAGACGACGTGGCGTTGCTGACATTGGCACGCGAGCTCAACGTGGACATTTTGATCTGGGGAGGTACCCACAAGGTGGAGGCGTACGCTGTGGAGGGAAAGTTCTTCATCAATCCAGGCAGCGCCACTGGCGCCCACACTTTTGGGTGGGCAGATCCAGATAAGGACAGCGACGACGAGGCAGGGGGCGAGTCTGAGCTAGACGACGCTGAAAATGATGCTGCTGACGCCAAACTGGAGCAGACAGCTGGTGATGATAGCAAAGAAGGAGAGGAGTCTGGGGACCAAAAGCCCCAGAACGAGGAGCCAGCCAAAGCCAAACTGGACCTCTTTGGCGAGGAAACTGCTGACGCGTCCGAGAGCTTGTCCGGAAGCGCCAGCAACGAAATCGATTTGGAACTCTTGAACAAGGTCAGTGAGTCCACGTCAGTGATTCCTTCGTTCTGCTTGCTAGACAGCCAGGGCTCGGCGTGCACGTTGTACATCTACACCTACTTGAAGGGCGAAGTCAAGGTCAATAAGGTGAGTATTCCTCGCAACAACTAGGGCAACAGAGGTTTGAGATGATTGGAGAGTTGAATAGTTCATATTGGAGTGAAACCCGTATCTCAATACTCTTGGAAGAGCAGGCCCGACGTTAAGCCCCAGGAGGTGAAAATAAGTGATTGCATCATTTGCAATAGCGATTTACATGAATACAATCGTGGTCAGAGATCAAGCAGCAGCAGACACCAAATTGAAGGTGAAATACGAGAGTGGAAAAAAATTAATGAAGAGTGGAACTTCAAATACTAAAAGGTTTTAAGTTGGAAACCGGCTAAACGTTCCAACTGGATCCAGACCTTGCTGGCTGCAATCAACCCAAGAAGAAAATACCATAGGAACCCATACTGGTGAAAGATTATTTGGTGCTTGAGTATCTGTACTTAAGTATTGATCCAATTCGTAGAATAATATTCTATGGTAACAGCCTGGATCTGACTTGGTAAATCATTACAGTTCTATTATGCTAGTATAGAGTAAATTATACAAGGCTTGCGCCAGCTCGTCATTGCCGTAGGAGCAGCCCACGCCGGGGCTCTCATTGCGGTAGAAGCTTCTAAGAGATATGGCCATCAAAAGATAGTAAATAAACCGTAAAGATAAGGTAATATCATACAAATACCAAGCACGAGTTGATATCAGAATCATCAGAAGATTAATCATATCATTGACGAGATAACTAGTCGTGAGTTGATAATAAAATCGTCATAAAGATATCGATAATATCATAACAGTGACTAAACCATCAATATCACAATCAAGCCATCAAATTCGATAAACCATCAAAGATTAAACTAGACGTGATAAAACCATTGGTGACGATAACCCCATGCGAAGCTCACCCTAAGGACTTACGCTTGCACCGACGAATAATGCAACACAAACTCCTTCTTGATCTTCTCCCAGTTGTGCGGGTCAAAGAATATGTACACCCCCTTCTCGATGTCCTGGCTGATCAAAATAGGCTCCACGTTGCTGTCTTTGGTTAGCCACACCTGGATGTCCTTGTGGTATCTCCAGTTCCGTGCCACCAACTCTCTGGCAGCGTATTCTTGCAAGGTGTCTCTGGGCTTCATGTAGAAGATGTAGAATAATGTCTCGTCCGTGAACGACTGTATTTTGTTGTCACAAGGCCCTGGCTTGGGTACAATGTTCTCACTCCTCAACGACTGAGGCAAGCTGAAGTAGGGCTCCACCTCGGATCTGGAAGTTTCCGACCACGGCGACGACAAGTTCTTCAATATCTGCGAGTCCTTGGAGAGATCCAACCCGAACTTGCTTATATCCTGGCCTATGGCAAATGTGGTGTAGTCGGTCTGGTCCATTTTGATGAGCGAACTCAAGCCATTCAAGCCATACCTGGCCATATCATCGTTTGTAGTGCCATTTGAGGTCTCCTGGACAGGTGCTGCTGAAGAGCCTGCCGCTATGGGGACGTTTACAGCGGAGTTGTGGGCAGATAAGCCTGGAGGTAAAGTGACTGTAATTGTTAGTAGAAGCGGAGGAATCCGGCGGGAAAAACGTACCCATTGTGGAGTGCTGTCTGGGGGATCACTGTTTCGATAGGGAAACTCTAGGGAAGCGCTGGGGTGGTAGTAGCTGAGTTGTGGTGGTAGCCGCTCAGAGGTGATTTGGGTGGAGAAAACGGGCGGGACACTCTAATAACGTGACACAAATCACGTGGTATCAATTAAAACGGTTGGCGCACTACGGGACCTATGTATGTCTTGGTACTATATCAAAAAAAGCTGGAAACGAAGCGACGATAAGACAGCAGTATTCTGATGATGTTGAGTATGTGCCAGTCTTTGTCTTCAAGCTGACGAGGGTAAGACTTAGACGTAATTATTAATTAATAATATTGCAACACACATTCTCATACTATTTGACACGCCAACAATCACCTGGATTTATTTACACTAGTTTTCTTTCTTTTACTGCTTCACTCCAGGTGTTTGTGCTCGTTCTTTCCCTCTCTAACTCCGTTTCAATCACCTCGTGCTTGTTAGTGTCCAGTATCGTTCATCGGTCGTTCGTTGGTCAGAGTGGTCGGTCTTCCTTACGTCCTTGTAATTGCTACATGTCTTTCCAGATATGCGCAGTAGCTATTAACCATACGAGATCGTCGCTATCGAGGCATTGTTAGAGCTTTCCCAGACACCTAGTAGTGTCCTGCATAATATCGTTCATCAAGCTTACGTATCACGTGAGACTCCACGTGAAGATCTTACCGAAAACTCATCGCTTTCTTCCTCCCCATCATGTCCAGAAGATACATCCCAAACATCATCATCACAGGTACCCCCGGCTGCGGTAAGACCTCGCACGCAGAGGGCTTGGTGGCCCAATTGAATGAAGAAATCCACGTCAAAAACACGAAGTTCCAGCACTTTTCAATTAGCGACATCGCAAAAGAACGCAAGTGTATCGACAGCTACGACGAGGTTCTTGACACGTCAGTGGTGGACGAGGACAAGTTGTTGGACAGCTTGGAGCCAGATTTGGAAAAGGGAGGAATTATTGTTGACTGGCACTGCTGTGAGATTTTTCCTGAGAGATTGATCGACTTGGTGGTGGTTCTCAGAACCGATAACTCGCTCTTGTTCGACAGACTCAAGAAGAGAGACTACAAGGACAACAAGATCCAGGAGAACCTCGACTGTGAGATCATGGAGGTGATTGCCCAGGAGGCTAGAGACTCGTACATCCCTGAAATCGTGATAGAATTGGGCTCCAACACCGTGGAGGAAATGGAGGAGAACATCGAGAGAATCTTTGCCTGGACCGATAATTGGGTCAAGGACCACGAGGACGGTGTCACCAACGAGTTGGACCCCGAGGTGGCTGCGGCTGCTGCAGCTAAGCAAGGCGACAGCGACGAGGAGCTTGATTAGGGTGGATGTAAGCATGGATACAAGGCTGCAATTACATATAGTTTCCAGTGTAGTAATTGTATATTGTTGATCCATCTAGCTTGCTAAATGTGGAGTCAAAGTTGTATCTTAGTATGTGTAACATGGAGCAGGAATTAACACGGACAGAATAATGTGTAGATATTGCGAACATTGGCGATTGACAACGGTCAAGGATGACAGGAGCAGTTCCTTACACACTGCACTAATATTAGCGATAGTTTCCACCGATAAGATGCAGAAATTATCACTATATGAATCACGAAAATCTATATTTTATTGTACTTCTCAGTTTGAGAGTGGTTGAAAAGACTGCCCAGATTTAAGTTTCCAGTTGAATGGAGTATAATCTAAATTGACTCAGAAGCGATTTTCACATGAGTTTACCCTTGCTGGGGTTTACAAGCTACATTCATAAATCCAATTGACGTTTCATAAATCGTGGAAATACACTATTAGGTATTTAATTGTATAATAAGTAATGACGATCAGCAATAGACTGAATGTAACATCAATTATACTTACTACTCATCAAGAATCCTAGTCAATCTTTGCCTATTTAATCTGACCCATTAGTTGCCTGATTTATTATTCTCTATCAGCATCCTTAATTAATATGCATACGATAAGGAACCTCTGGCTAAATCGATAAGGCGAACAGCTTAGTCTCCCTGCAATTGACTTTGGGTTTCTGGAGTCGTGGAATTCTCAATTCCTACTCCAATAAACTCGGTAGTAGTGAGGATATGCCAGGCTAGCGACTGGTAGAGTTGCAACCGGGAATTATCGGTTGCTCCAGCCACAGCCGGATGGAGGGAAGAAAGTAGTTTTCAATTTAAGCAATCATCTCTTCAGTTCAGCCCGAGATCTTGGTAAATATAGAGGGGTTTCCAAGGGGTATACTGTACTTGGCTGATGCAATTATCAGGCATGTAATGACCAGAGATAGGATGATTACAACCACCAAATTCTCTGTCGATATGTTAATATAATTCTCTACACTTAAATGATAATTGATTTGAAAATTGATTGACCCTTTCTAAATGATCTTATAATGTGTATTTACGTCATCGCGGTTTTACCCCATATACTTCTAGCCGGTCAGAATAATCCTAAAAGACACGAATGACCACGAGTTTGAGAATGGAATTAAGTAAATTGATATCCAATGCTGAGGTTAGAAGGTACTGTAGATTTAATTTACTTAGGACAGAATATTAAACCGACAATTTTAGCCGATACTGGCAAGACTAAAAATAGCTGTAACTATCAGGTAAATTTTTAACTTTGGGCAAATTATTACTGCAATTGTACTTTCCACTATTATGGCCCAACAAGACGTAGTAGGATATAGCTCTTGTCAATTACACTCTGGTTTGATTGGGACCAATTGAAGGTTCCAGATGTATAGACTACCAGGAAGTACCCGAGTATTATTCTCTATTGCATCGTGGGATGTGGAATTGTTACTTCCAATGACGGACTCCGAAAATTGATTTTATTAATTACCATCAAAGGATGGATCGCAGAATTGCTGCTCTCTAATTTTTAACATTGGGCCCACTTTGAGCAGGCTTGAACATATTCGCTACGGAGGTCCGGAGGTATCAAATGAATTATTCTAATGTACATATTGAACTGAAATAACCGTGGGCCTGGGCCCATATGTTGAGATCTAGAAGGTAGTCTAGAGGGGATGCTCGAGGTATATTCTAGAGGTGCTCATTAGCTTCTAGAGAGGTGGATCAGAAGAAGAATGCACCCATGCTTCTAGAAAATGCACCAGAATGCGTTAACAGGTGAAGCATATTGATTAGAACAAAAGATGTGCCATGATTCTTCTCACGTAGTAAAACACCAATAACACCGCCAACAAAGCCACCACGTACGCCCCCTTGGTGACTGCAATGTACGACCATTTCTGGGTGATGCGCTTCATGTTGTGCTTCTCCAACTCCATGATGCACCGCGCGTTCTGGTCGAAAATGTACTTGGACTCCTCGATGATCTCGAGCTTCTGGTCCTCGGTCAACCCGTTTCTGGTCACCAACTCGTAGTCGCGCTTGTACACCACACGCAACAACGACTCGTCCGTCACGTCAAAAGTGAAGAAATTGGTGCCCAACTTGACAATCTGGTCGTGGGACATCCCGTTCTTCTGGGGGAACATGCCTGTGGCCTTGGCGAACGACGACCGCATGATACGTCCGCCTGCAAACAACGCCAAGTACATCACATGCAAGTATGCGAACAACAAGTAGGGCCTGGCGGCAGTGACCTCCAAGATGTGGTTGGCAAACGCAATCTGCTCCAGCATTTGCGGCTTGAGGAACTTATCCTTGTGGTCGTCATAGTAAAACATCAAATCGGTGGCAGCACGCTCGCGACGTGCCACTTCTGGCTTCCACACCTCCTTCAACATCTCAGTCCACTGGTCGTCTTTCTCGAACTGGCGGTACAACGCAGTCTCGATGGAGGCAAACACGTGGTAGAAGCTCTGCAAGCCCTGTCTGTAGATCTTGTAGTCTCTGAGGGCCAAAGCAAACCGCAAAGTCATCATTTTGTCGACCTTGTCGTGGTGGCCACGAGTTTCGAGGTTGATTCTGTTGGCCAAGGCGCCGATGTCGTCTTTGGCGGGAAGGATCTCTTGCTGGCTTAGTTTGGTGGTAGCGCCCATGGTAGTCATAGTGTGGTGGTTAGGCGCGGTCAACATTGGGGATGGGGGCGTCTTTATAGTGGGGACTCATGGGGTGCAGAGGCGATATGTGCGACTGCAGGACCAAGTGCGTGGTGCGGAGTTTGTGTCATGCGTCGCACTTATCGGGGCCAGACCAGTTTCCGATGTCGCTATAGGTGGCGGATGGAGCTTGGGGAGGAGGGAAGCCAGAGGGCGTGGGCACGGACGTGGGTACGAACAAGGGTACGGTCGAGGACTCTGCATCCGCAGGAGGGGCCAACAATAAAGGTGTGGTGGTGCGTGTGGCCGAGGGGCGGTCGTAGAGTCGGTGTCTGAGATAGAATCCGACGCGAGTGACAGGTGCTGCGAGTCTCGTCCGATATCTGCGGACCAGTGGCTGTGCGATGGCCCGTTAAGTGCGAGAATACGTCTCCATTGGCTATTGGCCCAGTGGGACCACTCGGACTCATCCTAGCATCCCTACCCTGGTTCCCGTGCTGCAACATGCCCGAGAGGCTTGTGACGGGTCGCAGAGTGGCATGACGGCTCAACGCCAGGATGGGCAGCTCAACACCAGCAAGCCTGCGGCACTGCAACGTTGACGTCGCGACCTAGTCTGTGGGAGGGTCTGCCAGACGTACAGTGGCTAGTTTGGTGCAACGGTTGAGGGGAGATACACGGAGATTGCCTGGTTGGGGTTTTTTTGGGGTGCCCTGAACCTGAAACAGGAGGGAGTAAATGTAAAAGTCTGAATATTCGTACTTTAAAATCAGCCGAGGAGGTCAGGGGTAGGCAACTGAACGGCGTTTGGGGAGGCTACTGGAGGTGACACGGGGTGGGAGTTCTGGATGGTCTGGTAATGGTGTTATGCAAAAGCGACATCCAGGTGAAACGACATTGGGCACGACATGGACCACCACCCCCAATATCGATATAAACTGCCCATAAAGCTAGAAAAATTTTTCAGTATTCTCATACCAATCTGTTAAAAGTATAGATCGGTCAGCTCGCCAAATCCGAAATTTTTAGTACAATAGCCTCATTCAAAATACTAGTATCTCTATTAGAATAATAATTATTGCAGCTACAGTCACTCTTCAAACTAGCGTATCTTATCATATATATCTACAATCCCAACCAGTGGACGGTCTTGGTGGTTTCGAACTCACCCTTGAGGGTGGCGTTGTCGGAACTGTTACCCACCAACACATTGTAGGTACCCTTTTCAGATTGCCATTTGGACTTGTAGGTGTTCCAGAATGAGGTGGCTTCACGGACGGAAAGCTCGAGGTGAACGGCCTTCGACTCTCCAGCCTTCAAGAATACCTTCTCGAAGTCCTTCAACTCCTTGACGGGTCTGATAACGCTGGGGTTCACGTGCTGGACGTACAATTGCACGGACTCAGCACCGTCGATCTTACCAGTGTTGGTGACCTTGACCAGCACCTTCAAGGTGTCATCGTTGGCCTGGACATTGAGGTCGCCGAACTCGAATGAGGTGTATGACAAACCGTAACCGAATGGGAACAAAACGTCTCTCTTGATCTTCTCGTAGTAACGGTAGCCGACGAACACGTCTTCACCGTAGAGCACTCTGCCGTTGGTGGAACCGAAGTTGAGGTACGCTGGGTTGTCTTCGATTCTTCTTGGGAAGGTCAACGACAACTTACCCGAGGGGTTGATGTCTCCGAACAACACGTCAGCGATACTGTTACCAGCCTCGTTACCTCCGTACCAGGCCTGGACCAAAGCAGGGACCTGTTCGACCCATGGCATGGTGACAGGAGAACCAGACTGGTTGACAACCACCACGTTAGGGTTGGCCTTGACCACAGCCTCAATCAACTGGTCGGTGTAGCCTGGAATGTCCATGTCAGGACGGTCAAAGCCCTCGGATTCCCATTCCTTGGAGATACCGACGCACAAGATGACCTTGTCGACCTTCTTGGCCAAGTCAACTGCCTTTTGGATCTCCTTTTCTGGGGTGGAGACAATACGGAGTCCGAAGTAGACACCTCCCTTTTCTGCCTGCTCAGTGTGCAAGGTGTAGGTAGGACCAGTGCCGAATTCGACCTTGATTTTGTAGGTGACGCCCTTTTCCAATTCGATAGAAGCCTTTTCCTCTCTGGTACCCATACCCAAGAAGAAAGCATCTCCCTTAACCTGGTGGGTTTTGTTGTCCACAATCAACTTGTCGTTGACGAAGATCTGGGCAGTTCCCATGGTGGAGCAGCCGAACTCGTAGGTGCCAGTTTCCTCAGGGGTGAAGTCTCCGAGGAAATCAGCGTAGAAAAGGGTTTGTTCCACAGGAATGTACTTGCTCTTGAAGTCAGACATGAAGATACGTGTCGACAGCAAGTCGATGGACTCGAAGAACTCTCTGTTCTTGGATCCTGGTGGGTTCTTGTAGAACTTACCAGTAATACCCTTTTTGCCGTTTTCGTTGACCAAGAGCTCACCTACGTCTGGCAAACTCTTGTCCAAGAAGGCGCCCAAAGCGTACTCGAGCGAAACAGTGTTGTTGCCCTCGGTGAGCTTGTTCTGGATACCATCAAATGGTGTGACCTTGTAGCGAGCAGTCAACGAAGCAGAACCACCACCAGAGTCTTGGGTGACCTTGGCGTTGGGTCCAATCACAGCGATCTTCTCGTTGCCAGCACTGGCAGTCTTGGACAAAGGCAAGATCCCGTTGTCGTTCTTCAACAACACGATGGACTCACCACCCACACGTCTCAACAACTCAGAAGCTTCAGGCGAGTTGTTAGGCGACTCCACCACGTCCTTGGGAATGCCCACCTTGAGCGCCTCGTTGACGAACTTGAGCACGTATCTGACGTTGTTGTCGAGCGAGTCCTCGTGGATCTCGTTGGAGTTGACCTTGTGGGCCAAAGGAAACGGAGTTCTGAAACGAGGGCCACCGGGCATTTCCAAGTTCAAGCCAGCGTCCAAAGCCTCCTTCATGGAGTAGGTACCGTACCAGTCGGACATGGTCATACCATCAAAACCCCATTCGCCACGGAGAATGTCTTGCAAGAGCTTCTTGCTCTGCGAGACATGCTCACCGTTGACCTTGTTGTAGGCGGTCATCAACGACTTGGGTTGGGCATCACGGAATGCGATCTGGAATGGCTTCAAGTAGATTTCACGGAGCGCTCTGTCAGTCACAATGGTGTCAACTGCAATTCTGCGGTCTTCCTGGTCGTTACACACAAAGTGCTTGATACAGGCCAATACCTTCTCGCTCTGGATACCCTGAATCACTTGGGAAGCAGCGTGTCCCGACAACAAGGGGTCCTCCGAGTAACTCTCGAAAGCTCTGCCACCCAATGGGCCTCTGGCGATGTTGCAGGTGGGGCCCAAGATGCAGTGGGCGCCCTTCAACTTGGCCTCCTTACCCATCAACTGACCTGCTTCGTGCAACAAGTCCTTGTTGAAGGTGGCAGCCATACCAGTTCCGCAAGGAAAGCAGTTGGAGGGAACGGAATCGAAGAATTTGGTACCTCTGACACCGTTGGGGCCGTCAGAAACACGAACGGATGGAATGTCCAAACGGTCGATGGCAGCAGTGTGCCAGAAGTCGATACCAGCCAAGAGGCTGATCTTCTCGTCTAGGGTGAGCTCGTGGAGCAAGTGCTCGACATCGAGTTGTTGTACCTCAGAAACAGTCATGGTTGTGATGGTGAGCAAGTCAGCGGGGGACAGGCCCTTTTATACTCCGGCGTGGGTATGTCGGGGACAACTGGCAGATCTGCCTCTGGCGATTTTGGTGGGGAATCCGGTGGGGTACGTCTGTGGAGGAAGTGTCGGAATGGGCCTGCGCGGAAATGCTGCCCGATTGGGCAGCACACCCGCGGGGTTCTGGAGCCCCTGCTCGATCGGGCAAGATGTCCCAGTTGTGGGGTAGTTGGAGATGGAGGTGGATGAGGTGAAGCTGGAGGGCTGGAGGGCTGGAGGGCTTGGCTGGTGGTCGGCGACGGTGGTAGCATCCATTCTGGGCTTGCCATCGAAGCTGGCCGGAGGCTGATGGGTGATGGTCAAGAGTCCGATCCCGATAACAGGGAGTTACCAACAACACGCGAACCACTGGCCATGTCGGAGGAGAGTCTCGAGGGCCGCTACAGCACTTGGCGTGGCAGAAGTGGACATTGAGGCTGGACAATTCGACTTCTACGAAGAGCCGGAACAGTTTGGACAAGAATTGACAAACCTACGAAGTTTCCTGGTGCTGACGGCTCCCACAGCCGGCCAATAGGCACCCGGAGTCCGATTACAAATGGAAATTATCACAACGGGAACAAGAATCGGGTATAACTAAGCAAAGGATCACAACGGGAACAAATTCTCGGCTACAAAGGATAGTATGGGGACCTGGAGTCCGAATTGACCTAGCGAATGGGGTGTGACGGGATCTAGGAGTCCGAAATGCGACTTACGAATTTGTCACTTGGAATGGGACAAAAGCCTCAAGGTATCCAAGGTGCTAGAGTATTCCAGTGGGATTCATTCGAAATGGCTCGAGTTCCTAAGAATTTCTTGAAAGCAACCCAGGCATAACCAATTGAAACTGAAATGAAATAAAATAATTGTCAAACGTCCGAAGATTCGAAGATGGCTTGACCAGTCGAGTGGCCGAGATTCGGGTAGCCTTGTTACCTGCAACATGTTACAAAGGTTGGTTTTCAATCTAAGAATGCGCCGGAGTTTACACCTGGCATCTTCGAAACTGCACCTAAAATTGTAATCATTCATGACCTAATTAGATACAAAAGAGACAGATTAAGTTGAGATTACCGCAAAAGTGTACCTAAGACATGAGGCCTCTCTTAAGTCTACAACTACTTGAACAAATTCTTGCTTTTTGAAAATTCCAAAAGGAAGAGTTCTTGATTTACGCTGATAATATCTACAAGAAGAAAAAGAAGTTATACCTCTGATTAATATATACGTGAAGTAATGGAAAAGCCCAAAGTCGATACAATTTTAAACTGCCTTACTCATTCTGGATATTGAATGATTAAGTCCATCCGAATAGTTCCTCGACCAATCTAACGCGATTCCTTGTAGTCCTTCAAAATGGCATTCAACTCGTCTCTCTTGCATACGTTTTCGAACTTGAACGACGCTGCCAACTCGTCCAAGTCCTCGAGCTCCAAGCCCACAAACAAGTCTGCGTACTCAAATTGAGCGTATTGCGAGAACAACAAGTCCTTGGCTGCGACAGTAAGGTGGTCTTTGATGGTCCATACTGGAGGGTACATTTTTTGGTACTGCTCAGGAATGTGGTTCTTCATGTGGTCTGTCAATTCCTGGTACAACCTATCGAATTCAGGGTCGATGTCATTGCCCCATCTGTCCAAACCCAAGTGCTTTTTCTTGTGGAACCATTTGCCAAAAACCTGGAACCACTTGGACTCAGGAGACACGTACGTCATGCCCTGGAAGCCAATATCCTTGTAGAGCCAGATGGACCACGAAATTGGGCTTTTGTCGCCAGATGGATCACCCTCCTTATACACAGCCAATTGGTCCCGAAGCACGTTGTATCTGGCTCTGTTTATGACGTCTGGGTTCTTGTCGCCTCTGACCTCGGAGGCATACACAGGTCCAAACTCTCCATTCCACACGGGAACGCCATTGTCAACCATGTACTGGATTTTCCTTTCGTATTGGTGCTTGAGTTCGGCCTTTTCCTCTGGAGTGCCCTCGTAGAGTGTTCCCTCGAGGTTGGGGAACCCATAGTTGGAATAATCGTGGATAGAGTACACAGTGTTGGGAATATACTCGTCAGCCTTTGGAAATTGCCTGAAGTCCATGGCATAAGTGTTTCCATCGAGAAAAAACATGTGGTTAGGGTCGACCTTTCTGACCTCACTGGCAAGCCGTTTGTAGAATCCAACCAACCGGGAGTGGTCCTCCACTGAAGGCTCGTTCAATGGGTTGTAACCAGCGACCCAGGTGTTGTCCTTGTAGTGTTTGGCAATTTGCACCCAAAGGTTGATCACTGCGTCCTGAAATACCTTGAAATCAAAGAGAAGCGACTTGTTGATTCCGGAGTCACAGTGCCAGTCCTGGTTCTGCCCACCAGGGGCAGTGTGCAAGTCCAAAACGGTGTATATTTCGTTTTGGGTGCAAATATCTACGATGCGGTCCAATCTCTCGAAGCCCTTGGGGTTAATGGTGTAAAGGTCTGAGTCGTCGTCCAAGAAATGGTGGTAGTTGAACGGAATCCGCAAGCAGTTGAGCCCCAACTCGTTTTTGAAGAATTTGGCGTCCTCGTCTTCCCAGAAGTACTGGTAGAACTTGTCGAAGAAGTAGTCGACCTTTTCCTGGCCGATCATTTCCACCAATCTCTTCTTGTGGAGGGTTTCGGTGCCGGGGTAGCCGGTGATGAAGTTTTCCATGTTCAAGTGACCACCAATGGCGGTTCCAACAAGTACGACCGGTTGGTCGTTGGCATCGACAATTTTGGTTCCTTTAGTTTTGAGAAAGCCAGACATTTTGCAAAAAGTACTGAACAAGCCTGATTTGGTCTAGGAGCCGCACATCTTATATGTGCCAGTCTTAGCCTGGGATTGGCTGAATTGCCCTACAGTTTCTGTAAAGTAGTTCTACGCGGATAAGCAGGCGCGCTGCGCGCATAAACGATCTTCCCCCGCAAATGGGGAGGAGAGTTACCTGGGCGATTGGCATGACTGGCTTATCGGTGGAAGTGCTGGAGGTCGGAAGTTCCATACAACGCATGCCAATACATCTATGACCTCCTTTGGGACTCGTCAGTCGGAGTGGGAGAATTGTGCTGTCGAAGCATCACTTGAGAGATGCACGCACCGCAGATGATCCTAGACCGAAATGGAACTGGCCCCGGGTTATGCAGCTCGTGTCCTCCTGGGGCCGTTGCGGCCGACCTGTGCGGCTGACAGAAAGTTTAATCCTGAGAAACCTGCCCAATCTGGCACTCAGTGCCAGGAAGGTCAATCCACGTTTGTAAGGAAACATCCACCAGTAGAAGGAGTATTATCCCAATGCAAAGATGGATCAGCGCTTATTCCGTTTGCAAGGTAAACTTATACTGTAAGCAAAGTTTGAAATAGGGACATCTTTTAGGAAGAATGCACTCTTGGATCGGTTGATACCCCAAAGATAACCGTTAAACCCTTTATCTTTTAGAGCTGAATTAGGATAAGGTGGTAGGAAACATTAATATTTAGAACAATGTGCTTCTCCGGAGAACTTGGAGTTTCTATTTGACAAAGATTAATGAATACTGAAACTCTCAACAACTCAGTCCAAAAGGAAGCCTCGTGGCTTGATTACTTGGACACGGTTCAATGAAATCTGAATCGAGAACCAAGATATTGCAGTTCCCTATACTATATTCGTATTAAAACATTACACCCCCCATTTTAAGTTTCCTATGCAATTAGTGAGCAATACTTGCACACTATAAGAGATATCCATTTAGGATCTAAGGGTATGAAGTTGAAAGAAGTAAGCAGACCTTAGTGGGTGATGTTATACATGCTACGCTTTTCTTCAAATTAGCCTTGCGTGCACTCAGTCAACCATGGGGAGGGGATGGTTTAGATTCGGTGCTCTAATACGCTTTGTTGGGGTAATCTTCAATATGAAATGTGCTTTCAACGATAAGATGACTCACAGAGGCCACATTTTATATATCACTTATTTCATTCTTCGTCGATAAGAGAGGCAAGATATCCGTTGTTGAAATTCTAATACTTGAAGTTTTGTTTCTTCCGTTATGTTGACAATATGTTGTTAAATGTGTTCGTAGATGTCAAACTGCTGGAGGACTGTATTATTGCTTGTTGTAAAAGCTATCAAAAATGACCCTTCTAGGATTGACACGGAAGCCTTGTTTCGAGTTTTTTTAAATTCCTCTAAAATTTTGAACAACCTTTCAATCCCAGAGGATTCGGGTTTTCCCAGATAAATCCTGGCGCTCACTAAGCAATTTATCGATAATAGCTATACAAATGACAGGGACATAGACAATGCAAGCTGAAAAGACCTGTACATACTACATTTACTTGTTGAAGATAAATGTGAATTATGTTTTCAATACTTCAATAAAATAGTGAAAATACTATGGCTTCACCAAATTATCATGGATTATTCTCAAATTATGCTTGAATCTCATTAGAATAGCAAAAAAAAGAACCGATTAGTTGTTTTACATGGAAGCAACAGCAGTATATCATTGATGGGCCTTAGTGCTTCACTCACCTCATTTAGTCCGTGCACTAGATAACCAAGTATTATCAACACCTATCCGAGAGTCCCCACAATATTTTCCTCACATGAGATATTATTTAACGGGAACCAGTACTCTTAGAATTGCCATGTGTGTTCCGGTTATTGTCCGAACTTGAACAGTTTATTCCAGTAAGCAAATTGGCATTAGTTTGAGGCTTATGAGAAGTACCCAACAATCTTATCGAAGACAATAAGGACTAGGAGGGTTAAATTCGTAACTAGTGGAGTTAAATTATGGATGCAGGAGTGACCAGATGGCTTAGCAGAGGTGCGAGATCGATCTGGGGATCGTTTCCACTTTTGGATTGTGCCACAAAGACACGCATAAATGCCCGCATATGTCCCAAAAATTCAATTATCCGGAATCTTTGTTCGGGACTTTCCTAAAACAGCAGTCTCCCCGGACTCTTACTACCCCACATTTCAATAGGTGCCACACGGCCATGTTGCAATTTGCGGACTATCTCCAAAAAGCCATACATACATGCATCCAACCCCACGATCAAACATCATCAGTTGCCTCAAGAATACACACAGCAGCTACCACCATGTCGTCCTTAATGAATTCACTAGATATTGACTCTTTGCTCGAAGAATTGACACTTGAAGAGAAGATCTCTCTTCTAGCCGGGTCCGATTTCTGGCACACGGTTCCGATTGAAAGATTGGGTATTCCCTCTGTCAGAACCTCCGACGGGCCCAACGGAATTCGTGGAACCAAGTTTTTCAACGGAATTCCTGCCAACTGTTTCCCATGCGGAACAGCACTAGCTTCTTCGTTCAATAGAGAGCTCTGGCGAGAGGCAGGCAAATTGATGGCCGAGGAAGCCAAAGCGAAGGCTGCCCACTGTATCCTAGGTCCCACCTGTAACATCGTTAGGTCGCCTGTAGGTGGCAGGTGTTTCGAGAGTTTCTCAGAGGATCCGTTTTTGTCAGGATTCGCAGCCTCCAACATCATCAGTGGAATCCAAAAAGAAAAAGTGCTAGCATGCATCAAGCACTTTGTGTGCAATGACCAGGAAGATGAAAGGAAAGCCGTTAATACGGTGGTAAGTGAACGGGCAATGAGAGAGATTTATCTCAAACCATTCCAGATTGCTCTTAGAGAAGCCCAGCCCAAGGCATTGATGACTGCGTACAACAAGGTGAACGGCACTCACTGCTCGGAGTCACAGTACCTTCTCCAAGACATTCTCAGAGATGAGTGGAAATGGAACGGGTTGGTTATGTCGGATTGGACCGGCACCTATTCTATCAAGGATGCGCTTGATGCTGGTTTGAACTTAGAAATGCCCGGTCCGACACGATTTAGAGAGGTTATACCCGTCAGGCACGAGGTGTACACCAACAAAATACATAGGAAGGTGATCGATTCCAATGTCAGACAAGTGTTGCAATTTGTGAACGATTGTATGGATGCTGGCATTCCAAAAGATGCAGTTGAATCTCCCCACAACACTCCTGAGGCCTCTGCGACCCTCAGAAAGATTGGGGGTGAAACGATTGTATTGTTGAAAAACGAAAACGACGTATTGCCATTGCACAATAAAACCGAAAAGCCCCAGAAAATCGCAATTATCGGTCCAAATGCAAAAGTTGCCCAAGATTCGGGGGGAGGCTCCGCTGCCATGAATGCCTCTTACAAGGTGACTCCATTCGAAGGATTCAGATCTAAAATCGAAGAAGGGGATGGATCAGTTAGCTTGGATTATTCTCTCGGATGCTATCTTGATCGTAATCTTCCCGATATTGGGCACCTACTTCGGGATGATGAGGGAAATCCTGGAGTTACTGCAAAGTTCTACAAGAAGCCAAGAACCGGGACCTCTGATGACAACAGGGAGTTATTCGAGACTTTCCACTTCAAAAGTACGAGATTTTACCTTTCGGACTTCAAAAGCAAACACTTGAAGCCTGGTGAATTATTATTTTATACTGATTTTACAGGGACTTTTGTCCCAGAAGAAACTGCCACTTATGAGTTTGGATGCTCGGTCTTGGGTACTGCCCAGATATTTGTTGATGACAAGTTGGTGGTCGATAATAAAACCCATCAGGTTGCTGGAGAAGACTTCTTTTTAGGTATTGGAACAAGACAGGAACTAGGCTCAGTTGACTTGGAGAAAGGACGAGAATACAAAATTAGGGTAGAGTTCGGCTCCGGAGCCACATACACCTTATCCAGCCAATATTCCGAAAGAGGTGGAATATACTTTGGCGCAAGAATCAAGACCACGGCTGAAGAGGACCTCATGAGCGCTGTTGAAGTTGCAAAGTCTGCGGATAAGGTTGTTATTTTTGTTGGTCTTTCGAAAGAGTGGGAATCGGAAGGATTTGATCGTCCCAACATGGAAATTCCTGGTTACACTAATCAGTTAATTAGTGAGATTGCAAAGGTTAACCGTAACGTCATTGTGGTCAACCAGTCAGGCTCTCCTGTGTCTATGCCATGGATCGATAACGTTGCAGGTTTAGTTCAAGCTTGGTATGGAGGAAACGAACTTGGAAATGCCATAGCCGATGTTTTGTTCGGGGATGTTAACCCTTCTGGAAAATTGTCCATGACTTTCCCCAAGAGGTTAGAGGACAATCCTTCTTTCCTTAATTATGGTTCCACTAATGGGCGTGTGATTTACGGAGAGGATATATTTGTTGGGTATAGATACTATGAAAAAGTTGGAAGAGAGGTGTTATTTCCTTTTGGATACGGGTTATCATACACCACTTTTTCCCTCTTCAACTTGAGGGTAAAGGTTGAGGAAAGGGACTTGAAAGTCAGCGTTTCCCTTAAAAATACCGGAAGCAGAAAGGGTGCTGAAGTAGTTCAAGTGTATGTGGCACAGGATAAGCCTAACATCATTAAACCCGTAAAGGAATTGAGAGACTTTACCAAAGTTACTTTAGATCCAGGTCAAGAAAGAGAGGTTTATTTCACAATTCCACTTAATGACGCAACAGGGTATTGGAATACCTACAGCGAGTCATGGGAATCCGATGCAGGTGCTTATAAAGTACTTGTTGGGAGTAGCTCAAGGGATGCCGATCTACTGCAAGGATTCTCGATCGAAAAATCCTCGTCGTGGCTTGGGCTTTGAGAAAACTAGAATTTGGTGAGTCACCTTTCTGAGGAATGCCTGATATGTTCTGACCCATAGGGATTATCTATGGAACTTGAAACATTACTCTCCAAATATACATGGATAACGAGCTGATTCATATTATTCTTGATTTCGGAAGAACTTCTCTATTCTGCTAGTCAATCGTGCATTTTAGATTTTACATACTGTGTCAACTGTCTCGGCTAGCAATTTCTCCGACATCTGAAAGTAACCAGCTGTGTCTGTTTTCAACTGAGGATGCAGTTTTTACAGTATGTTTCCCATGGTTTTTGTCATTTTGATTGCCGGAATGATATCCAAATAAGGATTAGATTTACATCATTCTGGGCTTTTCGCAGCTGTTTCTACGGTTGCGAAATGAAGTCCTGATAATTCTGCGATTACTCGTTTGAACGAGTGTAGTTCTTCAACTGGTTTTTTAGCAATATAACTTCAAAATAGATAAACCCACTTTTTTGTAAAAAAAATACTGCCAGATCCACCTGTACTGTGTATTGGCAGGCCGCTAACTTAATCAGCAGTGCTAACATAAGCAAAACGTGAGTTGTCTTAAAATTCGTCAAAATTCTTGAACCAAATTAAACCTACCTATCACTATACGAGACTCACTTCACTAAATAGTAGCGTAATATGATACAACACTACAACTAAACAGATGAAGCTCCCGAAACGACCCGAACAAGTAGATGTCCTCGAAGGCTAGGTCTACAAGATGGCTGGAGGTAAGCATGAGCATATGAGTTACCTCCAGCTTTCTTCAATTCATCCATCAAATGGTAACTTGAATTCCAGCAAAGCAATATGAATACCACTAGAAAGGTAGAGATTCTTGGCTATGAAGTTACTGCCACACCTGCTGGAAAACATGGATTGTCTTGAAGTTTTCCCCTAGAATTGTTTTGATTTAAACATGAGTTATTAGTCACTTCTTGAAGTTCATATGGATAATGAAAGACATGAAATAGTCTGGAATGGACTTCTGGAATACTCTGCTTGTCTAGTTTGGCCTGAAAACTTAGATTTCAATCATTAGAAGGGTCACAATTATGGACTTGGAGTTATCTTGCCAGCAAATAATTACTGTCTAACTACTAGAAGGAAATCTAACTTGTGCTTACATTAATGATGCCGACATTGGCATAACAATTTATAACAGAATTAAAATCATTCACACGGGAGATTTTACAAAAGGTAGTAACATCCCATTTGATACTATTTCTCTAAATTTATCAAAATGGATTATAGTCCCTGTGTTATGACATGAAAGGCACTACAGTTTCATCTATCTACGGCTACCATAGCCAGACTGTTCTAATTGATTAAAGCGATATGAGCTGGAATTAATTTCACAGCTAGTATTTGTGGGACTTGCATTAAGGATAATTGTCACTTGTTCAACTCATTCGGCCCCTCCCGATTTTTACCCACTTTTTTTTTGTAGGATATTTTTTGTGGTTATGGTTCTTTCTGTATTTTTTTGTGACTTAAAAATAAAATTAGAACTAATCAAATTTTGGTTCAAAACATTGTAGATGGAACGCCTCAGCAATGATGCGTCTAATTAGGAAGCAGCGGGACTTGACGCATCATTTTCTGGAGACTTGGTCATTAACTTCACAGTAACGCCATAATCAAACTTTATTTCTTGGATCCATGCCATGATCAAGTGGATGCCTATGAACCTTTGAAAGGATAATACAATACAAAGTTATATATGAACAGTATATTGATCAATTAACTAGACGTATAGATGATACTAAAAAGTTCCAAATTAGATTCGAAGAAGTGAATTGTTTAACTTCGCTTTCATGGAGTTCGAATATTTCGTTCCAAAGGGAACACTCTAAGAATTATTCTTCGAGAGTTCGAGGGTTTAGCCAGCACTGCTAGCTTAAACCTTTGAACCAACCATGGCGATCTTTTCACTGGAAATATCACTGTTCTCATTTTCATGGTGATTAGAGTGGAACTTACCAGATGGGGAGTGGAGCGGCATGAGCACTTCGTTAGGGTCGTCACCGAAGACCTTAGCAACTTCTTCCAAGGTGTAACCAGAAGTTTCGACGTAGAAGAAGTAGACAACGAGCAATTCGACCACAAGAATACAACAGTAGACAATGTAGTACTTCCATTGGATAGCATCCATAGCAATTGGGTTGACGTAACCGTTGTAGACGGAGACAAGTTGTTGGGTAAGTTGGAAAATGTTGATACCCTTGGCACGGTGACTGTATGGCAAGATTTCAGTAACGTATAAGAATGGCAAACCGTTGATACCAATGTTGTAGGACAAGTAGTACAAGAAGATCATAGCCAAAACACCATTAGCGAAAGACTTGTCTTCGAAGTTTCTTTGTTGGTTGAGGGCAGATAAGATAGTCCAGAGGATGTAGGTAATAAGCATACCACTGACACAGGTCAAGAACAAGGTTCTTCTTCTGAATCTAGCAACGGAGGCAGCAATGATACAGGAGACAACCAAGTTGTAAGCCATCAAACCACCGTTAATTTGCAATTGTTCCTTTTCACCTCTGATACCAATGGAGTTCAAAACCAAGTTCAAGTAGTAGGAAACCAAACCGTTACCAGACAACTGCATCATAATACCAGTGAAGATAGCCAAGAAGATTCTCTTTCTGTAGGACTTGATGGTGATGAAGTCGACGTATCTAGAGGTGGCCATGATCTTTTCCATTTCCAAGGTGGATTGAATTTCTTGCATTTCAAAGGCGACCAACTTTCTGGATTTCTCGTCAGTGGCGTTACCGGTGTGGATTCTAGCCAACACTTCTTGAGCCTTGTCGTTCTTACCCTTGGAAATCAACCATCTTGGAGATTCTGGGACCCAGTACATGAAAGCAATTTGGAAAACTGGCATGAAACCTTGCAAGTAGGATGGGATCTTCCAGGCGTATTCGTCACCCAAAGTTCTGGTACCGTAAGTGACCCAGGCAGCGACCAAAGCACCCAAGTACCAACAGACGTTGTAGAAGGTGGTACAGACTGGTCTGTAGGTTGGGTAAGCAATCTCAGAAATAAGTGGTGGGGAGGAAACAGTAGCAATACCGGAACCGAAACCAAGAATGATTCTGGAAACCAAGAAGAAGGCGTAGTTGGTGGAAGCACCTTGCAAGACAGCACCGACAAGAGTAAGGAAGTTACCACCCATGATACACCACTTTCTACCGAACTTGTCGGAGACGTAGGAAGCGAAGAGGAAAGACACCAAGTTACCGTAAAGGGCACCGTTACTCAAAGCACCCAACTTCTGGCCCTTGGGATGGCCCATGGCCTTTTGCCAGGTGGACAACGATTGCAAACCGTTAAGCATACTACCATCGTAACCGTTGTTGGTGGAGGTCAAGGTGATGAGGAAGACAAACCAGTGCAAGTTTCTCAAGTAAGAGTACTTCCACCAGCTCTTGTCGAGCTTGACTAACTCATCGATCCCTTCGTGGATCAATCTGTCGTCCAGAGCGATGGAGTCCTGGCGAATTTCGCTTGTTTCTTTGTTATCAGCCATTGTAGAAGATGTGGATGGAGATGAAGCTGAAGATGAGGATGAAACTGGAGCGGATATGGGGCATATTTATATCGACGAAACACGAAGCCATTTACGACGATCGCTAAAGAATCAGATTGTTTTCCACGAATTGCATTGCAGGTGTGTGGGGCATCCTGACACAATATCGGGCACGCATGTTCTGAGAAAAACTATAGGCCAAATCAGAGAGAACATCCGGACACTATGCAGGGAGGGGGAGCTGGAGGAAATAGATATATGCACCCCACATTTTTCTCCACATAAACTGACTGGGCATGTTGAGGCCGCGCAGGAGCTGGTACTGGATGCGGCAGCCCTTCCGTCCATCACCCTGCAAGAAAATGTCTCACCACGAGTGCCACCACCTGTCACCACCTGGCACCACTTGGCACCACCTGGGCTGTTACTACTGGTGATAATGGGTCCTCCACAATGGAGGCTATTGCCGGCACCACCGAACTCCGCACTGGGCTTAGCGGATTAAACCCCAAACCTTCGAGACGTCACGCTCTCCAAGGCTCATAAACATTTCCCCAGCTTTGTCAGGCTTTTGCCGCGAGACAGGGTCAGGGCTAGTTTCCTAAAAGGTAGATATTTCCTTTGAGGGGAGACAAAGCCGTTCCTGAAGCGAGAAGTTGGGGAGGGGCTCGAATAGGATACCGAGCCCGTCGATCGGACCCGTGGCTTGCCCACGGAAGGCAACAGGGCGATCTTCCTGGGGTATGCATTACTGCAAGGGAGGGGGCGGTGATCGCCGTCTTGGTCAGCTCGTGGGGTGATTGCAACGGGTGTGAGTCATGGAAGAGGTGGACAGGTGGTGCCTGACGAGTGCCGTGGATTGGAGTGTTTGCAGTCCGGCCAGGAGGGGTCACAGTGGAAGGTTAGCACCGAGGGGCGCATAACTATAATGTGGAGGATGGGCTGGGGCGGCACTAGTGCCGGATTCAGTAGTATACGCGGATCATCGTGTATGTAGCCACAGGCCTTGTCTGCCAGCACCAACCCCGCTCTTTCTCCTCCATGCACCGCTGGAGAAATTAGTTGTTCCAGAGCGGGCTCTGCTCCGCGGGTCCGTTTCCTAATTAGGCTTGTCTCCAGATACAAACCATTTACGAGATTATCTGACAGAAATCGAGAGCCCTGCCACATTTTACCGTGGGGGTGGGATGGAAGCCTGCACTCCGGGGTTATGTGAATACCCCATTCACCCCTGCTACTACACGGACTTACTCGTGCCCTCTACCCCAGCTTAGCTGTCTGTGTGGTGCGGAGTATTCTGATAATCCGGTGGTTGCTATGCAACGACGCGTTCCATACCGGGCGTACCCGTACCCAAAAATATTCCGCATCCAGCGATCGGGTTGCATACAATAATCACCATGCGGGCAGAGGGCGCCATCCCACGGCGTGTCTATTTCGTTCTATCTTTGTCTGCGTACAGCGCTGCAGAATTTTCGCACCTAACTTTGATTCACCGTAAATCCAACAAATCAGGCTATGGAATTGGGTTCCAAGCATCTCCACCTTCTGGAGATATTCTGTCCCCAGTAGAACCATAGCACCGTAATTCTCGAAGTATTAGTGTATCGATGTATTGGTCAAAACCAGGTGCTGTGACTGTAGCCCTGGCGAATTCCAAACCTGCTCGGAAAAATGGAATATTGTTGCACCGCAGACTTGGCCAACGGCAGCTGGCGCTCTCAACGGGCGACAATACGTTGGACGAGATTAAGGTTTATCTGCCAAGGGTGTTATCTTGGCTCGTGTCGGTTAAAAAGAGCTTTTTCGCCTGATACTGTCAAAAAGGAGCCATTTGGTATGATGGGTCACGGTATTGGGCTGATTACGAGCTAGTTGGACGGGTAGGACCATTTAGCAGCTATTATGCAAGAGGGTAGAAGTCATTTTTGACAAATTTGGGACAAGCAAAAGAACGTCAACTTCACTTCGAGATCGGTGGGCTCGGCTAGGAGAAAAACCGGTAACAACTCTGGATTGACAAGTGCCTGGTGACCTCTCTTGCACTCCTGCGCTTCTTTGCACCTGTGGAACCACCCAAAGACTTAATGAAACTGGTCGATTACGACTGCTCTCAAATGCGCTCACCACATCTGGCCAGAGCCATTAGTGTGTTGGGTGCGCCAAACAAGGCTCTACGGAGTCTGGCAAGAAGAGACAGGGCAATAATTCTAGAGAAAAGGATAATTCAGTTTCCAGTACCCATAAATGACATAAGTTACTATTCACATACACTGGGTTGACTTCCCTCAGTGCCAAGGGCAGTCAAGCTTGGCGCTGACGTTAGCTGTCATAATTAGGTCGGAACGAGTGTTGCAGCAATGATTTCATACAATTCTCATCTAGTGACTATCCGATTTATCACATCAACCACATCCAATCATATCCAGCGCAGAACAAGATACTGCTGCGTCGAAGACATCACATCTTGAAGGATTGTGTCTATGTTCAAGCCATCATTCAAGTCCTACTCCAACCAATTTCGCAGCACCTTTAATCAGAACAAATCCATGAAGTCTACCAAGCGAAAAGATGACAATTTGTACTAAGACGTTGCCTTATTCTACCACCAAGACTCTTACGTGATTCATCGACCAGAATATCGCCCTCCCTAGCAGTGAATTTACACTGTCCACGAACCTTTCAATAGGTGGATGCTAAATATTTTATTTTGTTATTTTGTGAACGGTTCAAAATTGAACTGAGATTTTTATTATTGCATTAATTGAAATATTTACAACAGGGCTAAACGAACGGTTGTATTAAGGTGCAAAAGCACGGCTTAATTACCCGAATACTAGCCTGCATAATCCCAAGCACCAAATCTACTTCCAGCACAAGACTTCAATATGAAAGCTTTGCAACGCCACCACTACAACAAAGTAAATTGCTCCCAATTGATTGAGCTGCTTCCTTAAGAGATCTATAGGAACAGATACTTCGCTTTAGATTTCAACACAATATTTAAATTTTGGCTTATTCCCTGCATTTTGAGATTCTACCAACCACAAGTTTGTTAAAACCGAAATGAAAAAATTACTGAACAAGCAGTTTGGAGGGAGGGTCGACAGAATTACGCATTGGCTACAGCACAAAGGATACGCGATTCGATGGAGCTAATGGTGGTTTCAAATACAGAGAATTGGAACTCATGGTGATTTTTGGAGAAATGTCCGTGCTAGGATAGAGAGGACAACGGGAAACATGAAAAAATTTCAATTGGCCGAACTATCCTGGTCCCAGGTGCTTCTAAAGATCTAGACGGGGTATTTTCTTAATTTCTTTACTCTCACTTGGCCAACTCACTAATCCCAATTTAAACTCTCTCCAGGGGCCTCTTCTATTTGGTGCATTTTCGCAGCTTTGGCGATATCGGTGCTAGTGCTGTTATGTGAGATCCTTCATGCCCCACGGTCTATTTGTAGCAGGGTGGCCAAAAGTCTCGCTAGACACGGACCATGAAAAAAGTGCGCTCAGTAGTGCACCAGTAGCAGCACATTCCAGTGCCACTTCGCACAAATCTCTGGCGAGCCCCTCGCTAAAGTTGTCGCCGCATCCTCGCCAGAGGTTAACGTCTTGCCGCCATTCTCTCTACTGTCGCGCGCCATTCTCTGGAATCCACCGCGCACAACTAACTATCTCTCCACACCTCATCTCCATCAACATGCTAGCATCCTTCAGAGCACTTGGCTCCTCTGCTTCGTCCACATCTAAGTTGAAGAAGGTGCCCTCGCTCCAGGAGTTTGTGTTTCGCCAGAGAATCAGACTGATCTACAGAGACTTGGCCCGAATCGTGTATCGATCCCATGAGAAGGACGAGTTGATGAGATTTGTACGGGACGAGTTCCGAATGAACTCGTTGGAGACAGACATCAACCACCGTCGATACTTGTTAAACTTGGGAATCTCGCGTATCAACGATATGATCAGGGTCATGGGCATCAGGGCTCCGGAGTTCAAGTAGTGAGCCACGAGATCCAACCAACACCATAGGAGTCAGGATGACTTAGGGAGGTATAGTCGTGGAGTTTCGCCTACCGCATACATCACTAAGAGCTGGTCTGTTGATGTCCAGAACGTTGTCCATAGAATCCAATTCACCATCAGCAACTTATTTCAGTGGCCAATGTTACTGACTTGAAGACCATCCAAGATTAACACCCATCAGTCGTCGACTTACAAGAATCACATGAACTCCATCCATCATCTTCGATAATTCGTGTTGATTGCCGCAGTTCGAACTCGGCATAGTCACCCTGATCGAGCCTATAGAACAGCAGGTGTAGTCTTTAACAACCGGAAATTCGGACTATTAATCCTGGATAGCACGCATCCTCGAGATGGCATGTATATAGCACTTGTATTTAATAATAGGATCCCAGCCTCCGAGAGGAGTGGCTCGTCTATCTATCCAATATACTAGTTGAAATAGTTGAAAGCGCTTAACGACTGGGAATTCCCGCCTAGAATACCGTTTAACCTTACGCCACCTGTTTTAACTGCAGTACATTGAAAACGGCTAAGATTATTACTGGGGGGACCTAGACTAGTATTGGCCAACACTCTATAATCTGATAATAATTTAGTATCTGATTAACTTTTACATACGGATAACATCTCTTGCGAGATTCCCGTACTCATTTGGAATCGATAGTAATATATTGTTGAACTAGTAGTGAGTCATGAATCGTTTCAGGCACCCATCACTACTGTGAAATTATTTTTTTAAAAGCTATTTACTAAGTTTTGCTGAAAATTGTTCTATATTCGCTTAAAATTCTGAAATCTGGAAAGATGCAGCCCATATCTTAAGAAATATCTAATTTCCATAGTTTCGCAAGATTTTCTATACATTCAGCTTCTTGCTATTCGTCGTACATATTTTTACATCTATAAGCGGCATAAGGCCCACATCTATAACACTCCTAATTGAGCTTTCTCAAGAAATCGTTGGACTCTGTGATGGAGTTCTCCAACTCGGCAATCACTTCTTCCACCTTGTTTTCTCCCACAGCCACCTTGATAGACTTCTTAATCTCTTCTAATTCTGCAACCTGCTTCTTGATAATGCCAAAGCTCTTCAATTCCTTGACCAAGTCGTCCAAAACAGGCTTCAAAGGTGCAGAGGGCACGGCTGACTTGCCCTGCGTCATCAACAAACGGGCAATTCTGATGATTTCTGCCAATCCCTGGATGTTGTGGCTCAATTTCCACGACAAAATGCCTTCGGATGGAATCAAGGACCCCTTCAATTTGTCAAATTTCAAGTTTTTCACCAAGTAGTTCAAGCACAGCTGGACATCACCAGCCTTGTGCTGCTTGAAGAGCTTGAGGAGGTTCAAGGTGAGCTTGTACAAGAGGTCGTCAAACGGCACCGCTGCCTTGAACTGCGAGCTCAAGATCTTATTGTAGTGCTTGAGGTGCTTGACGGCAGCTGGCGAGTCAGCAGCGTCACAGAACACCAACACGTACTTCAACACCGCAAGCTTGAGGTCGTTGGTGGTGAGATAGTTGGTGGGCACCGAGAGGTGGTCGAGGCTGGTCATGGGTTCGCCTAGCACCTTCCACTCAATTTTGAAATCTCTGTTGTCAGAAAACTCGGCCATATTCATCAAGGCATCCAGTTTTTGCTCCAACAAATTGGAGAAATACGACACGTATCCGGTGTCCAGCAAGATCAACAGGTACCTGAGGACGGAGCAGATGACGTGGTAGCGGGACACAGACACGTCGAGCCTTTTTCCAAACGAAATGAAGCTTCCCAACTTGCTGTAGGTGCCTTTTTCGAAGCCTTCGCGGATGCTGGACCTGACCTCCTCGTTGGACGTCAAGTAGAAGCGGAAAATGGTGATTAAGTCCTCGAGGTGCTTCTTGGATGGGTTGGTGGGGTAGAGGTAGTGGCCCAACGTCTCGTGCTGGATCATCTTGATTTTGAGCGACTGGTACAACGGCATGAGTGAGTTGGACGTATTGAGGTTGGAGTGGAGCTTCATGAGCCAGAGCTTGAGTGTGTGGTTGTAGGGATCAGACTCCAACAACGATGACAACTCCACAATTGCTTTGACGATAGATCCAGGCGACGAGTCAAGTTCGAGCTGGAGGAGAATAGCCACCATGGCGAGTTCGTTGACAGGATTGATGTCGTGTTCTCCAGTCAAGTCTGGAGGACACAGACGACAGATCTGCCAGTTTGTGGCGATGTGGGACTCCACAAACTCCCGACTAGGAGCTGGCTCCAAGTAGAAGGCGAGTTTCTGGAGGTTGACGAGACGGGTGAAGTCGGAAAGCGAGGTCACTCCTGGGTCCTCTTCGCCATCGTTGGCACGAATGGCTTCCCGCAACTCGGGACACTCCTTCCTGGCGAGGTAGTGCTTCAAGTCCTGAAAACAACACGATTTGTGGGCGAAACGGGAGTAGTACGCCATCACAGCATCGCTGTAACGAGACGGATCGACCTGGAGGGCCAACTCCACGCGTGCCAACGCCGCATTTCTGGTTGTACAGGCGTCCACGAGTGCTACAAGCTCGTCCCACGGACTGGCTAGCACCTGTTGGCCAGCCTTGATCAAGTACTTCCAAGTGTCGAAGTCGTCGAAGCCATTGTCGACCAAGAGTGTCCTAGCAAGCTCGTACAACGCGTCCCAGGCTTGTGTTTGCTCCAATGCGTCGAGATATACCAACTGGGTGTCCAAATCCATTCCGTCCTTGATGGTTGCCACTTCGTTGGTGATGGTGGCGTACTGACCAGCGTGCACAAGGAGCTGGAGGTACACGTAGCGCTCCTGGGACGCAAACGGACGAAGAGGCTCCACGAGACGGAGCGCCACCTGGACGTACAACTCTGCTTCCTTGGGGGTTGGTGCCTGGGGAATGAGCTGGAGGTACACAAGTGCTGTCCAGAATGCGTAGCGACGGTCTTTAGTCTGGGTCCGTAGATGGGCCAAGATCTTGTTGTAGAGCTTCAAGTCGTACTTGGGTACGCTGCGATCGAACCAGTCCAAGAGGAGCTCCTTGGAGGCGTCGGATCCAGGGTACTTCTTGATGACGTTCTCGTAGGCCTGGTTGGCTTGAGGAGCATACTCTTCGAATTCGTCGAAAAACTCGTAGAGAAGCCCCACCGCCTGTGGGTCGTTGGGAGTCTTGGCCAAGAGAGCAAGGTTGTTGGCGATAGCCTGGGATGTCTTGCCCTGTTTGTGGAGAATCTGGTTGGTCAATGCATGGTAAAACGACCTGTTGGGAAACTTCTTGATTTTGCGGGCAAGAATGGTCTGAGCCGAGGCATAGGACCCCTGGGCCACGAGCGAGAGGAGCTCGGAGTCAGACATGATGGAGGTTGTGGTGGTGTTTTGGAGCTCGTCTGGGGTATGGCAACGTCAGAAAAATGGTGACTTTAGCAGTTGGAGTGGGTATTTTGAGGGAAGAAATGGATCTGGTGGTTCCTAGCACGACACACGACAGATGTGGTTCGGGACAGTGATGTTGGAGGTGTGCCAGTGCCGTGGTGAAGATGGATGTCGGTGGCAGATTTGGGATGGAATTTTTCAGTAGCGAGTATGTGCCCTGGAAAAGACCCTGGGGAAGGTAAGGGAGTGAGAGGTGAGAGAGAAAGAACGAATGGAGAGCGGTAAGAGGATGGAGAAAAAGAGAGAATGGAAAGAGAAAATGGCCAATGGGCTCTGATGAATGAAATGCTTCCCATAAGTTGGAGCTAGAGTGAGTATTAGAAGAACATACCAGAATAATTAGCGAGAATGGAGAGAGTAAATGGCCAGTAGCAAGTAGGAGTTGTAGAACAAATGTGCCAGGTAATTAGAATGAGAATGGAGAAAGCGAAGAGAATGGTGAGAGCAAATGTTCCTCCTAATTATTGAAGTATTCAGAATAAGTTGGGGTTGTAGCTAATACCAGATGAAACTTCCCAGAGTATCAGTAGGATGTCATTGTAAGGAGCCTTCACTTAATCATCCCTAGTTATGCCTATTTAGGGGAGTGGTCGTCCCGAGATAGCCCCAAATCTGGTATTGCTAGTCTTCGTCCTATGATGCCAATTTTAATTTGGCTTAATTACGTCTCGCAGACAAGGAAACACCAATAACACAAGTGTCAAATTGCTTGAAGCCGTACTCCATCGATTCGACAGACGGGGCTAACTTGGCCAGATGTAGACCATCGGATTTGGATAATTGAATTAAAGACAAGCCACACAACCAATTGGACCAGAAACAGCCAGAAAGGCTGAAAAACGCTACACGGAGCACCAATAAGTCCGAAAGACTACTCCGAAAGCACAATGGTTGGATCTAGGGACTTCTTACTCCCCTAATTGCAATTTCTGGGACACCATCTCCAAATTTCGGGACTGTATCTCCAAATTTCGGGACACCATCTCCATATTCTCCAACTCTATTCTTCGTCTCCACATTTCGCAGTCTTCACCCCTGAGATGCCCAACTTGCCAAGGTGAAACCTGTACCCGATTCAGAAGGACGTGTCCCAATATGACATCCCCTCGGCTGTTCTGTTGGGTATCTCCGCCCAGTTTCCGCGATTGCTATCTATTGCGAACACTGGTGGAACATCAAAAATGCCCAGGCCTGCCAAGCCAGTGGATCTGACAGGTCACGAGAGGTATCAAGGGCGAGCCGACCGAGGCGGAGGGAGGGGACCACGGGGGGATGCTGAGGAGAGAAGGAGGAGATGCCAAGGGTGGCAGGATTATTCAGTCTGAAAAGGGACTGGGCGGATGGGTATGAATACGATAAGGTGAGAAGGGGAATCAGATGGGAGAAAGACACTCAGCTGATGGGAGACACGGAGCACAGGAAATATATGGCAGGAGATACGGAGGATGCTTGTGAAATGGTATTTTGGACTATCATTGATTATTGTAGATCTATTAATTAGCGGACCTACGGTTAGTCTGTAGCTAGTGTAGCAATACTATTTGGACGGATACTCCGTTCACTGGTGTCATGATGGGACGCAGCTTGTCGGATTATCATTATCCTTCACTTGTCTACGTCAGGATTATCCAATGACAAGTTCCCAATTGCGTATATTCGCTTAATCTCAGACATCTGCATCTGTTCCGGTTAAATGCCACCCTCCATGAACCATTATTCCGGCGACTCCGATATCTACGCTTATTATTCCGGCACCAGCCACATAGTCACCCCGGCTCGTCACCCCGGCTCGTCACCCCGGCTCGTTATTTTTCACGGTATGACTTCTATGACTCCCACTTCTATGACTTCTAATCCATGTCGTATATCCTCGGCTGATCCTCGCTCGCATCTCGCATTCTCCAGGAATAAAGTGACTGAAAACCACCCTCGTTCTTGGCACAAGATCCACCTGCGCCTTCAGCGCAGTCTACATTGTGTTGATACCGAAAAGACACTATGGGTCATGTATTAGAGTGGATTCGCTACATGGGCTATTTGGCCCGTCCTACACGATGTCATCCCCGGCCTTTGGCCGAGCGCCGTGCAGCGGCACCCAGCTCCATATGGGGATATTCACTGGACCTTGCGGCCGTTGGGGCGGTCACCGATCCCATGAGGGTCATGACCAGGGTGTCGATAATCGCATCGAAACGGTGCGGAAATAGTCCCGCTTACGTAAGCGATGCCTGCTGTCACCACTCGGCCCTGGCGCTCTTGGCTGCGTCCGGGACCGTTCTCCTCAATCATGCCAGCTCACGTGGGCCTCTTCGGCGATTTCCAGCAATTTATCATGCTAAGAAATTCCCGTTAGCCTATCAATAATCAGTCGGGAAACGTTCAAAATGGTGGGAGGACATTTTTCAGGGCCCTGGTGGGGGCCGTTATGCGCCAAAAATCCGAGTTTTTTTTGCCGCTTTTTAGCACTGCCACAACCACACCAGCTGCCGCCACCACCGTCACTGCTTTGACCCCCCTAGCAGCCCTACTGGGCTCTCTGTCCCCCCCATCTCTCCGGCTTATCGCACGTCGTGGGCGGTGCCCAGACTTGGTTGCGTGCCCGGACCGCTTGGCAGCCGCACTCCCGCGTGCAGCCAAGAATACTAAGAAAAAACAGGTCACCTGACTGCTGCCCCACAGTGTTGCAGTTGCAGCAAGCAGATAAGAACCAGTAAACCCCCTAATATAAAAAGGGCCCCATCCCCCCCATCCTCCTCACTCCCACATCTACATTTAGCAGCAACCTTTTTAACCTGCACTGACCAGAAAAACTTCCTGGTCTGTTCCCGCCCAACTTGCTGCAAATTCTCCCCCTCCCTTTCACACACAACGACGGCAACAACTGCCGCCATGACAAGCAACACAAGCTCGTCATCCTCAGTCCACATGGAAAAGGAAGACCTCCATGAGTTTGTTCCCTACAGAGCGTCTGCCAACGCTGTGGCGGAGCACTACAACACCCACATCGAAAACGGGCTCACAGCCGCCCAGGTCGAACAGGCACGCAAGGACTTTGGCGCCAACAACCTAGGCGCAGATGAGTCCATCAGCTACACCAAGATCATCGCGCACCAGGTGTTCAACGCCATGATCTTGGTGCTCTTGATCTCGATGATCATCGCGTTGGCCATCCAGGACTGGATCTCCGGAGGCGTCATCGGCGCAGTGGTATTCATCAATATCTCGGTGGGGTTCGTCCAGGAGCTCAAGGCCGAGAAGACCATGGGTTCGCTCCGGTCGCTCAGTTCTCCCACCGCGCGTGTCATTAGAAACGGTGACGACAACACAATTCCAGCCGAAGAAGTGGTGCCTGGTGACATTGTCACCGTCGCCGTGGGTGACACCTTGCCTGCGGACCTCAGACTCATCGACTCCATGAATTTGGAGACTGACGAGGCCTTGCTCACGGGAGAGTCGCTTCCCGTGGCCAAGAACCCCAAGGATGTCTACACCGACCGCTCGCAACCCGTACCCGTGGGCGACCGTCTCAACATGGCATACTCGTCCTCCGTGGTCTCCAAGGGAAGAGCCACCGGAATTGTGGTTGCAACTGGTCTCAACACGGAAATCGGAAAAATCGCCTCCTCTCTTAGAGGCAACGATGGTATAATCAAAAGAGTCGACAAGTCCAACAACAGAAAGCCCAGAAAGAGAGAATACTCTCAGGCTTTTGGTGAAACCCTCAAGAACATCATTGGTAACATCTTGGGTATTACCGTGGGAACTCCGCTCCAGAGAAAGTTGGCCTGGCTTGCCATCTTTTTGTTCTGGGTCGCTGTCATCTTCGCTATCATCGTTATGGCCTCTCAGCGTATGAGAGTTAACAAGGAAGTCGCCATTTACGCTATTTGTGTGGCGCTTTCCATGATTCCATCGGCTCTTATTGTTGTGTTGACCATCACTATGGCCGTTGGTGCCCAAGTAATGGTCGCCAAGCACGTCATTGTCCGTAAATTGGACTCTTTGGAGGCTTTGGGTGGTATTAACGATATTTGTTCTGACAAGACCGGTACTCTCACCCAAGGTAAGATGATTGCCAAAAAAGCTTGGATTCCTACTGTTGGTACTTTCAGTGTTGTAAACTCCAACGAACCATTTAACCCAACTGTTGGTGAAATCGAGTACTCTAAATTCAGTCCTAGATACATTGAAGAGACTGACGAAGAAATTGATTTCATTCCAAACGCTTCTTTCCTCAAATCAACTGATCAATATCCAACTAACTACCGTAACTGGTTACTAACTGCCACTCTTGCCAACATTGCTACTATCAACCAGGCCAAGGATGAAGAGACTGGCGAGATCTTGTGGAAAGCTCATGGTGATGCTACTGAAATCGCAATCCAAGTTTACACTACTAGAGCTGAATTCGCCCGTGAAGACCTTGTTAACAAGTATGAACACTTGCACGAATTTCCATTTGACTCCTCTATCAAGAGAATGTCAGCCGTTTACAAGTCAAGAGAAACCGGAAAGACCACAATCTACACCAAAGGTGCCGTTGAAAGAATTTTAGGATGCTGCACCCACTGGTACGGTAACGATCAAGATTCAGAGGAAAATTTCGATTCACAAGAAACTATCCCATTGACTGAACAAGATAAGGAATTGATTGAAGCTAATATGAATGCCCTCTCATCTCAAGGTTTAAGAGTTTTGGCCTTTGCAACTAGAGACGCTTCTTCAGACTCAGACTTCAGCGACAGAGAAAAGGTCGAAACTAACTTGATTTTCCAAGGACTTGTTGGTATCTATGATCCACCAAGACAAGAGACAGCAGGATCAGTTAAGTTATGTCACAAGGCTGGTATCAATGTTCACATGTTAACTGGTGACCACCCCGGTACAGCCAAGGCTATTGCCCAAGAAGTTGGTATCTTACCTCACAACTTGTATCACTACAGTGCAGATGTTGTTAAGGTTATGGTTATGACTGCTAACGAGTTCGATGCTTTGAGTGACGAAGAAATTGATGCCCTTCCTGTCCTTCCACTTGTTATTGCCAGATGTGCTCCTCAGACCAAGGTTAGAATGATCGAGGCTTTACATCGTCGTCAAAAATTCGTTGCCATGACTGGTGACGGTGTTAACGATTCCCCTTCTCTTAAGAAAGCAGATGTTGGCATTGCCATGGGTCTCAATGGATCTGATGTTGCCAAAGATGCCTCTGATATTGTGTTAACTGATGACAATTTCGCATCCATTTTGAATGCGATAGAAGAAGGAAGAAGAATGTCTGCTAACATTCAGAAGTTTGTTTTGCAACTTTTGGCTGAAAATGTCGCTCAGGCCTTGTACTTGATGATTGGTTTGGCATTTATTGATGAAACCGGTTATTCTGTCTTTCCATTGTCTCCAGTTGAAGTTTTATGGATTTTAGTTGTTACCTCTTGTTTCCCAGCCATGGGTTTGGGTCAAGAAAAGGCTAGTGACGATATTCTTCAGAAGTCTCCTAACAGTACTATTTTCACCTGGGAGGTTATCATTGATATGTTAGCCTATGGGTTCTGGATGGCTGTTTCTTGTTTGCTTTGTTTCGTGGTTATTGTCTATGGTAAGGGTAACGGTGACTTGGGTTACGACTGTAATGCCACCAATGCCAACACTGATGTCTGTGACTTGGTTTTCAGAGGTAGATCTGCCTCTTTTGCCAATATGACCTGGTGTGCCCTTATTTTGGCTTGGGAATGTATTCACCCTACTAACTCCTTGTTCTACATGAGACAAGATACCGACAATCCATGGTGGAAGCAAACTGCAATTGATTTATACGACAACCAATTTTTGTTCTGGTCTGTCATTGGTGGTTTCCTCAGTGTTTTCCCAGTTGTTTACATTCCAGTTATCAATGATAAAGTGTTCTTGCACAAGCCTATCGGTTACGAATGGGGAGTTGCAGTTGGATTCTCGTTGTGTTTCTTGTTAGGAGCTGAAACCTGGAAGTGGATCAAGAGAATCTACAAGAGAAAGAATGCCACCAAGACTAGCAACCCCGAATATGAGTTGGAAAGAAACGATCCATTTAGCAGATATGCCTCCTTCTCCAGATCCAACACCATGAACATGAACGAGCTCCCATAATTATTGCCGCTTTGTTATTTTCCGAAGAATTACGCTCTTGGCGATTCTGATGCATTCTCACACTCGATGTTGATTAGCTTGCGCTATGTTACATCAACTTTCATCATCAAGAGCACAGGAAACTGTTGTCCTCTTTTGCATATTCTTGTTTCAAGATGACAATGAGTTACGAATACCTCTACTAATTTTTTAGAGTTCGTTCCTATCTAACTCATCATTTTCAATTCTTTACAATGATGAGTTTTAGCCCATCTAGCCGCTTTAAGCTGCAGTAGACTTTAGTTTGATTTGTTTGCTTTTATACTTAACATTATAAACAATTATCATAGATTATTTGTAAGCTATAGAGGAGGTTTCCTCAGAAATAAGAGTGCGAAGTATTGTAACTAATATCCAAATGAAGTATTATAGATATGGAGGGACTCGAACCTTGATTGTGCTTACATACTATTATTGGAAATAAATATATTCTGTGGTATTTCAGTGATCAATTTAATTTCTCTAATTCGTTCAGATTGGAGCACATAACTGACTACAACAGCACACGCTAGATTATTAAGTGATAATAAAAGATGTAGTGGTCGTCATAATTTATTGATTTCCCAGTTCATCATTGAGTGATAGCTACTTATAGGTGTAAGATAACACTCAAGCATTACTAAACGAAATCTATTCAGTTTAGACGACTAAAACCTTTTGGTTTACGCTTAATCCTTTAACCACCACACAGAAATCACGATGGATTATTATTGCTTCATTTCCAACATGATATATCAGATTCATCATATCAGATTCATCATCGCTTTCTGGCGCCATGATGCCAAGACTGTGCTAATTCTGACACTATATCTAGTAATTTTTCAGTGAATAAACTCCTTGAAATTACGAATTGTGCCAAGGCTCCGTTCAAGGCTCAAGGCCGTTTGGTTTCTCGAAGTTTCTTGGTACCCACTCCCCTCAAACAGTGGCTTGATTCAACGCCGGTGTGGGTTTGAGGGGATAAGGACCACACCGGAAGCATTGGGAGAGCCCAACATCGGTTTGTACATCAAAACACGCCACTACAGGCTGGTGCAACTGTTAGTTCCTATACTAAACACAAGAGAAGTAGAATAAAAAACCGATCATAAAGAGATGGAAAATACATAAAGGAAATAGAATGAACTCCTGGAGATACCATGATACCTGAGGTCCGACACGCAGAATTGCACCAATTGTAGCTAATGGTTCCAAATATAACTATTTTGAGGGGGTATACGGAGGGATGTGATTGGGCACGGACGTGCTCAGTCTAATAATTTAACATAGTTCGATGGACAGATACCGACCTGGCCGTTGGCTCTTCTGGCCTGCCACCATTTTCCGTCTATGTCATCGACTTCCAAGAGTTCGTCCTTGACGAATGAGATTTCGTTTATGTCGTCGGGGTTGGCGTCGTACGAGTATAAAGCGCGGGCCTTGTATCTGAAGGGGATGGTTCCAGCGGAGGCGCCCAAGTTTTGGGGCTCGTTGAACACGGTTTTGGGCTGGGCGCCGGTGGTGAGGTCTCTGCCCTGGTGGACATCGGCGGACGAGAAGTTCTCCAAGCCGTTCAACTGGGAGGACGACATGTAGGGGGTGTTTTTCTTGTTGCCGGTGGTGATTTGGGACTGTCTCAAATTGCTGTCCTGGAAGGTTCCAAGGGGTGGGATCTCGGTGCCGTAGGGCTTGTACTCGTGCTCCTCTTCCTCGTCCATTTCGTGGAGCTTCTGGTTATCGTTGGCCGACGACAAGTGGCCGTGGTTGTGGGACTGGGACTTGATGGAGAACGAGTCGATGAACTGGTTGGTGGGCGACTCTGGATGGCCTCCGAAGTAGAGGATCCAGATCAAGTTGAGGATTGACGACAAGATGCACCCGGCAGCGCAGCACAAGTTGCCCGACAGCCCCGAGTTGTAGATCAAGCTGTTGATGGAGTTGGTCAGGTACACGAACCCCACCGACAAGAGGCCCACAAGCGTGAATTTGTAGAGCTCGATGTTGTTGTTCAAGTACAACCCGAAGATCACCAAGATCATGAGGATCTGGTAGACGAGGCCCCACCAGGTGAAGTGGGGCACGTGAGAGGCATCAGCAGCGGCACCAGCCACTGTGACTACCCACGAGATGACTCCGAACGACACGGTGGATATGGCAAAGGGGTCGCCCAAGAAGTTGGACAAGGTGAATGGCATGGATGGAGACTAAATGGAATAATACGCCAAATGGCTGAAAGTGCTGGTTGGACAGTGAAAATGGGGACGGACTTGCTGAACCTGCTAAATGTCTCAATAAGCTGCTAAGCGAGGGATTACTCTTGTAGGAGATGGAGGAAGGCTAGGATGGTGATGGCAGCCAGTGAGACCGTCAGGAGGACGGGGCGTGACGAGCGTGGGGGAAGCGTGGGGGCGTGTTCAGGAGTGCACGTGCGTGTGGCGACGGATCGGGAACGACAGGTGGTGGTTTGGTGGTGGTAGTGGCAGCAGAAGAAGAGTGATGGGTAGTTTGAGTGGCTACGATTTGGCTGTCAAATTGTGTTGTTAGTGGTAGGCTCACGAAAACGGAGGAGGAGCGAGGAGCGCACGACCCCAGGGGGCGGCGGGTGCAGACGTCGGAGACGCTGGGCACGCCAAGTGGCCGGTGGGAGACGCGGTAGAGGTACCCAGCGGTGCGGCAAGCTACAAGCACGCGAGGATGGGTTGGCGTGGGCGGCAGCGCACATGGGTGCACACGGGCGCAGGTGGAGCCATCGATGGATGGGGTGGAAGTGATGTTGACGATGTCTCTGGCGCAACATCCGGCGAGCGCGGCGAGCGCGTCGGCGCCAGGCACGCTTCGAGTGTGAGGCCGGTGGGTGCAGGGCGGCTGGGTTTGCACCACGGGACGGGAGTGGATGGGCCGGTGGGGCGGCGAGGAGCGTGACGAAGACGCGGGTGCTGCCTGATGGCAGCAGGCCCGAGTCCTGCTGGCATACGACATACGACGGGGGTTAGTAAGTTGTGGGGGCTTGTTGTGGCAGCTGCATTGCGGATCTAGACCTGTCATGTAGTGCGTGGGTAGGTGCGCGCAGATGGCGCAAAAACAGGGTCGTGCGCCGCCCGAATCAGATTGGTAGGCGCACGCACGGATCAGGATTATCCGCGCACGCCCGCCAAGCACCTCCCTACTCGCTGGCATGACCCACCGGGCTCTGGTCGGTCACATGACCACATGCTCCACGGCTACCCCAGATTCCTCTCCGGTCCCGTCCGCCACCGTTGGTTCGGACTTCTATGTCCTTGGCCAATGGTCTTGAGTCAATTACCGCCTCGTAGGCGCCGTATTTGCGCTGGCTGCGCAGCCAGCGGTACGATGTGCCCCAGCCGTTCCCAGTCCCCGGCGCACCCAGCGCTGCTGCACTCACCGCCTATCGCCTACTATATACCACCACCTACCATCTGCACCAATCACTTGCACCGAATACATGCCCCATTCACCAACTCCCCGTTACTCCTCTACCACTATCCCCATAATATTGTGGTATGGATGTTCCCCCGTCCCCCTCCCTAAGTTTCTCCGTACTCCGAAACTCCGCTGGCCCGCCGCACGAGCAAATTCCGTAAGTGACGTTCCTCCCAGTCATCCCTCTTCCTCTACCAGTCTTAGCCGTGGATCCGACGGTCAAACTCGGGTGCTGCAGCCTAGGGGTTTGGCAACGGGTGCATGTTCCCGTGCATGGTGCTTGAAGGTGCACTCGCCTATGGGGGGTGCTGCTGTACCCTTTTCGCACCCGGTGTTCCTGCTGGCTGCCTATAAAAGGGCACCACATTTCCCATCTGCTGCAAAAACTCCACTCTACTCTTCTTCTACTCGCCATCCATTGCAAATCTTCAATCACTTTGACCAGACAACGCCCCCCAGTCTAGTCTCACTGCTCAATTGCTCGATTTGCTGCAAAAATTTCCCTTGCTCTTGCACCTTTGCTGCCGCCTGGACCCTCACTACTGGCATTTAAATAACCCCAGTACCCCTCCAGAATTGCACGCCCTCGCAATTTCGCCATGTTGACTGCAAGAATCATCAGACACCAGTTGCCCACCGCCTATCGAGGCACGCTCCACCTTCGCGGCTACTCAGCTGCCACCAATGCTCCAACATCATCACCACCACCAACCACCCCCGCAAGCAACCCCCAAACCACGGCTGCTCGCAGAAACCCCTTCGACATCAAAACCGTGGTGGTCAAGGACTCCGACATTGAAAAGCACGACGACAAGGAGTTCATCACCCATCATATCTTCCCCCACCCTTGGTTTTCCACCCCCGAGTGTGAGGCCATCCACTACGCCCACAGAGAGCCCAAGACCATCGGCGACACCATTGCTTTCAGATGGATCCAATTTTTCCGGAGCTCTTTCGACTTCGTCACTGGGTACCGCAAGCCTAAGAACGCCCAGGAGGTTCAGGACGGGTTCGCTGGTACCCGCTACCAGATGACCGAAGGCAAGTGGCTCACCAGGTGCATCTTTTTGGAATCGGTCGCCGGAGTGCCTGGAGCCGTGGCCAGCTTCTTGAGGCACCTCCACTCCATCAGACTCTTGAAACGTGACAAGGCCTGGATTGAGACCCTCTTGGACGAGGCCTACAACGAGAGAATGCATCTCTTGACTTTCATCAAGATCGGCCAACCCTCGTGGTTTACCAAGCTGATTATCTACGTGGGACAGGGAGTATTCTGCAACCTCTTCTTCCTCTTCTACTTGGTGAATCCCAAGTACTGCCACCGGTTCGTGGGGTACCTCGAAGAAGAGGCGGTCAGCACCTACTCGCACTTGATAGAGGAGCTCGACATGGGCAAGTTACCTGCTTTCGACCACCTCCTGGTGCCCACCATCGCCGTCCAGTACTGGCCAGAACTCACGGATAAATCCACCTTCAGAGACTTGATCTTGAGAATCAGAGCGGACGAAGCCAAGCATAGAGAGGTCAACCACACCTTGGCCAACTTGGACCAAGACACAGACCGTAACCCATTTGCACTCCAGGTGGAGGGTTTGGACAAACCTCAGCCCGAAAACGGCTTGAAAACTCACAGACCTACCGGTTGGGAAAAGGAAGACTTGAAGCTTTAGTTCTCACCACCAGCGTCCCTTGTATCGCATAGACTCTAAGTCAGTTACCTGGTTTTCCAGACACGTATTTATGATCATGAAATGTACATATGCCACTAGTGGAAATGTAGACCTTACGCGGTGCGGAGTATTGAATAATGCTACTGTGATGTCAAGCTGTTCTGTGATATTTACTGCTTGAAATTATTCTTGCGATAATTAATTCAGACACAAACATCACTTCTAGGCCAAGAAAACAAGTATTGGTGCCTGTAACTATGACATAAGTCCATTATCCAGAAAGTCGATGAACTTATTATCACTTTATTTGCATAGTTTTTCCCAAATATACTCTTTAACAGAAGTACGGGCACTCTCTTTGAACATAATTATTACATGGGATCAGACGTTTTAGAGAATTGAGTTCTATTAGCAAAAATCTGGGATTAGAAAGAATTCCAAAAAGTAATTTTCCATTCAACAGTGGTCCTGGATGGCATGATAGAGTTGAATAATACGATCATCGGGTTTAAATTTTCGAGGCAGCTAAAATAGAGTGACATATTTTTTATTATTAACTATTCACACCAGGGCTACCAGTTTCATCATGCTTACACCCAGAGGGTAGTGTAACTGGTATTGATCGTGGTGATATTAAGGAAAACGAATGAACGATTAAATTAGCAGGTATTAAGGAAAAATAATTTACGAATTTTGGGTGGGTACGACTAAATTTCGTCAGACTAAAAATACTGACGAGCCCAGCCAAGCAGTCTAGTATCAAGACCATGTATTTTTATTCTGCTTAGAACGTTCGTAGTCTGGTGTTATCAATATTGTGCGAAAAGCTAGCAACGGCACCTCTATAGCTTCTATAACAATAGCTACTTCATATTCAATTATTGATGGGCTGAAAAATCCCATTCATTGTAACTACAACAGGCAAAGCCATTCATGGTGTATCATCCATGGTGAGCTACGAAAACATCTATACTAAATACAAGAACAAAAGCAACTATAATAATGTTGGTGATTACGATTATGCTGATCTGAAAGTGTTAACACCACAACTTCAACAGAGCCGGGAATTGCCGTGTGGGAGGTGTAGGGAACATTACGGCACCAATGACTAAGCATTGCTCCATATTTACATAATCGGCTGACTAATATCTTACGTAATCATATACTCGCACACCTCATCCCGTAGAACCTTCTAGCAACTCTTACCAGCTATATCTATCAATACATCCGTCCCGTCTCCTCCACCAGCCATGTCCAACTCCTACGCGGATCGCAACGACGACCCAATTGTAGACCTCCTTGGCCAGGGCTACCCTCCAGACGCCTCCGCCAGCGAGAGCAGGCATCCCCCAAGCGGAAGTGCTTCCAACAACGACGATGAGATCCAAGTCATCAGTCGGGACGACTACCACAACCCGTTCGAAGACCAGTTTGCCTCTTCAGGAAACACTCCCTCAATTCCCACACCTTCACTCACTCACAACCAGCTCTTTACCAACGACGACTTTATAGACCACACCAATGACTCCAGATACCAACAGCCGTTCAGAGACGACGATCAGGCACCGGCAGGAACATCAGGGCCAACAGGACCAGCAGGAAGTCGGATTTCCACGGGAATGTCGCCGTTATTTGGTGCAAATGAGCTTATTCCACAACGAAGCCAGCCTGGCGTACCTCCCCCAACAAACACAGTTTCCACCATGGTGCAGGCTCCCAAGTTCCTGGCACCTTTGCCTCCGCTAGCACCACTCTCAGAGTCTGTAATTCCCAGCGGACTCTCGCTCCAGGCGTACAATTCCGTTGCAGACGACCTCAAAACAGGTCTTCCAGCCACCACCAACCTCCTCAGCAACACAGCAGCCGCGTCAGGAGCCAGTTCAGGTACCAAACGCAAGAAGGAGAGCACGGCACCCAAAACTAGGCCTGCTTTCGTGATGAAAATTTGGTCCATGGTCAACGATCCTGCGAACAACGAGTACATTCGCTGGAACGACGATGGAAAAACGTTCCAGGTGTTCCACCGCGAGGAATTCATGAAGATGATCCTCCCCAAATACTTCAAACACAACAATTTTGCCTCGTTTGTGCGGCAGTTGAACATGTACGGCTGGCACAAGGTCCAGGACATCAACTCAGGCACCATGAACCAGGGCAAGGACGACAAGAGCCAGGACGAGATCTGGCAGTTCGAGAACCCCAACTTCGTGCGGGATCGCGAGGACCTTTTGGACAAAATTGTCCGTAATAAAAGTGTCAATCAGACAGAACCAGAAGGCAGCGACTCTTCGCAAGTCAACTTCCAGATGCTTCTCAACGAGCTCGATCAGATCAAGTTGCACCAGCTCGCCATTACCGAGGACTTGCGCAGAGTACGCAAGGACAACAAGACGTTATGGCAGGAAAACTACAATACGCGAGAAAGGCACCAGAACCAGGCACGTACCTTGGATAAGATCCTCAAGTTTCTAGCAGCTGTCTACGGCAACAATGCTGGCAAAATCATGGAGCTTGAAAATAGCGGTTTCACCGATAATGGCCATATGACTGCCTACAACTACAATAACCAGCCCAACGCGAGCGCAGGCCCTCCATCGCCAAACCCATATGGCCAGCAAGCCAACGGCAGCATGCCTACGCCGTTCCAGAAGCCACGGCTCATGTTGACGAACCAGGCCCACAGAAGAAGCCCCCAGACCGACAACACAAGGTCACCTCGAGATGAGCAGGGTGCCAGCAACTCGAACTCGGATCCAGGCACCATCGAGGAAATCATTCGTTCCTACGGTAACACTCCCAACGGAGGTCCTCAGGCGTCGGGAGAAGCTTCAGCCAATAATGCCAATAAAATATACCAGCAGTTGATCCACGACCCAGGAGCAATTTCTTCGCCTCGCCATTACTTTCCAGAGCTCAACACTCCCACTGCTGGTCCCTCCACACCAGGCCAGTACATCCGCATGGGCAATCCGCCAGGAGCAGAAAACCCTGCTGATGTCATGAGCGGACTTGAGCAGAACATATACAAACAGGGCCAGTCGATCCAGCAGGTCCAGGACTGGATCCAGAAATTGGCCAGCCAGCAGCAACAGCAGCAGGCCACCATCAATGAGATCAACGAAGACTTGAAGCCGGATTTGGACGATTTCGATGTCAACGAGTTTCTCAACAACAGCAAACCAGGTACCGATAGCACCTTCACCACACACGACAATACCGGGGCGGAAAACTCGGCCGCGAATCTGGGAGCACCCAACACTCCAAGTAGCGGTGGAACCAAGAGAAGAGCAGAAGAGCTCTACAACTGGATGGACGAGCCCGCAAAGAAAAAACAGGCATAGAAGTAGAGAAGGAAATTTGCATGTAAAACCAATTATGCTTGAGAAGAAGGATCATGACTATTCTTTGATAAGAAAGGAAATATTATCATGATATAGACCACTTGTTATGCTTGATATTGGAAGATGGGAAGCATTTTGAAAGAATTTCATGCATCTACAGTGGAATAAAAGAAACCATTCACAAGGTGGGATATCATACTGCGAAGGAAGTTTATTTTACTATTCAGTACAAAAGACACCACACACGAGAACCCAAAAATACATAAATTGCCGTTCAATACAGAATTCTCCTCATGCATGAGAAAACACTTGCTAAAGAATATATTGCAAAATAAATTCGTGAAGACCTCAGTTTATCGAACTGACTTCATCGAATTCAAAACATCATTACTGGAACACTAATAATTAATAGGTGATGGAATTAGTAATACATGAAGGGTAACCAGGTGGTATACCACTTGTATTAATATTGTAGATAGGTAGGGTGACCTGTAGCAAGTAAAACCGAATATTCGTTAGCATTCTGATGACCACTTCTTCGATGATTCGCTTGGTATTTGGGACACGCTATTTACACAAAATATAACAGTTATTCTGCGAGTGTTGGTTTAAGCTTGCTAGTGGATGGGGGCCCTGTTGGAAATACGGATGTTATCTAGTTTATTCTCAGCCACGCGCATTTTGACATTATGCACAGAAGCATGTCATATTAGCGCCTAACCTTAAATCCTATTGTCCAATACTGATTACGATAGCTTTATTTAATAATTGATTAGTTTAACAGCATGCAGACCAAACATAGGTAAAGGTAATAGGAAAACTATGTTATTAATCATCCTTAAATTAGACAGTCTCCTATTTTGCAATCCCTACAGCTTCTCAATTTATTGTAGTTCTGAGTCGAATGCGATGGTAAGTGAGTGATATTGTGGGTTTTTTGATCCATTGTGGGACTGGTGATAATAATGAGCTTAGTGGCGTAACAGTGTAGTAGACAGGTAACTCAACGTACTAGTGCCAAAGCTGAGGTACGATGAAGTGACCTAACCAAAATGGTGTATTTCTATTAGCTATTAGCCTGAGCCTGTAAGGATGCTTGAATGTAATATCCAAGACTAAGTTTACTAAAAGGAGATTAAGAAGTTGTTATGAAATGGTCTTTCCTTTCAAAGCGGTTTCTGATCATTTGTAGACCATCACTCTTCGAAATAATTTTTAGAGACTCTGCACTTATTAGTTCGTTATTGAAAAAATTAGTGTTCCTCATTGAAGTAATTTACGTCATGTCATATTGCGGCAATAAGTAACTATTCTGAAACACCCACTTCCTTCGGCCTGCATTTTCACTGTACCAGGAATCTTGGCCCTGTGTGGTAGAATGCCATCCGCACACATCCATGGCCCAGTAACCCAATTATTGCCCTAATAAACTCGCTCCTTCGGTCGTGCAACCAGATCGTTCTACCTTACCCTTCAAATCCCTCTGTGCCTTTCTCGTCAGCTCTAGAATTTAGCATCCCTCGTATGCTACCGCTTATGTTGTTACATCAATAGATGTCACTTCCTTGAAAGTTGTCAAGTTCACGCATGCAACCACGCCAAGACACTTGCCATCCTGACTCTGGCCAACGTGCTAGAGATTAATAAATTAAGAAGAGTATCGATTCCATGCATGGGAATACGCAGGCATTGGCATCGTAAATCCACGAGTTACTGATCTTGGACCCTGGATCGGCTCTGGATGGATGTACTATCTCCACTATGAAGGCTCTGGGAGGCGCTCACTCGCACGTCTGATATACCGCAAAGACTGACTACGACCGGCAGCTCTACCCCTCCACGCACAGTGCTTGACACCGCACTGTCACCTCATGGTGACGTCCGCATCTATATGCATAGAAGCCTGGCGTGCGCTCACCGCCCGCGCCTCAATGCGAGGCACGTGACCTGTCACCCCCCGCACGACCGTGTCGCCGATAAGATCACCCTCCTCCAGATCTCTTCTCCAGCCCTACCTCTGGCCCACGACACAGAAACCCTCCTCCCTCCCTTCCCCATGTCGTCGGGGGTATTAGACCTCGGAATCTCCGCCCTGAAGCAGAAGCGCGAGTACAGCAAAGGAGGATGTCGAGAGTGCAAAAGAAGGAAGATCAAGTGTGACGAGGGAAAGCCCCAGTGCTGGCAGTGTGCCCGTTTGAGCAAGGAGTGCTCGTACCCGTTGGCAGGCGAGAAGGTGGCTCGTGTGCTGAAAAGAGCTCTTGTTCACGGGAAAGATGCCATGACAGTTACTGGTGCAAGGAAGCGACAGATGTCGCTGACCCCGGCATATGACGGAAACGTGGTGGCTATGGCTTCCACCAGCCCTTCTGGAACCCCTCAGGCGGCTCCAGCACCGTTTCCAACGGGCATGGCCCCAGCGGTGAGTCCGCACAGAGCAGCGCACAGTCTACCCCAGGCTTATCAGCTAGGCGTGGCAGCGAGCCCGCAAGCCGTCGCCTCACACGGCCAGCAGGTGCCAGGCCAGGCGGTGGTGGGAATTTCAAGCCATCCAGGGAATCTTTCGGCCCATAATGGCATTTCGCATCCGGGCATTTCACACCCAGGCATTTCACACCCAGGAATTCCACCCCAGCCTGCTTTTGCCCACTACCCCTACTCCAGGTCCCCAGAAGCATACCCTCCTCCCTACGACTCGCACTCCTCCAACTACTCCCACTACCGTGCGCTTCCCAAGCCCAAAGACCCTCTCCACGACTACCCCCAGCGAACTCCCTCCTCGGTAGGAGCTCCATCGCCAGCATCCTCTACTGGCCCTAGCCACGGCCATGGCCACTCGCTTCCCACAAAATTTACACCCTCTTCCATAGTCAGCCTTCTCAACGACGTGCCTACCCCCAATCCCATCGATGCCTACAACACCAATCGCTCCCCCAGCTCGGTCCAGGACCCGTCCATGCTCCAGTTCTTCGACGAGGGCGACTTGAACTTGCTAGCCACCGACTTGAACAACATCGTCAACAATATCATGTTCGAGAGCAACTTCTCGGGCAAGTACGCCCAGTTTGATGGAGAAACACCCGAAAACTCGTTCAAATCGGTGGAAACAGAAAGCACGCCCATCCAGCACATTTCCTCGGCCAATTTGGCGGAAACAGCCCCACAAAGGGCCCAAAAACAGTCCATGATCACCCCTCCCCAGACCTCAATCTTTCCAGAAACATACCCAGGAAGAAATATTCCTACAGACAAAATCAAGCTCAAGAAACCGCTCGAAAGACGATACCTCCACGAGTTCTGCGAGGACTTCGTCAATCTCGTGCTCCCCTTTCCCTCCTACGACAAGTCGCTCAAATGCTACTTCAATCCAGCCAGGGACATCATCTTGCTGTGTGCTGCACAGGAATCGTTTCTTCTCGCTGCGGTTTTGGCCCACGGAGCAAAAACGTTGTTTCTCAAAGAAAACAAGCCTGAGGACGAAGAGGCCTACTGCACCTACTTGAGCAAGTGCCTCAAGTTATTGGGACCAGCGTTGGTGGTGGGAGGACGTTCCAAGAACCAGCAAAATGGCCTCAGCTCAGACCTCACATCCAACATCGAATCGGTGCTAGTGACTGTGCTTCTTCTAACATCCGCCAACGCAGCCAACCCCAAGCAAAACTGGAGACCCCATCTTCGTGGTGCGAAGGACATTTTACTCAAGGTGTCCACCTTCAAGATCAAGAGCTCCAAAGTACTCATTTTCTGTAAATTCTGGTTTGGTACCCTTGAAATATTGGCAGGAGTCAGCTCCACCTTGGGAGGGACCCTCAAGTCGGAAGCAGAGCTTGACTCGCTTGTGACAACGGGCGACGACCACGAAATAAAAGTGTTGGAAGAAATAGGGCTTATTGTCCATGGCGGATTCAACATCATTAGCGGATATCACAATGATGCACTGGACCATATCCGAGACTTGATCAAAATCTTGGCCAAAATTAGGAAGAACAAGAACTACCAGCCTGAAAACGAGTTTGAATACTTCCGATTACTCTCGGAATTCTATCGGTTGAGCCAGTTAGAGTTCATTGACAAAAAGTGTATTTTGAACCCTGCTGACTTCGTGGACGGTGTGCCCAATGCTGATTTGATCGATGTCTTGAGCCACAAGTCAAAAGACGGTCCTCCACCTGTGATAATTAGTTGGATGGACACTTGCCATCAGGCATACGTGTTGGCCAGTATGATTACGATCTTGGTCAAGTGCTTCAAGGAAAAGCACGACTCGCCACAGGTCCAAATGATTTCCAACAAGCTCATATCGAGAATGGCGTTTCTAAAAGACTATCAAGAAGCCGATATCCCCAACCAATCGATCAAGTGCTCGATGATGATGATGCAGTGGCCAATGTTGGTCGCTGCTATGAACTGCACCAACAAGAACGACCAGGATTTGTTGCGAAAATTCTTCAGAGTCTCGGGACATGTTGGTAGTGCTAGCTCGAAGTTCGCCTTGGCAAGAGCTGAAAAGGTATGGAGCTTGCGAGAGAAAGGGGAGCATGTTGACTCGGACATCGAGGACGATTACAACGATGTGCTCTCGTATTGATTTTTTTGAAAGTGGCTATGTGGATTCCCATCACATAGATATACTTCCTCACATGAAATTATATCTGGAAAAGCCTAGATTTTGTATTTCATGTCTACAATAGTCCAGGCAAGATTGCTTTCCAAGCATATAGCTTGTCATATTTAATTCTTATCACCAACTCTAGATTCAAAAAGAAAGTTGATTGTCCTTAGTACATAAAATTAGGGTATTCCCTGCTTCAATTCATTCCTCATATGCTTGCTTATTCCACCTGACAAACTTAAGCAATAAAATGTAACATTATCATTAAATAACCTTCGCTACATTCTGTATCAATGCTCCATCTATGAATGGCTATAAAATATGTTGTAAACGACTAAAATACATCAGGTAGAAAATTTTAAGTAAGTATAATCTTCATTCATCACCGAGTAGATCAAACCAGTTCAACTGGCCACTTGCTAAGAGTAATCTTGTTTCAAACGAAGTATTCTTCTTTCTGTTGTCCTTGGCCTCAAAATTAACAGACCCAGAATCCAGCTCATCGTCTTCCAGACTTGCACCACTATCAATGTCAAGCTTATCAAGCTTTGCATCCAAATCATCCAAAGAGTTAGACCTGGTAGTGATTTCGTGGTCGCAGAACTGGCAATCACCCTTCTGACTAGTTTTCCAATCATATGTCCCCAGGCTGAGTTCAGACTGGACAAACCATCCTACTCTTTCTGCTCCTAGTCTTGCACCATCCAAATTTGCTGAAGATGGGCCCATTCTAAGTGAAGCATTCTTGCCTATCATGAAGAGAGGAATTTTATCGTTCCACTGGAGGTCATCAGTCAAGCATGGGAAGCCTCTAACAATTGGTATTCTGTGTTCTTTTATAATTGGTTGCATGAATTCCAAAGATTCGATATTCTGCTGGATTCCAGTGGCAAAGTAAATATAGTCAACATTCTCCAACTCCAACTCCTCAAAAGTGTCTGTATCAGTGTTTGAGTTCTTCGACTCGACCTTTGTCTTCAATTTGAGATTCCAGGTTTTCGTTTCGGAATCCCAGACCTGGCTCTCAATAGTGGTGTATTTCATAAAATTGAGCCTTCCATCCTTTACGTGCTTCATGGTCTTTTTGTAGTATTCGGGGTTAATAGAACCTCCTTCACGAGCGTCTTGGATCATTTGGAACCTTTCCTCATCTGTATCCTTGATGTAGAATGCTGACTTTTTGACGTTTTTATATTTTGTGACCCAGTCCAAGTGAAAATCAAAATGCTTAATTTTGATGGGCCCTCTGAAAAGAAGATAAATATTTTCAATCCCAGCATTGGCAGCCACATGGGCCAACTGGGCGGAGGTCAACCCTCCTCCAACAATAACAATACTTCTTGATTTTGATTTTCTGGGTTTGTTCATCAATTCTTGTCCAAGAAAGTTAACTTTACCTGTGAACAAATGGGTGGTATGACAACTACCCTCCGGGAAGTGTGGATCATCAAACGGTTTGATTGGGTAGTTGATAACGCCTCTATGGCCACTTGATACAATGCAAATTTTGCACCCAAAAGTGCGACCACTAGCGGTACGGACAACAAAACCCTGGCCAAAACTTCCAGTTTCTCCACCAACAACATTGATGTACTTGTATTCGATGGAGATAACCTCGTCCTTTTGCACGTTGTTGTGGAGTCCATACCTGTTAATGATATCCTCGCAGAAGTCCTTGAACAATGGAGTGGAAGGACGGTAAAAGTCCTTCCAATCTCTCATATTGATATCTATAATGCCTGGCTTATCATGGTTGCGAGCATTAGGTCCCTCTATGTTGCTCGGAACAGGGGCCTTAGACTTCATGGAGTTCTTTTTGGCTAACTTTTTGAGCTGATGTTTCGAGTACTCTCGTCCAACCACGTTTTTAATTTCCATCAAGTCTGCACTGGATTCTCTCTTGGCCAAATGAGCATAGCTGACCAACCCATCGACGTTGACTGGATCTGGATGGAAAAACATTGGCGACCTTAGGTAAGGGATCTGACACGCCCCGAACTGGTTGTTCCATTGGCCCATGAAGGAATCGGAAACAGCATCAAGCACCAATATTTCCTCTGGTTCAAACTTTTTTTTGGGTTTATAGAGTCGCGAGCCAGGAACTGGCTTGTATTTTGTTTTAGACGAAACATTGTGATTGATTAGATTAACCCTGTTGCCCCGTTGCTTGAGCCAGTGAAACCTCTGGTGCTCATCTTCGGTATAAATGGAGCCTGGACACTCTTCACAGAGTCTGGAGGTCATGGCTAGGCCACAAGTACCTCCGCCAACAACGATGGCTTCGTAGAATTCTTGAACGGGAATATCGACAGTATCTGTCATGATCGATTAGAGGAGAAAGTAGGGATTAAAAGGAGCTGGATATATGAGTAAGCTGGAGTTGGTCTGATTATCCTGGTATATTTGAGTTATCAGCCGTATTCCTCTTTATACGTTTTCGCACCCAATCCATAACTACTGCGGTACATAACTACAAAGGTGAACTCACACGAGGAAGTGATAGCACGCTATGGACAGGGAGACAAACAGGACGAATGATTGGTGGTTTACAACGAGACATTTGCCATTTACCACAGGGCCTCAAAAATCGTAGTTGGTCGTAAGCATTTAGCCACTTCTTTCGTAGATTGGTTGCAACAGCATCCACTGGATTGTCAGATTCTACACGATTCTTCAAGAATTATCATAATTGAGCGTCGTTATCTATATACTGAGTTCAACTCACTTGCCCACAAATCCCTCAATCAAAGCCAACAATCCCACAGCACCTGGGTCAGGAATACCACCTTCCTTGCTGAACTCTTCCTCGTCCACGTAACTGGCTCTACCGAAACTGGCCACTAATCCCTTGGTGTGATCGCAACCCTTCTTGGCAGCAGCAGCAGCTTCTTGTATGTCTCCAGTCTTGTGCAAGGAGTCGACAAATGGCTGAAGAGTGTCCACCAAAGTTCTTCCTCCGATTCTAGCCTTGGTGTACTTGAATAAACCGTCGTACAAAGCTTTGTAGAAGGCTTCAGCTAAGGACTTGACGGAAACGTCCTTGGACTTTTGAATGTTTTGCACTAATGCGGTCAAGTAGATAGAGTAGATACCTCCGGAAGTACCACCCATACTGTCTTCGACAAGTTCAGTGATTTCTGCAAGAGTAGCAACTGGATCGTTCAAGTTGGTAAACTTCTTCTTCTCAAATGCTTCAAGGATAGCTTCTGCACCATCCTTCAAGGTTTCACCACAATCACCATCTCCTACAAGAGTATCGTAGTGGGTGATCTTTGGTTCAGCCTCTATCAAGTTCTTCAAACCTCTTGTGAGCGATTCTTGGAAGTGGCTTGCATCCATCTCCAATGAGGAGGTTACAATAGTCTTGTCTTCCATTGGGGAATCCACGAATTCAGGTTCAGTTTCCCATTGTTCGGAGGAGAAAGTCTTTGGCTTCCATCCAGGAGCATTGGTCTCGGCATCGAGGAATTCCAAGACATCAGAACTGGTGTACTTGAGATCGGTTTTGTCAATCTTTGACAAGTTTAACAAAGTGATGGAGAAACCTGGGGCATTCAAGGAGGTCACGAAATCACTCACTAAGACTCTCTTTGGTTTCTTGGAAAATGGCAAGTTCTTCACCACGTGTTCGGCAATTGCGTACAACTCCAAAGAAGATGTACCACCGATGTTGTTGACAAGCAAAACGTATTCATCATTCTTCAAGTCAAAGTCAACGTAGTGACGTTCACTGTCATCAGGGGAGACCAATTTTTGGAACATGTCTTTAAGCAAGTCGTCAATGTCTGGAATTGGAGTCAATTTGTGGCCTGGCTCGTTGTGAATACCCAATCCCAATTCAGCTTCATCGTCCTTGTTGAATTCAACTTCTCCGGCTTTACCTGGAACGGAAGTTCTGTCCAAAGAGGCACCGATAGTAACAAGACTGTCATTGATGGCTCTACCGAGATCGGCGACAGACTTCAAGTCATTAACCTTAGAATTGACAGCAGCACCGACCACTTTGTGGACAATGGCAGTTCCAGCCAAACCTCTTCTCCCCACCATTTTGTTTTGTTCTCTGCCAACAGCAACATCATCACCCACAAACATGATTTCCACGGCGTAACCTTCGCTCTTGGCTCTCTCGGCAACAAGACCGAAGTGTAACACGTCTCCAGTGTAGTTCTTGACAATCATAAGAGTACCCTTTTCCTTGTTGGACTTGGTCTTAATTGCAGCCATGATTTGCTTGGTGGAGGGAGAGGCAAAAACAGCACCACTGACGGCAGCGTCAAGGAGATTTTCACCAACGAATCCACCGTGTAATGGTTCATGGCCAGCACCACCACCACTGATCAAGGTGACCTTTTTGGAAGTGTCGGAGTGAGGGTTGAAAACCACCTTTTCGGAGGGTATAAGGCTGATGGAGGGGTTTGAGCGGGTCAATCCCTTGAGTTGGGCAACCACCACATCGTCGTTATATTTCCAGTGCTTTGCAAGTGTCATTTTAATGAATGTGGAGGAAAAAGTAGAGATTTGTGGAGGTTTATATACTGGCTGGTGATGTAATGGGGTAGATCCATCACGTGCCCCGCTCGCCCACTCACTGGTGGAGGGACGTCCCTCCACCACATACCTCTGGTGCCCCCACCATGCCCATGCGATCGCCACGAACTGCCATCTTACCCCGTATTTGGGCCTGTATACCTGAGCCGTGTATTCTACGTCGTTCCAGGGCGGACGCGTTGGGTGGTCTTGGCTTTGGTGGTTTGGTGGTTTGGTCAATGGCCATGATTGTGCCCTGTAGTGGCCATGCCATCCTGAGAGCAACTAACCAACAGAAGCACAAAGAATAATCTTGGCCAGGAATACTTCCCGTAGACACGCCCACACGCTTATCCTGGAGGATTTTTGACCAATTCACGGTTGTAATTGTCGCAATGATGGACAGGAGTGCAGCTTTATATACACCAGCACTGGGCGTCTGAGTGCTGCAAAATTCCCCAGGCAATTGACCGCAAATTGGTGTTGAAAATTACAAGAGTGGAGGAAAGTAATGAACAGTAACACCAGGAATGATTACAAGCAGTGGCATAGCATTAGTAGCCATGTGGATGATCTACGTGCCGCTTTTCCGGGTCGAAAACGCCCGAGGTGGCTGAAAGACGATGGGGTTCAGGGAAGCTACAGAAGTGAATGCTTTAGAGACCTCAAAGCCTTGATGGTAGGGATAGAGCACTTGCGCAAGGATGATTATGATGGTAGTGACAAGATGAAGGGTGGTTCTTTGATTGGAAGAAATTGCATCTAGCTATTGAGTCAGGTACTTTTATATACTAGACACACAGCAAGCCCAGCACAAGTAACACGGACGATAAAACTAGACAGGGTGGTACAGCTGAATGTCACAGACCGTGCCAACAGAGATGGCTCAGCTAGTTGTTTCAGAAAGACAAGTTTAGGAGAGATGGTAGCAATCGATTATTTCCACAGGACTGAAATAAGGCAGGGCCCAGTTATCACGACTTCTTTAATAGCGATGCACAGTCAATTGTCACGACATCTCTAACCGAGAAACACAGCTAGTTGTCACAAATGACTACCAGGATGGTGGTCTCTTGTTAAAACCTGAACTACTACAGGATATTCTGTGTGACAATAGGTCGACAGCCATAACGGTTAAAACGGCTATAATGACAGCACACTGCGATCACAAAGAGGAGGGGCGAATCACTCCAGGCGGTGCCGCTACGCCACGGCCTTGCTAATCCACAACCCCACAGCGGCTACCAAGTGGGGCCTGCCTCACTAAATCTCGTTCCGGTTAAGGGTACCCCACTGAACGGCACCTCGTTTATGTTACAATGTCGTGGTAAGAGTGATGGACGTCATAGGACAATGTCGTGACCCCAACGACACCTCCCAACAGGGTCCCACTGCTGAAAAATGCCCACGATTAAAGTGCAGGCTGAAGAACCGCCAGGATATCATCAACCTACAATACACACGAGTCCGGAACTCCCGGCGATTGTCAGCCTTCCTTTGGCACCACCGCAAACAGCCCCAAATGTGCTCCAACTTTTCAGTCTCGGTGAGCGAGCTCCGCAACTCACAGCTGGGTTATGATACCGGGTTCCGCTAGCCTGCTCGTGCACATACCAATATAACCGCCATCTAAATCGGGAAGCTTATCATAGCCGCCAACGGAGACCAAACTTTCAACTGGGGCATGTTAGGTCAAAACCTTCCTACAAACCCATTCCCATAGACTCCTACCACCTACCTGCCAAATTGAATCCATCACCATCGCATCTCCCGAAACAAACCCGGTCCGAACTCATCACCCTGCCATGCAATGTCTGCCCCCAAGGAAACCTCACCTACCCGAAGAGACTACTCCAGAGGAGGTTGCAGGGAGTGCAAACGTAGAAAGATAAAGTGTGATGAAACAAAGCCATTCTGTGCTCACTGCACCAGGCTCAAGAAAGAATGTACTTATCCCAAAGTAGGTGAAAAAGTGCTTCGGGTCAGCCGGCGATACTTGGACGAAAACCCCACCCCTCCACCAATGGACTCCACTCCCAAGGATCTTAATATCAAGGTGTATCTGGGTACAGAAGGCTTCAAGAAGAAGAAAAAGCCTCGAAGGGCAAGTGATTTATCCAGTTCTATCAAGATCGAAGAATCTCCGCTCCCGGTTTCGGCCTCCCCAATCAACACTATAATTAATGATACTCCAAGCTCTTTCGAATCTTTCGCGAGAGATACGCCAATCCCAATGACTGCCAACTCGTTCCCAAGCGACGATATTCCAACTAACGCATTTGCAAACACAACTTCACTAAGTGATGCGGGGCTTTATGCGAACGACAGCCCCACCTCCTCAATTGCCTGGGATAACTTATACAGTCACGAAGACTTGAATCTTTTGGCTTCAGATTTAAACACTATTGTCAATGATATTATGTTTCAATCAAACTTCAAAAATACACTAGACTCCGATTTCACTAGGCTGGAACCTCTAAAAATGGTCGGGAGTAGTATTAACCCAGGTGACGAAATTCCTAAACACATAGCAGTTGACTTTATAAAAGTTAATACTGGGCATGAGCGAATTTATCTTGAGGATTTTTATCACAGTTTTGCAAATCAATTACTTCCATTTGGGGCATACGATCCAGCTCAAAAAATTTATGCGAACCCAATCAGAGACGTGCTTATGAAGTATGCTTCTCAAGAACCCTTCTTACTAGCAGCCATTCTAGCTCAAGGTGCTAAAACCTCTTATGATAAAAATCATCTTCAACGGGACCAAGAGGCATACTGTTCATATCTTTCAACATGCTTGAATCTCCTTGGCCCAGCATTGAGCAGGAATAGAGATAAGAGTGTCAAAAATGATTTGACATCAAACATAGAAGCGATTCTTTTAACGGTCCTCCTTTTGACATCCGCTAACGCTGCCAACAAACAACAGGGCTGGAGACCTCATTTAAAGGGTGCAAAAGATATTATTCTCAAAGCAACCAATAGTCGAATTAGACAATCTAAGACTTTAATAATATGTAAAGTTTGGTTCATTGATTTTGAGATGTTAGCAGGGTTGAGTTCGCCACTTGGTGGTACCTTGAAAACCAACGAAGAACTCGTTTCAGTGGTCAATATTGACGATGAATATGAACAATCAGTTTTAAGAGACTATGGTCTTCTTCGTGGTAATGGATTCAATATAATGTTTGGTTACAACCATATCACCACATATCTTTTCCGAGATTTAATCAAGATCTTCAATTTAAGACGAACATGTGGAGACAAATTTAGAGCCAAAGATTCATTGGATTACTTGCGACTTTTGGCTGGATTCTACGAGCAGTATAACGTGGTTTATCTTTCGCAAGAATGTATTTCAACCACCGTCACCGGAGACTTGTGTGATGTGATTTTTGTTCAGAATGAGAACATATGTATTAGTTGGATGGATCTTTCACAGCAGGCATATTCGTTGGCGGGGATTATCACCATTCTCACCGAGATTTTGGGGCAGCCGTATTATGCGGTGCACATCCAGGATCTTGTGCACAAGTTGATCTCGCTCATTTCATACCTTGAGAAGTGTCCTGGGGCCCCTCGTAATGTGATTGAGCATTCGATTCTGATGATCCAGTGGCCAATGTATGTGGCTGCGCAGAACTGTATTGAGGAGCACCACAAGTACCTTCTCATCAAGTTCTTCCGCATCCTCACGGACTTGGGATCGGGAAGTGCCGAGCACACCCTAAAGAAGATCATCAAGAGCTGGGACCTGCGGGACGGAGACAAGATCGAGGACTCCGACGAGGAGAAGACGGTGGACGTGGTTGCATACTAGGCAGCCGGAACAGCATAAAGGTGGTACCACCTTATAACTCCTACCCGATAACCACTACCCGACAAACCACTACACCTCCACCCATTCTTACTACCCTCCTACACACCGTTCCCCTGCCAACTCTCCTACATCTTTTTCTCAGCCCAACCATCGACATGCTCCTCCACCTCTACTTCAATTCTTTTAGTTCTTGTGGCATCACGACCACATCCTTGCCAGGAGAGGCAATGTACAATAGATACGACCGCTGTAGCTACACCAAGCCTTTACTTCTCTTCCCTTTCAGACTCTCTGCCGTCACCGGACCGCAACCGCGCACTGTCTGTCTGACGCACACACTATCAAAATAGTCGCAAGCCACCAAATGGATCCAACTCACAAATCCACCACCAACCTGCCGTGGCCCATCTCGTTGCAGTAGATTCGTCTGTCCAGCTCCGTTTTACGAGTGCCACCCTGCCCCATACAACATTTGCGCTCCATCACCACCACCAAATAGCGCATGGAACTGGCCTATAACTAACCAACCAGGCAAGTAGAGATAGCAGAAGTGAGGCCAGAGACGGAGATTGTCAACAGAAGAGATAAGAAAAGACAACAGGCAAAGGTAGACTCTCCAGCAGAAAGAGGCCCGAACAAACAGAGCCAGCAGATATAATCGAGGCATCCAGAATCGCAAGCATTCACACTGGTTAATACAGTCCAACGGCTTTTAGGTCACCAGCTTGAATAACGTTGATTATTGAAGCCCACCAGCTTTGCTAGCGTCCAAAAGCGTGATTACAGCCCAACTGCTTAACTGCAACTACTCTTGGTTAAGAAAATACGCTTAATACTAGTCCAACCAGCTTAATCACTGCAAACCACGCTAATACTTCCAACCACGCTGGATTAATACAGACTCATTTACAGTGTATCTGCTTGATCGCTAGCTTGAGTACAGTCATTCACCCTGAGCAAGTTGAGATTAATCCATTAACTATTATAAAGCATTTACAGTCCCCCCCACGCTTCAAGTCCAGACTAGATCACCAGTCATTTCCAGTCCAGAAGTAAACTATCCACCACGTTAAACCCATTCATTCCATCCTCACACCATGTCAAAAACCCGTCGAGGCGAATACTCCAAAAACGGCTGTCGTGAGTGCAAGCGCCGCAAGATCAAGTGTGACGAGGCCAAGCCTGCCTGCCACCAGTGCTCTAGGCTCCTGAAAGAATGCACCTATCCTGGAATTGGCGAGAAAATCCTCCGTGTCTCCAAAAAGTACTTGGAAGATAAGAACGAGCGCCCGTTGACCATTCAGGTATACCAGCCTGGGAAGAAGCGCAAGCTGCAGTCCGAAGACGACGGCACGGTGTCTCTGCCCGAGCTGACGACGCTGGTGAGCCTGGTGCTGCCGGTGCAGGCGAAGGAGGAGCAGGGGGGAGTTGCAGGAAACGTCACGTCAGGAAATGCAGGAAATGTCACGTCAGGGGGTATTACAGGAAACGTCACGTCAGGGAGTGTTGCAGGTAATGCCACCATCACTCCCCACCCCAGCATCGCCGCCTACTCTACCACGTCCAATCCCAGCATCCCAACACACACCACCTCCTACACCCCCACCCCCATCAACAACCTCCTCAACCGTCTGCCTTCCGACTTCTACGACCTCGATGACCTCCACCTCATCGCCTCCGACCTCAACAATCTCGTTTCTTCCATCATCACCACCAATTTTGCTTCAGAAGCCCAACACACCAATTCGCCTCCTGACCCCTTCTACAAGCTGCTGGTGCCCCCTCTCCCCGTCCACGACGACCTTGTGGTGCCCACGCATATCCCCATCGACGCAATCAAGGTCAACGGCATCGAGGAGCGATTCTATCTTGAGGATTTCTACTACGAGTTTGCGCTTATTCTCAACCCCTGGGGCTACTACCATCCCGAGTCCAATACCTACTCTATCCCCATCCGTGATCTCATGTTGATGCACGCCACCCTGGCTCCATTTCTAATGGCTGCAATTTTGGCACAGGGTGCAAAAACGTCCTATGACAGAAAAAGGTTGCAGAAAGACAACGACGCCTACCACCACTACCTCGCCACCTGCTTGAAATTGCTAGCTCCGGCTGTCACCACACTGTCAGAAAATATGGCAAGGGACGAGCTCAGCTCAAATATCGAGGCAGTATTGCTCACTATGCTCCTTCTCACAGCTGCGAACGCTGCTACCAGCACCCAGAACTGGCGTCCCCACTTGCGTGGAGCCAAAGGGTTGATCGTCAAGTCCAACAACAAGAAGATCAGGCTCTCCAAGACCTTCATTCTCTGCAAATTCTGGTTCATCTCGCTCGAGATCTTGGCTGGAGTGTCGTCGCGGCTTGGAGGCACTCTAAAAACCGACCACGAGTTGGACTTGGTGGTCAATTTGGATCACCCCTACGAGTACTCGGTGTTGAAGCAGTACGGCATCTCCGCGGCTCTGGGGTTCAATGTCTTCTGTGGCTACCATGACGCCTGTCTCTACTTGTTGCGCGACTTGGTCAAGCTCTTGAACAAGAAAAGGGACCACGGGGCTGCGTTCGTGGCCAACGATACCCACGAGTACCTCCGATTGCTAGCTGGGTTCTACACCCAGCTCAACGTGGAGTTCATCGACAAGAAGGGCGTGCTTTCTGCACTTCCGCAGTCGTTGCTTCTTGTGGACGTAATTCGCTTCAGCAATCACGAGTACATCATCTCGTGGATGGATGTATCGCAGCAGAGCTTCTGTTTCGCAGCCATCATCACTATCCTCACGCGGTTCTTCCGAATTCCCTACCACTCGCCCCAGGTACAGTGTCTCAACAAGCAGTTGATTGCATTGGTATCGTTTCTCAAGGACTGCCCTGGAATTCCTGAGCAAGGCATCAAAAATTCAGTGATGATGATCCAGTGGCCTATGCTTGTGGCAGGCATCAACTGCATGTTCGAGGACGAGAAGTACGTGTTGATGAAGTTCTTCCGTATTTCTGCCCAGCTTGGGTCTGGGAGTGCTGAAATCGCCTTGAAGAGAATCGTTCGGGTGTGGGAGAAGCGGGACCTGGGCGAGGACATCGATACCGAGGAGGAGAACGATCTTGATGTGGTGCTGTACTAAGGCTACAGCATGATATGAGGGCTATTGGGCATTAATCCAATCTGTGATACTATTGCCATGATGAGAATATTGGGCAGGTACCACAAAATTACGCCAATATGCGAAGTGGATATTAGGCATATTGGCATTAATATTCCCCATGGAATGAGTATTAGGCATACTGGGCATTCAGAATATCGAAAGCATGCGGTATCCAGGAATATGCACATATGCGAGTACCCAGCCATAATATGAATTTGGAAAATATAAGGCAACCTGGGGATTCCATGATTGTGCAATGAACATATCCTGGAAATCACGGGAATATGCTGAAATCATTTACCTGGCCATTATTGCGGTATTACAGGAATATTCCAAGTTCACCTGTGATGCGTTCCTTACTTCACTAGCAGACACACTTCTGTCCTTCCAACCATACTCATATGGAGTCCACGAATTAATGGACTCTATGGCGAGTACCCGAGATTTAGCTGGCCCAATGCTGGCTCAATATCTGGAGACCCTGTTTACAGGAAACGGCCCTAGTCAAGACTCTGGTACACCTATATTACTCGCTTTGTTCAGCATTTAGGCAGTCTTTTGGGGTTCATTCGGAGCCCTACAAACAATTGCTGCTCAATCTGCATTTCTACTGCTGCATCATACTGGCCGAGTGTCATTATGGATTCATAAATCCTTATCACTGCCAATATCGCCAACAAGCCCCTGCACACACTACACCACCCTACCTGGGGTTATTCTCTTGGGTAACCTTCTTTCGTCATAAGCTAATTTTCCTCAACTGGGATACGCCAACTCTCCATGGCTCAACCTAACTGGTTCGTCTTGGACATCTGTATAATACTGAATAAATTCACTGCAACATTGAATTAGTTATGTAAAGAGTTACAGAGCGATTTGGAGCAAGAGTTCAATTCGTTCTGCTGCACCAGATATGTCACACTAGGAGAGCAAGATCTACGTCTTCTCATTTCGACTCGGTCGTAAGCATTAAGTAGTAGTGATGTCTGATGCCACTATAGTGGCATATTTGACTCTCTAATGACGTATAACCGAAAAGGCGATGACTGGCCCGATGGGCAGCTAGTCGATACTGAATTTAGTGGCTACAATATAAATTTCTTTTGGTCATTGCCCAAAGGACTTTACCGAGATTCAAATAGCCAAAGCAGCACCAACTGAAGAGCCACAGAACAACAGCGAACAGTGCATCGGGAGGAAGAAATCAACGATCTAAGAATTTGCCCACAACGTTCATTTTTGTGCCTGAAATCCACCCTTTGTTTCTAAAATTGTCAATACGTACTATTCGAGTTGAGCTACGACTGCGAGACGGCATCTCCGGCGAGAGTGATGCGTTCACAAGCACTCTGTCTCCTCAATTCTCGGAGTACCAATTTGACTATTTTTAGAGCGTTTTAGGCACTCATGCAAGGGCCGCGAATCTGCGCGAGAATATGTAGACTCATACCCGTTATGCGACAACCATGCAAGGGTCGCAGATGAAAAGAGGTCCATGTACAGAAGCAACTCTTCTGGAAGATGTTGACAGGTTGCCGGTGCCCACCGAATTGCCCTTTCTCCCCCAAACCCAACACCCGCTGTGGTCCCTCCTCTACGTCGCATGTTTTCACCCTCCAAGAACGCGCTTATGTAAGCATCCCCGATGCCTCGGTGATGCCTACCATTTGAGTCCAGCTCTGCTGACGTTTTCCCATCAACACCTCATCTGGTACCGACGGCTGCAACCAAGCTGTTGAAGCCACTGTGTGACACCCGGCTCCTGAACCCTGCATAACGGGAATCCCTCCCATTGCCGCCAGTACCCTTCGAGAATTCAGCACAGTAAGCATCACAGAAATCACCATTTTAACCATAACAGAATCCATCATCCTGGCACCATTTTACAGATTACACCATCCTTACACTACCACGAGCCTCTCCAGCAGTAGTGACTTCTTCTGCCACCAGAAACCACCATCCACATTCACTCCAATCCATACAAATCCCATACTCTCATCATTGTTTCATCTACCACCACAACCATGGCTGCCAGCGAATCGCCAAAACCCACCCCAAAGAACCCCAAGAATGACGTCTCCACTCGTGCCAAACGCTCCAAGTCGTTCACAGGCTGCTTCACCTGCAGATCCCGAAAAATCCGCTGTGATTTGTCCCGTCCCTTCTGCAACAATTGCACCAAGGCTGGAGTGGTGTGTTCTGGCTACGACATCAAGCTCAAGTGGTCGCTTCCGTTGAACTTCAAAACACGCTCAGGCCAGGCGTTCTCTTCGCTGGTTTCGTTCAATTTGGGTGACGAAGATGCCGAAACTCCCGAGTTCTTCCAGCGCAGAAACGTGGACTTCGTTGTATGGGACGAAAAGCTCAACTGCAGACCCTATGAAACCTACGAAGAGATGGACCACGACTTGGGAATCTTGCATAACTCTGGAAACGACAGCTTGGTGCATCTGGAGGGCAAGACGAAATTATTGGGTCCATTTGGAGTGTTTAAAGGCAAGATACCACGCCCAGCACGGCCAGAAAAGGCCCAGTCGTTTGGCATCAAGAAGCCCAAGCTCTCTTCCAACGGCAGGACGAGTTCTCCCGGTATCCAGGGACAGATGAAGCGGTTTCCCTCATCCCAGACTCCATCAAACCGAGCATTGGCCTCCGAGAATACTCCCCACGACCAGCTCTGGCTCTCCAACGAGCTCCGAGACGATGCTCTCTTGACGGCAGCTGCACTCAATGGAGACACCCAGCTCTTGCAGTTCATGAACAACATTTCTCCCACTAACACCAACCTCAACTCCAACCAAGGCAGTCCGTCTTCGAGGCCGCTCAACAGTGCCAGCAGCACCAACTTGGCGTTGTTCAACACCAACCAGAACGACTTCTTGAACCTTGTGTTCCATCGAAACCATAACTTAAATCTGGGAAGACAGACTCCAGGCGAGCCAGGGACGGGTACAAACACACCAGGACCCATCGAGAACAATAACATGGCCATGTCTAACCTCCTCAACAACCACGAAACGTCCACCATCATGATCAACCCCACAAACCAGCACTTATACTACTCCAACTACAACAACTACTACTACAACAATCCGTACCAACTCAACGAGGACTTGGAAATCCACCTCCATGCCTCGAAGGTGCCCAATTCCAACGAGGACGACTCCACAGACATCGTGGAGGGCGAGCCTGCTAATAACAGCACTACCATGCCGTCGTCCGTAATGTGCATCGTGCAGAACCCGTTGCAGCCCAAGTTGGGGTTTGACATCTCGTTTTCCAATCCCCAAGGACCCAGCTTTGGCTTGCCCTCGACTGCGTTGCAGGTGCAGCCGTTGACCCGCTACTTGCTCAACTACTACATCACCCAGGTCGCAGATCTCATGACAGTCATTCCGTTGACCGAGAATCCCTGGAAGACCATCTACTTTCCACGAGCGTTGATGGCTATTGGCGAGCTCCTGTCGTTGGGCCACACCTCACCAGCCAAAAATGCGTTGTTGAATGCCCTCTTGGCGGTGTCTGCGTTCAATCTCCAGTCCAAGTTCCCCAAAAACTCAGACGCCATGAAATACTACCTTAATCTCGGGATCCGGCTCCGTAACCAGGCCAGTGTATTTGTCAAACAGTTGTTGAACTCCAAGTCTGCAACCCAGTCGGGAATCGAGCACTGTGTGTCTAACGAGAAGTACAAGGACGTGTTGTGCTCGGTGATGTCTATGATCAGTGTAGACTTGGTGTGGGGGACGATGCAGGATACCAACTTCTACATCAAGTGGTGTGGTAAGGTGATCGTGGCCAAGATGGTCAATAAGAAGAAGCTCTCGTCCAAGGCTCGAATTCTCCACCGTATTTTCCTGTCGTTGAAATTGATCCAAGACTCGACATGCTTGGACTTGGACAGCATCAAAAGCGACTTTGCCATCAACGACGACGGCTCGTACGACGTCAACGGAGACAAGTTTGGCAACGTCAAAAAGGGCAAGATCGATTTCATCGTCAACGACTCCATCACCGCGAAGGGAGGGGCTAAAAATACATCTCCGTCGTTTGTCAATAAGAAGTTGATCAACACCAAGAAGAACGACGAGAACTTTGCCACCGATGCGTTGTACGGCTTGCCCAACTCGTTGATTTTGTTGTTCAGTGAAACTGTCCAGTTATTGAGAACAAAAATCCATCATCAAGAGGTTTACCAAAAGTTGCCCGACGATTTCACCCAGAGAGTCAACATCTTGAACAAACGGCTCTTGAACTGGAAGCTCGACTGGAAACTCTACGACGATCCACTGGAGACAGAGACAGCTCTGACAGATATCGAGGTCGACCAGGATCTCCGCGAAACCGTCAACGGCTTCCAGATCGAAGACGACGACTCAAGCAAGCAGTTCTTTTCGCCCATGCATGAAATCACCTACCATCACATCTTATCTTTCTACCACGCGTTGATGATATATTTCAATAGGTTGATCAAGGAGGTATCGCCTCACAAATTACAAGTCAAGGTGGCCAAAACTTTGAGGCACTTGAATGAGATTCAACGGTTGATACGAAACGACGAAGCTGCCATCATTCCCTTGTTTTGGCAAGGTTTCATTGCCGGATGCGAAGCCACATCCTTACACTTGCAAACCAGCTTCAAAAAATGGGGATCAGATATTGCCCAGTACCTTGGGAGTTATTGGGGTGCCAGACAGATCATGTTAGAAGTCTGGCGCCGGAAGAGAATGAATGAAGCCCGTGATGATTGGGTAAGCGTCATTCAAGATTGGGAAATGAATTTAATGTTGAACTAAGTGTATAATAGAATGCAACATCCAGTATAGATAATATATGCATAGAATGTAATTCTGGGAAAAGGCATCACCAATGTTTGAACCATGGGTCGCACCGCTCGAGCAGGCATGAAGGCCTTCGTGCTTAGTTTGTGGGTAGCATAATTCTACCATCATGCTGTATGGCTTAAATATGGTTTAAGTCTAATATCTGGTCACCACTAGTAGTGTTGGGGGAACTCCACTCAACTATCTATAGGATCCAGCTTCGACAACTTCATCAACGGTCAACCAAATCTGATTTGCGTCATGAGATGCTACTCAGTACTGCAGAAGTTTTGATAATTGAAATCACAAATTTTTTAAATAATTCTCTCATGGTATTAGTTGACCATATGCCGCATAGCTCTAAACGGACGCTTGTGATCAATGGCTAGCATAAAAACGGTTGTATAATAGTGACACAAAATCGCAGTTGTACACATTATTGCGACCATTTTTTGCACCCATAACAAGGAGATCTAGGAAGTCAATAAAGTATTGTAGTATCGAGGTTACTATAATGAGCTAAATAGCAAGTTGGCTAATCACCATTTCATATATCAATTAATCTTGGTGGTACATTTCTTGCATTCTTTTGTGAACTGGTCTTTCTGTGGTTTGCAAAACGACTTTGTAAACAGCATTTCTTGTGCTCATTCACCAATATCTTTCCTCTTGCCACCAGGAAAGACAACTTAGCAAGCTCTATGAATAAAGATAGCTACAGTCCCTGTTCGGGCCGGGCACTGCCCAGTTACTCGGAGATGGCCTCGGATTCACCCGAGTCTGTGGACTTGCATTTCTTTCCCGACTCTGCTGATGCACACATTGCACCAGAAGTTGAATTAATAGGATCTGGATTGATTTCTCCAGATACAGAAAAGTTTCCTATTCTACCTCCTAAATCAGTAGTTGGAAGCAGAATGTCAGACCCTCATTCCCATAAGAGCGTCGAGGGTTATTTTCTCTCCCACAACGTTACCTCTTTCCTTGAATGCATAGTTCCTTTCCAGTCGGTACCATCCATATCAAATGAATCCAGTTGGGCTGATACTTTGTTGGAAAAGAAATCATCTCCAGCACAGATCAACACTTCAAAGCCCAAGAAAAACTGTTACACCGTGAAGAAGCGCCCCAGACTTAGTGTAAGTCATGATTTGGATAAAATCAATGGATCAACCAAAGCTTCAAAAAGGCCTAAGACAAGTAGCAGTTTCTTTGGGAACAAGATTCAGAACGCAGCTCCCTTTGCCCCTAGGGACACAGTTATTCAATATCTAGACTACCAAAGGAGCAATCGTATTGTTAGAAAGCTTGGGAGCGGCTTTGAGAAGACCAAAATGGAAAAGAAGCTCCAGATTGAACCATTTAGTAATAAAGTGTATGATGGTAATAAAGAAAAACTGAACCAGAAATTGAACTGGACTGTTGAGCCTTACAAGCTAAATTTGAAAAGAGCCAAACCTAACAAGAGTGTGATTAATTGGACAAGGAAGAAGTACCCCATGAGTAAACTTTTGGAGACTAAACGGGGCCTTATGGAACAAAATCAGCAGGGAGCAAAAACAACTAAACTTATGTGTGAAGCTGAAATGATTAGCAAACTCGCTTTCGATATTGAAGTGCCCTTAGATTTTAACTGGGCAGAGAGTGGAGCTAGAACTGATGCTGGCGATGATGATTTCTTTTCCCACTTTCTGCGTATGGACAAGATCGAACCTTTAGTTGTAGAAAGCAAGAGCAGTAAAGCTGATAGGTCCAAGGGAACTCATGCTGTGGAGAAATTTCAATATCTGTGATGGTCCGCCAGAATCGCATAAAAGGAAAGACTGAAACAAGTAATACGAACATGAAGGAGAAACCTTAGTTAGTATCTCTGTTAAAGAAGTTCTAGATGTAGAAGCTATTAAAAGGCTACCAAGCCGATATAAGTGACCCAGTAGACCCATTGGTTTGGATGCCAGTGATGTCAACAGACTTAGACGTCCAAGACGTATCAAGCCTATCACTAACCTTGAATATTAATATTCTCTTCAAAGAATGCCCCAGCTTAAACTCGTATTGGTAACTATGATAAAAGGCATGCACGCAAGTATTTAATTCCTGAAAGGAACCCTTGATATTGATTTTGGCACAAAATTCAATGAAATGGTAGATGCATGAATAAAACCAACAAAAAAGGTCTCAAGATGATAATTGCAGTTCATATAATTCGATTCTAATTCATGAGATGTTTAGAAAGTCGGTTAACTCTTCAGGATATTGACGCAGTGATTTCCTCTCGAGTTTTAAACAATTTGTGCAAGACTGGGTTGCCAGGCTGTGATCTACCAACTCTAATATTGTGTCTATCACGACTGCCCATACTAGGGCAGAACAAGGAAACCCATACATCACGCACAAACATATAATCACCAAAATCTTTCAGTTACCCACTACAGTATATATCATGGCTACCTTGTTGGCTTACTGTGAGGAACCATTTCCAAATAAACTTCAGCTTGATCGACATCTTTTAAGACAGCTAGAACGAACTAACCCTGGATCTCCAATTCTGCTGGTGACTACGAATGCAACCACGAACACGGCTATTAAAGCACATGCAAGACTAGAACTCTGCCTAAACTGTTACGATTTCATCGAGGACGAATGCACAGTGGCCACGGCTAAATTCCCTCCCTTGACACTTGCGTCATTCCGAGATTTGCACCATCCTCGAAAACGAATTTCTCAGGTTCACCGGACGAACGAAACTCGGCAAGATCTGATAGAAGCTAGAGCACAATCGTGTACACATATATTTACAAACGCCCTCCAACCGTGTCGTTCCCTCTATCCAAGTGTTGTGGAATATCGTAGACTATCTTGGATCATGGTGGGCACCTAGCAGCGTGGAAGGTACCATGTCCACTGCTGCTTTTGGACGAAATTTCACTTTTCTGGGACCGTCTCCAAAATCACAATTTGGGACTACGGCACCCCCAACTAGGCACTGCCGCGACACTGCCGGCAGATAGGAGCATTTACGCCCAGGCGAAGGGGCTGCATGCGCTTGACATGTCGTTCAGATCGCGAAATGCGATCTAGACCCCCCCACGAGACTAGAAGCTCTGGAACAACCACGCCTCTATTGCTATGGCAATCCAGAACCGTTATACCCACATGTGACGACGCCCACCACCACTGACGACGGTCGAGGCACTGCTGGACGCCTCACACTATCAATGGACTTGAGCTTAGAGCCCCATAGCCCCGTGGGGGTTAACGTTGGCGTGGTGTGTTAGGAACCCACTCAATATATCAGATTGGGTTAGCGCAGCCAATGCGCCTCGCGGAGGGCCTGGACATTCTTCTGTCGGAGACCACCCCACTGAGCTCCGGCTTGGGCTCATCTCGCATTGTCTACAGGTCCAGACATGAGTTTCGACACGAGTGTGGACACGACACGCGACGCCCTTCTGTTTGTATGGCCTGCAGGTTTGACCCCGGAATCAGCGCGCGTAGAATTGTGCATCACAACAACGCGTAAAGTTTTGAATCAGCGAGATGGAAAAACAAACATGCCTTGGGTGCAAATAACGTGTAGCGAAGCCCTGGCTGCAGGTGACGGTGTTTGCCGGCAGCTTCCCGACGTGTTTGAGATGAGTATGTCCACGCGTTAAGGTACATGACGTGGAAGGGGGATCAACAAACACTCCACGCGATCTCTATTCGTCTCGAGGTCTTCCTCCCCCCGAGGAAAAGTATAAATACCCCTGGAGCCAAGGGATGGCTTATTTTCCATCACCACCTTCCAACTCTAGACACTCTTTTACAACCAGTATCCGAAATGCAATACAGATTCATCGCCGCTGCCGCATCTTTAGTCGCTGCCACCAGTGCTCTTCAAACCGTCACTGAGAAGCACACCACCGATGTCACCATCACCTCGTGTTCCAACAACGCCTGTGCCTCCTTGAAGCCAGAATCCTCCTCCCAGTCTCAGACTGTTGTCACCACCACTGTTGAGGGTGCCGAGACCATCTACACCACCGTGTGTCCAGAAACCGAGACTCCAGCTCCAACCTCTGCTGCTGCTGAGAAGACTCCTGCTGCCCCAGCTCCAGCTCCAGAAAAGAACCCAGCTCCAGCTCCTGCTCCTGCTGCTTCTAGCCCTGCTGCTCCAGCTCCAGCTCCTGCTGCTTCTGCCCCAGCTGCCCCAGCTCCAGCTCCAGCTCCAGCCCCATCCAAGGCTTCTGCTCCAGCTCCAGCCCCATCCAAGGCTTCTGCTCCAGCTCCAGCTCCAGCTGCTCCAACCACTGCTGCTGCTGAAAACACCCCAGCTCCAGCTCCAGCTCCAGCTGCTTCTGCTCCAGCTTCCCCAGCCCCAGCCCCAGCTCCAGCTCCATCTGCTCCAGCTCCAGCTCCAGCCCCATCTGCTCCAGCCCCAGCCCCAGCTGCTGACTCCGACTCCTACGTCGATGTTACCGTGACTCCAACCACCACTGCATCCACCGGTGTCCAAGCCACTGAGACTTCTCAATCCACTTTGACTTCCGTCTACAACTCCGCTTCCCACGCCAACAGCACTGTGGCTGGTGTTTCCGTCGCTAACAACGCCAACGCTAACTCTTTCGCTTTCGGTTTCGCCGGTGTCGCTGCCATGGCTGCTGTCTTATTGTAAGCTTGACAAAGCTTAGGTCTCAGACCACAAAAATTAATGTTATTTGATACCAGACTCTGCTCCTTGATAATGTTATTCATTGGTTCATTTTCTCCGGTTATGTCTAAAACTGTGCACTACGGGTTAGTATGGTTGGCAAATCGCCATATAGTATAGAAAACTAGCATCGTAAGATTGCTGGGTTCTATTGGGTTATATTTTCTTTTTCTTGGGTTACAACTCTAATATATTATTTAAAGGTTTTACTATTTTGTAGCACGTCAGAATGCCATTGAAATAAGGTATTCACTACTGAAGTGTCCAGACGGATAATCGGCCCATTTAGGACGTTTTTGTGTTTTTTTCATAAGAGTTCAAGTAAGGAAGTGACAAAAAGCTGCGAGATGGATTGCAATTCTACGTTAAATTTGCCGAATGGAAGGAGCCAGATAATTTTGCGTCCCATAGTTTTTTCTGTATTCTTCAGTCAACTATATGTCTGTAATGCTTCTCGTCTTCAACAAAAATGAATTAACACCTTTACCTTCTACAAAAATTTGAAGATTGTTGTTTATTAAACTTTGACAAAAAATGAAAAAAATCGCTTGCACAGTTTCGCTAAAACCTAACATAGCATCTGAGCCAAACAGCCAAACAGTCACAAACCATAGTAGCTTCGAGACAACAATTTCTAGACACTATCATTGTTAGACAATAGTACAGACGGGGGCAACCCAACCACCTTTGACCTTGGTTCCGACCCATTGGTCCTTGTTAGCAGATTGAGATTTGTTGGAATTTGAAGAAGTGTTTTGAGCAGCCATTGTTGTTTGATGTCTTGAATATCAAAATGGAAGATGGCTATTGTCTTATTTATAAGCTGAACCTCGAAACTAGAAGGCTGACTTTGCGAAGGAAACTGGATTCGCTGGGTGCAATTTCGCAACATAATTTCCTTTTAAGGTCTCTACAATGTAGTTGTTGGCATGCACAGGCGAGATGAAAAGTGGCCCGCATGTTCGTGTTTCACACTGCATCAATTTATACTCAATTACCCAAAACTAATAGCCCGCCCAACACAGTTTTTGTTCACTTTCTCAAGAAGACGGTGACACAATCTATTTTTTCTTCATACCATGCCAGTATCAGATTGTGATAGCTACAGCAGATCCTTGTGTGTGAGATTGTGGGAACCCAATCTGGATAACTCAAGTAAAGATAAGATTACGCAAGGAGTGAATTTTTAAACAACAAAACCAGCCAAGGAACTCCATTGCAACGCTGATTACTTTAAAGTATTGTTGAACTGAATTATTTGTCACAAATGATCCGATATGGTTGACAAATACAATAAGCCCATCACCCACGAGCGCCAACACTAAGTGTGCAAAATACCATACTATCCTGTTTTCTACTATTTTCTTATTTCAGTAAATGTATTCTCAGTTGAATTATTTTACTACATTGCTAATATACACTGCAAGACCAGGATCAACTTATTCCGGTACCCTGAATCTTAATTGTTGGCCCTCGGAATAAATGTAGTTCAAGGTTTGCTCAAAGTTACCAGTAGCCTTTAATTCCACATACTTCTTGTACAACAATAAGGCAGTATGGGCATCTTCAATGGAGTCGTGATTTCCAGTTTGAACCTTTTCCCTTAACAAAACGTACGCTAAGAACTTCAAACCAAGTTGTCTCTTGAAATCACTCTTGTAGAAAAATTCTGCTGTGTCTCTTATTTGAGAACTTGGAACTTGTAAATTGATACACCTGAAATCGTTGTATAAACCATGCCCAACAAAGACTACCCCCAAATTCAACAAGAGCCATAATTTTCTGTATGCTGTTTGTAGAGTGACTAAGTTTTTTTCAGACTTGATTGGATCCAAATCGCCAGGTTCTATCCCCGAAAAACTTGTCAAGTAATCATAGATTTCTGAGGTATGCACAATATAGTCATCAATAAAAGCCTTGCCTTGCAAAGGTCCATTGTCCCCTCTCAAGGCAGACATCCTTGCTAACGAAAGATCTTTGGGTTTTATCAATTTTTTCGTTCCGTCAGAATGCACTTCTAATTCTTCTGGACTTAAAGACACAAATTCTGCATCAATTGCTATCAACGATCCAAGAGTTGGTGCCTCCTTGCGAGTCAACAATTCATACTCCTTTTTGTATGATTCACGAATCGTACCTGCGAAATGATCACGGTATAGGATTGAATCGTTTAAGTTTGCAAAATTACTGAAAGTTTCTGGTTTGAAATATTGGAACTCTGACCCGAGACTTGCGTCTTGGTAGAGCAAGATCACTGGCTTCTTCCATGGGTACGAAACATTGAACACCTCCTCTTCTGGGATGGGCATGACCAAGAAATCATTAAACAAGTACCATTTAGAGTCGATTTTGACATATGTCACTAAGTTATGGTATCCCAGAGACATTTCTGATTGGTGGCTGATTTCACAAATGTATCCCTTAATTTCATATTTGGTTATTCCTTGAGTAAAAGACGGTACCGTAGCTTTTACAGAAATCTTGTTCTTATTAGTGACAGTGTAGAACTCTGGAACAAGCAACTTCTTAAAGCTATTAACAAGCTTGAACTCCTCGTTCGTAAGGTTTAAATTGAGACAGAGCACAGGAGGCAACTTGACAACTGTACTTTTGATTTCTAAGTTGTGGGGATATTGATGTTGATGTTGTTGACATGGTGATGTGTGAAACTGGTTCAAAGAATATTCCAAGTAAGTTAACAAATTGTGGTTCTTTCTTGTGGTTGCTGGCGTTGCAGGTACATTATTCTTGTTAGCCAACAGAGGATTCAATAAAATGCTGAGCTTATTGAGAACATTGCTTGGTGGAGTGACCAAGTCAAGAGAGAACTGGAAGCCTGTTCTTTTCTCATAAGTAGGACATGATCCCCCATTACCCTTAATAATGAGTTCGTGTTCTATTCTCATCAAATCCTCAATCGATGAATCCTGAAATTGATGGAACAAGTCATTATTCAATTGATTGACAAGGAACTTGTTGAATTTCACTATCAAGTTTCTTAAATCTTTAGAATTNAAGCCTTCACCTTCGTTGATATTGATCAAGCCTTGAAGCTTGGCATCTCTGTTTTGATTCAAAGCTTGTGAAAAGTTGTAAATCTTAACATTTTTATCCTGAGCTTTGTACATCATGTCAAAAAGATAACCCAATTCATTCAAAATAGATGAACCTTGTGGATTCTGCTGGGTCAAAATGGTGTCATAATCGGAAGGTAAATACTCATGAATCAAATTCTTTGTTATCGAGTTGTAAATCTGTGGTTGGAAACGGAATAATTGTATCAATCCATTAATATAAGAGTTGTCAGTATGATTTTCTAAACCACAGTAAAGTCCACCAGTCCTATTGTAATAACTGAAATCAAAATCCTTGATACCGAACTTGGAATACTGGATTTGTAATCTGGTGTAACAGTTGGGAATCTTATTGAAAGCATTGGAGGGAGAGTTTGTAGCCAATGATGGCGCTTTGAACTGGAATATGCTATCATGTTCAACACTTTCCTGAGAAAAGGAGGCTTTTAATAACTCAAAGTTGTCGCTAGTTTCAAAATTGTCTTGAGATGAGTTTGAAACCGTTCGAGACAAAGCATTAGAGCCAGTCGACGTAGGAGACCTTTCACTGATGAATTTGGGCTTGCTCACCATCGAGTTCACACTTCCACGCTCCTTCAAGGACTGGAAGGGTTTCATTGTATTCCTTGGGCCGTATTTCAATTTATCATAGGGAACAAATCCTTTAGGCCCGTCCTGCTCAAGCACCAAGTCGTGGTCGATCTGGTCCGGCAATCTGGCCAAGTTTTTGGTGAATTTCAAGTCATGAGCCCAGTTGGACAAGAGAAGGTCTTTATAGTAAGGCATTCCAACCGTGGAGAAGGGAGTTGTGCTATCCACAGGTATGTAGTCGACATTTGGAGGTACGGCGATGTCTGGCTGGTCGATGTTGGCAGGAAAATTGACAAAGTCTTTGGAGCCTCCCGTGTTATTTAACGACCACACATGGAGGTTCGTCTTGGAGTCAGAGAAGGCAAGGAATTCGCCGTTATCGCTGACCTCAAGGTGTGATAACTTGGGGGAGGACGAGACCAGCTGTTGCAGGGACAAATCCGATTGGTAGAGATGGACATTTGTCTGGTCATATATGTCGACGAACTGCATCTGGCCAGTAGCTGAGGCTATGATGATGATGTTAGGCAACTTGGGGTGGAATCTGACTGAGGTGGCGCCCGCAGGGAAGGGGATGGGCGACACGAGTCTCATCATTCTCACGTCGTAGATGTTGACAAGCGGATCCACCACGAAGTCCTGGTGATGTGCGTGGCTGTTGAACCGTCTGGGACGCACAGAGTATCCACAAGTGGCGATGTACGAGCCTTGCACGTCCATGTCTGAAAGGAGGCCATTGTGGCCTTGGAAAGACTTGATCACCTCGTTGGAAATGGGGTCAAAAAGCTCGAGCGAGCCGTTGGACGCTCCCAACGTCAAGAACTTGGACGTCTGGTGGATGTGTGACGTACTGCCCTGGTAGGAGAACGTCGAAAGCACGTTAGGCTTGTTCAAGTCGAACTTATGAAGGCCTGACTTCGTGCCTACCACGATGTCGTTCAAGGTGTTGCAATTGGTGGTCATACAAGCGAGTCCAGAGAATGCTGACAGCGTATCTCCAAACGACTCGGCTGTAAGACTCAACCGACATGCCCCTCTTCTGGTGTTGAAGTTGACATTGTTGTTCAGGAGGGAAAGAATGCCATCTTTGTGGTTTAAGTACTGGCGAACGGGCGTAGTGCCGGTTGCTGACTTGAAACGCGTGTAGGGATACAATTGGAACGCGTGCTGGTAGGGATTGGCTCCATGTTGGGTCAGGGGAGTGAATGAACGAGTGTAGCCGTCGGAGTCACCACACCAGAGGAGATTGAGGGCGGAGTCAAAGGTGAGGGCTGATATGTTGGGGGAATCTAGGACGGCAGAGCCTGCCATTGTGGCTGGGATACGCGCCACCTCTGTCCAGCTGTCCATGGTTGTGGTTGGAAGAGTTGAAGGTGAATTGGAGATGTAGTGGATTTCTGACGTAAGCGCGTGGATACCGCTGACTAAGGTGGGGGTGATAATTACGTAATCCAACCGGCGGACTAGGTGATCTTAGGGAAGAAAGTTCGCATAGCGCGCCCAGTCAACAGCGGCACTTCTGTGAAAACACACAACCTGAATAAGCAAAGAGCGATGATTACGTAATCATCATTGGGCAAGCTGGACACTTTCTTAGGGAGCTTCGTGTGAAGCTAATGGCGCCATTAACTTGTGGTGGAGGGACTTGTTGACTGGGGCTGCGATTATTAAGTAGTTTTAGTGTAGATGGCTAAGCAATGGGTGACTAGAAGGTGTCTTGTGGACTGATGGAGCGAGTCTAATAACTATATTATTAGGTAATTGATCGCAATAAATACGTTGGTTAAAGTACTTATAAATATTTGTTTATAGAATGAGTACTCATAAATATAAGCTAGTAAACAAGCATATGAGTATCTTGAATTTCCATTTTAACAAATTAGATGGGCATTTAACGTTGTCAGTACAAGAATTGTCTTCAAGAAAATTATTAGCTATAAATTTATTATTAGACATCATCCATAATACTGCTAATGATGCTTTATTAAAATTGCTAGGGGGAGTGATCCTTTATACTCTTTCCATTAATCTACTTAATTTCATAGTAAAGCTTGAAATTGCCATTATCTGCTTTTCGAAATAGATAGTTTCATCTTGCATAATAACAAAATTCTGGGATCTTCTACCCTGTAACCGTTCGTCCAGCCTAATTTATTGTACAATCCAGTCCCATACTATATTTTGCTTGACCCATGAAAAACCCATCTCAAGTTGGTCCTTCGTACATTGTTTATTCCGAACAGTAAATTTATTTTTATTTTCTGGTTGATGAATATCTATTATAATTGACTTTCTGGATAATTCGCTATGCACCAGCTGATTAGGTGGAGGGCCATATCTTTAGACTATCATTCCAAAGCAATAATTATATAGACGTTAGGAAGTGTAGCGTTCTTTGGTCACTTAAAATCCTTTTCTTAACTAGTGAGCTGACTACTCGGAGTAAAGACCTTTATTTACAGACATGGAACTTCGCTACTCCCTGCTTATGAGCCTATTATGCTGGTAAGACTCTTGACTTTCTTAATGTAACGGGGCTACGGCAAACATCACATGACTAGTCACATGATATACTTTCTCTCATTGCAGAAATATACGGTTGTGAATTCGAGGTTTGATTAGTCATTTGAGGGCAATCCATATATGCCCGAGCACAGCTTCTACAAGTTGCCCCTACCATTCAGCATCAAAAGCCTGAGCTTGGGATTGCTGGCTGGTTGAAGCCGCTTACGTAAGCATGCTCCCGCGTGACCCACCAAGAAGCGACAATTACGTAAGTAGACCCGCATGGCTGATGAAGAACCCGAAGATGCCACCCAGTCAATCCGCATGGTCCGCCGGCTGTTGAGGACGATAGCCACCAGAACAGGACCCCATGTGCCCCGCTAAGCTGACCACAAGTTTACGTAAGCAGCAGGCTTAGCGCAACCCCGTTTGGCAACCCGATTGCCGTAACAGTCCGAGCCACTCGTGGCCATCGCACTGTCTGAGACACGCTTACGTAATCTCAGGTTTCCGGCTCGGATCCTGCCAATTGCTACTACCGAAATTGCTACACCTGCTTGACAGACCTGTCACGCAGGTCACGGCCGTTTCACTGGAAACATCCATGCCACTACAACCCACTGACTCAGGCGCTCGATGACTCCACAGGGTCATTCCCTGCCGGTCACGTGGCGCCTCCTCTCCCCCACAGGGTCCCAGCTCCCAAGCGATATCGCCGGCGAGCGCTCGCGCTGGCTCCCACGGGGCCCGCCACAAATTTCCGCGACTGGGGTTGCTGCCACCGTGCGCACCGTGCTACACCACTAAGAATACCGCGCTAGCAATTCCATGACCGCACCAGCCGCCCCCACATTGTCCCCACCACGGCACGTGCGACTTCTGGCCTCACCGGTTCCCATACCAACGGGAGATCTCCCCTATATCCAATTACCGCCGCCATCAGTACCACCACCATCAGTGCCACCACCACCACTTCCTCCACGGGCTCCTCCAACACCACTACCATTACACCCGCCAGTGCAACCACTACCACCACCCCCCAAACCCTGGTGGCCCACCGCTTATCTGATGACGCGCGCTCGGTAATTTCTCGGGCCCTCCTGCATATCTTATCTGACTGCAACACGATAAGATATAAAGTCACCACCTCCCGTTTGTTTACCGCCAGCCACACCCACCATGTTTAAATCCAGTCTTTCCTCATACATGCCTTGGTTCAAAAAGTCCAAGGCCTCCACCGCTCCCTCCACCACGCCTGGGCCCTCCACGTCGTCTGGTGGGCTCGACCACAAAGACGACCTGCTTGTGGTGCCACTGACAGATCATCAGTTGATCAACATCTCCATGAGAGACGAGGACGACACCCAGTCGTTCGTGGAGATCCAGTACCGCAAGTTGACCTACGCAGAAGCTGCGTCGTTGTCGCTGCCTGGCAGGGTGGCGGCAGTGGCGACCCCCAGCCCGGGGGGCCACGCCAGGCCCCGCCAGCCTCGCCACACCCACAATCAGTACCTGGTGTTGGGACACGAGGAGTCGTTGGAGTACGAGCCGTACAAGTCGGACATCAGCTACCGCAAGTCCCAGCAGTTCAAGACCAAGCAGTACGAAACGATACAGAAGAAGAAGCAGCGCAATGCCTACAAGAAGGCGCGGGCGTAGTGATGCTGGCTGGCTAGTATCAATAGTGCAATACAGGTAATCTAGACCCGTGTAGCGTAGAGAGCCACATACAGGGTGCGACAAAGAGGGGGGCACCAGGAAGCTACAAGCACTGGGTAGAGACCAGAGGCTGATGGTCTGCTGGAATGAGTCATGTTGATTCAGATCCTTGTAACGATCCACGTTATTAGGATCACCGGGACTACATACAGGATGGTGATTCAGAGCCCCGAATCAGGACCAGCATGTGTCGAATCAAGTGAATCGGGCCAGCATGTGTTGAATCAAGTGAATCAGACCAGCATGTACCGAATCAGCATCCCGAGTCCTCGAAGGTTAGAATTCGTTAGTGAGGTTAACCACCAACTAATCTCCCCAACCAGTGAGAATGGCCACAAATCAATTGCAGTTCGTGAGGAGAACCACTATCAATTAGTGAGGAGAAACACCATCAATTTCCCCCAATCGGCTAGGAGAACCAAGAATTAATTGTCCAGTCACCAATCTTAAGCACAAACATATAAATTCTCCCAATCAGCGAGGAGAACCACCACGGTTTCTTTCCAACTTTAGTGATTCCTACAAAATCCATGAGTCTCCAATCATAACAGATTCTAGAACCTCCACGAGTCAATCCTTCCCAATCACCAACCAATCACTTTTCCACATCGTGAGAGACTCTAGGTCTACCATGAGTCAATTATCCAACAAACCGAAAGTGGTGCGAATAGAACCACGAGTTTCTTCCATCTTTGGTGACTCAGAACGTCAATTCTGCCCGCTAATCATCTATGATTCCCTATAACCACCTGTCCATTATTTAGTGATTCATAGTGTCTCACTCAGCTAATCTTATTCAGAACCATGAATTCAATTTTGCTAAACCAAATTCTGGGGTCGTCCATAACCACTCATTCTCTAGTATAACGCTGATAGACGTTTGTGTCTAATTATTTTGGATAGTTATGTATATTTGTAACATGTTACCACAGAAAGAGAGGACTCTTGAGTTAACCCCCTCTTAGTGCTAATAACTCACTCCAATAGGGGAAAGCAACAGTTAGTGATTCTAGCGCCTTTATCCATCTAACCTGTTGCCTGTTCTATATGTTCTGCTGCCCCAAATGGTTCTTGCTCTATAACCACAAAAAAACACAGTTCTAGTTGGATAACGTGGTGTGAAGTGAATTGATGTGTAGTGGCGAGCCTTGTAGTCTTGCGAAGCATAGCTTTCCAAATTTGAATATTNTTCAATATGTCCGAATGACTCCATATAGCGGTTTGGCTAAAACTATCCATGGTTAAAAACTAGTACTATCCAGCTCCCAAGCACAGAGTCTATATGAAATTGTATATAATCTCACAAGGTTTAGAAAGTGCCATCATCTCTTACCGTTATGAAGCAAATCAATTTTATTCATTCCAATAAAAACATAAAACTACTCCTTCTACTAAACATCGCCTAGCTCAATTGGCCACTCAGTCCACTGGGAGGCATCCCTACACTCTCCCTGTGTCACCGCACACTCGATCATGGGATCAACTTCCAAAACAGGCACATATACTGGCTTCCCAGCAGACTCCCATTCGCCCACCTCCAAAACTCGTACAGGAAGCAAACGCCCATGGGATACCCTAATGGGACGTACCATCGGGTTGTCAAACTTCTTGAAGAACGTCAGCATCAATATCTGGCCCGAATGTCCCGCAGGAATGGCACAAGAGTAGGATCCAGTCACCGAGAACTGCGACTTCACTGAAGTAGAATAGGTCGCCCCAAAGGCCTCAATGAGAGCAAGAGCAAAAGCAATATCAAGAGCAGCATACTCTCCAACAGAGGACGTGAAAGTGCCAGCAATGGTGCCACCACTACCGTGGAGTTGACTGGAACACCCAGCTACGGATTGAGTCCGTCCCAATACTGTGGAGGATTGGGGAGCTGCAATCTCGACCCAACGTCTCTCCCTTCTTCTCTGTTTGGCTCTACTTATGTGCCTGGTGAATGGCTCGCCGCTAACACGGTGGACGGTGTTCAACTGTGCGTGGCTGATGACCATGGAGTGGGTGCTTTCGACGAAAATCACATTGTCAACACTCTTAAAAAGATGGTTATGGGCAGGCTTCACCTGCCCGTTCTCGTCCATTAGCAGGTCGACGAAGATGATGTTGCTGGCTTCGAGCACACTGGCGTGGCGTACGAGTAAGTTGGCCACTTCCATGGCTTTGTAGGAGCGAGCATGAATGTCTGGTGAGGTATCTGCTAAGGTGGTGGTAGTGGTAAAAGCATCCTGTCTCGTTCCAAAATAGTCAGAAACGTTGAAACGAAACCCATACTGATCTCCAGAGTGTGCTTGCTTCAGGAAGTCTCCCAAGGTGTTGTCTGTCTCGGTGTTAGATTTTTTAGAGAAGTTTTCCAAGCTGGTTTTCGCAGCCTCTTTGGCCAAGTCGCCAATGGCAAGCGCAGCAGCGCCCATAGCAAACGTAGAACAAGTCAAGAAACGCATAGTTGCCATTCACTACGACCCATAGGTACCCTTTTATACTTCCTTGTAGCGGAGTATCTACACAAGCAGAACATAAATCTGTCTATTTTTCGCAGCCATGCTGCGTCTATACTATGAACACAAAGATACCGGGGCAGAAATAAAATTTTGTTCTGCCTAGCTAGGCATGACCCTAGAAGATACAGGGAGTGGGCAGCCAGAGCTAGGCGAGGAGACGTGGCAAGTGGTGGCTTGCCACCCAGGGATGATGCTTAGTCTGCCTCCATGACGAAGACGTGGTTTTGGAGTAGTGCCGTCTAACTGTCAGAAAAGAGGTTCTCGTAGTTGATGTCGTCCTGGTTCTTGTTCATCAGGAGCTCCGAGTGGTACTTGTAGCTGTGGGGCGTACCGATAAGCAAGTTCCAGCCCTGGTTCAAGTACATCAATGAGATCTTCCAGAGTGTGGAAGGTAGCGTCTTATAGCTCCAAAGCACAAAACGGGTGGCTTGCGCAACATCGTCGATGGCAAGTCTCAATTCTTCCACAAAGGTTCTGTCGGAGGCCTTCTTGGCCTTAGCAATGCCCAAAGGCGACTTATCAATCTTGCTAGGGGAGATCTTCTTGGGTGAGGCCTTTTTGGGGGCAGCAACCTCGGGTTTGCTGGCAGTTTCTGGGACCTTGAAGAAGGGGAATGCCAATCCGTTGCTCTCATTTTTTCTGTCGTACTCGCCAGGCTTGGCGATGCCTTTTCTGACGTCTTCAAGATGCTGTAAATACATGGTTTTGAAGCTGTTGATGGCTTCGATCGACTTGGACAATCTGTCGAAGGTGTTGAACAAGGCCACGATTTCAATTCTTCTGAATCTCAACTTTTCGGTGTTTTTAGGGTCTTCTCCCTCAAACAAGATCTTTAACGCGGTTCCGTAGCCAATGGTCTGCAACTTGCCCCACATTCTGCACCTGTCACATCCCACGCAGTCCATAATAGCAGAGATGTTCTTGAATCTGGATCTGAACTCATCCTTCAACCCTGGAGATACCGATTCGGGGTTGAACAACGATGAGGTGTCAAACAAGGTGTTCGAGGAAATCATGGGGATGATCTGGCCCAATAACTCGTCGTAGTTTTCGGTAGGCTCTTCGTTGTTGACGAACTTGTGGCGAGCCTCGTTGTGGGTGTGACTCTCGTCGAACTCGATAAGCTCATGCAAGGACACCAAGTTGTTCAATTTGACCAACGCTTGCGACACCAAGGCGTAGTTAAAGTAGATGTTGGACAACCTGTCGTTGAAGCGTCCTACGCGCTCCATGAACACCTTCAAGTTGGGGTAGAACTCGCCGGTTTCGGAGTCCAAGTACTCGTTGGACAAGTGCACGGCGATGGATGCGTGCAATCCGCTGACCACCCGGTAGAACAAGTTCTTCTCCACACAGGTGTCGTCCTCGTCAGCGTCCGACACCGTGAGATGGTGGTTTTCTTCACTCGCACTGTTGGGGAAGCAGTTCTCGGAGTAGATCGCCTTCCACACGTTGAACGCCTGGGCACCTCCATACCCAGTGAAACGCTCGGGGTTGTTCAACAAGTCGACGTAGACGCACTGGTGGTCGTCGTCGATGTGGGTGTAGTCCAAGTCCTCGCAGGTGGCGTCGGTGTCCTGGGCGTCGTCGTCATCTGTGGCAGGTTGCTCCAAGTTGATCTTACCTAATTTCAAGGGACGAAGGTCGTCGTTGGTCACGTTGCTCCAGTTGTACTGGGAGGGCGATAAGATCTCCACAGCACAGTTTTCAGTGGCACAGAAGTGCTGGGCGTTCCAGAACTTGCACTGCTTCTCGAAGTTGAGTTTGAAGTAGCGGAAGTACGAAGTCTGCACCAACTTGGACAAAGACACGCGGATATGGTCGTTGAGGTCGTCGATGTACGAGAACGTGGTGTTGCAAGTGGGAGTGATGATTTGTGAACAGTACTCAGGCGAGTCGAAAGGCGTGAATTTAGAGATGCCGGAGGAGGCCACGGCTAGCACCACGTGGAGCGAGAGCCACACGTATAGTTGGGACAACTTCATGGCTGTGGGATGGTGGGAGACTGGCTAGGAAGGACAGGTATATATGGCGGCAAAACTATGATGGGCATCACCGTTTGTCATCAGTCGTGCGCGCGCAAGAGAACACGTCAGAGGTGGTATGATCGGATCAGATCGATTGGGCAAGTGGCGCGGAGTCTGACGTGTTAACAGAGGACGAGAATCTGGTGATTTGTAGTGAGGCAGGCTAATTGGGTGGGTAAATGGGTAGGAACGCCTAGTAGTATTGAATAGGTATAGGGATTGTCTGATTAATTATGAGAAAATAGGAAATGGAATTTCTGGGTAATTAGAGGTAGAACTACTGAGTTAGGAGGTAAAATCAATAGATAACTCAGTAGACTTGTCTATTAAATAATATATTGGTGAGGATGTTCCCTGTAAAGTAGGGAATTTGTCTAGTTGTACGGGTTAATTTTAATCAGATGGTTTTCCTCTAATTAACGGTAAATGTCTATTGAGCGGGTTGGTGCATCTTCACTAATTAGGAAAATTGTCCGTCTTGTCTGGATTAATTAATTATTGGTTAGATCTATGAGTGAAGTAGGAAGATTACCTATGTTGTCTGTCTTCATTTAAATAGACTGAAGGGTGTTTCCGTTTTAGGTGTATCGAGTTGTCTGAATTAATTCTTTTATAATGGGATAAAGTATAGATTTTTCATTGGGGATCGATAGAGTGAATATCGGCAAGGATCTCGGATCCCTCGAATTTATCTGACCATGGTTAATATTCACTTCCCCATTGTAAGAGTTGACTACAAGAAATGAGAGGGATGTAGATTTGAGTAAAAGTATTGAATACATAGTAGGACTATCCTTTTCGTGGACCAGATAGGTGACGAGGCCAATCCGTGTTCGTAATTTAACCAGACGAGACTTAGATGTTTCTCGCAGTTACATCACAAGGAACACCCTTACAGTAGTTAAGTGAATATTGGAGTAGATCCATGATACTCTCTAGTTCCTGCTTGCTGCTGACCACAGCAGCACACTGACGTTGATGGACTCTGTAGCTACAAAAGTTTTACTGCTCATATCGATTAGAGTATATAGGTAATTCTGGCTGCGAAAACGAAAAAGAATTTTAATTGAAGAGGAGAAATGTTACCCGTATCCTAGTTATTCCCAATTTCCCAGCCAGCACTTCTTTTAACTTTCTACTGTATTGTTGTGGTACAAATTTAATAGGGTACTGGCAGCAGAATCACATTATCATGGTTTACGATTCTTTGCGATGTCTGGAAGTGTGCCTAGTAACCAATATCGGGCGTGCAGTTTAAGAACTACCTCCTATCTGTAATTATATACAGTGTGAACTCATTGTATCTACTTCGGCTGTTATCTTAAGCAGATGGTGTTTTTTATGCATCGCGTCGTGGCCCCAGATTGAATTCCACCCAACTCACTACCAATTGTGGATTGCTAAGCATTTAATACCCACCAGCCAAGTACTTAGCCCCACCCTAAATCGAGCTAATTCCCACCCAACTCCTTCGTATGAGAAAGAAAACTTTCCATGCCACTCCTCCTACGTTTTCCTATCACTGCGTATACTACTACTACTATTTAGACTATATCTAACACCTTAGTCAAACTTGATCTTCTTTCCGGTCTTGGTCATGTCGACGTCCTTGAAGAACGCCCCATACGCACTGTGGGTCTTCTTCTTGGTGTGGCCTCCGAACTTGAGCAACTCGTCTGGCACAGGCTGGTTGGCACCACGCAAGATGTTCATCAATGCTCCACTCAAGTGCTTTTCATGCTCGGTGAACAAAGTGTGAGCAGTTCCAGTCTGGCCAGCTCTTCCTGTTCTACCAATTCTGTGGACGTAGTCCTCCACCGTCAATGGGAACGTCAAGTTGATAACCACCTTGACGTTGGGGATGTCCAATCCTCTGGCAGCCACATCGGTGGCCAACAACAAGTTGGAGTCTCCACGCTTGAACGAGTTCAACGCCAGTGTCCGCTGCTGCTGTGACAAGTCTCCGTGGATGGCTGCCACTGCGTAGTTCTGTCTTTTCAACAACGCCTCGATACGTCCTGCTTCCTTCTTGTACAAAGCAAAGATCAACACCTTGTCGTCCTTACGAGCACCTCCCTGGTACTGGCGCAAAAGCGCTAACAACCGCTTCTCCTTGTCGTAGGGGGCAATGACCTCCACCACCTGGGTGATACGTTTGTTGGCAGCCAACTCGTCACGATCACCAATGCTGACCTTGACAGGCTTGTTCATGAACGTGTTGGCCAACTCACGAACCTCCTTGGGCCAGGTGGCTGTGAACATCAATGTCTGACGGCCCTGGGCATTAGTGTTACCGATGATGGACTTGATATCTTCTTCGAACCCCTTCTCCAACATACGATCAGCCTCGTCCAACACCAAGTAGTCGATGCTGCTCAAGTCGACGGCTCCGTCGTTGATCAAGTCCAACAAACGGCCAGGAGTGGCCACCACAACGTTGGCATCACGCATCTGAGCCACCTGGTCAGCCTTGGACACACCTCCATAGATAGCCACGCAGTTGAGGCTGGTTCCCTTGGTCAAGTCCACCAAGTTGTCGTAGATCTGCAACGCCAACTCTCTGGTGGGAGAAATACACAACACAGTCAACCCGGTCTTTCCAAGAGCCAAGATGTTGTTGATGGCAGGAACACCGAACGCAAAAGTCTTTCCAGAGCCGGTTTCAGCGACTCCAATCACGTCCTTTCCGCTCAAGAGGTATGGCCACGACACAGACTGAATGGGTGTGGGCTTTGGAAACTTGGCGACCTTGGGGGTTATGCTGGAGTGCAATTCGATCTGGTTGAATGCAAGCAACGGTCTCAAGTTGAGGCCGTGAGGGTCGTCGATCGTCACCTCGTTGGTGGACAAGAACTCGTCGATATCTGCCTGAGGCAACTCTGACAAGCTGGACGACTGGGTGTAGCCAACTGACGACTGAGCAGTTCCGGTCACTGACAGGACCTTCTTGGCCTTCTTCTTTTCGTCCTTTGCTGGCTTGTCATCGTTCTTTTCCTTCTTTTCCTTCTTTTCTTTCTTTTCCTTCTTTTCCTTCTTCTCCTTCTTCTCCTTCTTTTCCTTCTTTTCCTTCTTTTCCTTCTTCTCCTCAGTGGCGATCTTCACCTTCTTGTGCTTCTTGTCCTCCTCTTCGGAGCTCTTTCTTTTGCTATCTTTACCCATCTTGTCGTATAACTAAAAGTGAAAAATCACTTTATCTCATCAGACGCCGCACGATGGAGTCACGTGTAGATGGGTGCAAATAACATTTCCAGCTTTCTGTGGAGGGAGGAGGCTCCATATCCATCCCAGAACCACCAGAAGGCAGCTCTTTGTCTTCATCTTACTCTACTAATTTATATTGATTCTTAAAGTATTTTTATTGTCCTTCCGATCTTTCTGCCGTTCTTCATATTTACAGTCCATATTCTCAACCCGACAGTGATAATTGGGCTGCAGTTGGGAGAGTGGTCATTATAAGCTCATATATGTCGAAATAAGAATTGTTGGACATCACCTCCTGCTTATTATTAACCTTTTTCAAAAGTGATAACACCAACTTCTTTTAGGAATTACACAGACTTCCACAGTTTATACATGCGTTGAAGCATCGTGGTGTTACCTTCAATTAAGTTTATGGGCTTCGGGTAAATATGACGGAGAGAATCTCTGAAGTAGGGCATTAACTTTATCAGGTCACTTTTTCCAGAACGGAGTCTGGTGTCGTTTCATCTGGAGATATTGTTGGAAATTATACCATTCCTGCTAGATGATCAACTCTCAGTAGTTTGAAGCGGGCATCATAGATTGATTTGTACATCAAGAACCTTTTTATTTATATCCTTAGTAAAAGTTGATTGTCTTTAACATTTCACGCTTTTGACGTTTTAATATTTATCCACAGTATTTTGTTTAAACTGACGGAACTAAAAGGGAAATGATCCAGAATGAGCTAAAATAGTTCAATTCACCAGTAACAATGGTTTAAACATTTATGAACGAAAATCACTGTGCCAGGCAAAACCATTACATAACCTAAGTCTGAGTGGGCATCTTCCATACATGATAATAGGTTAGTAATTCCAGTGCACCAGTGTTATACTCAGACAAATAATCGAGCACACCACAAAATTAACTATCTTGAGCTTACGTTGATTATTTTATTGGCAATAAATTGATGAGTCTTTTCGAATGCTTCTCATTGCAAAATAATAACTGCCTACCACACAGTCAGTTAATAATCTAGCCACGATTGCCTGCACCGATAAATAAATAACTATTCAGGTGAACATAGTTGGTGTTCCAGCTAATCACGTAAATACCCATAGACGGAATATCCACGAGCTTAAGCTTATATACGACCTACTACAGCCCAGTAGACCTAATTCCACCCAACCAGTAGCCAGCCTATCCTTGCTGTCCAATATCGCATCATACGCCAACCTGGAATCAATGATCATCACTAGTCTACCATAAAGATAATACGCCCACTTCGCTTCATGAGTCGCTCTGGTGAAATTTATTACAAAAACTACCATTCTAGACCATGAATGCACGAGTCAACACAGAGCAGTACTCATAGCTACACACACCAGCCATATACTCTCGAGATCCACCCCACCCCACGGCGATCGTCTCGTTCCAGGCGTGTCCGCACCACTATCTCCAGCACATTTTGACCACGTAATTTTCAGCGACTAAAACAACAACCGCCCACCAAACATGTCTGGAAAAAGAAGAGCATACCCACAGCCCCAGTACGCCACTGGTGCTCCTTTAGGAACTCCAGGCGTAGGGCCAGCCGATCCCACTCAATTCCAGCAGCCTCCTCCTCCCCAGGGAGGAGCTCCAGCCTACGGTGTGGATCAAGTCAACCAACAGTTCCAACACATGAACGTCGGCGCCCAACCTGCCCAGCCCCAGTATCAGTACAACCAGTACCAGCAGCCGGGAGCCGCTGCTGGTGCCCCAGGTGCTAATGATCCATACGCGCAACAGCCTCAACAGGACCAATACCCACCCCAATTCCAACAACAAGGCAGTTTCTACGGCCAAGCAGGCGGCGCTGCACCTGCGTTGCCATTGAACCAATTGTACACCACCGACTTGTCCCGTGAATTGCCTCCTCCCATCTCGGACTTGGCGTTGCCACCTCCCCCCATCGTGTTGCCCCAAAACACCACCTTGATTCCAAACTCAGAAACCTCCAACGCGGCCCCAGAATACTTCAGATCTACCTTGAACGTCATCCCCAACAATAGCTCGCTTTTGAAGAAGTCCAAGTTGCCCTTGGCCTTGATCGTCAAGCCCTACAACGCGTTGACCGTCGAAGGCGAACAGGTGCCTGTCACCTCCGACACCTACATCAGTAGATGTCGTCGTTGTCGTGGTTACATCAACCCGTTCGTCACCTTGGCCGAAAACGGCAGACGTTGGAGGTGTAACTTCTGTAACTTGTTGAACGACATCCCCAGTGCCTTTGAATACGACGACATCACTGGTACCGTCAAGAACAAGTTCGAAAGAGTCGAGTTGAACCACTCAGTGGTTGAATTTATCGCTCCAAAGGAATACATGGCCAGAGCTCCTCAGCCTATTGTCTACACGTTCATCATCGATGTCTCGGTGCATGCAGTTTCCAGCGGGTTGACTGCCACCATCACCAGAACCATCTTAGAGAGTTTGGATAGAATTCCAAATGTGAATAAGACTGCCAGAGTCGCCTTCATTGGTGTGGACTCTAACTTGCACTACTTCAGATTTAATGAAGGTTTGGAGGGAACCGAGGCCTTGGTGGTTTCTGACATCGATGAACCTTTCTTGCCATCCCCAAGTGGCTTGTTGGTCAACTTGGACGAAAACAGACAAGCCATCGAAAAGTTGTTGATTGACTTCCCAACCTTCTTCGAAGGCACTGCCAACCAAAGCTTTGCTTTGGGACCTGCTTTGAAGGCTGGTCATAAATTAATCAACAATATCGGTGGTAAATTGGTCTGTTTCGGTGCCACTTTGCCAAACATTGGTGAAGGTAAGTTGAGTCTCAGAGACGAAGCTGGAAACTCTGGTAAGCCTAAGGAAGCTAAGGTGTTGTTATCCTCTGCCGACAGTTTCTACAAGTCCTTCGCTGTCACTTGTAACTCCTCCCAAATTACAGTTGATTTGTTCTTGAGCTCATCTTCTTACCAGGATGTTGCCACCTTGTCCAACTTGCCCCGTTACACTGCTGGTCAAACCCACTTCTACCCTGCTTGGACCAGTGCTAAGGCTGAAGATGTCACCAAGTTATCTAAAGAAATCAGCGAACACTTGTCTCAAGATATTGCATTGGAAGCTGTTTTGAGAGTTAGAGGATCTACTGGTTTCAGAATGAGTTCCTTCTACGGTAACTTCTTCAACAGATCCTCAGATTTATGTTCCTTCCCAACTTTCCCAAGAGATCAAAGTTACTGTATTGAAATGAACATTGAAGAAAACATTAATAAGCCAGTTGCCTACTTCCAAGCAGCTGTGTTGCACTCTACTTCATTCGGTGAAAGAAGAATCAGAGTCATGAACTTGGCCATTCCAACTTCTTCCAAATTGCCTGACATCTATGCTTCTGCTGATCAATTAGCAATCACTAACTACTTTACTCATAAGGCCATTGAAAAGGGATTGTCTTCGTCGTTACCAGATGCAAGAGACTACCTTATCAATCAAGTTGTTGAAATTTTGAACGTTTACAAGAAAGAGTTAGTTGCAGGCAATGTCTCTGGTGCATCACCTTTACAATTATCCACTAATTTAAGAATGTTACCATTATTGTTGTTCTCATTGACCAAGCACTTGGGTTTGAGAGCCGACAGGGTTCCATCCGATCACAGAGCTGCGGCTTTGAACATCTTGGGGTCTTTGCCAATTNCACAATTGGTCAAGTACATTTACCCAACCGTCTACTCGTTACACAACATGCCAGACGAGTGTGGATTACCAGAAAAGGTTATTCAAGTCAACGAAGAAACTGGAGAGGAAGAAGAGGTCATTACCACCGAAATCTTGTTACCTGAACCAATCAACGATTCCAAGGCCACCTGGGAGAACTATGGCTTGTACTTGATTGACAACTCCAGCGAATTATTCTTATGGGTGTCTGGTAATGTAGTTCCAGGTTTGGTTCAAGATTTGTTTGGTACTGACAACTTGTACGCTCTCCCAACCGGTAAAACCGAGTTGCCCGAATACAGCATTGAAGAATCTGAATTCAACTACAAGGTGCGTCAAATCATCGGTAAGATCAGAGAGCAAAACGACTCCATTATTTGGAAGAACTTGTACGTTGTTGTCGGAGGATCGTCCAACGAACCAATCGAGATTTCTCAACAACGTGACTTGATGGCATTAAGAATGTGGGCCTATAGTTGTTTGGTTGAAGACAAGACCGGTAATGAGGCCTCTTACAGGGACTTCTTGACTACTTTGAAGGCCAAGGTTGCTCAATAGATATCTGTATTATTTTGAAAGCCATGATTCAATAGATTGTCTATAATATCCTTTGAGGGCCAAGCTTGCTCAATAGATTGTCTATAAAAATATATATTATACAGCAATGGCTTCTTTCTATCGCATTCTTCGGGGTTCTCGATTTTGCTGACAAGCGGTGTAATATCAGCTTCTCCTTCTGAAGGTTTCGCAAAGGTAATAGATACACTGACGAGATGAAGTATGGCTGGCCATGATCAAGCACTTTCCGTCTGACACGTCACTGTGCAATTGTCCACCGTCTTGATTTGTAATAATGACTCGGATAGCTCCATTTTCCCTGCAATCGAGCTTCCTACTTTTCTTCAAATGGATGTTTAACAAAAATTCTTATGATCCTCAATGCTGAATATTGAACCCTGATTTGCCAACCGAATGTGCTTCATGGCCTCATTCAAGACCAATACTGTAAATCTGTGAAGCCATGTACTCCAAATCAACGCGTAGTTAATAATACAGTAATACCATTCAAGTCGAACCAACAATTAATAGATTCACTTAATTCAGGAGATCCAACACACATATGGATTTCAAACCTCGTACTGTAGAACCTCCTAAAACTTTTGTATCATCTGTGTACCCCAAATAGTGAAATCGGCTTATTATCTTTGCAGTTACTCTGTAGGGATGATCGAAACGGCATCAAGCACCAAGTTCCGCTCACTTTCCACGTTAAAAGTGTCCACCAACGAGTTTTTGATTCCAGGATAGTATACACGTAAGTTCTTAGCAATTGGACCACCTCTTGCCATGGTGGCAGCAATGTTCTTTTTGAACTTGGATGTCAACTTAATCCAGAAGGACTCGGTGAGTGCATTTCCACCCCAATGCTCGAGCACGCTATTGAAGAGATTCTCGTTGGGAACCTCGCAGTTGTTCAAGGTGATGGCCAACTTGTCGAAGTATTCCTGGGAACTGTGCTTGACGTCCGAAACGATGGCTGTGAAGTTTCTGGGCGACTGTAACGATCGAGACAATTGTGTCAGCGAGGAGTCCACGAGTCGATTCACTGTGGCTTTTTCCAAAACCGACAAGAAGTCCTTCTTGTCAAGAATGTAGAGACTGACGAGTCCGTTGTGGAGGTCCTGGTTATCGGGACTGAAGTTGCTGTTGTGGACTGCTTGGATGGCATGTACGCAACGGCTTCTTAATTCGAGCCGTTTGTTCTCGATGTCGGCTCTGGAGTCTCTGATGAGCCGGATGCGGAGGAGACTGGCGCCTCTGGTGGCGCCTCTCTCTTCCTTGACGTAGAATTCGTGGATCTGGACCATCAAACGGGCAAGGCGGACCATGTTGGAGTCGGCCTTATCGAGCTCTTCTAACTGCTGGAGAAGGAAAATGAAGTAACTGGAGCTCCGCAACAAGTCCAACGTCACATGGATGCGTTTCAAGGCGTTGTTGAGCCGGACAGCCTCGTCGTACGGCTGGATCACGCCTGTTTTGATTCTGTCAAAAGACGAGTTGATATGCTTTATGCCGCTGTTGATCTTGCCGTCAAGCAATTCCTTGGAGCCTTCGATCTTGGAGAAGTTCTGCACAAGCGCCTCGTAGTTGCTGGCGGCAATGGCCTTCATTCTCTTTTCACACTCTTGGATATCGAACTGGAGCTTTTTGATGGGTGTAGACAAATCGAGCTCGGGTCCGTCACTGCCATTGGTAGCAAGAAGCAAATCCCTGGCGAAGACCGAATCCTGGAAGTCGGCCTCGAGGAACGCCTCGAAGTCCTCGAGTTCGTTCTTGATGGTAGTCATGGTGGTGATGTAAATGGTGAGTTTTCGCGCTAGATTTTAAGAACAAAATGGTGATTTGGCATATTGTGGGGAGAACTATGAGAATTCGATATTTAGTACGAGGAGAAGAGGATGTGGGCTTGGGGTTTGTAATTGAATTTAGCGGGAATAGATATAGACATGGACCTCACAATTAATCTTACGAAGACATTTAGAGAAATGTAGACTTAGAAAGTCATGATTCTCATCAAGCGGAAATAGATATAGACTGGAAAACTCATGATATTCCGCAGAAGTGAACTTAGCGTGAAATAGCACTTTCGTAGATTGGCATCTACTACCTCAAACACTGGGGTCTGCTCTCATACAACAATTACTAACAATATGTAGGGTATTTTTAGGATTTTTTTCATTATCATAAAGCTGGTATTTATTAACTATTACAGTTCATTCTCTGACACCACTTGAGTCGTTTTCCAATGAGATAGTTCCACTACAGTTTTCACATATACAATCTGATCAAACTTTGCCGTTAAAGCCACTTGATTAGTTGTGTGATCCATTAGCAGTCACTTCCATTAATAGCATCGACTATCTTTTGAATGGTCCACTTCAGGAGCTCATAATACTATTTGAAAACATGTTAAAACCAGGTTTCATTACGACCTGCATTCTTATCAAATTTAGATATGTAGAATGTGACTTCTACACCAGAGTAATTAAATACTTAGACAACTGGGCTAAAAAAGGTATTCAGCCAAGTGAGTTAGTTATTACTGCGCTAGATAGATCCGACACTTAGCGTGAGATTATTTGAATCAAGATAAAAGCACAATTAATGTAGCTCTCCAGTTGGAACCAACCTTGCCAATGAGGTCTTGTGCTCATAGTCTTGGATTCTCGATACTGAAGGTCTAATGCTTCAAAGAAAACCTCATATCCTAATGCATTTATAGCTTGAAACTTCATCTTCTTGGGTGATTGGTGAATACTACTACTAGTATATAGAAGCAAGTAATCCAGTGGGTTCAAATCTCAATTTTAGACGTATCTCCTAGCACCACAAATTATTTTGTGTCTATTAGACCATAACCAGTGGCACTTCCGGATTGATATGGTTGGACAGTTTCAATTCTTCAAAGGAAAAAGTGAAAATTAGTCCTTCTGTGGCCTTGAAAATTTTGCTCAGAATGGGCCCTAAATATTCCAACATATGTAGAGGGCCAGGAAATCAAATCTGGCAAGATGTCCCTATACTATTCTGTCCAGTGGCCAATTATGGACTTGGAGCTTCGGAGTTATGCAGATTCTTAGAGCCTATTCAGTGCTAGGCTTTGACTTGACGGTGCTGTATCTATGCTTGCTCCTGAATGCAGGCTTGCTGTACCGTTTGTACTGGTTTCTTTTATCAAATTGTTCTCTTTCCAATTTCTTTGCGAGCTTGGCTCTGGCATGCTTTCTTTCACGACACCCTATTTTGTTGAGCCTATACTTCATCCCGGGTCTCTTCTTAGCCTTTACTCTTGCCTTTTCGGCCTCTACGCCATCGTTGTGCTTCTTGAGATCAATACACTTCCGGGACGCATTTTCTACCACAAACACATTTTTGTAGATGTCTTCGGCAGTGACGGCAGCTAGCTCGAATTGGTGCTTCTGCTCGGCAGTGTAGTTGGCGTAGTAGAACGTTTGGGGGCGCTCGTTGTTGACTTTTTCCACTGATTCTTCTCGTATTGATACTTTCATCACTCTCTGCTCAGGTCTCCCTCTTTCGTCCTTGGAGCCCGGCTCCGAGGTCGCAGCACTTGCAAACAACGGAAAGTCGAATTCTTCTTCCTCTTCATCGTTTTCATGGTCCTCAGTGTTGTCTACCTCTATGAAATCGAAAGCTGGGGCAACGTAGACTTCTTGATCTGGAGACTCTGGCGCTGATTGCTCGTCATCTGAGTTGTAGAGCGATGCTCTCGAGACACTAATGTTAGCTAGAACGCTGAATTTAGACAAGCAGACTCACTGCTGTGTTGTTGTACTTACACTCTAGACATGGATATGTTATATAGAAATATAGTGTAGTCTGTGAACATTGCGATGAGCCATGGTGCGGCACGTGACCAAATAGGACCAGATGTATCGTCAGTCGTTTTCAGTCTATCTATTCGACTAGGCAACATATGACCCTTCCTACTACTCTCAAAGATGATCCTTGACCTTTAAATCAAAGATCCAAGTTGGGAATCTCTATTTCCTAAGGAGAAAATGGCAAAAAAATCAATCACATTACTCCTTTTTGAGTAATATTATCCTTACTTCAATACTCTTGAAACCATCTTATTTCACTATTATTCCATTTCTGGTTTTGCTCTCTCAGCACACTCGTCTCATCAATTATTGTAATTAATGATTTCTCACCTTGTTTAAAATATGCTACTCTACATTCTTTTAAATTCATCATACAGTTCATTAGCACTGGAATTCCAGCTTCGATCTAGCTATGGATGCCTGCATTAATAACCACTGGCCCTCTTTCTACCACATCGGTCTGGCAACCGTGCTGATGGCCCGCAAAGTATCTCTTCTCCTTCTCAACCTGGGTGGCACAAAGCTGGTCTCAGCAATCGACTTCGTATCAATCACTACTTCCATGTCACCCTCAGATACAAAACAATGATTCTTTTCCCCTTCAAACAGACTCATCGACTTCAAGTCGACCTCGGTTAGCCTACTGGATCCATCTCCCCAAATTAATCTATAGGTACCTGGATGTTCGTTCTTCACAAACTGGGAGACGTGGTCTAGCTCGACGAAGCTAACGAGCAAGTTCTGGAACTGGCTGTGGCCCTTACTTCTTAGGGCGTTCAAGTTGAAAAATGACCGGTTTCTGTCGATCCCAACCATGTGAAAGAAAAGATCCCACAACTTGGACTTTTCTCCTGATGATAATGGCTTAGTAGAGCTAGTGTTGAAGTCTGCAACGGGACGTCCAGTGATCAAAGACACCTGCAAATCAGTCACATATTTGGTACCTTCAATATCAAACACATATAGTGGGGTGTACTGCAAAATGTACTCGTCACTGAGTTGGACTCCGAACTTAGCCGTCTTCAATCCAATAGGATACATATCAAACATCTGTTTGTGCATTAATTGTTCCTTCTGTTGCTCAATGATCTTGGATTGCTCTTGCGCTTCCTTGGCCAATCTGACTTTCTCTTTTTCTTTAAACTCAGCTAATCTTTTCTCCTCTTCAACTCTTCTTTCTTCTTCTTCCTTCTTCTTACGCTCCTTCTCTTTTTCAGACTTCAAAAACATGTCTCTTCTAGCCCTTTTCTTGGCCTCGACCTTCTCCTGCCAGATCCTTGCTTCCTCGGCATTCTTCGCTTTCTGTTCTTCTTGAGCCTTTGTTAGTGGCACAGGCGAAGGAGAAGCAGTAGTAGCAGTGCTCTTGGGTTTGATGATCTTCTCGGTATTTGATTGTGGTGAGGAGGGTTGGTCGTTGGACTTTGTTCTTTCAAGAGTCTCTGGAGTGCCAACTTTCTTGAAGACGTGGCTCGTTTGAGTTCGAAGCTTCGAATCCGACTTCGATTTCTTCAACTTCTTTTTTGGTGGGTGATCATCAAGAATTCTCCGTTTTTTATCATCAATGTCACGCTCAGACCTTGAATGAATAGACTCCTTATCTGAAACTGCTGGAGTTTCTGCGTCCGAATATTGTTCATGCTCGTTCTCTGAAACTGCGGCAGAACTTATAGTTGAGCTGACTCCACTCTTTCTGGTCTTGCCCATGTACTCTTGAAGAAGCTTTACTTCCTTTGGATCAAAGTGGGTCGATCTTTGGGCAATTTCTAAAGCATTCAAGTTGTCCTGCTTACGCTTCTTGCGAGGGTCAGCATCTTTGGATAACAAAGATTCCACCACCTCGATGTGTCCACGACCAACAGAAGCTAAAAGTGCAGTAGCTCCACATTCGTTTTCAGTATCAATATTGTATGGGGTAGGGTTAAGGCCCAAGATGATATCCACCAATTCAACATGGCCATTTCTGGCAGCAATGATCAAGATATCGGGTTTGGACGAAAGACCATTGCCAGACACAAAATAATTAGCAGTTACCTCCTTCGAGCCTTCAGCAGCAAATTTACAGATACCTTTCTTCTTGATAAGATCTCCGAAATATGTGTCGTATGGATCCTCAACAACAGGAGGAGCAGGACTGGCACTCTTGACAGCGTCACTCTTTTCACGTTGTTGTTTAGCAATGGCTTCCTCTAAGAGCTTAATAATCTCCTCATACCCTTCTTCGTCTGCATGTTCATTGAATATTTTGGTCAAAGCAGTAAATCCATCAATGTTGAAGATGCTGGGATCGGCACCATTCTCCAATAAGACCTTCACTGTACCCAAGTGTTTATTTTCTGCGGCATCAATCAATGGGGTTTCGTTGTAGCCAGCCGGGTCTGCCTTTGCGTTGACGTTAGCACCGTGCTCGATCAATATCTCAACCACTTCTGTATGACCCTCCAACGCTGCCTCATGTAAGCAAGTAAATCCACAAAAATCCTTTTCATTGGCATTTGCGCCTTGTTGGAGATAATTTTTAATATCTTCAAGGTTGCCCTTCTTGCAAGCCCTCTGTAACAAGGATCTGCCACCAGAGTCTCGCTTCATCTTGTAAGGCCTGATGCACATTCTCTTTTTCTCATCGCCAGAGAGATCATCACCAGTGTTGTTTTTGTTGTGATCACTATGATCCTCTCTTTCTTCGTCCTCAGAATGGTAAGCTGATTTCCTCTTCAATTTGTGGCGTCTTTCGTCGAAGTCCTTTTTCCTGATCAATCTCCTGGCCCTGTTTAATGCAGGTGGAGAGTCAGCAACGACTGTCTCTGCCTCTGAAGCGTCTGCTTCGTTATCATCACTTTCTTCGACATCTGAAAGCAAGTCTTTTGTATCCAAGCTCTCTTGGATAGTTCCTAAATTATTGAAATTGAAGTTCTCATCGGTGACACTGCTACGAATGGGTGATAGCATTGACGTGTCTTCAGATCTGGTCGTTTCATCTCTGGATACTTTAGTATCGACTGAACCTGCAGTAGAGGATTTTCTATCAAGTGTAGTTTCATTTTGAGATTCCGAATCTTGTAATTGTATTGATTTATCCTCAACTTCCTTTTGAACTTCCTCGTCAATAGGGTCCTTTGATTGAGGTAGTGTTTCAGGGACGCTATTTGTCTTTTGTTGGGGCCCATTCAGGTCTGTGTCTGACTCTATATTTGGCTCAGGTACAACCTTATCAATAGACTCTACCGGCTTGGTTTCTTCTCTGCTTTGTTCATGAGCGGGTTCTACCTCCTTGATTTGTTCCTTTTTGGGTTGGTCTTCATTTGGTTTAGTATCTTCGACCTGATCTGTCTCACCTACTCGGACAGTGTCTGAATCGATCTGCTTTTCGGAATCTGCTTTAGCAGAATGAACGTAAAACTTCTTCTCCTTCGAGGATTTCAAATACGCAGAGAATGAGGTCTTCTCTTTCGGTTTATCTTGAGCGCCTTCGTTAGATAAAGGGGTTCCAGCTTTTGGTTCTTTTGGGTTCGAGTGATCAGCCTTAATTTCCCCAACGTAGCTCTTTTTCCTTAAAGCTTCTTCCTTGGTATCCTTGGGCTTGAAGGTGACTAAATTGGCTTCCTTCGGTATAGGGGAATCGGTGGTGTCTTTGGACTTCAGAGTTGTTTTGGCTTCGTGCGATTCCTTTGGCTTGTATGAATCAACTCTGTTTTCCTTTGCTCTGATTTCATCTTTATACTCTTTTGGCTTGTATGAATCTACCTTGGATTCTTTTGGCTTAGACAATTCGTCCCTGGCTTCTTTTGGTTTGTACGAGTCTACCTTGGAATCCTTGGGCTTGTAAGAGTCCACTTTAGGCTTGTATGAGTCTGTCTTGTTTTCTTTGGTGTAAGATGAATCCTTTGTTTTCAAGGTTTCGCCTGACTTGGGGACTTCATGCGGTCTTGTTATGTCCAGTGAATCAGAAAATGAATTTCCACGACGTTCACCTCTATCATCTCTAAGAGGAGAGCGCTTTTCTTGTTTGAAATCTGGAGTGTGGTGGCCTGACGTTCTCCCGCTGTCTCTGTCATGGGGTTCGTCGTCATCGAAAAAATTCAGCATCTTGGCATCGGATGCTTGCTTAGGAATGTATGTGCTTGCGTGGTTGTCATTAGTCGTAATCTTGGAGTTGTAGTCATGTGCTGGAGTTTCGGATCCTGAGTCCTCGGAGTTTTTAGACTTCAGGGATCTTCGTATTTCGGAAGGGCTTCTGGACAGAGGGGGGAAGGTGGCCTGATAGGACGCAGACGACTTACCTCGCCTTTCGTCCAGGAACTTGTTTGAAGATGCTGTTGAAGACTTGGAATCGGAAATTGTGGATGGGGTGGAAGGTTTGGTATTGGTGCTGGGCTTGAAGGAATCGTACTTATCGTCCGAGCGACGGTCCAGGCGATCTGTGCTCTTCCACTCGGGGGATCTCAGGGAGTAGGATTTGGAGTAGGATGACTTGACGTTGCTCTCCTCTACTCCATTGGATGATACTGATGACGAGTAGTACTTGGTGCCGGGATATGAGTCGTATCTGTCAGTTGGTCGCCTCTTATACGATGAGCCTGAAGTGGCGTTTGGAGGTGCTGCACTCCCGTAGTAGGTGCTGGAGCTTCTGGACAGGCTCTTGCCACCCAGGCCTGGAGGGGGTCCGTTGGAGGGTCCGCCGCTGCCGTACTTATTGTACTTGCTTTCGTAGCGGCCCAGGCCAGACCGATACCCACCGTAGTAGTCTCTGTCTGCTCGCCTGTTGTAGCCGCTCATGCCTCTGCCTTTGTCGGATGAGCTGGTTTGTGATGGTTGGGAGTTGGAGGAATCGCTGTGGGAATCGCTACTGGCACCTCCATTGGGGGCGTTATTAGGTCCCACCGACCCTCCAGGGCCACCAAACTTCTTAGGCGGCCCACCACTGCCTCCGTACCTGGGATAATACCCACTTCCTCGGTAGGACATGGTTGGATGATTATAATACAGCGCCAATTGGCTCAGCTGATACTCGGGCTGGAGTCACGGGTCAAGGTGTAGTATCAGAAGGACGTATTAATTATCACTAAGCTGGTGCTCTGCGGTTCTTTGACGAGCTAGGAGGTGCTTAATGGTCTTGGTGGATGGTATAGATGGAGTTGAATGTCACTTGTTTTTTGTTCACAGACAAAAAAAAAAATGTGGGCTGTTTGCAGGTTGAGTCCAACATGCACATTATCTGGGATGATAGCCAGCCTCTGAGGGTTCGTGGGCCTGTCTGGCAACAGCTGATGAGTGACGGTTGTGGTACAGCCAGTAAATGTGCAAGCAGCTGGCTAGTGATATTTCTGTATCACTGGAAATATGACTGAATACCGGATGAAATATGTTTGTATTAATAACCATCAAGTACGAGTTCACTAGCCAAATACAGGTTGATGAGTACCCCAGAAATTACTGATTAATCGGTACATTTCCACTGCTACAAGGAAGTTCCACAGGTAGATATCCTGCAATTAATGTAGGAACTTACATACTTGGACAGACTTGGTCAACTTGGTGGCTCTCTGGGTGGTAGACCCACCACCTGTCTTTTCTGCTCCATTGAACAAGTTTTTAGTCACTGTGCTTCTTCATTTAAGTTACCCAAGATGAACAAATCATTCAAGAATCCCCTTGAAAATGCCCCTCGCCAAGGGTCCCACATATTTCTAAAATATCCGTACTTTACTGATAATGATAAGAGTCAGAGTTTCCAGTACTTCTTTCGTTTTTCTGCTTCCTTGTTTTTGATGTCTTTAAATATCAAATGTCTACTTCAAATTCAACATTGGAAAATAGTAACTCTTTAGCAAGCCTAGATGTCCTAGAACAATAATCCACCTCTATGCTATCACATACAAACCGAGGGGCTCCATATACCTTTCAAGAGAGTTTTCTAATGTTCCATTTCTTCGAATGGCTCGCATTGACCAATTTTAAATCTATTATCGATCGAACTAGAATTGGTATTCAATTGGTAACAGCACAGGGCCATGAGCCCCATCAAAATGATGCATTATTCTTACAAGCATTATTGTTGGATAAGTGATTTCTATACAATTCAATGTAAAAATAATACACTTAATGCCCGAACATCTGCTCAAGAATCATGGTCAATTTTACTGATACACTCAGAACAATTAAGCATATTAAGAGAATGGATTCAATATTGCCCTTCCAGCCAGTATCAATGTATTTCATGCGCAGTAATTGGCGTTTTATCCCCGTGAATCTCACTTATTCATTTCCCTTTCAGCCAATTGAGACTGAATATCCACCAGCAGATTTGTTAGCATACCAGTGAATCAACTCGTTATTCCACCATCAAAGCAATTATTTCTTTGGTTACTTCTATTCCTCTGTTGACTTTTATGCTAGTAAATGCCACATGGTATGCTGGATTAACTTGACTTTGACGGTTGGAGTACATGATATACTTGGTATTTGGTATTAATCGAGTACAGACCACAATACTCTCTTGATAAATGAAATGACATCAGAGCCCATCTGAATTTCGATGCTTGGAACTATTATAGTTAACTCGGTTAGCATTCAAAATTAAATTGTAAAATTATTCTTCTGTCATATCCCATCCTCTGTACGAATGCTAATTTAATGATTTCCAAATTCTATCTCAATTTGATAAAAAGACTAAGGAAGTGTTGGAAGTTTAAAGTAGGGATTTGCTAGAGTAGTACACTGTGACACCCAGAAATCCCCCTACATCTCAATGTTCTGTGCATATATTCGTAATCGTTACATAACCTCTTTCTTGCTCACTCCCGACAAGAAGTCTCCAAACTCCATCAACTCAAAAATGAGGCTCATATTAGGGCATATTCTATCACAAGCATCTATGTTATTTCCTTTATCCCCTATCATTTTGTTGACTCCACCAGGCACGTCGACCTCGGTGCCAGACTTTAATAATTCGTAAGCTTCGTTGACTCCTATGCTGAATTTCTGCATGAAAAACGCCACAATGACACATGCGGACCGTGACACTCCACACTGACAGTGGACCAAGATCTTGAGTCCCTGGTCGCTAAACTGCTGGATTTTGGCCGTGAGACTGGGGAGATCGCGCGAGATCGACGACGTGTGCGACCACGGCACGTATAAGTACTCCTTTCTGCCAGGGATCTGGTTGGTGAACTGGGAGCTCAAGTCCTGGCACTCTTTGGCCACGTTGATCACCAAGTCGTACGCGTTGATGTCCACCTGGCCCACCAGGCCTCGCGGCTTCTTGGTGTCGGGATTAAACGTGGGATCCAGGTACAAGAAGATCGTGTTGTTGTAGACGTTTCGCGGCCCTGTGGGATATGCGTTGAGCTGGTTGGACTCCTGGAGCTCTTCAGGGAGGAGGTACTTCTTGGAGAGTGCGATCTGTGGGGTGGTGTGGTTTTGGTCGGGATGCACGCTGGGGGAGCCTGTGGTGGTGGTGGATGACGAGGGCTCGTGGATGGTGACGTTGCCCAAGGCAGATGCCAATCGCACGTTGGTGGGGGAGTTGGGGTAGTGGGGCGCGTTGTCGAAGGTCATGGGGCTCTGGAGCCTGTACTCGGGAAACGCCGATTTGGCTGTGGCTGTGGAGGTGGAGGTGGATGACGAGGACGACACGGGAGTGGCAGCACCGTAGTCGTAGTAGGCGTAGGGGTGTTTTGGTGGCTCTGTGAGCGCAGTGGTGATGGCGTCGGAGTCGGTGGCAGGCGACGGTCTCCCGCGTGGGCGCGGGACGTACGGCGGCACCAACGGAGTCTTGGTGACGGCGGGAGTGACCAAGGCTGGTGCTGGATCCTTGGACGGCACCAGCAACACGGTGGTGATCTCGTTGGATGGGATGGACAACGTCAATGTTTTTCTTCGGGGGAGGGAGGGCTTGTTGAACGGCAAGTCCGATGCAGGCGAGAGGAGGGTGGTGGTGTAGTTGGAGGACGGCTGAGGCGACGGGTACGCGAAGTTCAACGAGAGGTTCTTCATGTTGCGGTTGCTGGCGAACAGGGTTGGTTTGCGCGCGTGTTTGGGCGAGTAGTTGATGTCAATGGACGAGGAGTGGGACGGGGGCGGATTCACCACGGATGCCGACGCCTGGTGGAACGGGCGGTTGAGGGAGCCTCCAAGCATGTAGTTGTCTTTGTCGGGAGAGGACGGCACGGTGTTGGGGTACACTTTGTAGGAGTCGCGGAGTGGTTTGGGTGGCGAGGGAGTGTTGTCAGGATGTGAGGGTAGTACGAACGGATTGGAGGACATGGTGGGCAGAAGAAGGCACGGGAGGCACGGGAGGCACAGAAGGCACAGAAGGCACGGAAGACACGCTGGGCCAGCCTCGAGGATGTGGTGGAGTTTGTGGAGGAGGTGGGCGGTTAGTGAGCCATCAGCGTGGAGGAGTCTGGCGATGGGGAGGCGGCAGTAGGTAGAATGTGGTGAAACAATCAGGTGTGGAACCGACCAATTGTTGGATGAGAGGAAGGTGTCTAAAATAAGGGCACAATGGAATCTATTTTTATGGTGGACGGAGGGAGCGGGAGATTGTTTCGGCGCGGCACGTGCATGTGATTGGGGCTAGGGAGAGCTGGGAGGTGGTAGGAGTAGTGGCAGTGGTGGCAGTAGTGGTGGTGGTGCTACTAGGGAGGGTACTGGGTGGATACTAGTGTGGTAGGGATCCAACTGGCGGTGGTGGGACTCGCGGACCTCTGCTTGTGACTCCCAGTCTGCCTCCTGCTCTCGTGCCTGGCGGTGCCTTATTTTTCCCCTTACGGGCCGTTTGGGGCGAGAATGCGATGGCTCCCGCGCCCGGCGCGCGCGCTAGCGAGCCTGGTGTCACTAGCCAGTTCCCGTCCCCACGGCTTCCGCCAGGCGCTCCACTGCAGCCCTGAGTATCTACCACACACGTCCAGGAGGTTCTGCCGTGCCCGCCCAGGCGTGCCACCGCAGCCTGGCGCCTCCAATCTCTGGTGGTCTCTGGATCACCGCTGCAATTCCCGTCTTACTGTTCCCAGTGGTGCCAGAGCTGTCACCACCATTCTCGCGGGCGGCTGTCAATGCCCATTGTTGGCTGCCAACGAAGCTCGCTGGCGTCGCTGACACCATGCCAGGGGCGGCTGTATACATGGCGGTTAATCCCACCTTAGCGAGTTTGTGATCGGACCGCCGTGGAGGCACGAACCCTCGTCTACACACAATGGCTGGATTGTGGCGACGGTGACGCCAGCAGCGGTGATGTGGCCTAGACTGCCATTTAGGGAGCCCACGCCGGTGGGTGATTGGCTGTTGAAATGGCGCTGTACATGGTGGCAAGGTAGTTAAGTGCGGATGTGGTACAGAGGTGGGTGGTGGCAGGAGTGGTGCGGATGTCTGTAGAGCGAGTTAAGTAGGCGGTGGTGAAAATCAATATTCGAATAATTAATTAGAGGAAAGGGGTAATTACAGTAAGTTGAAGCAAAGCGGTGTAATTGTAGAATAGTATGAAGCAAAGCGGTATAATTGTAGAACAGTAATTACTGTATGAAGCAAAGCGGATAATTCCAGAATAGTAAGTATGAAGCAGAGCGGTATTATAATAAGGACCGTAAGTTTGAAGGGTAGCGGTTTGATTTTAGAATAGTAAGCATGATCGCTGGTGCAGCACAGAGTACAGCAGTGTATGATTGTAGATGAAAGTACCAGAATCGTATGCATGCTAGACAGTAAACATAGAATAATAGAAGTGAAATCTGCCGTGTAATATGAACAAAGGCAAATTGAGGTTACATCAAACCCTAATTAACCTATTTAAGTTTCAACACCTATAGGTGGTCCTGCAGCGAACATCGTGTCAGGGAATGGTCTCGTATCTATCGATTTGTGATCCATGGAGTTTCATTTCGGGTAGTTTACGTGGCTACAATACTGAGTGTCTTGTTTGAACTGCAGCATGGAACCTATTTAGGGTGATCGTATGATATGGATTATTCTAATATAATCTCGTTTTGAAGTGTTGGACGTATTTCGGGTAATTATACGTGTGGTTTAGTGGGCCGTCTCGTGTAAACTGGAACTTAGGACATTGAGATGATCGTAACGACATTGTAGTTAGGATGCATCTCCTGTTGAAAGGTATGAGCAACAAATTTCAGGTGGTTAGTTCCTTATGTATGGTTTATACTATATGGTAATCTCCTTTTGAGCTGGAGGCTTGGATCATAATTTTTGGCTTTGAAGCTTCAACTGCTTAAAGTTAGTTTCAATGTAGCCTGTGTGGATTTAAATATTCAAGTAATTCAAGCTGGTTTAACATAATTCTCTCTCGATGGGACGAATTGAAGCGAGTAATTTCATGGTGGCTCCTTCTTGATACATTTGGTTTATTTCGAAGTAATCTTCAATAGGTAGAATTTGCCAGAGCCTAAGCTGATGTGATTGGGCTACCAACCACTCGTTAATGTCCTGTCTCTGGATTGTAGATTGAACCATCCCATTACTGGTAAATACTCTGGAAGAGAAATCCCGCTGGTTTTCAAATGAATATTCCCACCATCGTCCTTGACATGTAAGCTACCTAGGATAAATTGGCTAACCCCGAGTAGGCTCGTTCACTTGGCTATTTTGCACCCAACACAAAAATATGTCCATCCATACTACTAGCACCTAACTCCAATAGAGAGGTCCACAACGACTTCATGGCCTCGCCAATAAGTCCTACGAAAGTGATTCACTTCAGAAGTAAATTTGCTGTTCTCCAGCCTACACCTCTTTCTCTGAACACCATCTCTACGCAAAGTCAAATTATCATTTATTTCATTAATATTCATTACCCTCATCAATTAGCCATCTCATCCTCGTCAATGTTGGGGCCAAATTCTCCTTCGAAAATGGTAGCACCTGCTTTTCTGCGGTTTTCAATTATCAGGCATTCCTCCATGGCCAAAATCATCTTGGCGTTTGGCCTATCGAAAGGATTCGGCCGCAACATCTTGTTCACCAATTTGTCCAAGTTCATTGAATCGCCACTCACCAAGAAATCAGGAGCCCATTGTGGAATGAGCCCCTTCAAACTTCTAACGCTGGACGTCGTCTGAGCAGGTTGTTGCAAACAATTGTCACTACCATGGTTCAACTGATTGGTTGAAGGAGGTGCATTGTATGTGAGGTTGCTGGTCAGACTGTTCAAGTTCATTGACTGGTTTGATGAAAAGTTCATATTGGTATTATAGGATGTCAAACTGGAGAAGTTTTGATGCTGTAAGAAATCGCTGATATTATCACTCAGTAATTTCCCTGCATCGCTCAAATCACCACTTCTCAACTTTCTCCATGGCGTTCCATTATCTGGCAAGATAATGTTGGCTGCAATTTCCAAGATTATCAAACCCAAGCTGAAAATATCGGCAAAAGGAGTGTAAATCTTATCATTGATCAATTCGGGCGCAATATAGTTTCTGTCTCCTTCCAAATCGAAATCCTTTTCCAATATTGGTAACTTGGTAGTCAAACCAAAATCCCCAATCTTTAAAGTACCTTCAAAGGTGATGAAGATGTTAGCTGGTTTCAAATCCAAATGCAAATAATTCTTCAGATGAATAAAACTTAACCCGCTGAGAATTTCAATTAGGATCTTCCAAATTCTGAATTCATCAATCTTGTAATTTTTGTGTTCTTCCAAGAAATCAAATAAGGTCCCATTATCACAGTACTCTGTCATTATGTAGTAGTAATTATTGAAGTCCCAAGCTTCAATGAAGTACACAAGGTACTCCTTGCCTTCCTCTTGCTCCTGTAAATTAATACTCTCATTGTCTTTTACGGAAGTCAATGCTCGCAATGCTTCAATTTCCCTCATGATAGCCTTACGTTCCAGTTTTCCAATTATAGGCTTTTTGGAACGCTTAATTGCTAACTTCTGATTTTGGAAAATGCATTCATACGCGATGGAAAATTCACCTGCTCCGATGTACTTTATGTTCTTCATTCCAAACTTATTAATAAGGTGGTCATCGATCTTTGAGAGAGTACTCTTTGATTCTTCTTCCAGATTTTCTTGAGTATGTGGAATCATAGATTGTGATTGATCTGCATCTATGTACCCAGATTTCGTGAACCCCGTCAAAGTGTTGTCATCTTCATCTCTTGCCAACAAGGAAGAATTTGAAGCAATATCATTATGGACTGAATCTTTCTTGTGAGCACTGTCAAGAAGCTGATGATGAAGATTGGAGTGGTTCTTGGAGGGTAGTATTCCACCCTTATGCATTAAGTTGGTAGGTGTGGATGGTTCATGGTACCTTGAAGTTGGAGGAGGGAATGAGTCAAGAGAAGTAGTTGAAATGGATAGCTTATTCGCATTCTTAACATAATTACTCAACTTTTGTGATGAATTCTTGAACAGTACCGGGCTGAAATTTGCAGGAGTCGAATGTGACTTCTTAACTGATTTAGTAGGAGTCTCGGGTATACTAATTTCAATATCTGAACTCAAATCGATATCCAAGTCAGCATTATTGAGAATATTCAAGTGAGTAGTCTTCTGTGATGAATTGTTGGTTGACGGTATCCGGAAAAATGATGAATTTGATTCGTTCATCGTAGAGTTATAAGCCGAAATATTATTTCTACCAACTTCAATTGATATTTCAGAGTTATCATCCATCATTTCCTCGTGAGCTGAAGAAATAATATTTGATAAACTGGACTTGTTGGTGCTTATTAACATCAATGGATTCTTTTTTATTGGAGTCTCTGGAGGCAACTTGCGTGATTCTTTTGAAATAGAGTTTTTCTTAACAAGTCCAGTAGATTTGAATGCTGTTTGTAATGGCTTCACAAATCTATAGGAAGATTTGTTTTCCTTGTCGTCAAAATCACCAGTATTATGCGTAGATGGAGTTGGTGAAAATGGAGGATGAGTAACTTGATGGGGGTTTGTGCCAGCTTGAACTTTTCTAGCACTCACTGGAGCAGATAGAGGATCATCTTGGTATATGACAATAGAATTGTTGGAGCCATTCGAAAGCTTTCTGTTTTTGGATGGACTATCAAAATCCATATCATCTATATTATAATATTCGAAATTGTTTGACACTGGAGAAGAACTTTGTCCATGGAATGGCGACTTGTTATATTTCAATGAAGTTTTTCTAAGCTTGTTACCGGAAAGCAACTTACTAGAAGAAGACGGATGACTGGTAGAGCCAGAAGGTTGTTTCCTATCTGCAAAAATGGAGAGACCAACTCTGGTCGGCCTTTCAGGCGTGGATCTATTAGGAGAAATAATGGCATCCTTATCTGCATTTTTGAACATTTTGAATCCTTTTCTTCCGAGCTTAGAAGGTGAATAAAAGTCAAGCAGATCGTTGCTCGCCATTCTGTTGCTGGGAGGACGGGTATAAAAGGCAGCCGGGATTCCTGTATCGTCGTTCACTTGTTCTGGAGATTTGTTGAACTGGTAAATCATAGCCTTCAGAGCATTAATCTTGGTGGAAGAAGGTGAGGGACTTTGACTGACCAACTTGTGGGGTCTCTTGAATTTATTGTTATTGTTTATTACTGAGGCCCGGTTGGTGATGGGACTCAGGTTCTCTATTGGGGTCTGTTCCCGGCTTATTGATGCAGAATTGGGTTTTATGATGGAGGAGTCGATTTCGTTCAAGTCGCTGATATAATCCAAGTCTTCTGTTACCTTGTTGTTCATGGAGCGGAGGTTGGAGTCTATCGACAAGTTGAGGAACTTGGAGGACCGCTTGATGGATGATTGCTGGGAGTGGACTTTTTCGGGGTCCTCGCCTTCGGACCCTACAAGGATGTCTTCCAGCTTCTTGTGATTGTGGGAGTGGGTCCTGGTCTGCGATAGGCTGTGGCTGGCGTGGTGGCCGCTGGTGCTGCGAGTACGGGAGTGGCCAAGGTTGGAGCTCGAGCTGGACTTGTGCTTGACGTGCGGACGTCTGACCAAGGCGAACTCGGAGCGCATGCTGTAGTTTTCGTCGTCGTCGTCGGCATCGTTGTCCAGGTCTACCACTATGGGGTGGTGGTGGACATGGTGGAGGATTTGGATGTCGTCGTCCTCGGTGTAGTGGTCGTCCAATTTGTCGTTGGGGTAGTCTTTCTTGACGTTGAATGGAGGTGACTTGTTGATCTTCTTCTTGGGAGCAGGACCTGGCGCTGGCACGAACTCGTCCTTCATGTCATCGAGAATCAAGCTGTTGAAAGAGCGGGAGAACGAGTTGTTGGTATAGTACTCAAGCAGGCTGGAGTTGTAGCGAGACGGCAGCTGGCCTGTAGGGGGAGCCAGGCTCTTGGACGACGATGTGGATCCTAGAGGGGGTCTTGTGGAGCGGGAGCTGGCCGAGTGGCTGGGGGTGGTGAGTGGTTCTGCCACCCGTTTGGACGACGGCGTGGTCACCGAGGTGGATGCAGTGTTGGGAGGATGGGTGGGAGAGGGATGGGAGGACGAGAACGAGGTTGCCGACGAGGCCGACCCGCTGGTGGGGGGGCCCAGGAAACGGGAGTATGACATGGTGGGTGGGATGGCTGGAACTGCTGCGGTTGTACTTCCCGAAGACTTCTCTGCTTCTAGTTGTTCTCTGGGTGTAGATGTGGCGTTCTCGGAAAGACCTGACGGGTTTGTTCTGGAAGGTTGTGTAAGACTTCTCTCTGGTACTCTAAGATTCTCTAGAAGAACTCTTCTCTTGACTCTCTCTGGTACTCTAAGATTCTCTAGAAGACTTCTTCTCTTGACTCTCTCTGTTTCTGAGACCTCTCTGGAAGACTTCTTCTTTCGACTCTTTCTCTGTTTCTGAGACTTCTCTGTCTCTCTTCTGTCTGACAGTTCTCTGTCTGGCTCTCGTTCGAGGCGACGTGTATCTAAGGTGAAGTGCACCTACTGGTTGGCTGTAGTGTCGGGAGTCCGTAGACTGTGCCTGTGGTGTGGTTCCCTACTAGATAGTTGCGGCACGGGAGGATGGGCCCAACGCCATGTTTTCGTGGCTGTTTGTTTTTGTTTTTGCAGGGGTGGGCGCGTTGTTGGGGAGCGCGGGGGAGAGGAGAGTGGGGGAGATGGGAGGTGGGGGAGGGAGAGAGAGATGGGTGGAGGACGTAGGAGACGGGCGGAGGGAGAGGAGGATGGGAGGAGACGGTGGCTAGACTGTCTGGGTGGCGTTTCGCCTGCTTTTCTGGCGTTCACCAGCGGTGGTGGGCATGAAGAGAATAGCGGGAGAACGCGTTTTGTGGCGTGGCACGTGACGCGCGGTCATGTGAGGAGTATCCACTGGTGGCGCGCACCGATCCGGTGGTGGCCCACCAAATTACTCGGTCCGCTAGATCTGGGCGCCCACTAGTGAGGACGAGTTTGTGGTATTTCACTGGGGGTAGGGGCCAATAGTGTTAGTTGCTGTAGTGCTGGATATGTAAAAGGTTATTGAAGTCATTATAGGTTTATTGATAGGTATCAAGTGTAATGGTTTATTGGTATCAAGTGTAATGGTTTGATAGGTATCAAGTGTAATGGTTTATTGGTAT